AGTTCGAGGAGATGAAGGCCAACTTCACCAACGTCTATGTCAAGAACATCGACACGGGCGTCACCGACGACGAGTTCCGCGTTCTGTTCGAGAAGTACGGAGATATCACCTCCGCTTCGCTCGCTCACGACAACGAGGGCAAGAGCCGCGGTTTCGGCTTCGTCAACTTCGCCCAGCACGAGGACGCCTCCAAGGCCGTTGACGAGCTCCACGAGTCTGACTTCCACGGACAGAAGCTGTATGTCGGCCGCGCCCAGAAGAAGCACGAGCGCGAGGAGGAGCTCCGCCGCCAGTACGAGGCCGCTCGCCAGGAGAAGGTCAACAAGTACCAGGGCGTCAACCTCTACGTCAAGAACCTTGCCGACGACATTGACGACGAGGAGCTCCGCAAGATCTTCGAGTCTTTCGGTTCCATTACCTCCGCCAAGGTTATGCGTGACACCCAGCCCGCTAAGGACGAGGCCAAGGAGGGTGAGGAGACCAAGGAGGAGTCGACCGAGGAGAAGAAGGAGGAGGAAGAGCCCGTTGAGGCTGAGAAGAAGGAGGAAGAGGAGGATGTCGACTCTGTCACCAAGGACCTCGAGAAGGTCAAGATTGGCGGCGAACTCAAGATCCTCGGCAAGAGCAAGGGCTTCGGTTTCGTTTGCTTCAGCAACCCCGACGAGGCCACCAAGGCTGTCACCGAGCTCAACCAGAAGATGGTGCATAACAAGCCCCTCTACGTTGCCCTCGCCCAGCGCAAGGATGTCCGTAAGAGCCAGCTTGAGGCCAGCATCCAGGCCCGCAACCAGGTCCGCATGCAGCAGCAGGCCGCCGCCGCTGGTGGTATCCCCGCTCAGTTCATGCAGCCCCAGATGTTCTTCGGCCCCAACGGTCAGCCCATCATGCCCGCCCGTGGCCAGATGCCCTTCATTCAGGGTATGCCCCAGGGCCAGCGTGGTGCCTTCCCCCAGCAGGGTGGCCGCGGCGGTCCCAACGGCCAGCCCCCTATGGGCTACCCCGTTCCTCCCATGCAGGGCTTCCCTCCCGGTGCTTACGGCAACCCTGCCTTTGCTAACCAGATGATGATGGGCGGTCGTGGCGCCGGCCGTGGTGGCCCCATGCCCATGATGCCTGGTATGCCCCCTAACATGATGGGCCCCAACATGGGTCGTGGTCAGCAGTTCGGTGGCCGTGGTGGCCCTCGCCAGATGGGTAGCTTCCCTCAGCAGCGCCCTCAGGCTCCTTCCGCCTCTCCCGCTCTCGACGTCAACGCCCTCAACGCCGCTCNNCCCCCTGCCCAGCAGAAGCAGATGCTCGGTGAGGCTCTCTACCCCAAGATCCACGAGCAGCAGCCCGAGCTTGCCGGCAAGATCACCGGTATGCTCCTCGAGATGGACAACGCTGAGCTCCTTGACCTGACCACCGACGACGCCGCTCTCCGCAACAAGGTTGACGAGGCCATGCGTGTCTACAATGACTACCTCAAGTCCCAGGGTGGTGAGGACGCTGCTCCTGCCCCCAACGGCTCCGAGAACGTTGCTCCTGCTGCCGAGGCCGCTACTGAGGAGAAGGCTTAAGCGATTCAGTTCGCCTACACGATCCCGCCTTTCTTTTTCAAAAAGTTTTCATGACACGCGCTGCATACGATTTGGGCGCCCGGCGTCTTGATCTTTCAGCTTCTTTCACCCGGATACCCCACCTTAATGAAACGACTTTTTACTCTTGTGACCATCTATATTCTTTTCCCTATCCATCACTGTGCACGGGGTTCGTCGCTCGTTCCATCGTTGCTTCTGGCTAACATGATCTCGTCGTGTGCCATATGGCTGGCCTTGGAGCTCGTTCGCATCGTCTATCATGGTCTTAGTCACCCGTTGAGGATAACGAACCAGCGCAATGGATTTTGAGGACAATGCTCAATCACGAAGCATGCGGCAACGCAAAAGTACGAATTCCTTTTTTGATTCGGACCTCGTATCTCAAGTGCGGACATGGACTGATGAGTTGTCTTTTGGGGGGTTTATCTCTTTTTTTTTCTTGTTTCACTGGCGATCGGCGAAAGAGAAGGTCACAAATCAAGGGCAGGGTTTATTGCAAACAGGTGGCGCATATGGATATTTTTTATAGCCGCCAATTCACATTGTGTCTCATATCACTTTGCGTCTCCGATGTTTTCGTCTGTGGTGTACACTTCATGGTATCCACCAAATAGCGCTATCTTATATGGCTATCACGACTGCCATCAATATTGTTGTCCTCCATGGAAGCACATGAGGTATGCTCAGATTGAAGCAAGTATTCGGCTGGAAGAAGACATTGAGTATTATCCAGTCATGACAAGACAACTACGTACTTGACAGTCACGAAGATGCGACAAACCATTCGCTATAGTTGATACAATGGACCAGACAGCTTAAATACTGAGTAGACAACCTCGGTGGTTCAGCAATGTCGTCGACCTCAACTCCAGCTCTTGCTTCATGTATGACCCTGCTCTCGGAGTACAAGTCCGTCCACTTTTTTTCTCCCAACAGTCTGTCAAGCAACAACCACTTCAAATACGATACATGTGTATTCTGACAAGACACAGACACCTTGTTTCACCCAGGCTCTTAGGAGCAGAGCGGTGAAGAAAAATTGAAACATGTGATAACGTTTTTTTCCGAGTCTTGCAAGTTGTCACGTTGTCCACGCGCAATGACGAAGTCGATTCTGTGAGGGATGGCGGGGGGGAGGCATAATTGTGGGGAGGAGCAGTGGTTCAACCATCTTTGCACCCTCAACTTGTATCCTTAGCATCTTTTTTTTTTGTATATACTTCTTCTGACAAAAGAAACAATGTGTGAGGTCAGCAGTATCAACAAGCAGCGTTGGTGGAAGGAGGCTATCGTGTACCAGGTATGCTACAGCATCGGAGGGTGGATTTTGAGAGAGAGAAGTAACTCATGTTTGGACNAGGTGTACCCTGCGTCGTTCTTGGACTCTGGGGCTGGCAATAAACCTGGTTGGGGCGATATTCCTGGTATCACGTCGAAATTGGATTATCTGAAGCATCTTGGTGTTGATGTGCTATGGCTTTCGCCGAGTGGGTAATGCTGGTTGAAAAGTGGCGGTCCATGTGACTGACTCTCGCAGNTTTACAAGAGTCCTCAGGCTGATATGGGTTACGATATCGTATGTTATGCCTCAATGGCTGGTGCGTGTAGCAATTAACTGACCGCTGCAGNNGCCGATTACAAGGACATTGACCCAGTGTACGGCAGTCTCGAGGATGTTGACAATCTGACCAGCGAGCTCAAANAGAGAGACATGAGATTGATGATGGACTTGGTTGTCAACCACACCTCGGACCAACACGCCTGGTTCCTCGAGTCTCGCTCTTCAAAGCAGTCCAGCAAGCGTGACTGGTACATCTGGAAGCCCGCCAAGTATGACAAGGACGGCAATCGCCAACCCCCCAACAACTGGTCCATGATTTTGGGAGAGGAAAACAGTGCCTGGACGTACGACGAGAAGACTGACGAGTACTATCTATCTCTCTTCACCGCTGAACAGCCTGATCTGAATTGGGAAAACCCAGAGGTTCGTGAGGCAGTCCATGATGTGCTGCGCTTCTGGTTGGACCGTGGTTGCTCGGGCTTCCGCATGGATGTCATCAACCACATCTCCAAGGTTCAGACCTTCCCTGACGCGGATGTCATCGCCCCTGATCACAAATATCAGCCTGGCTTCAAGTACTATTGCAATGGACCTCGTCTGCACGAATGGCTGAAGAACATGAGGGCGGAGGTTCTCGACAAGTACGACACAATCACAGTTGGCGAAATGCCGTTCGTCAGAGACGAAAGCGAGATTCTCAAGATTGTTCGCGAGGATGAGAAGGAGTTAAATATGATCTTCATCTTCGAGCAGGTCGATATTGACAACGAACCTGGCAAGTACAGACTCACACTACGTGACTGGGACGCCGACGAGATCCGCAAGATTTTCAGTCACTGGCAGCGCCTGATGATCGACAAGGATGGTTGGAACAGTTTGTTTGTTGAGAACCACGACAACCCTCGCTCTGTGTCGAGATACTGCAACGACAGCGGTGAGTTCCGCGAGTTGAGCGCAAAGCTTCTTTGTCTCATGATGACCACTCTTGCTGGTACACTGTACGTCTACCAGGGCCAAGAGCTTGGTATGCGCAATGTGCCCGTGGAATGGTCGCCCGAGGAGTACAAGGACGTCGAGTCCATCAACTACTGGAAGAAGATGAACAATATGTACTCCGATAACAAGGAGAAGCTGGACTTTGCTCGCCACGTTTTGCAGAGAAAGGCCCGTGACCACTCACGCACCCCGGTCCAGTGGTCTGCAGAGCCCAACGCCGGGTTCTGCAAGGAAGACGTCACGCCTTGGATGCGCGTCAACGACGACTACAAGGAAGTCAACGCAGAAGCCCAGCGCAAGCAGAATGATCCCGACAAGCTTTCCGTCCTGCAGTTCTGGAAGCGTGGTCTTGCCAACAGAAAAGAACACAAGGAGGTATTCGTCTATGGCGACTTCCAGGTGCTCGACGAAAATGACAAAAAGGTGTTTGCGTACAAGCGAGCAAGCGACAAGGAGGCATTCGTTCTTGCCCTGAACTTCTCCAAGGACGAAGTCAAGTGGCAGATTCCTGAGGCCGCCAAGGTGAAGAAATGGGTTGCTGGAAATTACACAGCAGGCCAGCCGGACAAGCCCACAAGTGGCACCATCACACTCAGACCATTTGAGGGTGTTTTGGGCACTTCGGAGGTTTAGAAGACTAGAACAGAAATGTAAATAGACTGCTACTGCATAGAATGGAATTGTGTCCAAGGACAAAAGGAAAGCACAAGTCGAAGAATAAAGTCGCCAAGCAATTGTGAAGTGCGCTTGGACCACTTTGTCATCGGGTTCGGGATGGACTCTCGACGTCGGCAGGCTTGAGAGAGGTCGCTCAGCAACTCTAGCAATTGAGAAAGCACCGCAAACACACATCCCTCGTCGCCATGCCTCTGATACGACCAACTGCCTTTTCGAGCCGCGCCTCCCAGCTGGCCCTCACCTCGACCCCTCGATCCATCGTCGCGCGCCGAGCTCTCTCCACCACACAACACCTGCGCGGCGGCGCCTCACACGACGACCACTTCGACCCCCCGGGTGGTGTCCTCTTTGGCGTCAAGCCCGGTGAGAAGTATCAAGACGAGGGCTGGGAGAGGATTTTCTACTGGGGTTTCTTTGGCAGTTTGGCCTTTGGCATCATCGGCTACGCATACAAGCCCGACACCAGGTTTGTTCCTACCACGTCTGTCCTGTCTGTAATACAGCAGTGAAGCTGACTGCAACCTACCAGCATCCAAACATGGGCTCTTGAGGAGGCCAGAAGAAGACTCGAGGCCGAGGGCATCCTTGCCGACCCCGAGGACGAGTAGACGCACATACCCCCCAACCCACGCAATCCGAATCGCTTTAGCAATCCCATTTCCCTCTAGCCGAACAATACTGCGATGCACAGCAACAACACAGCATCTTCTCGGGAATATCTCCAGATGGCGGGCCGCTTCTCTCGAACGACGCAGCCGGTCTGTACATAAAACCATACCAGGGGAATTGGCTGCACAGATAGACATTTCTTGACACCTTTTCTGCTGCACATCGGTACTCTCTAAACCTCTTCCATAAGATATCCAAACGAGGACGTTTTTCCTTTTTCTCTTTTAACCTTGTGCCTGATATCTGACCTCAGGTTGTTCTTGAAGTTCCTGCTCAAGATATAGACGTGTTTCTGATCAAGACCCTGCCATGTTCATACAAGCGATAGTTTGCTGCAGTCCTCGAAGTGCTTTCTCAACGATTACTCTGTTGCTCTTGTGTCCCCCTAGACGCTCTTAACTGAATTATGTACCTCTACTCAGCCTTCCAAAACAGACGACGGCCGTGATAAGTCTAGAGATCATACCGGCCTCGCGAGCCGAGGCATTACTACCCAAGACACAAGGAATATTTCCAGAAACGCTTGTAGAATGAGTGTCACTGTTTGGCATCTTGGAGGCAACTACGGCGCAGAACGAAATTCAACCGGCCAATTGTGATTAGAAAAAGGAAACCACGAATGAGAGCTCGTCCATTGGAAAATGTAGAAGCATTCCTTCATCTGGAGATCAATGCTAATCTCAAACATATGACTGCTGCATGTACACTCAAAAAGTACTGCGGCAAGTATTCTTGCAAGACGAGATGCCGTGCAGCCTTGCCTCGCCTTACATAAATTAATCGCCGTCCGGGGACCATCTGAACCCCGACGAGAACATGGCACTCCACCATCCCACCTACGCACCGTTTACGGCCGCTTGTACATTCTCTGACTGTGCGAAAACGTTCCAAAACACGCCTCTACCAACACGAGCCTCTAAGAGATCAACCCTTGCCAACCATGGCTGGACCCGATGACATGACAGCTCGGCCATCTCCTTTAGCCTGTGACTCTTGCAGACAGAAGCATCTGAAGTGCGACGCTGCAAAACCCATTTGTACACGCTGTGTAACTACAGGTCTGCCATGCAACTACACGCCTTCAAGGCGTGGATATCGAGGACGAAGCGAACGCGCGACTCCAATGACAGCCAACCACACCCAATCGAGTATGTTCCTGTGTATTCCAATCAGGGCACGAGCGCAACCACATTGCCCAGTCAAAATTCGCCCTGGCCCTCGCCTACAGTTCCTAGCCTTGTGGGCTCGAGCGTTCACGATGGCTCGAGTGGTGGCTACACCAACACGTACGGTATGACACCTGCACTGTCGCCAGATCAGCAACATCTACATTCATTGTATCAGCATTCCCCAATCAGTGAGAATATAGACGATGACGAGCTGGTCAACCTGTTTTACTCTAACTTCTTTTCCGCCCATCCAATTCTGGTTCCGGCATGCCTCTACCATGGTCATCCTTACCCAGAATATGTGAGACAAGTGGTTCTATTCATTGGAAGTCACTACTCGTTGTCAGTATCGAGCGATGCCCTTCGGATGAACATAGATCTCACCGGACCTGGAAGCATTGTTGAAAGAAACCCTACCATGGTACAAGCACGGCTGTTGTTTGCAATTGCTCTGCACGCGCGCGGTGAAGCAATGGACGCCGCATGCATGATGCAATCAGCCGTACAACTAGCTATTGACCTCAACATGAACCTTCGAGACTTTGCACCAGCACACGGCAGTGGTAATCCCATCCTGGAGGAGAGTCTCAGGAGGACATGGTGGGAGCTCTATTGCATGGACGGCTACATGGCCGCTCTTCACAAACTACCTTCTTTCAAGAGCAATACCGTCCGCTCAGACGTTCTGCTGCCATGCGAGGAAATGGTGTACGCCAGTGCTGGCTGCTTACCACAGCCATCTTCTCTTCAGCAGTTCGACATGCGACTATTTGCAGATGAGGAGATTCAGTTCTCGTCATTCGCGTACCGTATTGAAGCCGCTCGGATCCTTGCCAGAGTGCTTTCGGTGGCAGGAACCCAAAACGAAGACCAAGTCCAGGTGGTCGACAATGCATTGGCCGGCTGGATCCACAGCTTGCCGCAAGCCAAAGTGGATGTCGTCAACGTCTACAACACGGTTGACGAGATGCTTTTCCAGGGGCACATGATCATCCACTGCGCTACAATATATCTGCATTTACCAAGAAGCGACTTGCTCAACACACTTCCAGTCACTGCGAACATTGTATGCGCGGAGAGAGGTAGGCATATGTCTCCTGCTTCCACACAGCACTCTCACTCCGTCAAAGCGACCAACGCGTCTAAAGAACTCTCCAACCTGGCCGCCGTCCGTGTTCCGGTACAGAAGCATACTCCTTTCTTCGTGTGTGGGCTTGTCCTCGGCGCGATCGTTCAATTATCAGCCTGCAGTGCCAATGCAGGCACTGAACAGCATCGAGACAGAGTAACTTTGATCATCGGACTACTCAAATCACTGAGTCGGAACTGGGCTATATCTGGTCAGGTGCTTCAGCAAGTCAAGAAGGTGGCTTCGGAAGTGCTGCGTACAAGCACTCTTGCGTCACCCAACATTGAACATCGAAACGATACAAACTATTACGACAGTGGCATAAGTATGAGAAACAACCCGGACAACACTTCATGGCTTCCAATGCTGAACATGGTCGAGAACCAAGAGTTCCATGGTCTCATGCACGTCGAGCCGATCTATCCTGGCACGGTCTAGTTTTATGTATAACTTCATGCACGATACTTTTTATGAAACCAAGTGCGCCAGGTACCAGGGAACCTCTCTCAACAACTAGGGAAGGTTTAGGCGATGCGCATCACATCGCTGCAGCCAACGACACTAAAAAGTATTGGACGGCGACCTAGTTATTTCCTCTCACCAAATGGGTAGACGAACAATGCCACCAAAAACCGTTATCAGCATGCAATGCACATACCCCTTGACAGGACATTTGGCGGTTTCAAAGGNNATCCCTGCTTTAAGCCATCGCTTCCCCCGACCTCTCATTTCTGTATCTNATCCTTTCTCTCTACAAGCTCCCGCCCGTTTCCTGTCATNNATCTCACCATGTGCATGCGTGCTGGTTGCCCCAACTGCAGTAAGTCGAGTCTGTCTGTGGCGTTCTGAAGAATTGCATCGTTGACGTTGTCTGTGCAGAGAAANNGTGTCTTGGTGGGGATGTGGAAAGCATATTCCCTCTGTTATGGACAAGGTCCCTAGAGAGCAACGATGCACCTGTGGGCCTTCACTGGAGGTTGACGGCAAGATGTATCCTCCAAAACCTCCAGGTCTTTTCACCGATTGCTCCGTCTCATGACAGCTCATGCCAATACCATCACGACCATAAGGACTATCTGCACCATTTCTCACCTTCGATTCTTCTGCACAACTTGTTTACATACCTCTTTTTCAATACCGGGTCTGGATGTATCAATTTTTTTTTGCGTCCAATACAGCTTTGTTGGACCTTTGTTTCATTTGCCAGGAGAGGAAGGATGGAAAGAACAACTGGGTATCATTGTGTAAAACCGCAAACCGCCCAAATCATCAACAGAAAACCACGACTTTTGCTTTCAGGGTCATCATCTCATCTCAGCGCGGCAGTCAAGACACCAGCAGCAAACATGCTACCCACGGAGATCAAACTGGCCCATGAGAATGTAGCAAGACCGCTTATGCCATGCCCACTTGTACACCCGCCAGCCAGTCTCGATCCGAAAGCCATCACTGCACCACCAACAACAGCGACAAAGGGTGATATCAGATGCGATGATGCTTGTACTGAGGCAGCAGGCAGCAAGAAGCGGGCGATCAATGCGCTTGCAGACACGATGCCAGCGTCGAACATGACGGAAGCAGTGACGGGGCCCTTGGATGCGTCACCAGAGATCACGTTGCGTAGCCAACGACCGACATCTTCGAATGCCCCAGACGTACCAACGGTATGGCGTGTGAGTGCGATGGCACAAGCTTGCGCGGTGCCGATGAGGAAGCCTCCAAGGACAGGTGACACAAGACCTTGTGCTCCAGTGGTAGGTTCCTTGAGTCCAGAAAGCAGCTGCAGCATGCCGAAGCACATAATTTCCCACATGGCAAGAACGATCCAGGGACTGACGCCGAGGCTTTTGGGAATTGTCAGCTCAGAGTTTACCTTACTGCTTCCTCTGCCTGCGCGAAATCTAGCGATGCTGGGTTGGCTAGAGACAAAGAGTAGACCACCGAGGATTCCACCACCGAGAACATAGGCGCCGCTGGGAAGGCCCGCACCTGCTTGGACGAAGACGGTGCCGGGGCATGCGCCGGTCAATGCCATGCCAACGCCGATCATGGCGCCTCCAATGATGTTGCCGTCGTAAGAGAAGAAGCCGATGGATTGAGGTGTGCGAGGTTTCATTGCTGCGAGTCCTGTGGAATCTGCCAGATGTACGACAAGNTCTGTTGCTGATGTCAGTGTATGGTCTCGAGAATGGGAAGTTCAAGGAATTGACAAGGATGGTGCAGCATGTCTCGAGGGCTCTTCATAGTGTGTTCGTGTATCCAGACGAGAGCCCCTTTCCCCCAGACCATGCCAAAGTGCAAGGATTGATACGACTTACGCGCTTGTAGCACTTGCACCAAGCATTGCCTTGACCATAGTGAAATCATCCAACTTCATCTGCGCGATAATCGTGCTAGGCGCAAAGACTCCAGCCGCGAAAAGCGCGGCTCCGAATAGCGTGCCGGCTGCATACTCTGAAACCAATGATGGCATTGTGGTGTTGTTTCGAAAAGTCTGATGGTTGGTGGGTGGGTGGGTGAGTTTTGGCGAGTGGATGAAAGAAAAGTTCCACTCGTGGGTGGGTGAACAAAGAGAGAGCAAATATAATGTTGAGATGGCAATATTGAAAGAGGTGAAGAGAAGGGGCGGTTGCAATACTTATCCTTCATTCACTTGTCGATATTTCTGGTTCGACAACGGTTTTGGCGGGGATAGAGTTTGGGGTGAAGGCCGAGAAGATGAGCTTACAGCTCGAGAACAATTCTGGTCGGCGACGTTCAATGAAGTGAAGATAGCGATTTCGTAGTAGATGGCGCAAGACTCGAGGAGGAGAGTTTACATCCATATAGAAATCGCGGGTGGCCTTGGACCATCTAATTTGCCTTGTACTCGGTGTACTCTACACTGCAGCACACTATTTGATTATGGGAGAGACCAACAGAACTTAGTTTCCTTGTGGATGCGGTATACTGCATACAACAAACGAGCTTTGGTGCATGATAGTGTCATGGCGGGAGTGGTTGTTGGTCATGTTAAACGCCTTGCCGAATGTCGCTCCCTCTTCGAAAGTGAAGGACCCGAAACGGCCGAGGCTCGTCAGCCATCGGCCTCCACGGCACAGCGTTGCCAAGCCCGATCGCCAACAAGGTTCCCGACAGCCTTCCGGGACTTGACGAGCGATGAGAGCGCGACGACTTTGACATCACTCGCTGCCTCGAAAAGTTGAGAAGTAAACATAATACGAGTTAGATGCGATCGCACTGGAATCTCAAAACAGCGGCAGGCTCGTACACATTTGCAGCCACCTTGCTGCGGAAGATCCACGACATCAAGACAAGTCCTTTCGGCTGATCTCGTGTGAAACCGGCATACCAAGCCTCTTTCAGCAGCAGAAAGGCTGGGTCATACAGCGTTTCGTTCTCCTTTAAGGATCGCATCAAGTCATCTTCCTGCCAGCGTATTAGAGTAGCGCAGGGTAAGAATAGTCGCTTCCTTCTCAGCTTATACGCCATGTACGAAGAAGCAGCTCATTTGCAAAGGTGAACTTGCTTCTGGAAGGAAAGAACCATTTGCTGACCGCAGACACACGTGCATCACAAAGGAAAGAGTTGATAGGTTTTAGCCAAAACCTGCTTGCTTGCTGCATCCCTTTAACTCGATGCGACGTTAATGCCGGTTATCCCCGAGAAGGATCGCAGCTTCCCAACCTCCTTGCTGTTAAATAAACAGTTGTGACTCCATCGCGCATTCCCGTCCCATCATCTTTTGGACTTTTGCATTCAAGATGGCTACCCCTTCTCCTTCGTTGGCTCAGGCCGTGACGACAAAGGGCCCCGAGGGCATCGACCTCTATGCTCGCTTCGCTCTTGCTGGCGCATTGGGCTGCTCCATCACACATGGAGGCTTCACTCCCGTCGATGTGTAAGCGCAATGTCGACATTAATTATGCCTTCGTGACTTATCCATCGCAGTGNTCAAGACCAAGATTCAGCTTGATCCCGCGACTTACAACCGTGGCACTATCGCTACCTTCCGTCAAGTCATCGCCAATGAAGGTGCCGGAGCTCTCTTGACCGGTGTCGGTCCTACCTTTGCTGGTTACTTTGTACAAGGTGCCTTCAAGTTTGGAGGTTACGAGTTCTTCAAGAAGCAGTCGATCGACTACCTTGGTCTCGAGACCGCAAGAGCCAACCGTGGTCTGGTGTACGCTGTCTCCGCTGCTAGTGCCGAGTTCTTTGCTTCCGTCGCCCTGTGTCCTCTGGAAGCTACTCGCATCCGTCTCGTCTCCACTCCTGGATTTGCCAATGGTTTAGTCGGTGGTTTCAGCAGAATCCTGAGAACCGAGGGTGTTGGCTCTTTCTACTCAGGTTTCGGCCCTATCCTGTTCAAGCAGTAAGAGATTCTTGAAACCATGACCATTGAATAGGTGGAAAGAAGCTGACAAGAGAATATCAGGGTCCCCTACACCGTCACCAAATTCCTCGCATTCGAAAAGTTCTCCGAAGCCATCTTCGCGTCAATGGGCGACAAGTCCACCATGAGCCCCGGCACCATCACAAGCGTAAACCTCGGCTCTGGTCTCCTCGCCGGTTTCGCCGCCGCCATCGTCTCTCAACCCGCCGATACCATGCTCTCCAAGATCAACAAGACCAAGGGCTTGCCTGGTGAGAGCACCGCCTCTCGTCTCGTCAAGATTGCTGGTGAATTGGGTCTTCGTGGTTCTTTCGCTGGTCTGCCTACAAGATTGTTCATGGTTGGTGGTTTGACCGCTGGTCAATTCGCCATCTACGGTGACATCAAGAAGGCTCTTGGTAAGTCTTGATTTTCCCTTTTGCATATGGTTGTGCATGATCTTTGCTGACTTTGAGCTTCAAACAGGTGCTACCAACGGCGTCGAGATTGCAAAGTAGAGTAGTTGATTCAGCGGCCAAAGGGTAGCTTTTACCAGATGTCGGATCCAAGGGCTCAAGTAACGACAAGCATAGAGATGATATAAGCGCCTTTGCGGAAAGACACTCCAGACCTGATGTCTTGTGCCTCCTCCTACTACGGCCATTGTTATGTTCGAAAACAAGATTGAGCCCTCTTTGACTACTCTTTTTGTTGCTAAACTTGCTTCCTTCCAAGACACGCTACTCACCCTGTCGAGTTCTATAGATACTGAAGTCACCAGAAGTTGACGTATGGCGCTGTGTCTCGCATATGCTATGAGAGTGGGAGGGGACGAACGATGGAGAAATCTTGGATCCGCGAGTCAACGCGACTATCAACGAAGGAACGTTTGGCGACGCTGCTTCTACTTGATTCATGTGTTATATTTATATCTAACCCTTCCAAGCTCCACCAAATCGTCGCCAGTCCTCCCAGATTCCTCGCAGGACGGCACGATCAGCATTACCNATGCTGGAGCTCAATGCTTTGACACCACGGCTATCATCTGCGCCAATTTCGGCGACGTCAATGATTGCCCACATGCCTGGCGTAAGTGCATCTCGCATGCCTTCGCCTAGTTTACCATTCAAGATAAGAGTGCAGTAATAGTGAAGGATGTGGGGAGTGTGTTGGGCAACATGCATGCGAGCTTTCCGTGTCTCATCGACGAGATCAGGTGCCTTTCCTCGGCTTCCAGCCACGTTGAACTGTGGTGGGTTGCAAAGGTTTTCGAGAAGTCTCGAGTACTTTTGCGCGTGCTTCAGAGTCAACGAAGCGTTAGTAGGGTCGAGCCATGCTGGGTGTTTGAACCTGTTGACGGTTCCCGCATCTCTACTGCTAGGCAGGAAGAGGCAGGAGAGTAGTCTTTGCATCAACGGAACGAGGAGATGGAAACGGCCACCCAGACTGGAACGATGGAATTGCAAAAGACTTTGGGTGATTGTACAAAGGCCCTCGAACATTAGTGATGCTTGCTTGACACTCTTGATTGGCGAAGAGGGTGATGCNAGAGTGGTCACTGTAGCGATGGTCATCTCTACAGAGTATTGCGTAACAAGGTTGGGCNNTAAAAGGCTGTTAGTAAGTTGTTCAGGTGAAATAGAACTTCTCAGACATACCTGTTCTCTCAAAACAGCGACGACACAGGCGACCAACTGCTGATGGACATCGTACTCGGAGCAGGCATTCAAAAGTTCTAGCAGGCGTACAAGGACAGAGACCGAACCGGCTTCTGACGCAGCGGCACCTTGCTTGCGAGAAACATGCATGGCAGTGATGATGCATCGCACTAACATGATTTTTTCTGCCGTGCACTGTTGGATCGAGGCAGGCAAAATTCGGTCTATCAAAGAGAGCTTTTCGCTCTCGGAGATGTTCTGCATACTCTTGATGACGGAATCAGTGATGGCCCAGTACTGACCCGCGTCATTCTCCTTTGCTAGCAGATATTCGGCACTTGTGCATATCTCGATAGGATCAGCTTTGTGTGCTGCCGAAGACAGCTGTTGGAAGCATCGGACCAGGATCGGAATGGGAACATCCGTTGACTCTTCAACCAGACTGCGCAGCTTCTTCGCAAAGCGCTTTGCGTCTGTTGATCATTAGTATGACCACATGAACCTGTCGAAGTGTCTGTCGAGTACTTACATNTTCTCGGTCGAAGAACCGCCGGAGGACAAAATCGATTGTGGAATACCAGTGAACACTTGAACAGCGATACGAGCCTTGTCCAGATTGTCGCCACTGAGCTCGTCATCTGTTGAGGTCGACAATGTCTCCCACAACCGCTTGACCAAGGAGTCGATGGTGGAAGACGAATGATAAGCGAAATTTGACAGCTCCTTTTCAGTGAAACGAGCCTCGGACGCTTCGAAAAGCGCTTTCACCAGCAAGACTCTGCCTGGAGTTGACGGCAGACCCAAGTCCTTCTGTCTGCTGATAAAATCCGATACGAGCACGGAAAGCTGTTCTAGGTACAACTTACTTCGATCCTGCTCTTTGGTGTCAATGATGTGTCCTAGAAGGCGTTTACAAATATCCTCGAAAGCATTCAGCTCAGTGTTGTCGTAAGACACGCTGGCGAGACCCCATAGCACATCAGGCGCTACCGAGATCTTGGCTGTAGCATTTGGTAGCTCAAGAAGTACTGCAATCAGATCGAGGCTCTGCTGTTTGGCTTGTCCACTGAGCTTTTCTTTGATCAACGAGGATACAATGATGTCCAAGATCTTCTCGCGCTGTTGGCGGGAGAATCCTTTCAACGGCCACTGTAGAAGAATGTCCAGCCACGATCCAGATGCATCGGAGCTCTCTATTGTTTCACAGACTACTGTAAAAAGATCGTCTTTGATGGAGAGATCGCTAGCTGCGAATACCGCGTTCAAGAACTCGAGAAGCACGGAGCTCGAGCGCGAAGACTCAGAGAAGAAGCTGCTGAATAGGTCTTTGAAGAGCTGAACTCGCTCAGTCGCAGGTATACAAGCAAGAAGTCCTGGGTAACCAGTGAGAACCGTCAAGAAAGCGGCAGGTCGCTGTGAAGCGTAACTACGAGACTTGTCCCCATCCTGAGAGGGCAAAGCTGCACGGCAGAAAAGATGCGCATAGTCGGATTCATGTCCAATCAGTTGCCTTTGCATGTCACATATGGAGGCGATGAAGACGAACGCAGAATCGACTTCCGACACATTACCAGTAGAAGGGCCAGACTCTAATTTAGAGCCGCCCTGAATCTTCTCCAGGGTAAATCGTGTGATGGGGCCGTCAAGAAGTGCCGAGTTTCTCATCTGTACCTCCTCGGTCGACTTGGCAGTTGACCATATTGGGTACCATAGCTGATAGATCCGAGAACATAGACCGATCATATGAGCAGAAAGAAGTCCAGCGATATCAGCAGATTGAAGGAAAGCACTCTCAATGGCAGAAAGCAGTGACTCTAGATGAGGCATAAGAGTGTCAATCGTAGCATCAGTCTTTAAAGCACCAATGATGGCGTTGAGCAAGACGATGTTTGCAAAGGCTTCGGAGCTTGCAACGGAAGACGATGCGACCGACTGAGTCAACGTACTCTGGCGAGAGTCCAACAGCTCTGATATTTGTGCAGACGTCAAGGACGTCTCCAGTATGGCTCTCAATGACTCCTCCAAGGACAAGTCTGCCCAGAGAAGCCACTTGGATGTCTTCTTCGAGGATATCTGGATGCTGAGACATGAAGACCACTGATCGAGGAAAGCGGGAAGATTGCGGGTACGAGCATAAGCGTGCATCAGAGGAACCACAATCTTGTAGCAGATAGTTCGAGGGTTCTCCCAGTCGTCGGCGGAGACCGAGCCCGAGACCTTGGATGCTTTCGCTTCCCCGTTAATTGTTAGTGCCTCAAACAATGCCTTGGCCGGAGCAGCGTTGAGGTCTGTGAACATGCTTGCATTCATGTTGAGAATCTTTGCAACAAGAGGGAAATCAGGAAGAGACGTCGACAAGTTGCATCGCTGAGCCAACATGTCACTCAGCACATCGGCATCGAGCACCAAATTTTTACTTGACAGCACATCCAACATGTCCTTCAGTTTCTGATTGACAATTTCAGCGTCAGAAGCTTTTGAAGAAGTAGTTATCGTATCCGACAAGGAATTGAACACAAGGTGGATCCAGGGNGCCTCGATTATCCTTTGCTTGGGATTGGCAATGGGCGCGCAGCGAACGGCCAGATCCAGTAATAATGGCACGCATCCATATGCATGGGAAAGTTGGTCTTGCTTGACGAGATCTGAGGCGTCTGCAGCGAGAAGAGTGGTAATCTGCGAGCGCAAAGGTTCCAGTCTCTGGACCAAGCCAGGAACCTCTGCTTGTTGACGTTTCTTTTGTACAACGGCCTTTGAGCTATAGAAAGCAACTCTTGCTGGCACGAAGAGATGTGTTGCCAGCAAACGATCGAGAGATCGGACGGCATGTTGTGCATGTTGCTGAGAAGCACCGTTGGAATTCAGATCCGATTGCAAGAGTTGTAGAAGAAGAGCAGCCGGCCACAAGCACTCGGTGCAGAAGGAGATATCCAGGGGATCGACTGAAGCGTTGGGTTGTAGGATCGCCAAGTCTTGAATGAGAGCCAATGAAGACGCCACAAGAGAGGTGGGAAGGGTTTGCGAGGATCGTAGGTGTAGCAAGGCATGAAGAGTATGCTTGACGAAACTGACCAGATCTGCGTGATCAAGACGTAAAAGAGCGTGGACGCGATTCTCCGAGGCAGCGTCTGTCGCAGATGAGGATTGGGCCGAACGGGAGATCAGAAGACGAATTGAAGCCGTGATGTGGTCAAAGATGAGAGCAGGGTGATCTGAAGTTGTGTCATTGGCAGCACTTTGCCTCTTTCTCTTTTTCGTGGAACGTTTTGCGTCATCTGTGGTGTTCGGAGCTGGTGAAGAGGTGAGTGGGAAGAGTTGAGCGAGAGCGTTCGAGCAGGTGTTTATCGGAGTAGCGGCAGATAAGGACTTGGCCAGGGCAGCAGAGGGCATGCGCTCAAGAGTTCGACGCAAGAGGATCCATGATGGAAGACATTGGCAAGTGTCTGGCTGGACGGAGAGCTTGTCGAGAAGCCAACGCAGTACAAAGTCCAGACGGGCAGTGTGTGAGAGCGAGGAAGACGCAGGCGATTCGGGAGCGAATTGCGGATCTAGAGAGATGTCAAGGATTCGAGCAGCTTCTTGAACACGCTCTTCAAAAGAATCGAAGGATTTGTCGAGGGAAAGAAGACGTTGTAAAGACGACTGGACAGGTTAGCGATGTCGACTGGGCAGGAACAAGGCTTCAAGCACCTTTGAATCGTCGACGCGGGCAGCCATGACCGGCTGGAACAGGTGTGCAGAAAAGTCGACGCTCTTTCCCTCGAATGATGGAATAACTTTGAATTTGCATGTGAAGGTACGAAAGATGGTCCAAGCTCACCATCTGCTGCAGCGGGAAAGCGCGAACGACTCCCGAGCTGGCAAGGGCAGGGCCGCATCGCGACGACGACGACAACAACATACAAGGCTCGACTTCTTTCCCTCTGTCCAATCCACCATCCCACACAACTCACAATGTCCGACTCTGTTGCCCCTTCATCGCCCCAGGCCCCTGGCTCCCTGCGCTCTAACAGACCCATGAGCGAGGCCCTGCTCAATGAGAAGGCATGCGACCATCTGCCTCAATCAATTGCGCGCCAAACACTGACTCTGCTATGCTAGTGGGACCACTGCCTGAGCACCATGCTCATCCGCTCCACCCTCGGTGCCTCGTTCGGTGTCATCTTCTCCGTCCTCCTCTTCAAGCGTCGCGCATGGCCTGCCTTTGTCGGCTTCGGTTTCGGTGCCGGTAGAGCCTGGGAGGAGTGCGACAACGTACGTCCACTCACTATCCTACAAGACGTCCTCTAACCATATACAGNNAGCTTCAAGCGCGCTGCTGCCCCCACCAGAGACGGCCTGAGAACCATGAGACAATAAACGCTTTGCGTGAAGCAACCCCCTCTTCTTACGCCTGTGTCTAATCCTCAAAATCGAACTTCTTTCCTACTCCTCATCATCGTGTAAAAACACTTCAACATCTTCGTCGCAAATCTCGTTGGCATTGTTATGACCTACAGGACCTAAGAAACACTGTTCAGACTTCTCGGTTCCCTCGGGCACCAGTACAAATAACTATGTAGGCTTTTACTCCTGAACCCTTTCGAACCAATCCATTCCAGTTTCTCTACTTCTGCCGCCCAGCTTTTGAAAAACTCTACAAGAGCAGTTTCGGTTATCGCTTACTGTGCTCTGCCAATCTCGTGCGCCTCGAGCTCTGCCAATGGTGACTCTTGTGCTGTGTTTCCACCTCCATATCTTGACTGAGGGAGACTGGATGGTGGCTGACCGCTGGCAGAATAGGCCGAAGATGGGGTATACGGCGTGTAGGCGGCATAGTGCGATGATGGTGCTCTAGGCGTGCCTATACCAGGGGTCGTCATCCACAGCGACGAGTTGGATGGAGCTGGGCTTGATATGGCGATGCTGGGCGATGACCAAGCAGGAGCATTGGCTGGTACCTCTGCTGCTCCTCGAACATCTTCTGGTGAGTAGGGTTGAGCATTGGGTAGATTGTGATTGGCAACACTGTGAGCATGTGTAGATGCAGATGCGTCGTCAGTCGAGCGATGTGACTGCTCTCCCAGCTCTGCTGGTCCTGGTGAGTTTGGCAAATCACTGATTACATCATGTCGACTGTTGGTGTGCTCCGCGATGCTGTCTTCTCCTTCCACTGAACCGAGAGAGTAGCCAGCCTTGCTCGATTTCTCTCTTGACGTTCTTCCTGCACCAGATCTGCGACGCTTCCAACACTTCCAGAGGACGAAGAGAAGTGCCAGCAAGATTATTGAACCAGCAGCCGCTCCGATGATGATACCGATGATGAGTCCACGAGAGCTGGCCAAGGAACTGCTTGGAGCCGGGCCTGGTGTGGAGGTTTTCATGGCCATGCTCGGGGATGGTGAGGTTGACAGCGAAGGCAGCGATGTAGCCGACGCTTTAGGCACGACTGATGATGAAGGCAGATGGGTGTTGAAGTAGCTAGTCTCTGTTGGTTGTGAAGTTGTAGGCGCAGCCGAAGGTGTAGCAGGACCTCCCGTAGGTGCAAAGATGGAACTCTCGGTTGCGGTGTCGGCGTAGGTAGTGGTCAACTTCTCGGTACCGCAGCTGAAGACATAGTTGTTGTGTCGGTATGCCTTGACACAGAAAGGAAGGCTGGACTCGGAGCTANNGATTTGAGGAGTTAGTGTCTCGGACGTACAATCACAACAGGATGCCTACCAGTAAACGCATCCTCCAGTGACATAATCGCAAGTGGCTGTGATGCTCGATGTATAATCAATACATTCTGTACGAGGAACGCAAGTGGTGCCAATGGCAGAGCAGCAGCCAATGTATCTGCACATCTCAGTCAGTAGTCAAGGACATACGGGAAAGAGANNGAAGCGCGTGTACCCATCACTGCCAGAAACGCAAGCAGCTGGTTGGTAACAGTAGACTAGATGATGGTAAGTTGCTATAGACAGAAAAGTTGTTACAGCAATTGACATACACTTGCTGCTCGAATCACAAAACGTTCTGATGTCGCGCTTCTCGACCAACAGGCCACCCTGCGAGTGCCAGGGGTCTGCATGAACTGAACAGGATGGTGCCTTTGTGATCTGGCCCAATACGTCGGTAGCAATAGACAGCCAGAAGAGAAAAAGGCGTATGAAAGTCACGTTGGTCGCGTGACAGAAATGCAATAACATGGTCCGGTCTTGCGTGCGCGCGCGAAAGAGTAGAGGCTGAGAAAGAACTGCGTTTGTTGTGGATAGTGCGGACTTGAGAAACTCGTCGGGAGCATACGAACGCCTGAGTGCAAACAAATGATACTCTCGACAATTCTCTTACGATCGTGACAAAGTTTTGGGAGCATGCCTTACACATAATTGTACCTAACTTTACCATCTGCTCAATAGTCTTGCCTGTTTGATTGCCGTCCATCTCTTGAGACGTCTTGGAAGAACTTCACACACTACTTTGTACATCACACTGCAGAGAGTACTACCACCTTACCTTGATCTCCTGACAACAATGTTTGGATTGTTCTGAAAGGATGAGGCTCTTGTCAGACGAATTTTGGCCGTGTTTCTACCTCGTGCACTGCGCCAGCAAGCTGGGTTCTGAGTAGAGTGGATGGCCGAATCACCATGATCGATATTCAGTCTGTAGTCCAGAATTGTTGCTATTCGAGAAACCACAGATGGTGACATTATTGAACCCTGTTGAACCTGAGCGGCTTTGGATACGACGAGAAGGATGAATGCTTCGAGGCTACTGTTAATTACTTCTCCTCTGTTCGCACGCAACAACTCCTTAGAGTCCAGGAGTCGAACATAGGCAATCGTTTGGAGATCAAGGGATGACGGATACAGACAGAAATGACCATCAGCAAAAGACGTTCTTGCGGTCATTTGGTCTGGGCCGAAACGCTTGGCTCGCTCAAGGCAAGATTTGACCAAGGGAATTTAGGAAGGGACAAGTGTGGAGCGGGCGCAGACTGTTCAGTGTCTCGTGCAGAGACCTCGACGCATGACGAAGACGGCAGACTCGGAACATCTTTTGATTGTTATGTTGCCTGTTGGGTTTCGTGCATGCCGCCTGTGACCTATTGTACAGGGAGCGGTGGGAAGTCAGAACGCGTAGCTGAGACATTTTGCGTTTGTTGACAGGAGAGACTCGTGGACAGGAGCGCATGTGCCGATGATCCCTGCGGTGAAGAGTTTACTTCATATCCCACGTTGCAGCTGCTCACACATAAGCGAAGACGGCCACCCGCTTACACAGCACCACAGGAGGTGAGAATCTTCGCGTGCCTGCAGCCGACGACGAACAGGACCTTTTCCTCTGTGCAGAGAGTGTCCAATCCTCAGAGACACATCTCGGAAGGGCGCAGACGAGCGATCCGAAAGCAAACGGTCGTAACCCACCCACGTCACACGTTATGGAGCAAGTGGAACTCGGAACGCGCGACGGCGACCAGCTGAAGTCTGTTGATACCATGGACAACAAAACTGTGCAACCACGTCCGGATGCGCCGCGGCGAACCACGCATCCTGCCGCCGTATTGAAGAAGCCGCCGGTGCCTGCTGCCGTCGACAGCGACTCTTCCGCATTTTCTCGTCCCAGCATCAACAATCACAACAACAGCACTCCCGCAAGCTACAGTTCCAACAGCCTGCCCTTGCGACCGCGCAACCAAGTTCCCTACACAAGGCCTCATCTACGCTCCCGGTCGCACGCCTCGGCCCTTGCTCCTCCCATGGCGCCGCGAGCACATTCACTACCGTCGGTGCATTCGGCCGGCCACCAATATCCTTCTTCTCCTTCGGCATCCCCCTTGCTGCGTCCGTCAAGCCCAATGTCCTCCTTGTCGCCGCGCCAGCCATACTCGCCAAACTTGCGACCGACCTCTCCCTTTCGTCCTCGCTCTCCTTTGCCCTTGGACGAAGCGACCTATGCCCAACAATCCTCCTATGACGGAGCCTTTCAAAGCATTTCCGAGGATGCCGAGCTCAACATAACCCCACGTTCTCACCTCGACAACCCATCACATACAGCTCCATTTGGACGTTCGCTATCCCTGCGTCGACAACGGCCATCTTCTCCTCTGCACTCGCTCACTCCATCGGCTGCCACGTCCCGTTCGGCATCTGCTACTTCTTCACCCTCGGTTGCAACGAATCGCTTCAACGATCACTTTCCTCCGCTACATCACTACTCCAGCAATTCTTCTTTTTCGAGCATTTCTACCACACCTTCGTCTGCTCGCTCGCGGTCTCCCAGTATCTCATCTCTTGAAACCATCGAAGACAACCCGGATCTGGAATGGGAAGCCATCGAGGCCGACCGAGCGGCCAAGCAACGCGCCGCAGCAGAAGCCGAGGAGCAAGGCGATGACAGTGAGCCGCGCAGAAGAGGCAGCCTAGATATCCCCGGTCACAGAAGCGTTGGCTTTGGCTTCGGCAGAAGGGGAGGAGATCCAGGACGAAAGAGATGGAGTATCTGTGGTGGAGAGAGGACCCATGATCTAGACCTGGAGACCATCTGGGAAGATTGACGAGACAACCACCATCTCTAGCGGCGCTCAGGTCCGATGATTCTTGATTAGCGTGCTTCCCTATTGCTTTTTTTCTTGTTTGACTCTTTTTTTTTTCTCTACGCTACATGAGGGAACCCAGGTTTTTGGTTTGGTGGAAAGTTACAAGACTGTTGAAGTTTGTCCATTCTTCGTTTCACGCTACGATACCCCTATCACGACTCCGGTCTAGGTAGACATATATGCATTAATGCCTCTGTTATGCTTTTTACAATCTTTCCAAACATATCCTTCCAATTTTGACACAGTGTGTGAGACCAACATTCCACAAAATGGGCTCCAGATCACGACCATGAGATGCTATACTTTTATCAGTACTTTTGGTTTGTGAAGATGTGCATAGCGAATCAAACTTACGCGATCATGATACCAGCACCAGCAGCAACAGCCACGAGCTGAGTAACAATCTTCTTAATCTCGGCGACCTTGTTGGGTCCGGTCTCCATGAGCTCGGGAACAACACTCATGCCCACAAACATGAAAGTGCCTGCAGTCCAGGGCAACAAGAGATCGCCCCAGTGGAGACTGGTGCCAAAGAGTCCGGGAGTGGAAATGGCATCAGCGCTGTTGCCGCCGTATTCTTGGACTGCGATGCCCATGAGTGCGCCTGTGAGGGCGCCTGCTGCGGTCAGGAATTGGGCACCGATGGCTGCGCGCTTGGAGAAGCCGGATTGGATGAGGAGGGCAAAGTCGCCGACCTCGTGTGGGACCNNTGAGGTTTGATTAGTCGGGCATGTCAGAAGTTGGAGGTAGATACTGACCTCGTGGAAAAAGACGGCAGTGGTTGTCAGTGCTCCGACGGTAGGAGAAGCATAGAACGAAGATGCCATGGCAAGACCATCGGTAATGTTGTGAGTGAAATCGGCAATGATGTTTAGGTAACCTCTGTTGGAGCTTGGTCCGGCCTCTTGCTTCTCTACAGGCACAACACTCTTGGTGCCTGCCTTCTCGTTGTTACGTTGACGCAGACCATCGGTTTGTGCTCCACTGTCAGAGCCAGATGCTTTGGCAGAAGCAGTCGCCTTGTCACCTCCTTCAATTTTACCATGAGAATGCCCGTGAGAGTGGCCATGACCCTCATCGCCTCCAGAAGCAATACGGATAGCCTTGTCAAGAATGACGAAACTGACAAAGCCAACCATGATGGCAATACCGAGCAGAATGTTCTTGTTGCCGTCGGCAACCACCAGAGTTACATGTTCCGGGCTGTCTTCACCAACGAAGATCTCGGGCAGAAGATGGAAGAGAGTGTCGCCCATGAGTCCGCCAAAAGCAAAGGCAACCATGGTGTTCAAAGATGCCGGGTCAATGTCTGAAGGGCACAGAGCCAGCAAGAAGTTGGGAGGTCCCGAGATGTAAAGAACGCTCCTGTTAAATAATCAGTACATGTTTAGTCACCCACGGAGTGTATAACCGTACAGAAGGGTGTTGACGGCGGGTGATCCTGGGAACAATACGGCGAATGCTCTAGCTGCGAAGCCTGTAGCAGCTTCATGTGCCGTTGAAGCCTTGTGGGCATTGAGAGTCTGAACCAGAGGACATTGCTGANNTGGAATGAGTATATCGTTTCGAGACAGACGTCTAACGATGGATAAGAGTGTACCAACCTGGATTTGTTCTTCGATCTCTGCAGATGAGAGGTCTCCGATAGGTGTCTTCTCAGATTGTGCAGCAATGATCTGGCATAATACTACGAGGACAACCAACAAGGTGGCATGCACACGATTGATAATGGCCATTCTTTGTGTTTGTATCCCACAAGTTTTCCTTGTGAATTGAAAGTCAAGTTGTCACCTGTACTCTACATGGACTCGAAGGGGAAGGCGCGAGGTGGTGCGATAAGATAAGGAAAGAGTGCAAACATGGAGAAGCCGCGAAGGGTGTTTGCATCCAAATTTTCGGGGTCTGACTTTTGGATGGCGGTTTGCCGACACCATTTTTCCCAGACAACCATACAGACAAATCAGACAAGATGGGTCGCGAATTGCAAAAGAAGAAGAACCGCTCGTCGACGTCCAAAGTGACTCAAAAGGCAAAGTCGAAGAGAAAGTTGTTGCAGAACCCCATCATCGCAGCCAACTGGTAAGCCCACCGCAATGCGCTTTTGCGCGCGCAAGAACTGACACTGCATCAGGNNAACCAAAAAGAGACGCTCAGCCAAAACTACCGCCGCCTCGGACTGGTTTCAAAGTTGAACCACCCCACCGGTGGTGTCGAAAAGACGTCCAAGACATTAATCGAGGCTGCCAATGGCCTTGCACCCGAGCCCACGCCCGACAACCTCAACATCAGCACAAAATTGCCTACCACCATCAACATCTCGGAAGTAAAGATTAGAAGAGACCCTAAGACTGGCGCCATTCTGGAAGTCTTGGACCAGAGAAAGGCGAACCCGCTAAACGACCCTTTGAACGACATTGAGGACAGCGATGATGAGGGATGGCAAGGATTTGTGAACGAGCACGGTGTTCTGGATGGAGCAAGACAGGGAGGTGATGCGAGAACCGATGTGGTCCGCCAACTCGAGGAACAAGCCGCCCGCCCGATCAAGAAAGCCCCTAGGAAGCAGAGCGATCGCGAAGAAGATTGGATCGAGCGACTGGTCCAGAAGCACGGCGACGATTACCTCGCCATGGCTCGCGACATGAAGCTCAACCCCTTCCAACAGAGTGTTGGTGACCTCAAGAAGCGAGTCAAGAAGTGGAACGCCAAGCAACAGTCATAGGGTCGTAGACTGGGTGCTCTCTTTCATATGTATGCATAGCGAAGGCGTTGGTTGGCAGGCACTGGATCAACAATTTACACACACTACAAGACATGTGGACGGTTCGTCGTTGAACACGGTACAAGAATCAAAAGGTCGTTATTCGTTTTCAGGTCTAAGCACCCTTTCCACCTCTCTCGTCCTGCATGCCAATGACAACATCTGGAGCCTCGGGATTCTCCTTCTTTGCCTTTGCGGTGCTGTTGTTTGAGTCTCTGTGCTGGGTAGCAGTGCCGCCCTCGTCGCGGCTCTTGGCCCTAGAAGCGCATGATTGTGAGTACAAGCAATGATCTAGGCAAGGTGGGAGAATATATACTTCNTGGCCCTCGGCAGCGTTGGCACTCTGAACGTCCAGCTTGTCCTTCTTGTTGGTGGCGTGCTCACTGTCGGGGTATGCTTCGGTGGCGACGCTGTCGTCGGTGCTGAGCTTACCGCCGCTGCTGTAACGACATGTCGACGAAACGAAGGTGCGGCGGGGAGATGCTGGTACGAGGCGAGACTGTCTCAAGGTGCTAAGGCGGGCAGTGCGGCGGTAGAAGGTCAGGAACTCTGAAGGTGAAGCCATGTTGGAGGTTTGAGATGTGAGCTTGTCGTGTGATAGGAATTGAAGAGAAGAGCAGCTGTGTTTTGTGTAGAAGATGATGAGCCAGTGACTTCTGATGGAAATGATCATGCTGCAGGTACTCGGTTACGTCAGAGAGTGCCAAGCATCAAGACTGCGAACTCATGACCAGCGACGGCGGTGCGGGGGACGAAAAAGACAAACATCGTCTCTGTCACACTCATCATGGCCGCTTCTGACGAATTCCCGTGCAAACTGTGAGCTGAACCGTCTCAGACGCGCCCATGGACAGAACTGCGAAGCTCATGCGCATGGCGTAGAACCATCGACACTCCCTTCCCTACCCACCGCCTGGCCAGCGCTGCCATCCGCTCACTCTCGGTCGATCAGGAACTCTCTCCTCTGGTCCGTCGCGACTTTTCGCTTCACCCTCCGTCAGATGCTCCTCCAAACGCAGTAGAGGGCGATCCTCTTCGCGCTTCTCTCTTGACCAATGCTGCTCCGACCACGTCGTTAGACACCGTCCAGCCGACACAGCCTACGTCTGATCAAGAAGACGCCACCGTACTTCGTACCGTATACCGCGCAACTACCAATCGCATGCTTCGTGTCTCTGTCAATGGTTTCTTTGAGAGTCTCAACGTTGTCTTGCAGGTCATGCAAGAACTAGACGTTGATGTCCTCCAAGACAAAGGCCTCGAAGACCTCGGAGGCGCACAGGGTGTCGAGCAGGGAATGATCGGGACCACAAAGACCGGTGCTTGAGCAAACCTTGTCTGTGCAATGTGTGTTACAAAGACCAACAGACGATCTATAATGCGGTGGTTTCATCGGTAAATACACCTGTCTGAGCCAAAGACTATCGCTCGTGAGGCTGGAGACAGGCCAATGACGCCTTGAAGGCACCTGGATCATGGAGTCGCCATTCTGAACGAAAAGTTCATCGCTCCATCTCCGCGAGTAAAAGACGGTCGAGGCTTGTTGACTTTCTGGCTTACAATCAGAGAACCTGTTTTTGAAGATATGAGTAGATCATCATATCGCATCGAAACAATACTAGATGAACAGAACATCATTTTCCATTCTCATAATGAACGCACAATCAGTGTCTCAAGACTCGAGATTTAACCGATCCTAATTGTCGTGGCGATCGATCATGTAGGAGGCCTGAGTATACCTTGTAGCAATTTGCGGTCGAAAAGTGACGTTTCGTTAGTTGTCTGGCCATACCAAGTCCTATGCGTTGTTTGCCCATGTGATGACCAGTTTTTGAGTCAGGATTGATAGCTGCATAGAATTGAACGACGGTCATCTTTCCCGTGCATACATGCCGAACAGGCAGATCGTCACGACTTCCAATTTGACACTTTCTTGAGCCTCCACTCATGCTCTCACACTGTCGTGTTTCACCTCATCAATAATGCAGCTGCGACAGTCAGCATACTGGGCCTCGTTTGTGCTGTCAAGCTTGACCATCGCCCATGGTCAAGGACTGTTTGACCCGAGAGAGGCCACAATAGCTTCTGTTCACAATGCACTGTACTCTGGCGAAAGCTGTCGCAAGATCGTATCTGCGTTTCTATCACGTATTGAAGCTTTGGATCACGAAAACATCAACTCTATAATATCTCTGGATCCGGAGTCTCTTGCGATTGCATCACGAAAAGATGCATTGTTCGCTTCCAACAACGCCATTGAAGGCCCGCTGTTCTGTGTACCCGTGCTCCTAAAGGACAATCTTGACACTGCATCTCTGCCAACTACCAGCGGAAGCTTGGCTTTGGCTGACTCGAGGCCCTCGGTCGATGCTGCGGTTGTCAAGGCGCTCAAAGATGCAGGTGCCATCATACTGGGCAAAACCAATCTCCAAGAACTCGCCTTGGAAGGAATATCCGTCTCCTCTCTTGGTGGTCAGACGGTCAATCCCTATGATGCCGACCGAACTCCGGGCGGGTCATCTGGAGGTAGCGGTGCTAGTGTTGCTGCATCATTTGCTGTGCTCTCTCTGGGTACAGACACGATAAACAGTGTACGAAGTCCGGCAAGCGCAAACAGCCTGTTCGGGTTACGCCCGACCAGAGGCCTCGTGTCGAGAGCTGGTGTGGTCCCAAATTCACACACACAAGACGCTGTTGGACCCATCACACGATGCGTTGAGGATCTCGCTATCGCTCTTTCGGCAATTGCAAGTAAGCAGCTGGACCCTGAGGATAACAGTACTGCACTTGTACCTGAGGGTATTCGCGGCACGGATTACTACAGCGATCTTGCGTCCAACTCTTTGAGTGGTAAGACGATCGGAGTTCTCGAAACCTTTNTTGACCGCACCTCGACCAACGAGACCGAGCCCGTGAATAACGCAATGGATGCAATGATCGCGCGACTGCAAGAAGCCGGCGCCACGGTGGTACCCATCAATGACCCCAAGTATAATGTACATTCTATCCTCGCCTCTTGTGAGACTCAAATATTCGAGTTGAGGCAAGAGATAGACCAATACCTGGCAAGAGCAAGTCTCAAGGGGCAACATCCTACACGTCTCGAAGATCTATATAGCGAGGGCAGTTCCTTCCTTGTGCTGCCCCAGCAGTACGAGTTTGTCAAGGCTGTACTCAGGGGTAGTACACAAGATCTCGAGTATGAGGTGGTCATGAAGAACATCCAAGATCTAACCATGCATCTGCATAAAACGTTCAAAACAAACCATTTGGATGCAATCATCTACCCACAGCAAAAGAACCTTCCCGTAAGAATTGGAGCCGCATCTCAACATGGGCGCAATGGAATACTGGCTGGAGTGACTGGGTTTCCTTCATTGGCGCTTCCTGCGGGCTTTAGTCCAGCTACCGCCTCAGCCCCAGTCGGCATCCCTGTCGGTCTCGAGCTGATGGGATTACCATGGACGGAAGCCAAACTGCTACAGATTGCGCACGAGATTCAAGCTCTGACGCAGATCAGAAAGCCACCAGTGTGGTCTAATCGGCACATACCTATTCGAGACTATGCAGATGTACCAAGCATCATGCCAAAGGATAGCAACAGCATCCCGTCTGTCTATCCACTTGGAGTTCTACTGTAGATAGCACAACGTACGTACGTCGGCATAGAAGACCCGCGCGAACCGAGAGACTTGTTGAGAGAGACAGAGCCTGTTTGGGGTACAGTATCTAGACAGGTCGGCCTATCAGCAGTTCAGCGGCTGTAGCGCTCTCACTAGACAAGATTAGCGCGTCGTATGAATCGTACGTTTGAACAAGTCCTCAAGAACACTGTGAGTTCTACATTTCACCGCAAGTCTTCTCGAGTGTGCACTTGGAGTTTCAGCACTTCACATATGTGGTGCACTCAAGTCACGAGTACATGCACGCAACATGTGAAAGCTGGCTCGAGCTTGAGTTGGTTGTATCCGTGTACTCGAATTGGCCCCAAAGAGTGCTTGCGCCATGCTAAAGCATGCAGCTTGCAGATGCGAGTCAAAGGACCACGCAGCAGCCGCGGAAGCAAGTGCTCGGCCATGACTTCGAGTCTCAAAATCAGAGAAGCCGACTTACGGTTTTCGAGAAGCAGAGACCGGGCGGATGGAGGCTCACTGAATCGGACGCGAAACATCTTGAGTGGGAATTTGCCTCTGCGACTCAGGAACCAGACATTCGAGGCCGCAGAAACTTTGCTCGTCGGAGAATCGCTGTGGTTTCATTGCGGGGCCTGTCGATCAGCTGCAGCCTGTGGGGAAGGGTCCTATCCTGAAACACACACGCTGACTGGTCGGTTGACGCGCGGAGAGGGTCTGGCTTGTTTGGTTTGCAGGAGATGTGGATGTGCTTGCGGATAGAGGCCAGAGTAACAGGTAGAGAGCGAAGTCCAGGAATAGACAATGACATAACCAACCTAGACAGCAGGTATTCGGTGCAACAGGCTTGGACAGTTGCCATAGTTCGCGATTGCAAACGGCCTCACTATTGAGAGGGAGTGACGCGATTGGCAACGCGGTATCATANGCAACGAGATAACAAGACAGGAACGTATGGCCTGAGAGNCGCTGTGTCTGTCGTGGTGCATACGTATATACAGTGGTGGAATCGTTAGCGGCACTGCTCGTACTGCCGGTCCAAGCTGGGNNAAGCAAGGCAGGCAGCGAGCAGCCAGAATATATTGGTATTTTATTGCCCGGCAACGATCCAGAGTGACCGGGGCGTTCCCGAGTCGCCGTCATTCGCTGCCCACCTGCTCGATAGTGCGTGTAATCTACGATAGGCAATCTGCGGGCAGAGACATGGCGACAACAGAGAATCACCACGTTCGTATCATCAAGTGCACCGTTTGGGCGTCGCGTGGGGACAGAGAGGGCAGTTTGGCCCTGGTTGTTATTATGGCATGCGAAATGGGACCTCTGGGATTTGGGAAACGGTTCACTCGCAACGCTCTCGTAAAACGCTTCGATTATTTCTGCCCTAGCGTTTTGGCCCGAGCGCAGCAACGCAGCCAAGGCCGAGCGAGCCTGAGCCTGCGACCAACTTGGTACATGCATCTGCATCCTCCAGGCTTCGCTCTTCTCTTTGCTCCTCTCTCTTCCCGCGACCCCTCCTCCTCGACCTCTGTTCATCGCCCTCTTCCTGTGGGATCTTCTCGGACGGCTTTTTGCAAGTTGTCTGTAGTCGAAACTACGTCCATTCCTTTTTAATTCGAGATACTGCTTGCTTTGCTTATTTGTTGTTTGCGCACCTTCCTTCTTCCGTAACAAAGTGATTTAGCTCTGTGAGCGTCCCATGTTTCTAGTTTGGTATCTTCAACAACAACCCTCTACTATTGTGCCCGCGTACGCTGACATTGTTCCCAGATTAATATCCTTTTATTTTCGTCGGCTTTCTGGCGACACATAGCGACATCGTCGCACCACGCGCAAACACATACAACTCACCTCACCATCTTACCCTCACTTTAATATCACCACCACACCTTCACCTCTCTGGATGCTATGGCCACGACAATGTCCTTCCACATGAGCGACCAGCATTACAGATCCGCCAACGTGGACTCAGAATCCTTACAGCTCGTGCCAGACTTTGTCTTTCCTCCGCGACCTCTCACAGAGCATTCCACCATGTCAAATCCTAGACGACCAGTCTCGATGAACCTGGCCCCCTCTTCATACCACGGTCGTTCCCGGTCAATGCGACAATCCACATCGGCGCTGCCAACCTTCAGCTTCAACTCATCTGACACTTCTGGCCGTCTAGACAACCAACCTTCATCACCCACAACTCTGACACCTCCTACCAGTCCGCCAAAGAGTGCAGGACACCGTAGAGGAGCGAGTGAATTGGTTGGCGGAGACAGTCGAATGGGTTTAATGCTAGGACCTAGCCCTTCAAAACATCTTGGTACTCTGCCTGTGCCTGATCTCAGCGGATCGCCATCTCGGAGACGTGGACATGCTCACCGCAGATCAGCCGCCATCTCCGGTCATGATCTAGCCAGCATTCTCCAACCAAGAGACGCCAACGTACGACCTCAGAGCGCCATTCCACAAACGCCTACCGAGCCCATCTCTCAACCACAATATCCTTCGCCTTCCAAATCAGTGGCCGAGGAACGCAAGTCTAGTGAAAGCGTCATGACGGTGCTTTCTGCTCCTGGATCTATTGCGGAAGAGCCTATTACACGCCCACCTTCTAGGCCCCGTGTGGGTTTCTCGGAAAAGATCGAATTCATCCCTCGACCACTTTCCACTGTCTCTGCCGACACTGCCAGCTCTGCATCAACTGTGCGTGGTCACTCCGTTGGAAACAGCATGTCTTCGCTCATCAGCCTTGGTGGTATTGGAAATCCCTCTCCTAGAAGGACAATGATTACGATACCCGATCTTGCTTCTGAGGTCTCGCCCCGATCGATCCCGAGTATTGTACCTGAATCTATGGTCAAAATTGAGCCGCCTGTTCAAAGATCTCCTCCTGCCTTCAACCTTGCTAGCAACAGCCTGACCTTCGCTCCGGAAGCCGCCAGCGATGCTCCTCGACTTTCCAAGAAGAAGACATTCCTGAAGCTTGATCGCCGCCGTAGTGAGCCTTTGATCTCTCTAACAGCATCATCGGATATTGGAACATCGACCATTTCTCTGCAAGAGCCTGTCGTTTGTGATGACTCTCAAATCTCTGCGAGACGATCTGAAGCTGCTGATCAGGGTCTGCATCGAGAGTCCTCGAGAAAGAGGGTCAAGAAGTGGGCAAACTCGATTCTTGGCCGTAGAGCCAAAGATGCAAAGAAGGCAAAACAAGCAGCCGACACTTCAGAGGAGAGTGAGAACGGCGAACAGACTCCTGATCTGGGGCCTCAATCATCAGAGCCCTTCGGAGAGGAGCCTGATCTCGATGCCTTGTTCGGTCAAGATCCCTTCACTGATGCCGACGATTTCACAAGCCCATCAATCCTCTCACCACGCTCAGAAATGTCGGATTCGTTCTTCCCCTTCCTTGCGCCTTCGTCACCAGGAAACGAGGACACGAGTCCCGTCATCGATCTGGATGCCGCTCTCGGACCTTACGGAACACCTACTATGAGCTGGGAAGAATCACGCCCTATCATGAAGAGAAGGCAACTTCACAGCAGTCGCTTGACTAGAGGTTTCACTGGACCAGGAATGCACTACCACCGTAGAACCGAAAGTGCCCCTGCTTTGGTTCCCTTTGAATTCGCTGGTAGAGCCAGCTCTCCCGGACAATCGCCAATGGACGACGTTTTTGAAGAAGAGGAAGACGAATCACCCACTCATGTTGTCAAAGAATCGAGCATTGGCGACACATCGAGCCAGGCAGACGAAGAGCTCGGCACTGGTATTCAGATTGTCGATGCCGCCAACTTGCAGCTTGAACCAAACTTTGATTGGAGCTTCGAAGATGGTCTTGGAATCGAGTCGCAAGGCTCTTTGAGAGGTTCTCAGGCTTGTGATCATCCTCAGCGTCAGTCTACCCCACCACGCACATCGGTGGTTGAAGATACCATTCTTGAGGAGCCGACTCTGCTTGAAACTGTGGCAGACGACGAGCCTCGAACCTCATCTGTCACAAAATCCTCAGATTCTAGTGGTGCTCGCACCATCTCGGCAGAGTACAGCGGTCTTGGTCTTCCTGCTTCAAACAATGCTCCTTTGACACCCACATCCAACGTCGCTTCGACCTTCTCGTCTCCTGATCTTGCACGCAATCAAGGATCATTCGACGCTCTTCGACTTGGTACATCGGCATCTTCAATTGCCGACACTCGTACCATGAGCTCATTCACTACTGCAGAGCCAACTCCCGAGCCATACATGTCAGCCGATGATGTTCCTTCTTTGACTAGCAGTCGTTCGACCATGATCAGTACCATGTACCAGACTAGCCCTCGTCGTGAAACCATGGAACGACCTGTGTCAGTTGCATGTGGCAACGGTCAAGCAGACATGCAAACTTCTGAACGCCGTCGCAAGCGTTCGAGTATTCAAAGTTTGAGCATGCTCCTAGGCGGTCCTTTCGGTGAGAGCAGACACAGTCTCAGGAACGAACAGCGTCCTCAGACGGCCATCGCACCATCTGCCCACCAGGACAGCAAGAGGAAGAAGGAGCATCGCCTGAGTAAGCTGATGTTCTGGAGATCCAAAAGCGATTCACGTACCAACCCTTTCCAAACCAAGTGAGAACTATGGCATTGATCTGGGCATGATTTTCATTTTCTTTCCTTTCTTCATTCTACAACACCCTTTTCCTTCGTTTCTACTCGCATGTTGCAGGAGCCGGTCTGGCGTCCATGCTATGGTGCATGAAAGATTTCAAACGTCATGCGGCGCAACTTCTGGAGTACCTTGCTTTTTTTATGGGTTTTATTTTCGGAGCGGCACAACAAGGATGGCTGGAGGTGCGGCAAGGCTGGGATGATTTTCGATTATGGCTGTGCAAGCGCACAGTGGTGGAGGGCAGATGGCACAAGCGAAATTAGAGATTAGCATAGAAAGAGAAATGTCAATGACGGCTTTCACGCCGAGCCCATACGAGCACCCAAGCACCAAGGACGCGCACCACTGTCGGAGAACTTGCAGGTCAACATATGCGGGAAGTGACGATCGAAGCCGCCGAGGATTGCTGATCACACTGTAAGGTGGTGGCGTTTCAGATGCAGCAAGAGTGTAATTTCAGTCATCTCCTGGGCTCTGGGGAAATACGGGGAGCACGTTGTGGCGATTCGAGCGACTGGCGGTCCGGACTTGCTACGGAGAGTGGTTGATAATAACACAAGACCTGTTGTTCGCAGAACAGTCAATCGCCTGGTCAAAAATAGTTTTTGCAGCAGTGCTGGAGTCGAGTTGCTCGCAGGGATGATCAACTGCTTGCCTTGTCAAAACAGACTCGGGCGATCAAACAGGCACACTCAACGAAAGTCTTGGGCTCTTGGTAGGGGCGTCCGCGGATCAAACCAACAACAGCGGCTGAGGCTTGACCCGTGCTTCGTCACCAGCGTAGAAATGCTGGGCCAAACAAAACCCACTCATCATCCCCTGCTTGCCGTCGTTCCATCATCTTTCCTGCCACTCTCGTTGTGCAGTCTGCTTAATTCGCCTTTTTTTAATACTCGACTTCTTGAACACTCTTCCCGTCACTCTTTTATCGGGAACTTTTTCTCTTGTGTCTTACTAGACCCCTTTCTCGTCGTTTTAACTTGATATCTTCCACTTTTTCATATCTGCACAATGAAGGCTTCATTCGCTGCTGTTTCGCTCGCCTTGGGCTCCCTGGCCGTTGCCTCTCCTACTCTCGAGGCCAGAGCCACCAGCACTTCTTCTGGCAGTCTCCCTACCGTTACCGTCAAGGGCAACGCCTTCTTCGCTGGCAACGAGCGCTTCTACATTCGTGGTGTCGACTACCAACCCGGTGGCTCGTCTGATGCCAAGGACCCTCTCGCTGATGAGGATGGCTGCATGAGAGACATCAAGTACTTCAAGCAGCTCGGTATCAACACCATTCGTGTCTACACCGTCGACAACACTGCCAGCCACGACACCTGCATGAACGCCCTTGCCGCTGCTGGCATCTACGTTGCTCTTGATGTCAACACTCCCCTCTACTCCATCAGACGCGACAAGCCCGCCATTTCGTACAACGCCGTCTACTTGCAGAGTCTCTTCGCCACTGTTGATGCCTTTGCCAACTACACCAACACTCTTCTTTTCTTCTCCGGTAACGAGGTCATCAACGATGGTAACACTACCGACTGTGCTCCTTACATCAAGGCTGTCACTCGTGACCTCAAACAGTACCGCAACAACAGAGGCTACCGCGCCATCCCTATCGGCTATTCGGCTGCTGATGTTAGCGAAAACCGTTACGAGACTGCCCAATATATGAACTGCGGTACCGACGACCAGCGTAGCGACTTCTTCGCCTTCAACGACTACTCGTGGTGTGACCCCTCATCTTTCACTCAGTCTGGCTGGGACCAGAAGGTTCAGACCTACGGCAACTACAGTCTGCCCCTTTTCCTTTCCGAATACGGCTGCAACAAGGGAACTCGCAAGTTCGAGGAGGTCTCTGCTCTCTACAACCAGGAGATGACCGGTGTCTACAGCGGTGGTCTTGTCTACGAGTACTCTGAGGAGGGTTCCGATTACGGCCTCGTCACCATCTCCGGTTCCACCGTCACCCCCAACGGTGACTTCACCTACCTCCAGGCTGCCTTTTCCAACAACACCGCTCCTTCCGGCGACGGTGGTTACCACTCTGACAACACCGCTTCCACCTGCCCTCCCGCTAGCAACACCTGGAACACTGGTGACTTCACTGGCGAGGACCTCCCTGCCATTCCCAGTGATGCCAAGAAGTACATGACTTCTGGTGCTGGCACAGGCCCCGGTCTTGCTGGCCCCGGCTCCCAGGATGCCGGCACTGACAATGTTGCCACTGCTTCTGCTGGCAGCGGTTCCGCTACTCGCACCGCCTCTGGCTCTGCTTCCACTGGTTCTGGTGCTAGCGGTAGCGCTACCCACACTGGTGCCGCCTCGCGCGTCAACATGGGTGAGGTTTCCTTCGCTCCCCTGGTCATGACCGGTCTCGTCGCCCTTTCCACTCTGTTGGGCGCCACTCTTCTCTAGACAAACCCTCCCATTCTTGTTCTTCTCTTCCGTTCTGCCCTCATCTGCATTCCCCGGTGTTTTGGGTCACCATGCGTCTTTTATTTTGTTTTTAGAAACATTCGAGGTTCGATTGGCCAGTAAAGAGACTTGAGAGTCTGGATATTTTCATCACTGGAGTCTGATTACTTCTCGTATATACGTTTGACAAAATTCTTATCTTCTAAACATTGCACCTTATTTTTTCGATAGTGATCTCCTGAAGCTCAATTTGATCTCGCTATAAACGGAAGCACGACCATATCTCATCATCGGTTCACCCAAGAATCATAGAAACAAGCGAAAATCTAGTTCCAGAGTAGTTCTCGATACTCGATATAATGTCATGTCAATATCGTTCTAGGATGAGTTCAGATCTGCATGTACGGAGATCGAAGTACTACAGACACGATGAGACGGCACGGATTATGAATACTGCAAAACCTCCGTTGCTAGGGGTTTGATTGATGGTAGTACACCGAGCAGTAGCTCTAACGATGCCATGGCTATCATGATGCGAAAACTTGGCTCTGTCATCAAAAGAACATGAATGCAACATCTTGTGAACTCTAGAGGGATAGGCTGATATGATAATTGCTCTCTAGTCAGTAGGAGCACCCTGTCATTGGAGAAGTGCCAGCCGAGAAAGGACTCCCGAATCTCGACTCGGGTTTGCCAATGATTGGGTCCTTTGCAAAGACTTCTAGAGCAGTCTTCGGATTTGTGGACCTAGTAGGAAAGGAGTGTCTTATCTCAACTTTCTCAAGCATTGGGTCGACCAAGTTGTATTCAGTCGCTAAGTAAGAATGCTCCGTGCTATCTACCGTATATAGAGGCCTGTCTATGCAGAAGAGGCAAGACTCGGCCTTGGCTCAAACCTTGATGGGCGATTGCAAGAAAGCTGCATAGGATAAACGGCTGATTAAATGTGTACGTTTACTCGGAAGGAACAAGATGGCTCCTGGCTGTTTGCGACACCTCAAATCCTAGGGCTTTCCAAGTGATGGGCATGGTGAAGATAAGAGTGCTTCAATGATTCATCACGTCTAGCAAAATGGATGGACTTTGTCGTTCTAGAAAGTCAAAGAAGGTTTGATTACACGATCAAAGACTAGAGCCAAGGCCAGTCAAGGGCGTGAGAAAGCCACAACGGGGGAGGAGAGGTTGCAGCTGTGAGGATTGAAGGATTCTAGGGCGGCACCGACCAACCAATAGCATCAATGTATGGGACGAGGTCGATGGAGACGAAACTGAGTGCTGCCTAGCTGCCTCATCGTATCTTCTGTCAGATCCAGGCGCTTTGTCTCGATATCTGGAAGGCCTGTTCTTTGTCCAGAGCAAGCAGCGAATTGTCCCAACAGCAGACTTCTTGTTCGTTGGCACTCAATAGCGACACCAATGATGCCGTCACCAGACGAAGCCGTGTCCGACGGCTACTTCAATGACCTGAGCCAACAACTCCCCGACCAGCCCAACCAGCAGCAGCCACCCAAGTCCAAGCGAGTCGCATGTGTGCTGTGTCGCAAGCGCAAGCTTCGATGCGACGGAGCAAAACCATCATGCGCGACATGTACCCGGCTTTCCCACAATTGCGCCTACGATGAGGTTCGCAGANAGAGCGGCCCCAAGAGGGGCTACGTAAAAGAGCTGGAAGCCCGCCTGGCCCAAGTCGAAACACTCCTCAACACTCATGCTGGTGTCGAAATGCCCCTGAATGCCGTCGACCATTCTATAGTCACTGGAGACGATCTGCCCGACTTTGGCGGCATCGACCCCGACCAAGGTCGTTTGATGCAGGAGATGCGTGTAGGCCAGTCTCCACCGGCAGCCGATAATTCCATCCCTGCCTCACGCCAGCCCTCAATGTCCGAGACGTATGATAGCCAGCAGCCCGTTTTCTGGGAGGGCAATCTCAAATCACCCTCATGGGTACCCAACTTCTCGTTGCTTGCTACCGGCATGGACGAGCCTCTGCNNCCTCCAGAAGTTTGTGCCGAGTTGACCAGTCTCTACTTTGAACGCGTTCACCCCTCTGCCCCCATCTTGCATAGGCCTCGCTTCCTCATGTCCATGCAAAACACGTCGCCTTTCCTACGACCTCGTCTGTCTCTGCAGTATGCCGTTTGGACCCTGGCTGCCAGCTCTCATCCAAAGTATGAAGACATGGTCGACACCTTGTATCGCCGTGCTCGTCACTACCTAGAGCGTGACGAGATGTCTGGTGTTGGCGAGAAGATGATCAATCTGGCCACAGTTCAGGCTTGGCAGTGTATAGCAGCTTTTGAGTTCAAGATGATGTACTTTCCACGAGCTTGGCTTAGCACTGGAAGGACTTCCCGATTGGCCCTTATGATGGGCCTGCACCGTGTCGACGGTCCCAATATCGACGTCAAGCAATGCTTACCTCCGCCCAAAGACTGGATAGAGAAGGAGGAGCGAAGACGCTTGTTCTGGATGTGCTTTGCCGGCGATCGATATGCAAGTATCGGTACCGGCTGGCCCATGGCCATTGATGAGACCGACGTCTGTACAGATTTGCCAGCTTCGGACGAGGCTTTTGATGCTGGTACACCCGAGCCTTCTATTTCCCTAAAAGAAGCCCTCACGCCTGGCGGTGCTGACTCTCTATCCTCATTTGGATCTGTCGGTGTCATTTCTGCTCTCTTTGGCCGCAACTTGTTGCATCTACACCGAAATGCAGAAGACCAAAACGACGGCGACATCAATGGCATATTCTGGAAGCGCCATCGACAAATGGATGGCATCATTCTCTCCTTGTTGCTTGGTCTTCCCGAGTCGTTGCGGTTGCCACTCTCTGTTTCCGACCCCAAGGTTGTCTTCATGAACATGTGTATTCACACTTCCGTGATCTGTCTTCATCAAGCTGCCATCTTCAAGGTCGAGAAATACCAACTGCCAGCGAAACTCGCTACAGAGTCCAAGATGCGCTGTTTGACTGCCGCTGCCGAAATCTCAAGTTTGATGAAAATGTCTAGTCACCTCGACATGGCCCAAGCCAACCCATTCATGGCCTTCTCCCTATACGTTGCCGCTAGAGTCTTTGTGCAATATCTCAAATCACGACCTCGTGATGACACGGCTCGAGGCTCGTTACACTTCCTCTTATCTGCTCTTCAAGCCATGAAGAAGACGAATCCGCTTGCCGAATCTTTCATCGCACAACTAGACGTCGACCTCGAAGTAGCCGGCCTTGAAGAGTTACGCAGCTTGCGCGTTCGTGCAGCTCGAGCAGCACAAGCCCAAGCTGCAGAAACCATGCAATGTCCATATGCAGAGCAAGGAGGAGACAAACGCATTCCCACATTCGGCGACAGCGGATTAGCCCAGCACTCCAACCCAAAGGTGACCCGAGCAGGCATCCATCCCTCGGACAGCAATATTCCTCCCGAGATTGTTGAAATGATGACCCATCCGCATCAAGGCAATTTCAAAGGCATATTCCCCGTGCGGATGAATGTTGCCTCCGATACTTCTACCGCACATACCTCTCCTCAAACTCTTGGATCCAGTGATGCGGATATGATGGACCTGGGCAACAGTGGAGTTTCCCCCTCCGACTCATCTTCTTCCTCTACAGGTCCCGCCAACCATTCTGCGTTGATATTCAGACAATCCTCCAACAACTGGCAAACCCTCCAACAATCACAACAACAATCCCCCGAGATGATGTACGTCCAACAACCACCGCAACAACAACCCCAACAACAACAACAACAATTCCAGCAATATCAGCCCCAACAAACAATGCAAGATACACCCATGTCCACCCTCCTCCCGCACATGTCCGATTTCTCCAGCACCGAATTCTCCGCCTCGGAGTTTTTGAACTTTTCAAAAACGGCGGCGACGTCGACGACCACGGTGTTGGAATTGGGTGCCGTGGATGAGAGTCAGCTCTTCCAACTCAGTGATGCCGAGTGGGGACAAGTCATGGGAGAGTTTGGCGAGAATGGCGAGTTTTCGGTGGAGAATAATCTTTTGCAGTGAGATGAATCTTTTGTTGTTGGTTGTTGGTGGAGTAAAGTCTGGAAAGGAAAAAAGGGGGAGGCTAGATGAGGGGATGGGCTTGCAGTATGGGGTTGTACCAATAGGGATGGGGAATGGGGGTAAACGGCAAGGGCACATTTTTGAGGAGTTTTTGGAGGATATCATACTCTACTCGAACAGTGCAAGTACTGGCTTTCTACGAATGTAACGAACACTACGAATATATTTCTCATCTCATTCAGCTCTGTTGGTTCGACTGTGGAGGGAAAGAACAGAAGTTCATAATTTGCATGTTTTTCTGTGTTGCTCAACTTATTCTATCGAGTGCTCTGGGCGCTCTTCATCTTCTCATCTATCCCTAACAAGAAAATACCGAAATTGGAAAAATAGTATCATCTCTCTTTCACTCTCAGAAGTCCATCTTTGCTTTCGTCCAAAGTTTCATGCATATCAAACCACGCCTTCCATCAGTCTCGTTCCACAAGAGTAATGCTCTTTACATGTCAGCCATACTGATGTCGCCATCACTCTCTTGACTGGCACTGGGTGGCATCTTCTTGACCGGAACACTACCCACGCCAAGCGATGTCTCGACGCCCTCGACGCCCTCGGGTGGTGCTGCTGGTATGGCAGGCATGAAGATGGCAGGACTGGGGCTCAATGCGGTGATTGGTGGCACTACTGGCGTCTCTGCCATGCTATCTCGAGACATGGGACGCGGTGTATCGTGTTTAGTGGGAATGAGAGGTGTGTTTCCAGTGGGGAGAGGTGGCAGAGGCGAGCTTTGCATATGAGGACCTGCGCGGAGGATGTTTGTTGCTGCAGATGCGNNGGGGGTTACGGTGGAGGTATTTTGGTAGGTATAAGGGGTGGCGTTGGCGGCGGGTGTATGGAAGGGCTGAGCGTGTGAGGGTGAGGAGCTGGGTTGTTTGGTCGGAGAGTGGGCNGGCGGCACGCTGTTGTTGCTGTGGTAGGGCGGGAGGAGGGAACGATGTACTGGGGCTCTGGAAGAGGCGCTGGGCAGAAGGCGAGGGACTGGTTCTCGATGGGTGGTGGTGGTGTGGTGTCGCGGAACCGTTGGTGCGNNGTGTTCCGAGGGTCCGTGAGATGAAGATGGTCGAGAGCCTTTGGTAGGAGAGGGTGGGCCCATTTGCAAGGCACTAGGTTGCAAGACTGGAGGATGTATAGAGTGTGCGGATACGGCGCCGGCATGAGCTTGGGCGTGTAGTGCGGAGAGATCACCGTCGTCAGATTTCTGTGTGGGTGGTGGAGGGGAGCTGCCGTAGTTGGAGGACGGACGAGCTGGCGGAGGAAGAGTAGTGCCATTCCAGGCTTGCTGAGGGACACCGACGGGCGGAGCACCAGCAGGACGATGGTAACCTGGCGGACCAGGGCTTTGACCTGATGGCGAGAGCGAAGGGCCGTCAAGGAGATTGTAGCGTCGGGCTGCTGAACGAGGAGTTGATGTGATCTCGACGGCTTCGAGTGGGCGGCCGCGGGGAGCGTCCTGTGCAGCGGTAGCTTCCTTTTGGCCTGGGAAGTGCAAGTGCAATGGATGCAGCTTCGGCTTCCTCTGGCAGTCGGAGCAAATAAAGTGGAAGTCGTCCTTCTCGGCGTCTTTCTCGTCGATGCCGTGGCACTTCGAGTGTTGCCAGATGTTACACTTTTCGCAAGCAATCGAGTGGGTGCCATCGTCGTAGTTCTGACCGTGCTTGCCACAGACTGCACAATCAAAGATCCATTCGCCCTCCTCTTCAGCCAGCGCATCCAGCTCTTTCTGTCTTCTGTCCATCTCGGCCTTGAGATGACGCTCGGACAGGCGACCTTCGATTTCATCGCCATTTTCCAAGCTCTTCTGGTTCTCTTCAAGCTTGCGAAGCTCTTCCTCGTGTAAGATGCGCTTGACCTCGCGTTCCTTGAGTCTCTGTTCCCTGGTGAGCATGCGCGATTCGCGTGCCTATGTCTTGTTAGTTGTCTTGTCCTCTGCTTGGCCACACTTGCAACTCACGTGTTCCATCTTGTTCTGCTTCTGCTGCTCCTTGCGGGCCATGTCGAGCTCGGCCTCTCTTCTCCTCTCTGCTTCGGCTGTCTCCTCCTCAGCCTTGCGCTGCTCTGCCTTGCCAGCGAGTCTGCTTGATCTCTTTGCTGTTGCCATCTTTTGCAGATTCTCCAATTCTCTTTGCTTCTTGAGCACCTTCTGGCGTTGTGCTTCGACACGCTTCTCGAGGATTGGCATGATTTGTTCGTTGATGCGCTTGACAAGAGCCTTCTCGTTCGGGTCGCGACTCTTGCGGAGTGACTCTAGGAAATTGGTGTAGTCGTCATGCGTGACGGCGATGCATTCCCATTTCATGCCGCCGAACCCGTCGTCTTCGGTCGGTTCGTCGACCTTCAAGTCGACCTCGGTGTTCTCTTGCTCTGCTCCTTCGACTTCACTCTCTTGAGCAGAAGCATCCAGCTTGATACGTTTGCTGGCACGCGAGCCGCGGGACTTGCGTGATTTGGCCTTTGCCTTTGGTTTGGGTGCCGGAGCAGGTGGTAGCGGTGCTTCGGTGCGGCGGTACAAGCGGTCGTCGTCCAGTACGAAGTACGAGCGGTCCTGAGAGTCCCAGCCAAGTTCTTCGATGCGCTGTTGATGTTGTTAGTTTCAGTGTATGTAGTTGGTGCAGGGCGAGCGCACCCATTGAGTCTGCTCATTGTCCTTCTCTTCCATCAAGCCACGCATGCGCTCTGCATTCCAGAGAGTCCATGTCGATAGTTGGTGCAGGACGCGGATTTTGGTGAAGACGTCGAAGTCGGCAAACTTGTTGGGAACGTCGTCGGTGCCGTAGGGGTTGCGTTCTGGAGCTTTGGCGACAAATTGACGGCGGGTGTACTCGTCGTAGTTGTCGTAGCTNGATGTGGGTTAGCTTGATGTTTCTGGATCAGTGGCTGGCTGAACGCACTTCAGGCCTCTGTGCGAAGAGACGAATTTGAGCAGGGTAAGGCCAATCTCGGCCAGCTTTTCCGATGCTTCGGGTCGCAGACATTCATGCTCAAGGTCCTATACAAGCATCAGCAGTTGGTCTCGGGCAGCAGAAGGCTGGGCGCATACCTCCATGTCGAATTCGGGGTCAATCTTGACGGGTTTGCCGAAAATGTACATGTATTGCATGAGGGCGGCAAACTGCCACATGTTCCGTAAGCGGACCAGTGTCTCATTGTGAGGTTGTGCCTTCTCTACGGCGGCAATGCTGTTGTCCAGTTCGGCCTCCTGGCGGGCGCGCTTTCTGGCGGGCATCTTTTTCTACACAGGGGCCAAGCCCTTGATTTGGCTATGTGGTCGACGAGGTTTGTGTTGTGGATGGTGAGATTGGTTCAAACGACTCAAGGAATGTTAAGAACAAGAATGAATAAAAGGTCGTCGGGACAGGAAGTCGTGACAATGTGGTTGTGCAAAGGCAGTGAATAAGTTACCTCTCGTAGAGTCGCGTCCCCAGCGTGAAGCTGCATTGCAAGTGACGGCACCGCCAAGACGTGAAGAATCCGGCCACCAGGGTCTTCCGGGACCAATTATTCTTTCTTTTTCCTTTTTTCTTTTAATCTGCCACCGATCCACTTTTGCTTTGGTCCAGCGTCTTAAATACGAGACTTCGTCGTTCTTCCCATCGTCTCGCATATGTCTTGAAAGCCAACGCATTCTTCTAGCATGCTTTTCTGTACCATTCGCCATTATGTCCAACCCTAAGTATCCCTCATACCATGTCCGCAGCAAGCTCTACATCTCGCACTTTCTCTCAACATGGAATTCTCGCCTGTTCGAGTTTGGTGCTGTCCTGTTCATCTCTACTATATTTCCTGGTACCTTGTTTCCTGCTTCTATCTATGCTTTGATTCGCTCTGCCTCCGTCGTCGTCTTTTCGACCTTGATCGGTCGTCTGATTGACCGTTCCGAACGCATGCATTTGATCCGCGTGTCAATCAGTAAGTTATCTAGTCTTATCAATATCATCTTCATCCTTACATACTATACTGTATTTGGTCTTTGTCGTGGTCTGCGTTTGTACGGAACTTCTTTGCTCGTCTCTTTCTTTCACTTTGGGCCTGATCAAATCCATTGACCAATTCCAGTTGGCCAAAGAACAGCAACGGCAGCATCATGTGTCTTGCTCTGGCTCTTGTTGTACTTTCGATACAGTTCCCTGAACTCCTGGTCTGCAAACGCTACTTTGGCATTTCTGTCTCTTCTTGCCTGCGTCGAGAAGCTTTCATCTGTGGTCAACACCATATCTGTCGAACGTGACTGGGTCGTTGTCATATCGCAGGGAAACACTGATGACCTACAAGGTACTTACCAATACTTCAAGTATCAAATGATAACCGGCGCTGATCAGCAGTAGNAACTCAATTCACAGATGCGTCGAATTGACCTTTTCTGCAAACTTGTTGGGCCACTGAGCATTGCATTAGTTGCTGGGTTTTCCACCAGCATCGCTATTCTCATCACATTATCCATGACCGTTATCTCTGTCTTTGTCGAATACTACGCTATCGCCAGGGTATACTACGAAGTATACGACCTTCAAATCCGTCCCGCACCCTCACAAGTTTCACAGTCGACAGACAGTCCATCAGCCTCTCTAGGCGCCGGTCGCCGTGCCCGCCAAACCTTCCGAAACTGTATCTCCTACATTCAACATCCAACCTTCCTCCCATCATTCTCCTTATCACTACTCTACCTCACCGTGTTGACCTTTGGAGGCCAGATGGTAACATACCTCCTCTCAGTCGGCTTCAGCTCCATCTCCATCGGTCTCTTACGCACCGTATCCACTATATTCGAGCTTTNNTCTTCCACATGGCTTGCGCCCAAAGCTATGCATAAGATCGGCGCCATCAGATGTGGAATATGGTTTCTCAACTGGCAGATTGTATGGGTTGTGATTGCAGTCACTATGCTTTGGATCGAGGTGCCTCAAAATTATGCTGTTGTGGGTTTGCTTGCAGGTACTATTGCAAGTAGAGTTGGGTTGTGGGGCTTTGATCTGTCTGCACAAGTGATCGTACAAGAGGTTGGTTGGTGTGAAATGATTTATTAAAATTTACTGATGTGCATTTAGGCTGTTGAATCTGATCAAAGAGGCTCTTTCTCTGCTATGGAAGCATCGGTGCAAAACACATTTGAGCTACTGTCCTTCGCCTCGACTGCTATTTCCGCTCGACCTGATCAGTTCAGGGTTCCTGCTGCGGTTAGTGCGACAGCTGTTATGCTTGCTGGATTGATGTATGCTTCTTTCGTTCGCCAGCGAAGAGGCCATCTGTTCCATGCTTCGAAGTGTATGAAGCGAAAAGGTCGCCCAACATGGCAACCTCTTGCTCAGGATGAAGACGTCGAGTTGAGTTGATGCACGCTTATCACGATCACAGTACAACGCAAGTCTAAACAAGATCCATAATCTTCTCATTGCATAGCTACATTTGCTGAATCAGACTACTGGATGATGCTACAGTGTCTTCCCTGTCTCTGTCGTAGTCCTTCCACATCAGCATCTCCCCAACTCAAAGATTTCCTGGCATAAAGTCTTTAAAAGGAAAGGCAGCTCCGTCAAACTCAAAGACCCTTCCTGGATGTCTCTCGCCCTCCGTCAAATCCTTATGAAGCTCTACCAACTTTTCATGCGTCTCTCTGGCAAGACTCTCAATAAAGTACTCAAGCTCCTTTCCAGTCGACAACGTTTTCAACGAGCACTTTTCGAACTGGGCTTCTGGAGTATCAATAGGCAGTCTGGCTTTGTAACTGGCTATTGTAGCCCACTTGCCAGCTTCTGAGAACAGTTTAAGACTCTCGTGGTTGCCCATTGCGAAGACCCCATAACGGTCGATGATTGCGCGATCCTCGTCGTGGATAAAGCTTCTGTGGGATGGGATAAAGCGAAGCGCGTGAGTCTTGTCCTGGACACAGTCTCTGACGATCATCATCTCGTCGCTTTCTCTTTGCGAGTGCGGGTAATTGCGATGAAGTATCCTCATCGACGACACGACTTGAATGCTCTTGGCGCGAGGGAAACAGCCTTGGGTTTGCGCCTTTTGAAGAGCTCTAGCGAGGCGAATGGTTCCCGACTCATCGTTCGAGCCCAGAGGATGGTCATTGGGAAGTCGTATTGTGGCGTCGAAGTGAGTTCTTCTGCAAACGTTACGAGCGTACATCAAGTCGAACCAGTAGGGAACATTTCTCGGCACGAAGGAAATCGACAAGCTTCGTAGATGAGGCGCATGGACGTAATCGGGTTCTTTGTTCTCTTCTTGCGACTTTATTATCATGGACTCACACACGTACGACACCCTGAGAGACAGATGGCGTAGTCTTGGCATCATCTCTCGAAGCATCAGACACATGCGAGAGGACATGCCGCCAAACTGAATCTCACGGGCATTGGTATCGAGCATGAGGCTTGTGCAGGACTTTGGTAACGACCTGACAAGCTCGAGGACGACCCGGGTGTCCAAGAAGCCGGGTCCTCCTCTCTCCAGATTGTTTCTGTCTTTGATGTACACTTCCTCCGTGAAGAGCGAGAAAGTTTCAAGGAGACGAAATTGACCAGGCAACATGCTTGCCAACCTCGCCAATCGCAGATCCAGGGGNGTCAATTTGCCGCTCTCGAGTCTGTTGCGTTCTTCGTGATCCGCGTGGCCAGTACCTTCGGGCTTGATATTGAGCGTCAACGAATGAACATGGTCCCACGTTCTTTCACGATTGCGAATACGCCTTTTGTGTCTAGCCTCCAACTCTCCGACAGAGGGCAGAGGCTTTGTGTACATTTCCTTTGCTTCTTGGAACGTGTTTGACGCCTCCCTCTCACAATGTCTGTGGCCGTAGCACGTAAGTTTATGTATTTGATCGGTAAAGGCCCAGATGTTGACATACTGTTCGAAAGTGCTGTCGAGGAAGGAGCTGATGTTGCCATTGTGGAGTACGACGTGTTGGTAGAGAACCGGACTTCCTGCGTCGTTCCAGAGGCGCGAGACCAGGAGAGCCATCCTCAGAGCATCATAGCCGCCTTGTTCACGAACTTGCACCAAGATGTGCTTGAGCGCCTCATTGGGCACGTGGTTGATGGTGGTGGGCATGGCCGTGTAGATGAGTCGATATTATAAGACAAGGAGTTGATAAAAGAGATAAGTGGATGTGGGTTACTTCGAGAAACGACGGCTTTGGTCCAAGAAGATGCACTGCTGTTTGAGAAGAAGTGATCGACCTTTCTTTTATTTCTTGAAAGCTCCTTCCCGATTATCGCTGCCTGCCAACGTTGTTCAATAACACGTCTGATGCTGGTGTTGTCACAAGACAATGACTTTTCTTGTCGATACCTTGTGAGTGCCTCGTTGATGGCTTACTGAGATACCTCGTCGATGCCTGGTAGATGCCTGATATCGCGTTTGAGAGTGCTTTTCCTGTACCACTGCCTTTCCTCGCTCTCGAGAGACTCGTCCCACGTCCAAACACACTCGATAGTACTGTGTCTTTGATAAAAGTCTTCAGATATGGTCGTGACTCGATATCGTGATTCGAACTTGATCTGTTTGACAAGCAAAGTGTCGAGGAAAGGGATGCTATCCTATATAGGTATATTGTGTCTTGGTGGCTCCTTCCTGGTTGCTGCTACCTACGAGTCTCAGTCTGCCGAGTATTGTTAATCTGGCAGAGTTGATCTATTCCTGTAAGTCTTTGTTTCTTTGTTTCGAGGTGAGTACCTCAGGTTTGAAGGTGCATCCCTTCCAGTCACACCAACACGTGACATGTGATCTTCATGTGATTGCAATCCAACAAAGCCCTCGGAATGGCGTACGTTGACATCAGTGTTTTCAAGAGATACTCCGACGTTCACCACTTGAGAACACGCCACGGTAGCAAGCAAGCAACGAAGGATAATAGCCACGGTAGCAAGCAAGCAACGAAGGATAATACAAGACATAAACATTTTCGCTTTTTGTTATACTCATTATCATGCCATCGTGACAATAACGTTCATCCTTGTTGCTTTGTAGTCATAACCCTTCCACTGCTCTCTTCCATCTCTAATTCCATCTCAATACTCAACTCTATCCTTCCAGATGGGAGCGTGTCTCACATCATCCTCATCCCACTCAATCTTGCCCTTCTCATTGAAGCGCGCACCCTCATCCGAGATGTCAATCACCTTCTTCGTCTCCTTGATTTCTTGTGCAGAAACACCAAGCTCATCCTTGACAATCCAGAGCTTCGGAGGCTCCGCGGTGATGGCAGGGTGGTGGTAAGCATGCTTCATCGTGTATTCAGGAATGACAGGAGCGGGTTGGCCGGGGAAAGCATCCCAAAGTTGGCGACGAAGGGCCGGGTAGTTGCTCTTAGAGCCGTTGAAGAGGAAGGGGGCAAANAGACCGCCTCGCTTGAAGTGCTCAGCAAAAGCGTTGACGGTCTTGTTGTCCGAGTAGGGTGCAGTCTGCTTGGGTTGTACACCGTCTCCGTCCACATCAATTGGTACAGATGCACCTTCCTCATCGGCTTGGGCTAATGCTTCCTCCTCATTTTCAGCCATGAGTCTGTCGGACAGTGTATTTGTCAGAGGAGCCAGGATCATGTTGAGGTAGGTCTGGTATATGATAGTGAGGATGAGCAGAACAGTCATCAACTTGGCTGGACCGTCTGCTTCCCGCGCACCCATCAAGCCGATCAAGCAAATCTCTGCGAGATATATACCAACGCTGAGGTGCTGCAAGGCTCGACCATAGGCATCACCCTTGGTGTCTACAGCCATAGTCAAAACGTAGAAAACGTTGTAGCGGAAGGCCAGGTATAGGAAATAGATACCGAGCATGGCGAACCCGAGAACAAGCGGAGCAATGCAAGAGTAAGAAATTGCTGTGAGTTTGTTAGCAGAGTTTTCTTCCCCAAACTGAGTGTACCACCCGTTTTGCTTACCTATAACAGCAAATAGAGTGAATTTGGGATAGGTGTCTCCCCAGCTGAGTCCAGTGAGAGTGACAAATCTTTCAAACTTCTTGCGAGGTGTTGTGTCTAGGAAGGGTGACAGGACGTTGAAGACGAGGAAAGGCGCAATCTGGAATATGGTTGAAGCTGTAACGGCGATACCTTGAAGGACGAAGAAAGAGAGGTAGAAAGTTGAAGCAGTAGGCAGATTGTCAGCCAGAAGCTTGGGTGCCTGAGCAGGGTCGTTCCAGATTTGTTCTGCAGGAAAGGATTAGTTTGATAATATGCAGCCGTAAGTATCAAAACACTTACTGGCAACAGTCGAGGCGCCTGAACTGAAGGTAGTGATGAGGAAGACCTGCACGACTTGGAAAGCAAAGTACCATCCTTGTGTACGAAGCTCAATCTGTGCTAGTGTAATGGATCCGGCCTTTCTGGCAGTGACTAAACACCAATTAGCTCGTGATTTTCACCCATGATTGAACACAACTTACAGNCGACAGATTATGGGAACGAGAGCCAGGATAGCAGAAATCAAGATTGTGGGAAGAAGACCACTGACGGCACCCTTTGTCGAAGCTGGAAGTTTGTTGACAAAACCAAGAGGAGGGAAATTCTGAGCAAGATTGTCGATATCGGCAAGCGATCCAACGAGACCGACGGGAATGGACCAGAAGACAATCAAAAGTATGATGATGGTATTCGCAATGATGGTGCGCACCCAACGCTCAGGCTTGCCGATTGCCAGATTTGCCCAGACAATCTCATCTGGAGTTGCAATTCCGATAGTCGCTGCTTCCATCTTGCCAGGTTGTCTGTAGAAAGGGTCCGAGTAGGCAAGCTGTGCTGCACGTTGAGTCTCGAATTCGACAAAAACTGCAGGGAGGAGCTTTTCATAGCCTTGCACATGTCTCTTTTGAAGAGCTTTGACCTTTGGTGTTATTGCCTTCAGCTTTTCACGGTACATCTCGATAGCGTCCAATTTTCTACCAACGAGTGCAATGCGCTTGGAAGGTCTTTCTTTGGGTGCGACCCACTGTTGAGTGGCAGTACCTGCTCTTTCAGGATCATCCGCGAAATGCTTCTCTCCTTTCAGATGCTTTTTTGTGGCAATCGTAGACAGCTTAATCTCTGATTCTTCCAATGAGATAGCAGTGCTGTTCATATCGTTGACCAGAGACTCGAGCTCGGTACAATCTGTGGCCAGCCAGACATGCTTGACGCCGAAGAAATCGGCCTTGATCCATTTCTCATGGCGCATATCCTCTGGGACACCCGTGAACAGTACAACACGAGTCGACATGCGAGTGGCGTTGCGAGGAGTAGTGAGATATGCCTGACGAAGATTGATGTAGTAGAGAGTCTCCTTGGTGATGACAAACATGACGAACCCAAGGAAGAGCCATGCACATGCAACATGCCAGTAAAACTTGTTGGGCTCTGAGACATTACTGAATGTGAACATGTCGAGCTCAGATTGACCACCACCACCATTGTAGTTTACGCGAAGCAAGAAAACCCAGGTGATGATGGTGCCCACAAGACAGATGTATGTGAGCATGCGGAAGTAGCGTATGAAGAGGTAGTTGTCCAGTGTTTGATGGTTGAGGACGAATTGGTCGGGCAGTTTTCTGAAGGCAGAGATCCAGTTGAACATGCCAAATGCTGGCTTTGGTGTTTTCTCTCTNGCTTCTGTTAGCAGGATGTTTCTTGCCTCTCCACTATGCCGAGAGTCTTCTTACTCATCTTCCAGTGTGTTCAAAAACGTGCGAGGCGCGTAGATGCGGTGTTGCCTTTGTCGAAGATACAAAAAGGCCAATACCAAGGGGATAGCAACGACAAGCAAAGGTACAACAGTGAAGATCAACTTGTTGTATGACGAGGAGCCTCCACGATTGTCTCCTTCGCCCATGATTCCGATTCCTAGTGGTGTGCCAGTGTCCAGCACGTGTTGATTTCTGGACGTCATGATAGTCGCTGCTGATTTTCAGCGTTACTATCGAGTGCGATGTTTAGATTAAACTCAGCATGCTCGCTTTGGTTTGGCAAGAAGGTTTGTGTTTCGACTTTGGTGGCTGGTGAGTCGTGACGAGTGCTGACGCAACCTGCGGGGCTGCAGCCAGCGACTGGGAACGGGAGAGCGACATCTTCTTTTCTTCGCTCGACATGTCACCCATTGTATATTTCAAGATTCATGAGACCTTTCACAATGTAGTTGATTGCATCAGAGGTGCAAGATACGCATGAACTTCACGAGATCTGCGAACGCAGTCGGGCACTGTACACAAGGATGAAGCTACCTATCAAGCTGCACAATTTTTTGAGGGAGAAGGCATTCTTCCGTCAGACTTTATCTTCATGGCTCTCGGTGGACATAGCTCTGGTCTCAGAAATCTGTGCATTATTGTAGCTCAAGATGATGCTGTGAGTCTTCGAGAGAAGGGGTGTATCGTCGAGAAATAATAGGTAGACCCAAGAACTGCGGACAAGATGGATATTGGGATTATGATGACAAGCGCTGACAATCGTCGCTCTATCGAAGGTGAGTCGGCTTACGTGCCAGGTGTGATGCTGTTTTGTTGCTCTTGGTAGGCGCTATGGTGGAGTTGTTGCAGCCTCGCGAGTGCGAATCTTTCGCTGCATCACCCTTTCCGCTTGACTTTGATCTTGTTGTCAGCCACTATCACCTTGCCTATCTCCATCTTGTCGGCCCCGTCTGTTTCTATCATCAAACGCATCTCTCGTTGTTCTCGTCCCCAAACACAATCACCCTGCCCGTCTCGATTTTTCTATCTCGTCGATAATGTCCGAAGGCATGGATTCACATTCGATGACTAGCCTCAACAATTTCCTCCTGAAGGAGCGCGCTGAGAACCAACAAGAAATCAAACAGCTCAAGGACACAATCTTCCAGCTTCAGGACGAGTTAGGACGATATCACGGTGACGCACCAGATCTCGACATACTATGATGAATATAGATGTTCGTGCATAAAACATGTTATACACTTCCCTGATCCACCGACTGCAGAAACAGAGGACTGACGAAAGCATAGGAAATGATCTTTTCCCTGGATTTTCTAACTTTACCTCTCCTCCTCATCTTGGACTAAAAGAATGGACGATAGTAGTACTATCTTGTTACAAAAGAGATCCATGCCTAGTTGAGAGGTCGCGCGAAGACCTCTTTCGAAGTCAGAACGTAGAGTTGAGTGTTACGTCCAACAGTCGTGCAAGCGATGATTCGTCGTGTGAGCTCACTGTGACTCACAGTCAGTAGGTGCCTCAATGATGGACATAGATTCCATCATCGTCGACGGCACCTACTCAAGAGAGCCAGAATCGCTCAACGGATTTTTGAGAGAAGCCAGCAACACAATTGTCAAGTCCAGTCATACCCGGCTCAAACAGAGGCAACGCGAAGTCTAATTATCAGGGCAGGTCGTGACAAGGCAATTAGTCCCCGAATTATCAAAGGAGCTTAGGTGCGACTGGGCTCAGCAATTGTCTCATTGGCTTATCTCGGAAGTCCCTCGTTCGGGGCGCTGTAGTGTTGTAGGTGTCGACAGGTTGGGATCGCTCGTTCTGAACCTGCTCGTATAGTTAGATATGGGGGAAGGAGATGAATATTACCATTGCGAAGAAGCCGAGAGCCTCCATGACTTGTCTGACAGCGGCGATGCTCTCATCTGAATCGAGCCAGACAGCGCCGACGACTGCCTCAATCAGATTGGCAGCAAGCTTGGTAGAAGCTTGCACAGGGTTGCGTGGGTTGACAACCATGCATCCGACGAGTCCGGTCTCGCGTGCGATTCTTGCAAGATTGATGTTGGATAGTAGGCGCTGTCGTTTGGAGTCCCAGTTGCCNTTTTGGAGTTAGACGTGTTTGAATTACATGGCATGTCCTCAATTATACCAACCTAGAGTGTCATCTCGCTCATACCAAGGTCCCGCGATTGCGAGTGCCATCGCAGTGTCGCCAAGGATAGCAAGTCTCTTGTTACCATCGTATACAAGACGACCGCCGATACGGTTCTGACCGGAGCCGGCTACTTGAAGGGCTTCCCAAAGGTAACCTTTCTCGAACTTCTGAGGACGATATCCGATGATGGCTTCAGCTCTTTCGTACTTGGGTTGATGGTGGGCGAGTGACATATTGGAGGATGGATAGTAGGACGTTGAGTATTGTCGAGACGAGTGGGTTGCTGGCTGGCTGGACTGTGTGCAGACAACCAAGGATATATGTTTGAGTGATCTTGCTTCCCAGCCACCTTCTCTCCATCCGAGACTGAGGAGGGGTTCATTCTACATTCCATAACGGCGACGAAAGTGACATGACGTGTCTGAAATAGTCTTCATATGCACATCGATACAGGATATGTCTACGCCCATCGAGCGACAGGTGGCTGCATGCTTTACGAGGTCGATATTACTCGAACGAGCAGACACACCAATGTGTATGCTAGAAACATCTCAGGAGTATGAGAATGTTTCTTCCTGTGTGTGTTACGAGCATTCGGCGATGGCTCTGGACTGACAGATTGACCTCTTCGAAGACTGGCCAACGCGATGGTGGAGAAGGTCGTATCCGCACCCGTGCTCAAGCTTCACCGCCTTGGCCGACTTTACTGCCTTGCACCCACCAACTTTACCCTTCCCCCACAAAAGCAAATATACACTATAAAAAGACAGGATTGTTTTTAGAGGAGTGGCCATAGAGAGTCGCTAAGACGTTGGCTCTCAGTGGACACTGCCCTGTTTCTTGATGCCACTGTGCATTTCTACATCTGCACGCGTTACACACTCCAGCCACGGGGATGAACGACAAACAGTTTCCGGGACATGCCATATCACTCAAAGTACTGCGCCGGTTGATCGTTCTATAAAAATCGCCATCATTATCTCAAACCAGTAAGATGCTACACACGGCACAGAATCACTTTATAGTGCAGTGGAGATCATCACTATACCTTGCTTCTAATAAATTGCGCACTCAGCACGTGAAGTGCCCTGCGAACCACGCTGTCGCCTCGAACAATATTAAAATATTGCATTGCATACACAGATTTACCTATCACAGCAGACGAGCCTGAATACCTCCATGATCTCCACTGCAGGTCGATAGTAGTCGGCTGGGGTTTTCAGGAGACTATTTCCCTCAAAGAGGGACCCGTGGCTGCTTTCAACATGGCAACGATACACACACGCCATGTCGGTATTTCAGACCAACTGTACGCTGCCTACGCCAGACGCAAGCTTCGTTGAGAGTCCTAATGTACGCGGTACTCTTGATATCCTCTGGAGCTGTCTGAGTGTGCTGCTTCTGTGCACTTGGTCAATCCAACATCTACCGATTCCACATCAATGCCGTCCTCGAAGTATGCGACAGCAGATCAACAAGTTTGTGGTTCAACTAGGGGTCAAACTACGATGGATGCTGGTCACGCTTATCGCTCCAGAGCTGCTGTGCGGCGTGGCTGCTGAAGAGTGGTTGACTGCTTGCAAGGCTGCCAAATTCGTCGCTGAGAGAGTGAAAGGCGATGGAGTCGACTGGACATCAAGCCATGGCTTCTTTGCGCAGATGGGAGGTTTCAAACTTCGATTTCGCAACCTTGAAGCGCAAGAATCTTGGAGAACGTGCAGCCTCGCCGACGAGCCATCACTGGAGAAACAAAATGTCGCTGCACCCTTTCAAGAGCCATTGCTTGGTCGACTCAGCTTCCCGCATGCCAACAGCTGGGGGCAGATCTCCGAGGCTTCCTCGACGGTCGATTCCCAGCGGGGTTTACTCTCAAACCCTGTCGATGTGACAATCCGCGAGAAGAGCTTCAAGTCGGTTTCGTGGGACCTTGGTATCATGTCCAAACAGCACTCTGCATTGTCGTCGTCTTTTGGAACTGTTGACTGGAGTCCGGATGCCCAGAATGGGGCTCTCATCGAACAAATGATGTTTCAACACCAGAATGATCCCAAAGCAGAAGACATTGCGCTGACCGCCATGAGGATGACAGCCGACATTTGGACGCTGAGTCTCGAACAAATCAACCTCGCGAGGAAGTATGGGATTATCGAAACATTTCCAAACATGAGCAAGGAGGATCTAGACGCGATTAGCAATAGCGATGGCCTCGCCAAGGCTCTAGCAGTCTGTCAAGTTCTTTGGCTTATCATTCAGATGATATCGCGCGCTGCATCATCTTTGGCCGTATGCCAGTTGGAAGTTGCAACCGGAGCCTTCGCAATCACCACGTTTCTCACCTACGTTTTCCTGTGGCAGAAACCACAGGGAGTCTCAAGGCCAATTTACCTGGAGGCCGTGCGAAGACCCACAGTCGCTGAGGCTTGGGAGCTCTCACGGTGTGGCCTCGAAGAGACGAGCTCACTCCTGTATCGCGCCAGGAGCTGGAGGCAGTCTCGCGAGCACCTGAAAGCCAGAGCCTTCTCCAACACGATCATGTTGATTTGTGCGACAGCCCTCGGAGCAGTCCATTGCGCTGCCTGGAACTTTGAGTTTCCTGGAAGAGCTGAGATGTGGGCATGGAGAGGTTGCGCACTAGGCTCTACGATCTTACCGCTTCTCCTATTGGCATGGCATGAGGTGTACCTACACTTCGCCTTTACGAAGCACATGGTATTCTCGATTGTTATTCTGGTCGGATTCATGCTGTACGGGTTCACCAGACTGTTTATCATGGTGGAGATGTTTCGATGCTTGTTCTATCTTCCTGTGGAGGCGTTTGTAACGACGTGGACGATAAATTTGCCGGGCATTTCATGAGGTCATGTACTCTAAACTTGTGCAAGGTTGATACAGGTTCTTGCATAAATACAGCATATAGCATGCTATACTATACTTTGACTGAGGCGCTCGTATTTTTGGAGAGCTGAGGATTGCCGTGACACTCTGTCAATAGATGTGCCGTCTGGTAGGTTTCGATGCAGCAGAAAAGACGTTTCTTGAGATTGAGATTGAGGTGAGGAGACTGACGGCATTCATTAGAGGAAAGACGCCAAGAGTGGATAGGATTGGGAAGGCGCAATTCGGGCTGATGTTAGCGCGCGTAACGGCGGAGGGGGCAGGAACGACGACCAGAGTGGAAGTGCACGATACAAACACAAGCAGCACACAGCAACGACANTCCCCAGTGACGGATGCTGTGACAGCCAGACACACACGACAGCGNCATTGGCTTCTGCAATCGACAGCGACCGTTCTTCTGTATCGACCACACGCTCATTAACCATCCACCAACAAGCCCCGTCCAACCTCGATTCGGCCCTCGCCAACGCCAGCGCCAGCGACAACAAGCACGAGCTTGCATCACCTACACCACGCGCAACCCGCCATCACACCCAATCACTCCCACCCCCGTCCAAAGTCGAGCCAGAACAAGAAGAACCCCAGGACCCTCCGCCTTTTGCGTCGCACAACTTCCCGTCGCTCTATTTCCCGCCCGAGCCTCCACTCGACGTCCAAGCTGCGCCGCCGCCCGTCTTTGAAGAAGGCCCCTCGTCATCAGCCTCGTCGCCCTTCTCGTCCGTCGTCCAAGAAACAAAGGCCGCTCTCCCACAGGACACCAAGCCTCGCTCGGACAAGGCTCCCGACGACAGCGAACCTCCCNCGCCCTACACCGAAGGCGCCAGCCCGCTCGACGGCTTTACCTACCTCATGGCCCAAGCCGGAGGTGCTGCGAGCATCATCACCCAGGTCTCTCAAGGTGGCCCCGCTCCCATCAACACAAATGCTTTCCACTCCTCTCCCGATGAGCACATTAATATCGACCTGAGGTATGCTTGTCGCTCGACCTGCCGCGCACTAACAACAGCTAACCCTCAGCNNAGAGGCACTCGCTTCACCCTCTCGCGCGATGAGCTCCTCACCCTCCCCGAGTTCGTGCTGCTATCGCTCTTCCCCAACGGACTCCTCCCCGAAGGCCACATGAACTCGTTCCACGAGCCCGACGTCTATCCCGTCGATGTTAGTGCCGCCCCGCGCCTCATCTCCTCCTCCCGTCCTCAAGACATCGCTGCTCTCCAATCCGTCCTCCAAAATCATGATGTATATTTATCTGACTCGATCTATCATTCCCAGTATGACCCCACTTCTCTCCAATACATGCTAGAATTCTTCCGATCCGTCGCCCAAACCATCCCCACCTCTCCCACCGACGACTCCCCATCTCCCTTCTCGGGTGACCAAGCCCCTGTGCCCATCGAGCCCATGCAAGGTAATGCTAGAGATATGCTGCAGGACAGAGCTGGCATTATCGTCCTGCGTGAGGACCTCGACTTTNACGTCATTCCCCCGAGGCGCGACATTGGCCACCCCGAGATGGTCCAGGTCAAGCGTGCCGCTGGCCGCGCTCTGCTGAAGCAGGCTGGCATCTTCAGCGGCCTCCGTAAGAGCGAGGAGCCAGGCACCACTGAGCAACATCTTATCGAGATGCTGACCGCTGGGTGAGTTTGAACGCTGTATCTATCTTTGCTTTCTTTTGCTAAAACGCTCTCAGCGNGCTTCAACCATGACGACACCTGGGGTCATCGTGCTGGAGAGCCTAACAAGGCCGTCATCTGCAGTATCGCTCTCGCTCGTCTCCGCACTGACGTTCGTGGCGACGCCAACTCCAATGCTGTTGGTATGGCTCAAAAGCTGTTGTTGTTCTGGCGCAAACCCGCTCGCCGATGCTGGTGGGAGGGTGTTGACCTTGAGAATGTTGAGGGCATTGATGGCACACTCAAGGTCTGGATCCGCAGAGTCTGGACCCTCGAAATGGTGAGTCTTCCATCATGAAACTACACGTTTGAGCTGTACTAATAACCACTCCCAGAGCGTTATTGGGCTTCGCTAAGAGCAGCCGGAACTACTCCTTTTTCTCTTCTTGTCTCAATTTCCTACCTTCGATTCGACCACTCATACCCCGATAACACCGAACTTCTTTTATTCTTGTTGTTTCTACCACCACCACCTTCTTCTTCTCCGGCTTGTCTTGTCTGCTCGGCATACGGGCGTACCACAGCACAATCTGGAACCAAGAACGCATTTCTCTCATCTGGGTATCATGGAATCACGGACGCGTCTTACTGCAAAAACTTTTTCTTGATTACCAGAATGGCATCACCGCGGCACGGTGACATGCATTGGCAATTGTCTCTTTGGTCCTGTTTTGCGTTCATATCTCTCGTCTGTGTCTTGTTCAGGGAGTCTCTCTATCGAATTGATTTTACTGTTTCTTTGTTTCTTTTTCCTCTACTGATATCGAAAATAATATCTTCTTAAACAACAATCTGTTCGGATTGTTTTACCCTGTGGGCAAAGATTGCTGTTGTTGACGTTGTGAAGAGGTATTCGTGCTAGACCGACGCATGGTGGTTTGATGATCACATCGAGATTCCATGACGCCAGTGTGCTAAACTTGCTCTCTTGTCGGGTGATGCATAGCGTGAGATTTCCCATTGTCTTTTTGATACTCTTTGATCAACGAGCGTACACGATGACTCGTATCTCCTACTTGCGATATTGAAACGGGTGTCGAGGGACAAGTCCTCTGCTGGCTTGCTGGGGTGTGGAGGGTTATGTTGCTTGAGACCTACAAAGCACGAAGTTGACCAATTTGACATTGTCCTACTTTTTGTACGGTTTCTTTTTTCTTATATTCTGCACCTTCTTGATCATCTCTGGCCGTCTCGTGGATGATTTGCTTTGCTGTTTTTGCTCGAGGGGTGTTTGAATCCACGTTGAATGGGTCCAAAATGAGTGTTTGAGATTGGTGAAGCTTTGCAAAGAGATATGAGATTGATATTCCAAGATACCCCAAGCATCGTGCGTTCTTAAATCACAAGTCCTCTACTTATGGAGGAACAGAGCGTCATGTATATAGTACATGTGGTTATAAGGATGAGAGATATCGTTGTCGCTTATAATGTTGCTGTTGACCTCTATAAGCATTGTAGATGGTACGACCCTGCTTTGGAATATGCAGCCCCTGCATAATAGTGCAGAGATGCGCATAATTCGTATGCAACAAAGACTGCGTGTATCCATAACAAATGCGACCAAAGACCGCGTTTCTCAATGTCCTTACGCTTGCTGAATTGTTGTTCAGAGTACACGTCGAGAAGTCGATTGTTCAGGATTACAGCAAAAGTCTCTTCCTCGAAAAAGCTCTTCTCAGCGAGCAGCTTTGAAGCCTGCGGCCCTGACGGATCGGGAAGCAATAAAGTATTTGGTTGTAGTCCCAATATGTTGTGTATGTCATGCCTCAATGATCGTTGCTCCTATGTGACTTTGGAGATGTGCCGATTTTGTTCAAGGTGAGGGAGACATGTCTTGTGGGTTTTCGGAGAAAAGGCGGATAGTAGGTAGTGGACGGACACAGGATGGTAAGAAATGCAGAGTTAAAATTTGATACTCGAGCAAACAAGGAAAAGAAAGAAGTACAAAAAGCGCAATGTGGTGGTGGTGTGGGATCTTGAATCTTGTTTCGTCGCAGCCGTAATCGTGTTCATCACAAAAGTAGACACAGCTGCCAGAGCCATTCTCTTCTGTACTCAATCCATTCCTCGAGAACATTCACCATGTTCAATGGGATTCAACTAAACATTTCGACAGTGCAAAAGGGGAAGGCGCGTGGTGACGAGATAAGGAAAATGGGTAGTCGATTGATGGAGAAAGCACAAAAGGGGGAATCCGCCATTAAAACGCCGAGTATTTATGCACAAGAGTTCTCATAGCCCAACGCAGAAAGGATCAGAAAAAGAAACAGAAATTGGTTGCGTAAAAGGACGTTGTGAGGAGGGACAGAAGAGAAGGCCGGAGTGGGTGGTATTGCGGGAGGAATCGTTGGCAGCACTGGACGAAGATGCTGAAACGAGTTGGGTATCTCAAAGACAAAGGACATGACGATTACAAGATCAGACAAGCCTTTCTCTTCTTCTTCTTGCTGGGTGCAATCATGGGGGTGGGATTGTCCGAGGGTCTGCTGGCGGTTTGGGGACGTTTTTGTTGGGGCTGCGAGGACGAGTTTCCGGCGGTGAGACTACCACGGCTGGCAGGGGGAGTCGGGTTCAAGCCCTCAGCCTCGGCGACGACAGTGTTAATGGCGGCTTCGAAGATTTCGTGAACGCCAGTCATCTCTTTACTGCTGCATTCCATGTAAAGAGCGCCCATCTTCTTGGCAACAGCCTGACCTTGGTGGGTTGTGACGGGAGTGAGTCCTTGAGTTTTGAGGAGATCGATGCAGGTGCGCTTGTTGCGCAAGTCGGACTTGAGGCCAAGGAGGATGATGGGGGTGGTCGGGCAGAAGTGGAGGACTTCGGGGTACCANCTGGATATGCGTTAGTTGGAGGGCGTGGGTGTCAAGAGAAAGTGGCTGGGTACCTTGTCCATGACATTTTCGAGCGAGTTGGGACAGTCGATAGCAAAGCAGACGAAGAGCAGATCCGTCTCGGGGTATGAGAGGGGACGCAGTCTGTCGTACTCTTCCTGTCCAGCGGTATCCCAGAGGGCCAGTTCGACAATCTTGCCCGAGGGCTTGTGTTCGCAGTGGGTGATGTAGTTTTCGAAGACGGTGGGGACGTATTTCTGCAGGGCGGGTCAGTTGCAGTGCTGGGACTTGTAGACGAAGAGACACACCTCGGGGAAGACGCCCTGACTGTAGCTGATCAACAGACAGGTCTTGCCGCAGCCGCCGTCGCCGACGACGACGAACTTCTTGGAGTAGGCAGGAGGCTCGGTCAGGCCGGTGCCAATCGACTCGCGGCCTGACGATGTGACTGAGCCATCGCTGCGGCGGCCGCTGTCCCTTCGTTGGGGGCCACGGCGGAGCGATGTGACCGAAGCGTTTTGCAGCCTCGAGTTGTGTCGGTGTGTGGCCGACATGATGTGGGCAAAGTCTGGTTTCTGGTCGTCGAGTTATGCGAGGAATGTGCTGGCGGTCGTGTATAAATGGGGCTCGACTGTTATGGATTGTGGATTGTGGACGAGGGAGGAGTGCAACGAGAGACTGGAGCGTTTTGCGAGGTCAAGAGATGCAGGCCGCCGTGCTAATCATGGTCGACATACCAAGTACTTGCTGTTTACACACGGATCCGCCGTTGCCCCGGCACCGTCTGTCCCAACTCCGCCAAGCCTCCCCGAAAGCCCGTTCACCACCACCACCACGACCGGGACCCGCCAAACTCGGCACTAATCGATCGTTATCCTGGACGATCCTGCTATATCGCCTTTTGCTATATCGGGTCTTGTAACTGCCTCGCCCGGAGACCCTCTAGATTGTCGATTGTGAGATAGACGACGACAACGACCTCTCTTACATGGGGCACCCTCCCCCACACTCAATCTTGCTCTGGCAATAAATTCGACGGCCGGCGCCCATAAGCGTCCCTATTTTCGAACCTCTCGTCATCTTCCTGCGCCAGCGAAACGTATCTTGTTCTTGCCGCGCGCTTTGCTCGCTAGCTGCGCCAGCTAGACTGACTCCGACCTTTTCCTCGTCCGTCACCGCCTCGACAACAACAACACCATGTCTAATGTCGCCGTGTCTACCCCGCCTAGCCATCCACTCCTGCAAGCTCGTGCCTCGTCCCAAAACTTGCCAGATGCTGGCTTACGAGGTCTTGACCACTGTGCGTCATCTAGTCAACAACATTTTACCCTCCCTCCTCCTCCTTGCTAATTGTCCAAAGACTCCCGTAAGCTTCCCAAATGGCGCTATCGTCTAAGGCAATCCCTTCTTCCCATTGTTCGATGGGAAACACCATATCTGGCCAAGGTTCAACAGACCTGTCGAACTCCCTTCCTTGATTCTTACTTTGCAATGACGGCGAACCTTGGTACCCATACTTTCTTTATGGCTGCCCTTCCTGTATGCTTTTGGTGTGGCTACACTGGCGTCGGTAGAGCGTACGATGATCCTAAATCCCATCACATGCTATATTCGTACTAATTTCTCCCCAGCTTGGTGCACATGCTTGCCTTGGGTGTCTTCCTGAGCGGTTGGATCAAGGATCTGGTATGCTTACCGAGACCTCTATCTCCTCCTCTACAAAGAATCACAATGTCTGGTTCTGCTGCTCTGGAGTATGGCTTCCCCTCGACGCACTCGACAAATGCTGTATCTGTAGCCCTCTACTTTCTATACCAGCTGCATACCTCGACTGATCAGGTTGCTTCACCGCAAAGGATCCTTGGCTTGTGTCTTGGATACTTTTATGCAATTTCTATCGTGCTTGGCCGCATGTACTGTGGTATGCATGGCTTCTTTGACGTAATCGTAGGTAGCGCTCTTGGTGCATTGATTGCTGTACTCCAACTCGCGTATGGCACGCCCTTCGATGACTGGATAGCCGCGGGATCATGGACTCATCCGGCACTAGTCTTCTTGATTGTCCTTCTTGCGGTACGATTTCATCCAGAGCCGGCTGATAACTGCCCTTGTTATGACGACAGTGTTGCTTTTGCTGCTGTCGTACTAGGATGCCAGCTGGGACATTGGCATTTTGCAGGAACCAGTATCGCAGTTGTTGGTGAGGCTCCGGCTACAGTCTTCTTCAGCCTTGAGAAGCTCGGATGGTTGAAAACTCTTGCGCGTGTCGTTGGCGGCGTTGTAATTGTCTTCCTCTGGAGAGCTACGATGAAGCCGCTTCTTCTGAGATACCTTCCTCCGCTTTTCCGATTCCTCGAAACTGGTGGTGCGACTCTGCCCCGACGATTTTTTACACGAGCAAGGTAAGAGCTCCCCACCTCTCGGATGTAGACATATCTGACACGAAGCAGCGAGTACAAGAGAGTCCCACCTCTTCGACAAGACGACAACGTTATCCCATCTGCTTCGGACATTCCCGGAATGCTGTCTAACCTCCGTCATCCTCGCAAACGTGGAATCTCGATTGGACCACAGTCAGAGGCAGATGCACGTGAATTCATCGCCAACAGAGAGCGAAAGCGCAGAGAAAGTCGTTCATCTGCAGATGGAAACGATGCTCGACCTCAGCTCATCAAGCCACCGGGCGGGCCCTTCTACAACTTAGAAGAAGAGCCAAGCGCCACGAAGCAAAGGCGCTATGAGGACAATTCGGAGTCGTTCGGGGTGGCTACGCCACTTGCGACGCCTGGCAAGAAGGGCGACCTTCTCAGGCCTGACCCATTTAATGCTTTGCCCCTGACGCCGCCAGGAAGCGATAGTGGCAACGGAAGTGATGCAGGAAGGGAAGAAAAGGAAGAGCGGGAGGATGCAGAGCAAGACCACCAGATGTTCCTTGCACTGGCAAAACCACGAGTGCGATACGATGTCGAAGTTGTGACCAAGCTGGTTATCTATGCAGGTATGGAGTTGTTCTGTAACGGTAAACGAGCTCGACTGACACATCAACAGGCATTGCTTGGCTTGCAGTAGAAGGTAATCCTCTGCTATTCGAGATCACCGGGATTGGCAAAAACAGTGTGATATGATTGTGTCAAGGAGCGGAAAGTGCAAGTAATGATACCCTTACAAAAGAGATATGGACCCAGTACATAATGTTTAGAATGACAAGTACATGTGGGCGGTGGTCAATTTTGAGCTTTGTGATGTTTCGAGTCCAAGGAAGAGAGAGGTGCGGCGAACGAGCGTTGGATGCTTCAGAAACATGAAACACGCGCGGAGGTCGCGGTGTGGCGGTGCGTGGCTGCAGTTCGTGGCGGAGATTCAGGGCGCGTCAAACACCAGCGAGCTACAATTCCGTGGACAGTCAGTCCATTGACCTCCCGACCGCTCTATAGTATTCCCAGACAGGAAGCGACACGCCGACAGCCAGCTCGTGCCCTTTCCTCAAATTCTAGATCTAGGCGACAACCTCTCACTTCCGCCTTTCGCACTTTCCGAGCGCAGCACTTTCCTGTAAACGGCTGGCTTCTCATGTCGGATTTCCTGTCGGCAACAGACAACTGAGATGGAGGACCCTCTGGTCTCGGCAACAAATGGAGCGGCCATCGGACGCCCTGTATCACCAGCTCCGCCGGCCACATCAACAATCGATCCTCAATTAATCATCTCATACTTGGAATCCGTTCTCCATGTCACCCTTGGCGCTTCCAGACAGGAGTTACAAGCCAACAATAGTTTCTTGAGTTCGGAAAACCTGCCAGAAACACTTGCGCGATGTCAGAGATTTGCTTCCGAAGCCCAGGTTGCCATCTACGTCCAGCAAGAGGCTCTAGATGCTGCAGATGGCATCCAGGGGGACGGCGATGCTCGTGAGTAGCTGCCTTGCATATCCAAAGCTTGCCCGTTGCTCACTGACCGTGTCTAGNTCGTGTCGACGCAATCCACATACCTTCTCGATTCGAAGCTCACCTACACGCCATCGACGGCATCGTGCGTCGCCATTCTCAAACGACCAGTGCCCATTCTACCCACCGTCCCGATCAGCAGCCAGCTGTCAGTAATCAACCTGCCTGGTGCAGGCGCCTCCTTGTCGACGAACCCCAACGCTGGTTCTTCCGCCTCGCCATTCGAAGCTCTCCATTCCCTCGTACACTTTGCCTTGGCTCCCTACTTCGACGCCTGCACAAAGAGCCAGGAATCTAACCATGCATACACCAAACACACAGACGCCGAGTCTCGCACTGGTATTCCCGGTGCAAAGAGGAGGATTGCCGAGCTTGAACTCAGTCTACGGAATCTACAACAGAACATTGATGTGCCCGACCTGCATCTACCCATACACCCCGTAATCCAAGCCGCTGTCGATGAAGCCACCGCGCGCAGCGAGAAACCCACCTCAGCACATCTGCCACAGTCTTTGCTTACTGATGCGCATTTCCTAAACAACCTACAAGCTGCCGTCAACGGCTGGATCAAGGCCATTCAGGAGAGCACCCAGCGATCGCGCGACCCCAGCACAGGCACGGCTATGCAAGAGAAGAACTTCTGGTTATCGATGGAATCAGCTTTGGACAGCATTGAGCGTCAGCAAAACAGCGATCCCGTACGTCTGTCCCTTGATGTGCTCAGTCAGGCCAAACGCCATGCTACTGCTGTCAGTTTCCATGCCGATACTGGTTTCAAGGAGGCTGCCGATAAAGTGATCAAGTACAACCAACTAATGCGAGAGCTTCCCTTGGAAGAGCTGCTTGCCGCCGCTACTCTGGTCAAGATTCAAGAAGCACTCGACCAGGTCTTCCAGCATATCAACAAGAAGTTGAGAGTGTGCGCATATCCTATTCGCCGCGCTTTGCCCTTGGTCGAAGCCATCTCTGGTGATCTGGACACTAGGCTCCATGAGCTGCTCCACGGCCGCAGTCTTATGCATCTCGACTTCCAGGAGTTTCAAAATTTGATGGCGGCGACAGACAAGATTTGGGACATCTGGGAGGAGAATTTCAAGGAATTTGCCAATGCTGCAAGAGAAGTCATCAGACGCAGAGGCGAAAAGTTCATCCCCATCAAGATTGACCCACGTCACAAGCAGACCAAGGATCGCCTAAAGTACATTAACACTTTCCGCGTCAACCACGAGCAGCTGCGCGACACCATTGCCAACGTTCTAGGAGAGGATCAGGATAACATCCATAATGACGGTGTTTCTGGACCTGTCATCATCGAAGAGATGGGCGACGTTGACGCAATTGATGAGATTTCACAAGCGTATTCTGTCCTGAAGGATGTGGATGTTCTTGATGTTTCTGAAGAAGGCACCCGCATCTGGGTGCGTGCCGAAGCTACATACAATGAACGCACAGCACGCGTTGAGAATTCGATCATTGCTCGCTTGAGAGACCGTCTAGCGCTTGCCAAGAACTCAAACGAGATGTTCCGTGTCTTCTCAAAGTTCAATGCTCTCTTTGTTCGACCAAAGATTCGATCTGCAATCTCTGAGTACCAAACGCAGCTGATTGGGAATGTCAAGAATGACATTGCAGCATTGCAGGAGCGTTCCATGCACCCTTACGGTCATACTGAGACACATGCTATGGCCCAGCTTCGTGACCTGCCACCTGTCTCTGGTGCCATTATTCGCACACGGCAGATTGAGAGACAGCTGAACGCGTATATGAGAAAAGTTGAGGACGTTCTCGGCAAGGATTGGGCTCTTCACGTTGAGGGCCAGAAGCTTCAGACTGAGAGCAATATGTTCAGGAAGAAGCTTGATGTCAAGCCTGTATTCGATGAATGGTTGCGAGATGTCAACCGCCGACAACTTTCCGTTTCTGGTCGGTTGTTCGCCATTAGCCGCAATCGTGCCAGTGGCAACATCCTCGAATTGAGTGTCAGCTTTGACGCTCAAGTCATCACTCTTTTCAAAGAAGTTCGCAACCTGCAATGGCAGAAGTTCACAATACCCCACGCCATCAACAACACTTCAAAGGAAGCAAGACGTGTCTACCCATATGCCGTCAGCTTGATGGAGAGCGTCAACACTTATGCTCAAACTATCAACGTCATTGACAGTATGCCCGAAGTTTCAATGCTTGTCAATGGCGTTCGAAGTGAAGTGCAAGGTCTCATCGCAAAGGGTACTCCCCTGAAGTGGGACAGTTTGTCGGGTGCTTACGAAGTCAATGTCCGTCAAATGCCTACAGGATCCTCGGATCAGACGGAAAGCAAGCATGTCAAGTTCATCAGAGACTTTGCCAAGGCGATTCGTGATCTGCAAGAAAAGACGTCGCTACTATCGTCGATCAACATTGCCGTACAAACTGCACTCACAGAGCTCGAAACATGCCCATACACCCAAGAAGCATTCAGACAACAAATTGACATTATTCAAAAGTCCGTCGATCAGCTGAATCTGAAGAGCTTCTCTAATCTCTCCTTATGGGTCGCTGAGACGAACCAGAAGATTCAACTAGTCTTGTTGTCTCGCTTACAGCACGCTCTGAGGCAATGGATTGCCATATTCGCTGCGCTGAAGGATGACGATGACGATACCGAGGACGCAGAGCAAGACCGCGATGTCCCTCACTTCGAACCTTGCATGCACGAGATGGCTATGCGCAACCAGTCTATCTATCTTGACCCTCCGCTTGAGAGCGCGAGAGCTACCTGGCTCCAGCACCTCCATGACTGGCTCAGCATTGTCTGCAGTCTGCCCAAGATTCAGGCCGAAAGATTCGAGCTCGCTCTTGGCTTCAATAAAGACCCTGTCGCTGCCACTTTCTCCGACTTGCCATTGTTGTGTGTTGATCCTCTTTCAAACGCATACAACGCAGTAGAAGACAAGATCTCTGTGATTGGCGGCTATGTAGACCAATGGCTCCAGTTCCAATCTCTGTGGGATCTACAATCTGAACAGGTATACGAATACCTGGGAGAAGATCTCGCAATGTGGTTGCAGCTTTTGCTCGAGATTCGCAAGAAGCGCGAGACTTTCGACACTACTGAAACCACTCGCACATTCGACCATCTCACAATTGAATACGAGCAAGTGCAACTCAAAGTCAACGCCAAATATGATCAGTGGCAACACGAGTTGCGTACACAATTCGCTCAAAGACTCGGTAACCGCATGTCTGAGGTGTTTGCCGCACTACAGAAGGCCAGGCAGGAATTGGAAGGACAGTCTTTGGAAGCCAGCTCTACGGCCCAGGCTGTAACGTTCATCACCACTGTCCAGCAATGCAAGCGCAAGGTTAAGGCGTGGGAGCCAGAAATCAACACTTTCCGCGATGGACAAAAGACTCTTATCAGACAGAGATATCAGTTCCCTACCGATTGGCTGTATGTCGAGCAGATTGATGGTGAATGGACAGCTCTGAACCAAGTTCTTGATCGCAAGAGCAAGGTCATCGAGGACCAGACAGACGCTCTCAAGGCCAAGATCGTTGCAGAAGACAGAGTTGTTGCTGGACGCATCACTGAACTGACTGCTTCCTGGAATGACAGCAAGCCCGTTTCCGGTACCATTCCACCTGAGGAAGCAGTATCAACGCTGGCCGAATTTGAAACCGGCTTTGCACAGATGAATGAGCAATCGGAGATGGTCGCCAGAGCCAAGGAAGCGCTCAATCTACCACCCAGTGCCGACTATGGTCTTGCTTCACTCCTGGAGGAAGTTCAAGATTTCAAGTCTGTGTGGGCAAACCTGAAAATGGTATGGGATGGACTTAACGAGCTCCGTGAACAGCTGTGGTCTAGCATCCAGCCCAGAAAGCTTCGCCAATCTCTTGAAAAGCTCATCCAGATGACCAAGGAGATGCCCAGTAGAATGCGTCAGTATGCAGCATTCGAGCACGTTCTTGTTGTTCTCCGTGGTCTTCTCAAGGTCAATCCCATCCTTTCAGATCTGAGATCAGATGCTGTCAAGGAGAGACATTGGATCAAGATTTTCAAGGCTCTCAAGCCATCTCAACGCTATTCGTCCATTTCAATGACACTGGGCGATATCTGGGATTTGCAGCTTGGACCTAGTGAGGTTATCATCAGGGACGTCATCACCCAAGCGCAGGGTGAGATGGCGCTCGAAGAGTTCTTGCGTCAAGTCAAAGACACATGGCAAAATTACACACTCGAGCTGGTGAACTACCAGAACCGATGCAGACTTATTCGTGGCTGGGATGATCTCTTTGCTAAATGCAGCGAACACCTCAACTCTTTGCAAGCAATGCGCCATTCGCCGTACTACAAGGTTTTTGAAGAGGATGCATCTACATGGGAAGAGCGCCTCAACCGTGTTCATCTTCTGTTTGATGTTTGGATCGACGTGCAGCGCCAATGGGTATACCTCGAAGGTGTCTTCACTGGTAATGTTGACATTAAAACTCTTCTTCCCATGGAGTCTAATCGCTTCAACAATATCAACACTGAGTTTTTGGCCGTGTTGAAGAAGGTCTACAAGTCGCCTCTGGTGCTTGATGTACTCAACATTCCTGGTGTACAAAAATCTCTTGAGCGTCTCGCCGACCAGCTGAACAGAATCCAAAAGGCTCTCGGAGAATATCTCGAACGCGAAAGAGTCTCGTTCCCTCGCTTCTACTTTGTTGGTGACGAAGACCTGCTCGAAATTATTGGTAACAGCAACGATACTCTGCGTATTGCCAAGCACTTGAAGAAGATGTTTGCTGGTATCTCTGGTGTCGTTACCGATGAAGAGGCCAACATCACTGGCATCACATCACGAGAAGGAGAGCAAGTCATGCTCAAAAAGATTGTTTCCCTCGCAAAGACACCTAGAGTTAATGAATGGCTGGGTGCACTGGAGACAAACATGCAGGAGACCCTTGCAGAGTCTTTCACCGACGCTTTCACTACCTTTGATGAGCTTGCTGGACAAGATAATATCGATGGCTCTGCTCTGGAAGCCTTCATCAACGACTATCCTGGTCAGATCGTTGTACTCGCCACCCAAGCATGCTGGACAAAGTGGGTGGGCACAGCGCTCAGTGAAGGCGGCGCTCCATTGCCGCAACTGTTTGATCGTCTGGTTGAGGTCTTGCGTCTCCTCGCTGCTTCAGTCTTGGGTGATCTGGACGCTCTCTACAGAAAGAAGTGCGAACACCTCATCACCGAATTTGTGCATCAAAGAGATACTGTAGAGAAGCTCGTCAATGCTGGTGCTGACTCTCCAACTCATCACCTCTGGCTTCTCTCGATGCGCTACGAATATCAACCCGAGGCTGACCTGCTGGATCGCGTTCAGATCAAGATGGCAAATGCCATTCTTGCGTATGGCTTCGAATACCTTGGAGTACCTGACCGCCTCGTTCGTACTCCTCTGACAGACCGTTGTTTCCTTACTCTCACTCAGGCTCTCTGTCAGAGACTTGGTGGTTCACCTTACGGACCCGCAGGTACTGGTAAAACCGAGTCAGTCAAGGCTCTTGGTGTTCAGCTCGGTCGCTTCACCCTGGTCTTCAATTGTGATGACACTTTCGACTACCAAGCCATGGGCAGAATTTTCCTCGGTATCTCACAAGTCGGTGCCTGGGGATGTTTCGACGAGTTCAACAGGTTGGAAGAGCGCATCTTGTCTGCCGTCTCACAGCAGATCCAGAACATCCAACTCGGCTTGCGCAAGAGCACCAGCGAGCAGAAGGCACAGATCGAGCTTATCGGACGCCAACTTATCGTGCATCAGAACACCGGTCTCTTCATCACCATGAATCCTGGCTACGCAGGTCGTTCGAACTTGCCCGACAATTTGAAGAAGTTGTTCCGCAGCGTTGCCATGTCCAAGCCCGACAAGGAGTTGATTGCCGAAGTCATGCTTTACTCCCAAGGTTTCTCACAAGCCAAGCCTCTTTCAAGACAAGTTGTACCCTTCTTCGACCGCTGCGGTGCAAGCCTTTCTAACCAACCTCACTACGACTTTGGTCTTCGTGCCTTGAAGAGTGTTCTTGTCAGTTCTGGTGGACTCAAACGATCACGCCTTGTGGATCATGCCGGAGAAACGCTCTCTGAAGAGATTGTCGAGCCTCAAATCATTGTTCAGAGTCTTCGCGAAACCATTGCGCCCAAGCTTGTCCGACCAGATGTTGACGTTATGCGCCAAGTCGAGGATGAAGTCTTCCCTGGTGTACAGTACGTGCCAGCAGAATTGGCCGATCTCAAAAAGGCAATCAGAGATATTGCTGCTGAGAACAAACTGATCGCAACTGATTCATGGATGACCAAGGTTCTTCAGCTCTATCAAATCCAGAACATTCATCACGGTGTCATGACCGTTGGTAGCTCGGGCACTGGTAAATCTACCGCTTGGAAGACTCTGCTTGGTGCCCTGCAACGTGTCGACGGTATCGAGGGAGTCTGTCACATTATCGACCCTAAAGTCATGTCAAAGGAGAGCCTTTATGGCAGTCTCGATTCGACCACTAGAGAATGGACGGATGGTCTTTTTACCAGCATTCTCAGAAAGATCGTTGACAATCTGAGAGGTGAAGATACGAAGCGTCACTGGATCATTTTCGACGGTGATGTCGATCCTGAATGGGTCGAGAACCTGAACAGTGTTCTTGATGACAACAAACTACTTACCTTGCCTAACGGTGAACGTCTCAATCTTCCTGCAAATGTCCGCATCATGTTTGAAGTTGAGACACTCAAGTATGCAACTCTTGCTACCGTCAGTCGTTGTGGTATGGTCTGGTTTAGCGATGATACTGTAACCACTGAGCTCATGATCTCGAATCACCTTGCCGAGCTACGCAGTGCCAGCTTTGATGATCTCGACGAGGACTCTATCCTCAGCTCTCAGACAGCTGCCGCGGTGGAAGTTGTGCAAAATCAAGTCGCCGATTTACTTCAAGAACGTCTTGCTTCGAACAACTTCTGTGCCCAAGCTCTCAGCGAAGCTAAGGGCTACAACCATATCATGGAGTTTACAGAGATCAGAGCTCTTACCACCTTGTTCTCTCTTCTGCGTAAGGCCTGCAGATCTATCATCGAGTATAACGTACAACACCCCGATTTCTCCCTGGAGCTCGAACAAATCGAGTCGTTCATGTCCAAAAAGCTTGTGCTTGCTCTCATCTGGTCTTTTGTTGGAGACTGTCCTCTGACCGATCGCAAATCCTTTGGCGATTACGTTGCCAGCCTTGCCTCTATTGATTTGCCACCCTTGGTAGACCAAGGCTCGATGATTGACTACGACGTTATTCTTCCCGAGTCACAGTGGGTACCATGGCAGAACCAAGTTCCTTCCATTGAAGTCAACACCCACTCCATCACTCAAACCGATGTTGTTATTCCTACTGTTGATACTGTCCGCCATGAAGACGTGCTCTACTCATGGCTTGCCGAGCATAAGCCTCTCTTGCTTTGCGGTCCTCCTGGATCCGGTAAGACCATGACACTGTTCAGCGCCTTGAGGAAGCTCCCCACTCTCGAGGTAGTTGGCCTCAACTTTTCCAGCGCCACAAGCCCCGAGCTTCTTGTCAAAACACTCGAACAGTACTGTGAGTACAAGAAGACGCTCAATGGCACCACCCTTGCACCTACACAAATTGGTCGCTGGCTTGTTCTATTCTGTGACGAGATCAACTTGCCTGCTCCTGACAAGTATGGTACTCAGAGAGTCATCTCGTTCCTTCGCCAGATGGTTGAACACGGCGGTTTCTGGCGTACTGCTACCAAGACGTGGGTCAGCCTTGAGCGTATCCAGTTTGTTGGTGCTTGCAACCCCCCTACAGATGCCGGACGTACTCCACTTGGTCTGAGATTCTTGAGACACGCCCCACTCATCATGGTTGATTACCCTGGTGAACTGTCTCTTACTCAGATCTATGGTACGTTCAACAGCGCTGTACTCAAGATCATACCTTCGCTCCGGGGATACTCCGATGCTCTGACAAGAGCTATGATTCAACTCTACTCTGAATCGCAAAAGCGTTTCACTGCCGATATCCAGCCTCACTATGTCTACTCGCCTCGTGAGTTGACCCGCTGGGTACGTGCTGTGTACGAGGCTATCAAGCCTCTTGAAGCGCTCAGTCTGGAAGGCCTAGTCAGAATTTGGGCCCACGAAGCCTTGCGACTCTTCTCCGACCGACTGATCGCCGAAGATGAAAGGCAATGGACTGAAGAAGCAGTCGACAGAATTGCGCTCGAGCACTTCCCTAACGTTGATGGAGTTACTGCTCTGCAACGCCCCATTCTCTACTCTACTTGGATGTCCAAGCATTACGAGCCTGTCGATCGTGAGCAACTTCGTGACTACCTGCGCATCCGTCTTCGCCAGTTCTGCGAAGAGGAGCTTGACGTACCTCTTATTCTCTTCAATGACGTTCTTGATCATATTCTTCGCATTGACAGAGTCTTCAGACAGCCTCAAGGTCATCTTATCCTCATTGGTGTCAGCGGAAGTGGCAAGACCACGCTTTCTCGCTTCGTTGCTTGGTCAAGTGGTCTCAAGGTCTTCCAGATCAAGGTCCACGGCAAGTACACGGCCGAAGACTTTGATGATGATCTCAGAAACGTCCTCAGAAGATGTGGTGTCAAGGGCGAGAAGATTTGCTTCATCATGGACGAATCCAACGTTCTCGACTCTGGTTTCCTGGAACGCATGAATACCCTGCTCGCCAACGGTGAAGTTCCTGGGCTCTTCGAGGGCGATGAATTTGCTTCTCTCATGACTGCCTGCAAGGAAGCAGCACAGAGCAAGGGCCAGCTTCTAGACTCTCAAGAGGAGCTGTACAAGTGGTTCACACAGCAGATTGTTCAGAACCTTCACGTTGTCTTCACGATGAACCCTCCCACTGAAGGTCTGTCGTCCAAAGCAGCTACTAGTCCTGCTTTGTTCAACAGATGCGTGCTCAACTGGTTCGGTGATTGGTCTGACCAGGCACTCTTCCAAGTCGGTTACGAGCTTACTCAATCTGTCGATCTCGACCGTGCATCATATGCCTCGCCTGATAGCATCCCTGTTGCTTATCGTCAACTCCAACTTCCTGCATCCCACCGTGATGCTGTGGTCAACGCTATGGTTCATGTGCATCACTCCATGCACAAGTTCAATGGTAGACTTTTGCGTCAACAGAACAAAACCACTTACCTCACCCCTCGCCACTTCCTTGACTTCTTGTCTCAATTTGTTAAGCTCTATAATGAGAAACGTGATGATCTGGAAGAACAGCAACGCCATCTCAATATCGGTTTAGACAAGCTGCACGAGACCACTGTTCAGGTCTCCGACATGTCAAAGAGTCTGACTGAGAAGAACATTGAACTGCAAACCAAGGACGCAGAGGCCAATGAGAAGCTGCAACGCATGATTGCTGACCAACGTGAGGCCGAGACTCGCCGTGCCGCATCACTCGAAGTCCAGAACGCGCTGGTCGAACAGGAGAGAATCGTCGCAGAGAGAAGAGAAGTCGTCCTTCATGACCTTGCCCAAGCCGAGCCTGCCGTTATTGAGGCACAGAAGAGTGTCAGCAACATCAAGAAACAACATCTGACCGAGGTTCGCTCCATGCAGAACCCTCCTTCTGGTGTCAAGCTTGCACTCGAATCCGTGTGCACCTTGCTCGGTCACAAGGCTCCTGATTGGAAGACCATCGTGTCGATTGTCCGTCGGGATGACTTCATTGCCAGTATTGTCAATTACGATAACGAGAGGCAAATGACCAGCAGCCTTCGTACCAAGATGCAAAGAGAGTTCTTGTCCAAGGACGACTTCAGCTTCGAGCGTGCGAACCGAGCCAGTAAGGCTTGTGGTCCTCTTGTTCAATGGGTCGAAGCCCAAGTCAACTACTCTGCCATTCTCGACCGTGTTGGTCCTCTCAGGGAAGAGGTTACTCAACTCGAGGAGGAAGCCCTTCAAACCAAGGCCAACGCACAGGCGATTTTCTCCGAGATCAAGAAGCTTGACAACAATATCGCCACATACAAGACTGAATATGCTGCTCTCGTCAGTCAGGTCGAAGCAATCAAGAGCGAGATGGCTCGTGTTCAGTCCAAGGTTGACCGCAGCTCGCGCTTGATCAAGAATTTGTCTTCCGAACGCGAGAGATGGGAGGAGACTAGCAAGTCTTTCGACGCACAAATGGATACCATCGTTGGCGACGTCTTCCTTGCTGCTGCTTTCCTTGCATACGGTGGTCTGTACGATCAGCAGTACCGTAAGGCTATGCTTGAAGATTGGGCCTTCCAGCTCGCAGCTTCTAGCATCCACCACAAACCTCATAACCCCATGGCCGAATACCTCTCTACCGCAGATGACAGACTGCAATGGCAGCAAAATTCGTTGCCTGTTGATGACCTCTGCACAGAGAATGCCATCATGCTACAGCGTTTCAACAGATACCCTCTTATCATTGATCCTTCAGGTCGTACTGTTGAGTTCTTGCAAAACGAGTGCAAGGATCGTAGATTGACCGTCACAAGTTTCCTCGACAGCTCATTCACCAAACAGTTGGAGAGTTCGCTGCGATTCGGCAACCCTATTCTCATTCAGGATGCTGAACATCTAGACCCCATTCTAAACCATGTTCTCAACAAGGAGTACCAAAAGACTGGTGGTCGTGTGCTGATTCAACTTGGAAGACAAGAGATTGATTTCTCACCTGCCTTCCGTCTCTATCTCACGACAAGAGACCCTTCGGCGACGTTTGCACCAGACATCTGCAGTAGAACCACTTTTGTCAACTTCACGGTTACTCAAAGCAGTCTGCGCACCCAGGCTCTCAATGATGTGCTCAAATCGGAGCGTCCTGATGTTGATGAAAGACGTACCAACCTTGTCAAGACTCAAGGTGAATTCAGATTGCGTCTTCGTCATCTCGAGAAGCAGCTTCTTCGCGCCCTCAACGAGTCTCAAGGAAACATCCTCGATGACGACAAGGTCATTCAAACACTCGAGACCCTCAAAAAGGAAGCTAGCGAAATTGCGATCAAGGCTGCCGAAACGGATGGTGTCATGACAGAGGTGGAGCGTATCACCATGTCTTACGATGTCATTGCACAGTCATGTTCCGCAATCTTTGCTGTGCTCGACCAGTTGCACCACATCAACCACTTCTACCAATTCTCATTGCAGTACTTTGTGGATATCTTCCACACTGTACTTCGCGCTTCCAAGAGTGGACCCGCTGCGAGCCACGAGAATAGAGTTGATGCTATCATCAAGGAAATATTCATCAGTACCTATCGCAGCACTGCTCTCACTCTGCTGCAAAAGGACCGCATCACTTTTGCCATGCTGCTCGCGCAAGCCTCGCCTCTCAAAATGGATAAGTCTTTGATCGACAAGGTGTTGGACGAGGATCTGAAGGGCGTCGACTTGTCAACGAATCCCGAACTCAGAGAAGAAGCCATGGCACGTGCATCATCCATCAGACAGTTCAAGGATGGTCTTAGTCAAGTACCTGAAGAGGAGTGGGACACTTTCTTCTCGGCCGAGTTTCCTGAAAAGAATGTGCCCGTGCTTGGAGAGACGGACAACGAGCTCGACCGAAGACTTCTCAATCTCTTACTCATCAAGATCTTGCGCGTTGATCGTCTCGTTCCTGCTGCTGAAGTGTTCATCACATCCCTCTTCGGTGCCGCTATGCTTGACGTCAGTGATGATCTCAGCCGTATCGTCAAGGAAGTTACAGCTCACACACCTATCGCACTTTCCTCGTCACCTGGCTTTGACGCAAGTTACAAGGTCGATCAGCTGGTGGAGCGCACAGCTTCTCGCTGTGCAAACGTCGCTATGGGTTCCAATGAGTCATTGGCCAATGCTGACGCCGCTCTTGCCAATGCTGCAGCAACTGGCTCGTGGGTCATGGTCAAGAACGTTCATTTGGCCGCTCACTGGCTCCAGAACCTGGAGAAGAGGATCGATAGTCTTAAGCCTCATCCTGACTTCAGACTCTTCTTGTCAATGGAGAGCTCTCCTAAGATCCCTGTCAATCTGTTGAGAGCATCAAGAGTCTTGAGTTACGAGCAACCTGCTGGTATTAGAGCCAACATGCGCGATTCAATGGCTTCGCTCAAGGAGGCTGGGTCCCAACAACCTGTCGAGAAGGCTAGAGTGTACTTCTTACTCGCCTTCTTGCATGCTGTGGTCCAAGAGCGTCTGAGATACGCCCCTCGCCTTGGCTGGAGTGGCTTCTGGGAGTTCAACGATAGTGATTTCGAGTGCTCGATCTTCATCATCGACACCTGGATGACAACCGTTGCTGGTAACCGCTCAAACATCGCTCCCAACTCTATCCCTTGGTCCCTCTTGCGCATCATGGTCACCGAGACCTACGGCGGCAAGATCGACAGCGCCTCCGATTTCTCGGTCCTGTCGCAATTGGTCTCCTCAGTGCTCACTCCCGCTGCCTTTGACGAGAACTTTGCTCTACAACAAGGCCTTACCGTGCCTAATGGTACCACGAAGCGAGATTTTGAGGCTTGGATCAAGGGTCTACCCGAGCGTGAGCCACCTACTTATCTCGGTCTTGAGGCCAACGCCGAAAAGTTGCTGCTTGTTGCGCATGCGGATGAGATGTGCGAGGGTCTGCGTCGTGTGATGGAAGTGCTGGACGAGGGTGAAGCGGTCATGGCAGAAGCTGCCGAGGTGGTGGAAGTCGAGTAGATGATGGTGTAGCTCATGAAGAGGGAGTTTTGTCGTTCATGCTAGCACTTGTGTTTTTTTTGACGTATTTGTGGTTTTCTATTTGCATTGCAATGGTGTTTTTGTGGGTTAGCGGTATTACAAATGTTTCTTATTCATGTCTCGTCTCTTGTTGTTGGTATTGATTGTTATGATGCATTTGGTGGAGTCATATCATGTTCTTTCTTATTACAAGTCATCGGAGAGCACCCTTGTCACCGTCATGTTGTCTTTCAAGATGCAATAAACTGGAGCAGACTTGGGTTGAATGAGGTGAAGGGTGAGCTTCCAAGGTCACAAATGCACTGGAACATGGAATGATAGAGTTGGCAAAGTGTTATGATACTTTGCAAGAATATCCATTGCTACCGAGTCATGCCAGTAAGAATCGAAAAGGAAGGCGATGGCCTCAATCAACCGTGTCTTGTGTGTCACACCACGTTCTCCATCTCAATGCCCCATCAATCAGAACTTTCTCTTTCTTTTCGCAGGTGGTCTTTTGGAAGTAACGTTGGCTCGAACGTTTGGCTTGGAACCAGCCTTGATTGTTCGAGTGGTCAACTCTTCGACTTGGGCGCTGAGCTTCGTGATTTGTGCTTCTTTCCTCGCCTTCTGACCCTTGAGTTCTGCTTTCAGTCTCTTGCAATCCTCGTTTGTGCGATCGTCTTTGTCCTCCGGGGTCGAAGCGGCCTCGTACTTTGCCACCTTGAGCTTCTTGTCCAGCGTAGCTATTTCTCGTTGAAGGCGGTTGATATCATGGCTGAACTTTTCTTTCGTGTCTTCTTCTCCTACATCTGCTTCTTGAGAAGCGGTCGGTGGAGGATACGGGCGTTTCGCGTGTTGCATGAGGGTATGCTCTTGTTTTGGAGAAAGAATCACGGCGTGTGGCTCAGGAATAGTTGGCTTCGTCGCTGGGCCAAAAACAATTCCGAACTTCGGCAATAACGAGCGAATTGATCTCTTTAGGATTGTTAGCGTTGGAGTCAGTGTGGAAGTTGTCACTTACTCTTCCATATCTCCGGCAAGAGCTTTGTCATTCATATGCCAAACGATCTCGAGAAACACGTCTCGGTCTTCTGTATTAGTGAACTCCAGCCGGATACGGCCACCCGAAAGGTCGTCTTGAGTCCCAGCTAGAATGACTGTATGGGAGCGTCCTGTGTTGCATTAAATGGTCCGAGCATGCTGGCCGTCGAGCTTGACAATCATGTCGCCATGAAAAAGCACTTTACCATGCTCAAGGAAAACCATCGTCCTTAGGCCCCATGAGTAGCGGATGTATAGATCTTTCGACTCGCGCGCTCTCATGCGAAGCGATGATAAAGAAAGGACGGTCGTGTTCCGGAGGTCTGTATCCCTGTTTGTTTTCGCGGTTGGCAAGCGAGCCGAGTGTTTTGGAGGCGACGGTCGTTGAACAGCGGTATGCTTGGGCTTCGGAGCTTGCGGAATCGTTGACTGCTTATCGAGTGTGATCTGCTTCACCCGCAGTTCGCCTCTCAGTTCGGCTATGGTCTGGTGTAGAGCTTCGAGATTCTGTTGGAGTTGGTGAGAGTTCGCCTTCTCTTGATCCAGCTCGCGTTGGATCTTCTGCTGCATGAGACCCATGTCGTTGATAACGGCTAGCAGGTGAGTTGTCAGTGATAAGGAAGGGTCGGTGTCAGACATCTTAGGCAGTCGGCAGTGTGATGGAGGAGTTCAGATTGTGTTGGCAGATAGAAAGCGTGGATGCATTGAGCTCGAATTTGTTGAGAAGAGTGAAGGCGAGGTAGATGCGAGAAGGGAAGGAACATGTCACCAGGCGTCAGTCTGAAGCGGCAGACACGTGCATTCTCATGAAGCATCGCGCAACCATCGCACCTTCTCTGGTTGCGTCATGAAACATGTGAAAATTACTCGTGCAATGGCGCGACCCAAGTAAAATCTCTCATTTCTTGTACATGGTTGTTGCCGTGGAGTAAAAGATGACACCAGCCATCGCTATCACGACTCCGAGTATACTGTAGCCGCTGATGGCGCTACCAGTCCATATCCAACCCAAAGTCACGATAGTGACGGTCTTGGAATGACCCACCACAGTGCTGGCCACCGGACCTGCCCCGGCGATGATCGCGAATTGAGAGAGGTTGAGGAGGCATGCACAGAGACCACTCTGCTCAAATTAGCTGGGTTCAACGGAAACATACTAGAGACGTACCATCAAGATCATGATCCAGCGATGCAGTGGTACTTCGCTAAAGACTGGCAGAGTATCTACAAACGGTATCAGGTATATGAGCAATATTCCTCCAAGCAGCGACTGATTGTGGAGTAATTGTAAGCTTGTCATCTGGAGCTTATGATGATAGTGGCCAATCCAACATGTGTAGATACCGCTCATGAGAACGCCGCTCATGGCGAAGACGACACCGTAAAAGCTTGTCCCTTTGCTCGTGGATCCAGGCCTAACGTCAAAGTAGGTCACCATAGCCACGCCAGCACACACAGGAACCAGAGCGCATACAGCTTTTCTTGGGATGGTCTTCTGGTACAGAACGTAGTTCAAGAACGCAGTGATGGGCGTCAGTAAGACTCTGGCGGTTTGGTAGAAGGTGATAGACGAGTAGGCGAGAGAGAGGTTCGGGAGGATGACATTCAGGCACATAGCTGCGGCAAGCGGAAGGATGTCCCGAAGTGCTGCTCGCTTTCGATCGAAAAAGCCGAATCTCGTCGATGACACAGTATGAAGAGTGGCAAACGTGACGAGGAAGTGGAAGGTTGCAAAAGAGACCTGGGCTCCACGGAAGGAAGGGTCGTCGAAGATGGACTTGTTGATGAAGACGATGGCTGTAGTGGCAATAATGTTGACGGCAATCCAGGACAACAATTTCGATGGTTTCTTCTCTGGAGCAAGCACGTATTGGCCTTCTTCATCGAGGGGTTCCTTCTCATTTAGCAACTCATCGGTTTCCTGATTTTCCATCTCGAGGTCATTCCGCTGTTCAAAACATGCAGGCCTTTCAATCTTGACGGTCTCAACCGCTGTCTCGTACGAAGTAGCCATGATTGCGATAGTTTTGAAGAATCGAATCAGCTCGAGGATAGGGTTGCTTTTGTATCCAATTCCAAGAAGCCATCGCAATACCAACACGAGGGCGTTGTAAACCGAGACATGTATTCGAACCTACAAAGGGAGGATTACGAGCTACACGAGCGGTGGATTGTGAAATCTGACTTCAAGGATTCCTCGCAAGTCAAGACAGAGGTGTCAGGCATGTGCAAAGGGATAAAAGGCAGGGGCTTTTTGGAGCTGAGAACCCTCCAGGGGTCTCTTGAGCACGGACCAATTTCCCCAAATCTGCCCTAGCCACCTCAGATGATCGCGCCCGCCTGTTTCCACATCAGTGCCACCACAATTACGGGCGATCATGGCAAGCGTCACAGAGTGCGATCTTGCCATTTTCCGTTCTCTCCTTTGTCCCAGTACGAGCTTCTTTGCTGCATGAACGATGGTCACAAAAACGGTCTCGTATAGCTTCGATTCAGTATGATGTTCATCTCACGTCCTCCGCAGAACATCATCCACACCGTCTCTTATGATGCGAATCTACCTACCCTGGCTTCCGTGCCTTACAGGCGTGCATGTGTTCAAAGACGAGATTCCTTACACACCGACCAATGTACGATGAATTCCTTTGATCTTTCACTACGCAAGGAGTATCATACTCCCAATCATTGATATCAGGATGTCTGCTTGTCCAAGATTTCTTTCTCGATGCGCCTCTACTTTGACTAAACATGCCCTGCTCAATCCCATCAAAGAGTGGGTTGGATCACGGTTGCAAGAAATGTTCTGGCTGACCAGGCTCCAGCGNNTTGAAAGATCATGCTTCCATCTGGGAAGATGCTCCATTCCTTCAAGGGTCAACTCGGTTTGAGCCTCAGTCCGAGATCAACAACATCATGATCACAGGCGGTGCTGGTTTCATGTAAGCAGCTAGCCGACCTGATGTCCTCAAATCACGCTGATATCTGTAGCNNGCGTCATGGGTTGTACGACACCTTACCAAAACCTACCATGGCCACTACAACATCATCTCGTTCGATAAATTGGACTACTGTGCAACACTCAATAACACAGCAAAATTGGACAAGAAGCCAAATTTCATCTTTTGCAAAGGCGACATCACCAAACACGAGGATGTAATGGACTGCCTGCGAAAGCACGACATCGACACAGTCATGCATTTCGCCGCCCAAACACATGTTGATCTGTCTTTTGGCAACTCGAACGATTTCACCAGCACCAACGTTGTCGGCACTCATGTCCTGCTCGAATGCGTCAAGTTGCACCGGGTCCAAAGGTTCATCCACGTATCCACCGATGAAGTGTATGGAGAAGTCAAAGATGGCGGAAAAGATCTTCTGGAGGACGCCCTACTTCTCCCGACGAACCCATATGCGGCATCCAAGGCAGCTGCGGAGATGTATGTAGAAGCTTATCGCAAANGCTTCCAGGTCCCGGCTATTGTCGTGCGTAGCAACAATGTTTACGGACCACACCAATTTCCTGAGAAGGTTATCCCCAAGTTCTCTATGCTCTTACAGCGCAACCAGAAACTGTCACTTCACGGCGATGGGACGCATACCAGGAGATATCTTTATGCTGGCGATGCAGCTGATGCGTTCGACACCATACTCCACAAAGGTCGAGTTGGTCATATATATAACGTTGGCTCTTCGGACGAGATTTCCAACTTCACGCTCTGCTCTATGCTGTTGGGAGAGTTCGAACTTTCCAACGAAACCAAAGACGAAGTCTACGAACACGTGGTCCACTGCGAGGATCGTCCTTTCAACGATCATCGATATGCTGTGGATGGCTCAAAACTCAAGCAGTTGGGATGGCAACAGAAGATGCCGTTCAAAGAAGGTCTTCGTACCACCGTCGACTGGTACCGGAAATATGGCGCAACATGGTGGGGCGACATATCAGACCGGCTCACTCCATTCCCTACAGTACCGTCAGAAGAGCAGATTGATCGGGCAAGAGACACAGAGCTGGCGAGCTCTCCTATCAGGCAGAAGAAGAACGGAAAGCGTGGATTCGATGATGTCGATGGATCGCCAGACGTGAAAAGACGCAAAGAACATGAACACATCGACTCTGTTCTTGGTGCAGTCAAAGCCTAACTCGACTGGTAGCAACTATTGCGAGAAATGATAATGCTTTACGATCTATCACCAGTATGTTTCCTGGGCCGTGATAGAATGGCGTTCCTTGGGAGAAGATGTTTCCACAGCCGAAAATCGATTATTGTGCAACTCCTGCGAACGTCACGATGGGTATCTTCCTTTGGCCAGTCTGGTCTCTGTGTCTCGGCTCACTGCTTGATTGCTGCGTTCTGCTATCTCGTGTGCGTATGTACCCATGTCCCGCTGTATGTCAACCAATGCCATAAATTACCCTCAAGTTTGCTGGTTTGGTGAGGTCTCTCTGTACTATCTTGCTTGTGGCAAACTCATGTGTTCCAGAAGCCAGCTTGATTTCCTAGTCAGCTCGGTGATTCATTATATAGACCTTTGTCGTCTACTCGCGGTACACTGACAATATCGTGCCTGTCGAACGAGTTTGTCGTCATTGCTCTTAAGGTTGCCGATGCCTTTGAATTCCTTGTTTTTGTTGCTTGACAGACGGCGTGGTTATGACCATGCACAGAAGAGAAGTGAAACTAGCTCATCATGGCCCTCTGGGGTCAGGAAAGACCCTGATAATAGCCGTGCAGCTCGTGAGAGTCGCCCAAGGGTAGCTCAAGAAGGGCCTTGTAGGACTTGCTGCTGTCGCCCTATTTCCGACACACGAGACTGCCATGGCAGCAGAAATGTTGTTGGAAGCTCTGGTTTTCGGAGGGAACGTCCACACTATCACTGCAATTGGCGGCACAGAACGCACACAAGCCATCGCAGCTGGTGGCATGACCACACAGCCAAAAACCTCCTCGGAACTCCTGAAAAGTGGTAGATCATTCGAAAAGCACCCACAAACCCTTCACCACCATCGAGATTCTTTGCCTCAATACAGTCGACGACCTCCTATCTGACAGCGATCTCAAGGGCGTCATGTTGATCACGGACCATATGACTCGCGTGTGAATTCAAGTGTAAGCTTCCAGCTTCAGAGCGCCGCTTGTGAAGATCTTCGAAGGCGTCAGAATCAATGAGAAGTGGAACGTCGTCAAAGACCTTGATGGTGTTCTAGGCCTCGTGATCCGATCTTGGTGGTGACTCACGTCGCGGCACTAGGACTAAAGCTCCTGCCCGACAGCAAGCTCATGTACAAGAAGTACGTCAAAAGGGGTCAGTGACTATGCGCAATATTCGACACCATTTCATCGGCTCTGATTGGCTAGATGTTGACTGTAAAAAGGCATAAGCTTGAGCGGATCAGAGATGGTGCCACTGAGAGCAATGACTTAGTCGAAATTCAAGATTGTTTGCTGCTATCCCAGCCTTCTGTATATGTTGAAAACCAGCCATAAAAAGGCACAAACTTGTTCGAGATAGAGATAACACCAAGAAGGGCGTTAACTTCGTCAGAATTGTGGCCATTTTGACATCATCTCATGTCCGATAATAGCCTGAAAGTCATCTGTAAAAATGCACAAATTTTAACAGAATGGAGATGGTACCACAGAGAGCAATGACTTGGTCAAATTTTAGGTGATTTTGTTCTATCTCAAGCCTCTTAATGGCCTGAAAGTCACCTATCAAAATGCATAAACTTGTTTGAAAAAGAGAATTTACCAGAGAGAGTGTTTACTTAGTGAAAATTCTAGCTAATTTGCCCTATCCCAGCTCTACCAACTAGCTGATAGTTATCTACAAAAATGCATGATATTGAACGAAAATGGGGCAGCACCAGTGAGAGCATCTACTTAGTCAAATTCTTCAGCTGTTTCGTGCTATCTCAGCTCTACCAACTAGCTAATAGTCACCTATGAAAAGGCATAAAGTTGACCAAAACAGGGGCAGCACCAGAGAGAGCGTTTACTTAGTCAAAATTTGACATTTTTTTTTGGGGGTACAGTATTTTTTTGTGATTTCTTGCTATATAAACTGGGAAAATGACTAAGTATTCTCAATGTTTGCTTATTCTGAAGCACTCTCCTCGCTGTCAACGGGCTCAAAGGTCTTGAGCAAATCGTCCATGGTTAGCTTCTTGTGACCTGCGTTTACCTGATCAATCTCCTTCTTCTTGCGCTCCTTGATGTCGTTCATGTGCTCATCAACTGTGCCTGCAAGTGTCAAGTTGACAAACTCAGTCTCGTTTTCTTGGCCTATACGGTAAACCCTCGAAAAGGCTTGAATTTCACCAGCAGTGTTCCAGTAAGGGTCGACGTTGAGAACATATCTCGCGCAGGTCAAGTTGAGACCTTGGCCTCCAGTCTTCAATGTCGCGATCAGGATCTTGATCTTTGGGATATTCTTGAATTTGTCGATGTTGGCGTCGCGGGTCTTCTTGCTCATGCTACCGTGGAGAGTAACATATTCCCATTTCTCAGTCTCACAGATTCTGGTGAGCATGCCCAAGAAGTTTCTCCACTGGCAGAAGACGATGCATTTCGCATTCGGGTCACCACCGCTCTTGGGGTCGAGCCAATTCAGGATCTGGGCCTTCACAGCAAGAGTCTTGGTGGAAGGAAGGACATTGCCATCTGCATCGAGCCATTTGGGCTTGATAGCGGCTTGCGGATCAATTATCGATGACCTGGTAATCTGCTTTCCACAACCTGGTTTGATGCAGATTGCATAGTCGTGATTGAGACGGGCAGCGTCATGCATGAGGTCCTCGAGATGGGTGTGGCAGTAGAAGTGGTAGCATGAGGTCATGACCGGATGGTCGTTGCGACCACACCTGCAACATTGCGATCGTTCATTCGAGACATGGAAATTTGCACTGCGCTTGAACGATTCGATGTAGCTCTCATAGGCAACTTTCTTGCCATGCCCTTGGCCAGTGCCTGTCTTACTTTTGTTTTTCTTGATGATCTTGGGTGCCGTTAGTTCTTCAACCTCATCAATGCCTTCATCCAGCTCGTCGATGGGCGCCGAGGCTCTCATATCGAGTTTGATGCCGTTTGCATCTCGTGCTTCGGTTCTGGTGCGCTGTTTTCTCATGAGGTCTCTGAAGGCATGGATCGTGCTGATTGCAGTGTCACCTGAGGTAGACTGTCGTGCAGCCGCCTTTTCGAGTTTATCAAAATCGTCCAGTTCCAAATAGTCGCAAACCTTGATAGGCACCATCAGAGGGTGGGCTGTCAATTGGCGCAGGAGGGTGTGCATGGCCCAGATATGAAATTTGTTCGATCTCGTTTCTCCATTCTCATTGAGTGTTTGTGCTCTTTCCTTGAAGCGGGCACGAACAACATTGTAGATCTCGCACTCCAGCTTGGTTGGGTTGAGTATCAAAGACCTGTTGTGAGGCTTTGGGAGGGTAATAAGCCTGGCGTCAAACAGCGTGTCTTTGTGGGTAAAGCAGGCAACACTGTCAACCATCTCTTGGCTCAGAGTGTCAAGGCTCATCGGGTTTCTGACATTGCAGAAGCGTGACTTGAACGATTCGAACTTCATATGACGAACTGTAGGGTGTTCGATAAATTGCAACAAGCTGTACAAGTCTTTGCTCCCATTTATCATTCTAGGAACAATGTTAGCCGCATGCCAAAATATTCAGGTCAGGAAATTCACTCACGGTGTGCCTGTCAGCACCCACTTGTAGTCAGCAACGAGGTTGAAACATGCCTGAGCAATTTGAGTTTCAGGATTCGCGATTTGGTGTCCTTCGTCAAGAACAATGCGAAGAAACTTATACTTGTGGAGGGGTCCTCTCTTTTCCTGGATGTTCTCCAGCCAAAAGGCTGCTCTGTCGTCCTCGGCAAGACCCTCGGGAAATTCGCATTCTGGCCAGCTTCTTCTCACATCGTAATAGGTAGTCAGAACGATGTCGACTCTTTGGAAATGTAGAGGCTCGTGCTCTTCTGATAGACTGTCCCTGAATATGTGGATGTCTCCGAGTCCCCAGTCCGATCTTCTGTTCTCTCGTCTGGTATGGCGTCTTAATTCAATTTTCCACTGTCCAAGCAAGCTGGAGGGCACAACGATTAGGGTCGTGTGCGATTCGGGTTGCAGATGAGGAGGAAAGCTTGTCAGAGGCCTTCCGTTGACAATATTAGCAATGCAGGTCACAGTCTTGCCAAGACCCATCTGGTCTGCAATAATGCCTCCTTTGAGCTCGTCTGGACCCATTTCGCGATCTCTCATCCAGCCACAGTTGATCGTCTGGTAGGCTTTGAGCGGAGTGGTCATGCCTTTGACTTTCCATCCGCCCCTCACGGATGTGGTGCTTCTATTGTGCTTGGAGGTTCCGCTCTTGTTCGTAAAACACTGCGTTGCGTATTTCAGTCGTTTCAAGTCGAAACGCGCAGCCTCTCGTCCCACACGACCTCTGAGGCCCCTGAAGGCAGCGGCACGACCTCCGCCGCCCTTCTCGATCTCCTCATAAGTAGGCTCTGTGTTCATTTGCTCTGCAGCATCAGCATTCTCCCAGAAGTCGTGATGACCCATGAGATTAGGCTTCGACATCTTAGCAGGCTTGGATCTGCGTGCTGTGTGATATCCCTTGCGAGGCTGTGACTTGGAAGTTTTGGCCTTCTTCTTCTGGGGTGCTTCGGGTTCGAATAGTGGGTCCTCATCATCGGCTAGAAGGGCGGCCAAGTCGCGTTTTCTCTTGTTGTAGGCGGACTCTTTCTTCATGAATTCCTGCTCTTCTTCTGGAGTGACTTTACCAGCCTTCTGCCTCTTCTCAAATTTTCTCTTGTCTTGCAGAAATTGACGTTCTTGTTCGAGTGGATCTTGCATTGCTGCTTCGGGACTTGTGTTTTCTTGAACGGCGTCCTGGCTCTCCTGATTCTCCTGGTGGTGATTAAATTGCGCGAATAGAGCCTGTTGCATGGCGTTGAGGGCGTCACTGTCCATTGCTTCGGATGATGGCGCGGTCTGTCTGGGCTGTAAGATGCTGTTGCCCAATGCGGCGGCTGTAATTGGAGCGTGGTTTGGAGTCGGTGGTGCAGGATCAGGCTCGATCTTGACTTTCACCTCTTCTTGATCGGTGTAAGTCTCGTAAGTTGTGTTGTAAGACTCCGGTTCGTTTCCGACGTCGATGATCTCAACGCCGTGGGGATTTCGTTCTTGCTCTTTTCGGGACTCATGGTTCTACAAAGAGTTAGCATCTCAAGAACGCTGCATGGCTTTTGGTATGGCTATAAAAATGCACAGTACTTTGTCAAAGAGAGCAAAGTCCACGGAGAGCGAGCATTCGACCGGCTCTCTCTGGACTCAACTCCAGTCTCACAACAACTGTGCATTTTTATAGCCTACTGACAGCCCCTCTGCTTTTGCGGGAGCATCGCAAGGGGTGCCACGAAGTAGTGCTGAGTGAAAACTGTGAAGGAGTGGTACTTACGATGATGGTGTTTGGATCGATCGAGTGGATGGTTTGTGCAGCACAGCAGAGCTCGATCGCCGGCAGCGAGCCTCTGTATACTGTTGATAGAGTAAGAAGATGTTGTATGTGGGATGGAGTTGATGGATGTTGGAGATGTAAAGAGGTGTAGATGGATGTTGATGTTGAGGTAAAGGAGGAAGTGGAGTGGAAGGAGGTTTATATAGGCCGCCAGAGCACTGGAGAGTGAGGTACAGTCCTGTGATGGAGATCTGTGTGAAGGTGATGTGGTGATGTATGTGATTGAACAGGATTGGAAGGAATGAGAACTGAGGAGGAAGGAAGTAGGATTTGAGGAGGAGGTTTGATGTTGTTGTGGTAGGGGAGCAGGTGGTGAGGAGCAGAGTTTATATATGATTTCTGGACTTGGGATGTGAGTTTACCTGGAGTGAGCAGCGTGCTCCGAGAGCAACGGAACAGTGTCAGTCAGATGGATAGATAGGAAGGAAAGTAGAAGTAGAAGTTGTTGTGGAAGTAGAGATGGAGGTTGAAGAAGGAAGTTGATGTTGTGGTAGAGGAGGAAGTGGTGGAGAGGGAGGATTATAGGGCACTGCTGAACAGGAAGCTTACTCGAAGTGAAATAGAAGCTCTGAGAGCAGCCAGATAGTGTGTGAGTGGACGGAGTTGGGGTTGAGAAAGGAAGTTGGATGTTGGAGGAGGAAGTCGATGTTGATGTCAAGGTGTAGGAACAAGTGGTGGAGAGGAGGGCTTATATAGGATAGCTGGGCTCAAGATGTGAAGTGATGCTTACCTGCGAGAGTGATGAGAGCAGTGGAGAGTGGACGTTGTAGGATCGTGGGCAGTGGAGTTTAGAGGCTGATGTCGAGGTAAAGGAGCAGCCGGCCTCGGTGAGGTTTATATAGGACGACAAGCGTCGAGAATACCGAAGAAGGCGCCTTGCATAAAGTGATCAACTGAGACGACGATAGTACAACTCATAAAGATGCTTGCTTCCCTTCGAGAACCAGAGGAATGTCTTTGCACAGAGCATAATCACGGGAATTACCTAAAAAGAAAGGACAAGTACAGTTCGGTACCCTTGACCAATATTACGACCGGAAACCCGTGGAGCGAGGCGATACAATCCTCTGGTATACGCTTTCTGTGGTGACTGAACCGATAAGATTAAACAGGGTATCAAGGAGATAGTAATGGTACAGAAGAATGCCAGAAGAAGAAGCGCAGTCGCTATAGCACCGGTTCGAACGCCCAAAAGGTAAGCAGGTAACAAAGGAAACAATTTATCCAACCAGATCTCCTGATGCTGGATAGAACCACGCGCTGACGGCGATGATGATGTACACCGCCATCAACAAGATCCCCTCAAGCCAATGACTCTCGCCATCTTGAATGAGATAGTTGACCAAAAGCACAGCGATGAAGAGAACGGCGACCTGGAAGCCGTCGAAGTCGAGAGTCATGGCTTCGTTGCCCAAACCGCACCAGCTGATGACGACCATGAGAGGAAGGACGAGAAGGGCGATTTGCATACTTGAGCCGACGGCGACACCAATGGCGAGATCCATTTTGTCCTTGATGGCAACAGTGACGGCGGTTGCGTGTTCTNNATTGGTGGAATTAGTCTTTTCGTAGTCCATTATAAACATGTGACTCAACTTACCTGCAGCATTTCCAACGATGGGGACCAAAATAAGACCAACAAATTCCTCGGAGATGTGACCGTGCTCGACGATGTAGTCAATACCACTGACCATGAACTCAGAATTGAAGGCGATGAAGACTGTTGCAATAGTTAAGGTGACAAGAGCACCAATGATAGACAGCGCAGGCGACTCTTCCTCTTCGTCCTCGTTGTAAACAAGGTTAGATTGGTTGACTTGGCCTCCGGCTGAAGCAGCAGTACCGGCACCAATGCGAGCAATTCCCATCAGAGTTTCGCCCTTCTCGCGGGTGGAACCCTTCTTCTTCTCGGATTTTTGACTCGGGGTGTTGTAAATCTCGACATGAGTCTTGAGCTGGAAGACAAGGTAGGCAAAGTAGACAAGGAGCAAGATGATAGCTGTTCCTCGCGAGATGGGAGCAACACCACCGGCAGGGTTGTTACCGAATCTCTGGAAAGCGGTGGGGATGATCAATGAGCCGATCGAGACAGCAAGCATACTGGAGGCTGTTTGGGCAACAGTAATGTTGAAGTGCTGGACGACACGGTTGATGCCACCAAAGAAGAAACACATGCCCAGAACCAAGAGCAAGTTGGAGAGCATACTTCCGATCAAAGAAGTTTGGACAATAAGGATTTTGTTCTGTGCCAGAGCGATGATACTGACAATCAGCTCGGTAGCGTTACCAAAACTGGCATTGAGAAGACCTCCCAGCGTCTCACCAGTGTAAAAGGCAAGCTCTTCTGTTGCAAAGGACAGCATGGCGGCGAGGGGGATGATGGCAATAAAGTTGACGACGAAGACGGCATATCCGTTGGCGTGGGTGTACCGAAGAGCAAAACCGACAGGAACACAGACGAGAAGGACGTTGACCCATGAGCCGAGGAGAGTGGCCTTGAACTGGCTGACGACGCCAATCTTTGGCCGTCTCTTCTTCTTGGTGTCGCCAGTGTCGGAGCGTTCAAGGTCAGAGTTGTCCGTCTTGGTACGGTCAGGTGCACCGAGCAGATTCATGAGAGCCAGGCGCTTGCGTGGTTTGTGCTCAGGCTCTGTGACGTTCTTCTCGGACATGGAGCGAGAGTTGTCTCTGTCCAGTGGTAGGATTTCCTTTTCTCTGGACGGTTTGATATCGGACTGGCCGACAAGGGTTCCATTGGATGTGGGCGTATCGGAAGAGGTACTAGACTCTGGCGGCGCTGTGTTGGCATGGTGGGGATAGGCAAAGTCGGCATCATCTACATTGCGCGCATCGTTGCGCCTGATACTGCTATCTGACATGACTTGGTCTGCTGTATGGCGACGCTGCAGGTTGTTCTCCTCGTCTTGCAGGCGTCCAACATAGGATCGAGAGCGCCTGGCGAAAGGGTTGTAGTTGGCCTCACCGTCGGCTTGTCTCCAGGCAATGTTTCGGGCCTGGTGCTTGATTGAATCTTGGAAAGGCTTGTCAGTGGTGTCGAACTTGACAAGATAGACAAGAATCTAGGCTTACGCATTTCAATGCTTGATTGAAGAAGTCGCCAAGGATTAAGGTCTCGTGATGGAGGTTACCGAGGCAGATACGGCAGGGCGAAAGAGAAAAAGTAAAGGAAGCGGGAATTACAAAGTGGATGATGAGAGGAAGGCCTTGTATCTTGAATGCAGAGTGATGTTAGCACCGAAGTCTGAAAGTCAGGACGAAAGGTGCCGCCAGCGGCGAATAGCAGGCATCAAGCTGGTAAATTGGAGTTCTCTCGAACGTCCGAGGCGCGAAACAAGACGGTGAAAGGGCAGTCCTTGCGTAACTGATTTTCGCCTGGACGCAGGGCTGGGGGATGCTCTCTGATGTGATGAGCGTGGCTGTGCCCACGAGAAGCTGGGGAAGAAGTGGGTCGCTTGAAACAAAGGTACATACCGACAAGTGATGATGCGTGAAATCGGTTTGACGACTGAACAGACTGCGCGCCGTGTTGCAGCTGCTGGGATTACTGAGGCATGTCTTTAGGGATGAGGAAGAAGGAGAGAAGGTCAATGGCAGATGTAATCATCCTACGTCGGTGGTAGTGCAAACGAGCTCTTGCAACTCATTTCCCTGCTCGACCGCCAGACTCACCCAGCTTGCATCGCAACCGCAGACTCCTGTCTTGGCAAGCCTCTAATCGTCACCTTGGTCGTTATTGGCTTTTTCGTTTCGGGCTTGGGCTTTCTTCTTTCTTGCGCTTGCCGCCCGCTGGAAATCAAGCTTCATGACATCAAGGCTCAGCCACTCGTTCGTTCGACCTTCACGACTGCGTGCTATGAGCTGGCGAGCGTCACAGACTGAGGCTGTGCAATGTGCTGTAAGCAATATCGGCCAGCGCTTTCGTGAGGTGATACGCTGAGGAGAGCGCTTGAGCAACGCCGAAACTTGACGCTGTGGAAAGAGCATCGCGCCAAGAGTGCCTCGGTATGCGATCATCATCATCTACCAGAAACAAAACACCATCTTTCTGTAACATGACACGAGCGTGAGACCATGCGAAGGGTTTCCTGAAGATCGCGCCCAGTACGTGAAGAGCCGACTCGGATACATTTCCTCATACTACTTGTACCACTCATTGCGGTATTGTTTACGCTTCCCGTTTTTGACAATTTGTCCCAGCAAATAATTACGGCATCATCATGGCTTCCGGGCAGATTTCTCACAGTCGAACACAAGAAGAAAGAAGTATACTAATCGAGTATCTCAACAATTGTATGAGCATTCACGCGCGCTTGCTGTCAAGTCCATCTGCAATGTAGGAAAATGTTCGCCGGGCAAGCCATATTGCTCTGAAGACCTTGCGTAGTTTTACGATAGGGGTCACACCCTGACCCTTTCACCATGAAGACGCCCTGTTCTCATCCTTGCCAGCAGATTACAACCCAGATCAAGGTGCGATACCTTCTGTCATTGGGTTTTCGACTGTGTTTCGTTTAGACCGATTGCTATGGTGGTTTGAATTGAGAGGTCTGTTTATGAAGTTTCATAGATGAAAGCGCACATCGGAATATCGCTCAAATTCATTTGATGAGACATCGCTGACAAAACGGTGCTTGAAGGACTCACATTAGCCACGCTCGATTGGCACGATCTTCATGACACCACATTCGCTGTTCTGTTCCATTTAATCCCCAAGAGCCCTGACTTCTCACCCTATGGTATCTTCCGAGCATCTCCAGCAAATATTGGCTGGTTACAAGCCCACCCATATCCATTTGACCTGCACAGTAGCACCATTTGGCTTCACAGTACTGTAGTTACGACCCTCGAGGTTGGGAATCCATTTGCTCATACGAGAGAGAATCCTCGAATTCGAAGGTATCGACTGTCCCAAGCGGGGTGTCATTGCTCGGACACGATACATGTGTACATATCACAACAAACCACCAACGCGTGAACTGTCGAGGTACGTGTATCACATATTCAACCAAGCTCGCACGGTGTATTACTTGTGGACCAAAATGATGCTCTGTTCATGCAGCTGCACCAGTTGGAGTAGTCTTCAATGAAACCGGGTTCCTGGGTCAGAGATACCTTTTCCGTATTCGAAGCATTGCTCCTTTCTCGAAACACGCGTGCAACCCATCACAAGAGTTTGATCGGTCGCCTTTCCACTTTCAATCTAAGCGATACAGCCGCACGGCACGCCCGCTGTTGCGCAAGCCTTTTGCAGTGTTTTCGAGACTAGAGCGTGAAAAACGCAGTCTAATGCAAGTTGACAGGTGTTTTCGCCAGCCGTGCACCCCTGAGAAACGGCGGCGTGGGCGAGTTTCTGGAGATTGAGTTACATCAGGCTTCTTGCATGCAGAAAAGCCATGCACAGGTGCATGCAAACCGCGATCACTGACAAACAACATAATGGATGCTAGTACACAGACTGAGATGGAAGATTGAAGGACTTTGACGAACAGACAGAGATGTCAGAAAGATGATCCCCGACGCTTCATCGGAGCTATCGCTCAACTTGGTTAGAAAGTATCGGTACCAGCGAATCACGACGATCAATGGATTTTTTGTTTGTGGGGGTTGACAGGGGTGATTGGGTTTCTGACTTCGATCTTGTCCTGGCACCGCTGGTATCTTCAGCCCAGGCCTCCCGTCGTCCAACAATGGCGGCGCCTGTAGAGCATATCAAATCAGCCCGCCCTTGCTCGGGACTGCAGGCCGTTAGCCAGCACAACCGTCCGGGATGATTGCGGATACAGGAGGGCAAGGAAAGCAACGTCTTCGATTTACCTTATGTTGTCTCTTTGTCGCTCTCCATGTGTTGACTCTTTCTCTCTACCTGCCTTGATTGCCTTTGTCGACTTGCTGCTGTTACATTGATAGCCGTTTGGCTGCCTTCCATTCCTTACAGTTTCTATCATCTGGTCTATACCAACATCTAGAATGCCATTCATGAACAGACTCCGCGTCCTCGCTGTGGCCTCTTTACTATTGAGAGCCGTCTCAGCTCAGACTTGCTTTTACCCAGATGGCCTGACTACCTCAGACGACATACCATGCAACAGTAATGCAAAGGCTTCATCATGTTGCCCTACTGGATCTTTTTGCATGGACAACGGTTTGTGCTTCGGAGGTGGTGTTGTGTCTCGATCTTCGTGTACCGATCAAGCATGGGCATCCCCAGAGTGTGCTCGCTATTGTCATGATGGTATTGTCCATCCTGTTTNNACAAAGTAAAGGACTGTGCTGACCANNAGTATCTTAGTCAATGAATCAAGTGCTATCGGCTTGACAGCCTGCGACGCAAATTCGCGGACGTTCGTCTGCGGCTTGAACAACAGCCAGTGTCAAAGTACGCGCTCGACCTTTACCATGACCGATGGCAATGCCCTGGTATTACGCCCAGCACAGATTGAAGCTCTCACTTCGAATGACTCGACCCCATCCAACGAGAACGGCCACCAGTATGGCGTAGGATCGATGATTGGAGTCGCTTTGGGGGTCGGACTTCCTCTGGCTTTCGCGTTGCTCATGGCTCTGTTGGTGCTGAGAAAGGAGAGACAGAGACATGTTCTTCAAAACATGTTCGAGCAGCGCCTGGAGCCGATTGGTCCTCCTGGAAACTACCGAAGGCGTTCATTCTCTACACTTTCAAAGTCTGGTACGATGACAACTATCGGGTCAGCCTCAACATTTGTGCCTCAACAACCCAAAGCGTCTCTGCAAAAGTTTGGCTACCACAAAGGATACTATGCTCACGAGGGCGACCTTAGTGTACCTGTCTTTGAGCTACCCTCGAATCCTCCAGAGAGACATGAGAGGGTCGAAGCACCATGATCTGGTGGTCAGATGCTGCAATTTTTTCTTTGTTTTGGTCACTGGAGTTTGGGTCATCCTCGGGCAAGACCCTTGAGAGATGGGAAGGTCATGAGAATGTTTGCTTATACCCATGTTGCGCTTCACGGAAGTCCGTTGTTCATATTCTTCTGCTATGTCGATTCATTTGCAAATCTCTATTACATCACTTTCTTCTCTAGGCGACAGGCCAAGGTATATTTGAATTGTGCATATCATGACTGAGCAGAGTTTGCATAGTGTAGGTGAGCTTGGCTGTTGAAGAAAGAACCCAGGAAAGAGACATGCTGGTGCCTTCTGGTAGCCCCTGCCTTGACCTAGTGACGACGCCACACTCGAACCCGTCTTTCGGGTCGATATCTACAAAGACTTCGCCAACAGCAATTGCATCAGACAAATCAGGCATTACCTTTTACACTGTATCCTCGAACAACATGATTTTGTTCCTTCTCTTCTTACTTTACATTCTGCATGCAGCTGATGGCCTTCCTCTCAACTCGCCGTTGCTGGACTCGTACGATTACATCAGTAAGCCACAACCACACCATCAAAGTCAAGTACCAGCAGCTAACTCATGTANNGTTGTCGGAGGCGGTCCAAGTGGACTTACAGTCGCGAATCGTCTCTCCGAGAACCCTGCGGTCAATGTGTTGCTGCTTGAAGCTGGCCCGGCGGACAACCATGAGCCTTGGATTCAGATACCATTCTTTGCGGGACAAGGCGTCGGTAGCTCTTTGGATTGGAATCTGATGACCGCGCCTCAGACTTACCTGGACGGAAGGAGTCGTGCACTGCCTCAAGGCAGAGTTCTCGGTGGTGGTACCGTCCTCAACGCCATGCTGTAGAACAGAGGCGGCATTGGCGACTACGATGATTGGGTGACTCTCGGCAATCCTGGGTGGAGTTTCTGGGAGCTACTTCCCTACTTCTGCAAGGTAAGGGACCTCAAGGTGCTTCGTTGGGCCCAGATGCTGACGAGAGATACTAGANGCGAGACCTCCACGCCCCATGCACAGAGTGACGCCGCCAACGCAGTCGGCATCAACCAGAACCCACTCGTCCACGGCAACAGCGGGTCTGTCAATGTCAGCTTCTCGAGCCACATCTATAATGAGACTGTCAATTTCTTCTCGGCGCTGAATGAGCTTCGCATGCCAGTATCCTACGATCCCAACGACGGCGTAACCGCTGGTGCATCCTTTCTACCATTGTCACTCAACCCAGCAAACCAAACAAGATGTGATGCTCGCTCAGCATACTTCGAGCCGTATTCTGCGAGGCCGAATCTCTGGATCTCGACCAACCAGCACGTAACACGCATCTTGTTCGACGGAGGATCTGGCAACCCAAACACAACGACACCCATTCCTGGCGATGATAGCGTGGGTCAGGGCAGCTCATTCTCCAGACCTGATGGCCTGTTTTCCAACATTACTCAGAATGCCATCACCTCAAAACGCCGAAGAGCATGGCCTATCCGGTATATTCTCGAGGCTGTCGGTCTTCGTTTCTTTCCGCAAAAACGAGAGCCGACCAATACACCTGTGACGTCTCTCGGAGGCCTACTGCGAGCCAATGGAGTCGAGGTCAGTGTTCATGGCACCTCTTGATTCAGACATCCGACCATCACTGACTGCCTCTAGTTTGCTTCAGCTGCTTCCGCTCCGAGAAAGAACATCACAGCCATCAGAGAGATCATCGTAGCTGCAGGGGCAATACATACGCCCCAACTCCTGAAGCTTTCTGGGCTTGGTCCCTCGAGCGAGTTACGGCCACTCCAGATCCCCGTTTTGGTGGACCTTCCTGGTGTTGGCATGAACCTTCAAGATCACGCCCTTGTTGGAGTCTTTTGTAAGCAGATGACTTTCCGTTAAAAAGCAGCCCTAACAATATTGGCAGACCCTTACCAGAAACCCACGTCTTTGACGAGTGTACAGATTGCAACCAACTACACACTGATGAGCCAGTTTGGTGCCATGTACCAAGCAAACAGAACTGCTCCTTGGACAGCTGGACCTCCAGATGGAAACGCATTCCCCGCCCTCTCGATTTTGACCAACAGATCCTTCTCAATCGTCACCAGAGCCCAGACGCAGAAAGCCATGGATTACCTTCCAACAGACATTCATCCGAATGTACTCGCAGGCTTCGACGCTCAGCGCCAGCTGTTAATCAAAGCATTGCAAGACCCAAAGAGGGCGGCGTATGAATTGCTGAACTTCAACTATGGTGCTTTCTCAAATGTGAATATGAGGCCATTCTCTCGCGGTACTGTCAAGGTAAGCAAAACATCCTGGTTCAGTGGCTGGAAGAATATTGCTGACCATATGTGCAGCNTCAACTCATCACGTCCTTTCGACCCTCCGTTAGTTGATCCCCGGTACGGCTCGAACCCAGTAGATCTTGATGTATTACTGGCCTCGATTGTGTACAACCGTCAAGTGCTCGCCACGACATCGATGAAACTGCTACAGCCCCTCCAACTCAATCCCGGTCCAAACGCTTCTGACCAGCAGATCTTGGACTTCATTAAAGCCAACCTACAGACAGAGTTTCATCCAAGTGGTACTTGTGCCATGTTACCTCTTGATTCGGGTGGAGTCGTGGATCCACAGCTACTTGTGTATGGCACCCAGAACCTGAGGATAGTCGATGGGTCGATCATGCCTGTTATCCCCGCCAGCCATCTCCAAGCTGTGGTATATGGCATAGCCGAGAAGGTCAGAACCGCANAAAGTACTTTTGCCACACACAGACTGACAGTAGAGCAGGCTGCAGACATTATCAAGAACGCAACTTCGNGCACTACCACCCAGAGGACAACCGCCGGCATCGCCATCCGTGCCGAACACGAATCAAGCTGCTGCACCTATAGCCCAAGCACCGCCCGTATCCTTGATCTCGTCTGCAATTCCGTCTTCGCCGACAGTACTAGCACCACCTTTAGCCTCATTGTCAAAGTCCACTTCCTCGACTTCCGTAGCATCGCCTCCGCCAGTTTTACAGTCGACTCTCCCACAGCCGTCGACCTCGTCGTTGTTACGGTCATCGACATCTTCTTCTTTGCGATTACCAACACAGTCTTCGCCACAGCCATCAACGGCAGCTCTGGCTAGTACACTACCACCTGGTGCCATTCCATCGCTCTCTCTTGCAACGGCGGCATCTTGTACACATCCGTCAACATTCTCATGCACATGTTCATCTGCGTGCACATGTGTATCAGTATGCACTTGCGGAGCGACGATAACGCCGGCATCGTCCAAGATAGTGACCACGGCACCAACTTCCTCGGCTTCGATGTCCGTCTTATCTAAATCATCATCTTTCCAAAGCTCCAGTTCGGCAGCCGTGGCTTGCCCACATCCATTAACATCGTCTTGTCCACCTGTACCTGTTTCAACCACGACGGCTTCACCGACCCTGGCTCTTACATACGCGCCAATGTCACCTTCGACGTCAAGCACAAGATTGATCATGTCTTCCTCTTTGTCCACTATGACCGTATCCCAAACGTCGGCATCCTCGGCATTGTTGACTTCCGTACGCTCCGGTAGCTCCTCTACAAAGCGCTCCTCAAGCTCTTCTTCAAGGCGCTCTTCAAGCTCGTCTTCAGGCCGTTCTTCCAGCTTCTCCTCAGGACGCTCATCATCGTGGAGTCAATCATATATATCGGTCTTCACAAGTCAGTCGAGGACCTCGTCATACCTGTCTTCCTCTTCTTTTGCCAGCAGTTCTTGCCCACCAGCCAGCACATTCTGGGCAACAATGTATTTAGATTGATCCTCTCCCTCGTTGACTGGTACGATAATGCTGACACAAGTTTCTAGATGTCGCACAGTGCCGATCCACTAATACAGAGTCGTTAGAGCAGAACATCTGCACTTCAGAAGGGCTCTGCGTATGGGCACAATTGCGCCGTTTGCAATTCTGTATGAGGGTAAAATCACAATCATCGCTTGGAGTGAGTGTTTTTGCTCTGATTAATTATTCGAACGTATATATAGTGACGACCATGATAGCTTGATTATCTCTGTACTGGCAAGCAAGACGTGATGTGCATCGAGGAGGTTGGAACGAGCACAGACCATGCACTCGAAAGAACCATCACCCAATGTGCTCGCTCCTCTATCCTTCTCTCCTCTCGTCACAAAAGTCATGCACTTCTCCTTTCCCGAACATCTTCAAGCGTTGACGCGAGTGGTAGCCCTACAACTCAAAGTGTGTAGTATGCGCGAGATCCCGATTAGCTGCAGGTTAATAATATGTCTGCCTGCTTCGGCACTCCCCTTATCCTGCTTGTTTGCGGTCGGGAATCATTAAAGCAAACCAACGGAAGAAAGCCCACAGTTTGTGTCTTTAAGCTCTGAACCCGGCGGCTGGTGTCACAGTGGTTCGCAACGTTCCCACTTGCCGACATTGCTCTTGCGGCTCCGCATTAGCTGTGGAATGCAATTGCCTTTGTTGAGTTTCTCGAGGCTTCTTTCCTCAGCGTTCTTTGTTGTGACTCGACAAGCGTCGATTTGCAACACTGGTTGATGTGTGTTGAGCAACAGCACTTCTGAGTATCTTCTTACTGCGGCAGGAGCTATGGAGTCCCTCATTCTTTTTCGCGCCGATGAGTTGCCAATCAAGCCTTGCTTGAGATGTCCTCCGGATGCTTCTTATAGTGCCTGTTCCCGAAACATCGTGTCCTTTGTCCATTGATTACAGTTGATGTCACAACCAGTCGCCTTTTAGGACGGTCGGAGTCATGAAAGAATTCATCGCTTAGCCGCAAGCCACGATCAACAATCAAATGCCATTTCCTATGCCGGACAAATGGTTTGGAATCTCCGCACTTGACAAGGTATGAGCCATTTTCGAGGTTGTGCTTCGGAAGTACTGTGGGTGAGACGAGAGAACACTACTGATCTCCAGTGCATCAAGTATCTTGACGAACAGCAGCACTCACTCCGTACCGGCACATCAAGTCTTCTGGTCCGCCGGCAGTCGGTAGTCACCAGTAGTGATCATAGCAATACTCCTCAGGATGGCATACCAGGGCTCATACCACATCCTCTGGACACAGCAGACTCATCTCTTCAACGAGATTGATCTGCTTAAATATCACATTGCAGACGTAGAGCGACAACTGGTACGAGCCCAACAAACACTAAGTAGTTCAGACACGAAACGGCAGGACAGGAGAAAAGCCAAGTGGGTAGCCAATTCGCAACGAAAGTATCTCAAGGATCTGGAACGTGCTTTGCATTCTCTCCTATCCTCTCTGTCGGCCTGTCAGTCACAAATAGCTCGTGTTCACGTGGAGGCTTCCAGGCAAGCAGACCAATATGGCAGTGCGTGGACCACGTACCACGATTCTCAATACGAAGACACGACACCTACACAAGAAACCTATCGAATTCGAGCCCGATCTTCAAGTCCCGACTCTGGATTTTCAGAACCAGCTTTGTATGCTCAACCATTCGACATCGATCTTACTCAAGATCAAAGCAACCATACATTTTCCCATGAGCTCCAACACCCATCACCTCTTACCATAAACACCCAGGTTGTACACAAGACACCAATACCTATGCACACAACACCATTGAGCACTTCTGCGGAAGACTTCACCCTAACGCCAAAAGCATTCCACAAAGCCATAAGCCCTTTCGCTCCCCCTTTCAGCCCTTTTGTCTTTGCAAAAGCCAACCCACCAGATCCAGGTTTACCGATAAACTCAAAGCCGCTGTTTACACAGCCAACTTGGTCTTCTCCTTTGGACTGGAGCGAGCAAGTCGATGAAGAGATGACGCCCGTGTCGCCTAGAGCGAAGGTTGAGCAGCGGGCAAACGAAGGGTTCAAGAGACGCTATTCGGTTGCCGCGATTGAGTTGATCGAGAGTCGGTTGAGGCATAAGAGGCAGGTTAGTGATGTGGCCAGAGGATTGATGATGTAAGGGTGATTTGGGCAGGGTGATGCTATTTTGAGGATTGATATTTGATGCTGCAGTTTTTGTACTTTTTTCTGCCTCTTTATCTCTATGTACTTGGTTGATATACACAAAACATATGCATTTTGTTGCTTCAGAAGACTTGACTCGACGCATAGAGTTTGCCTGATCCCTGAATTCCGGAGCCCTCGGATTTTTGGTTACACAGCGAGTTGCCAGCTGAACCAAAGATCAGACTCGGTTCGGCAAGACACTTTTCGAAGGTCTCCACGAGAGGAAAATGGTATGGCATCGATTGTGATGTTTATGCTTGGTGATTACACTTTCGCAGGATGCTTCCGCTTTGAGCCGAGTTAGCGAAGCCAAGGATTGCGCATATAACATTCTCAGAAGCTATCATTGGCTGGACCGAAAAGAGGATATAATATTAAATCGACTGGCTTCCTATATAACTTTCCTTATATCTTCTTGCTGTCGCAAATACTTTTTGCGCAACATATCCTTGACTACCTAAGATAGGAATTCTCGAGGACCACGTGTTCTGGGGATATGTTTTCACCTCTGGATGGCCGCCTGCTTTGCTGCGATCCAGCCTTGATACTTTTCGTCAGCGTGTCGTTTGGCCGTGATGAGCCAAAAGTGCAGCAAAATGGATCCGAGAACTCGTCCTTGAGCGAAATGCGCATATCTGCAGAGCTGCTCTGCTTGCTGCCGACACTCTTGAAGATATTCTTCTTTCCCTGGCAGTCCACACTGGATCAAGACTGAATTCAGCTGGATTATCGTCGAGCAGTGCTGCGACATGAAGCCATGTACGGCTAGATTGTTGAAGTGATAGACCACCGGGAAGAGCTCGTCCTCGCCAGGAATTTCGATTGGCATGTTGTTTGTGGCTTTCAAGGCTACTATCCACTCGTCGTATAATCGTTTGACGGTCGTCCGTAGTTCTACGGTCTTCTTTATCAGCTCAAAGGCGTCGTACTGTCCGGCAGCGGTCCTCTGGGCATTGCGGATTAATCCTGGTATCTGGACGTGGATTCGGAACATGGACTCCCGAATATCTCCCTCCAGTGAGTCGGGATCGCGGGCTAGTGTGTTCCATTCTGGATCATCCAGGAAGCAGGCCTTGCGTTTATAGAAGGCTTCCATGACNCTGGTGTCTGGTTAGTATCTGGATGGGATATTCCGGACCTCGACACTCACGATATAATATCTGCACACGAGATACATGGAATAGTCGAAGCTCTTCCGGTCTGCGTATGCTTTTGGACCTCGTATCCGCATCATCTCGACCGAGCCGCCGGAGTGGCGTACCCATTCATCCTCTTTCCGATTTGACATAAGCTAGTTTGTTGGTCAGCTCGCAGCGGATCAGAAGACCTGATCCTTACTTACCTCATAAAATGTGAGTAGCATCACCGTACTCTGCAGCTCTGATTGTCCTGTGGTAGGAGCCACAAGAGCCTTTCGCAACGTCTGGAGTGCACCACCGTAGTATGCGCGACTGACGTTGATGATATGTGTGTCCTTCTTTCGCAATCCGAATTGCATACAGGCTACTGATCGCATTGCCAGATCGAGAGGCGTGGTTGAGCCAATGCGACCGTACACAAAAGAAAGCCAGTCCCGTATCATTGAAGGACCTTGTTTCGGTTCTGCTGAAGGCGGTGCAAACCCGTCAATCAAGGCAGCCATAACTTGGAGCTGTTCCGTCCGAGGTAGATGCAGCGACTTTACAGCTGGTTCCGGAGGAGTCGTCACGACAGCAGAATCTCTGCGCGTATCCAGCGAGCTGCCACTGCTAGTGCTCGATTCCGTTGGCGAGGCTGTGGATATCGAGTTGATGATTATAGGTCGCTCACGTTTCGACCCGCCTTGCACCATCTTGTTTCTAAACTGAAGCTCGCGGGTATAGCCCGGACACTGGCGTCCAGACTTTTCGCATTTTTGACAGGTCGGCCGTCCTTCATCGCACNNTGTCGCGTTCGGAGACTGGGTCAGACGTGAAGGTCCCTGGTAGTTTCCCAAGGGATGATGATGTACCTTGATCCGTCTTTTTACACACGCCGCACATCCTGTACTCCTCGGCACGCCCACCATATCTTCTGGACGGTAAACGAAACTTGTAATGCAGTGTAGGAAAGCAAAGAAGAATGGATCAGATTCAAGATAGAGAAAGCAGATGCGAGTCGCCCAATATTCTGGGTATCACTCTTTGTTGGTATTTGAGTTTAGCTGCTGATGAGAGCCAAGGCGGGGTCGTGAAGACAGAGTAGGCGACGATGGTGGAGAGGTGTTGGCCCGCGAGTCAAGACGAGGAAAGTGGAAATGTCGCGCTCGAGCCACCGGCTCCCTTTCCGTGTACTGCGTCGATGATCTTATCTGATCAAAGACCTTGTTCGTGCCCTAGCTCATAGTGGACCAGCAGTATAGAAGACACATTTCAGCAGACGTTGGATGCGAGAGGCGTACGAGACATTGCAATCATGTGCTTGGAGTCATGAACGTAGCCAAGCACGGCGTCACTATCACAGCTATTCTTAGCTTGAGGAAACTATTGAAAAAGCAAATTTGGTTGCTGCAAACAAAAACAGGAAAAACATGGGCTGCATTCGAGTGCTCTTGCAAAGGTCCTGCGAATCGAGACAAAGAGCACTTGCGTTAGCATGGTGACAGTGTCGAGGCATTGTTCAGCAGGATGAAGTCTGCCTTTCTGTTGGCAGAAGACCACAAGTTGAAGCCCGCGGGCACCGAGGCAAATAAGTGCCAAGACTAATCGTCCCAAAACGGTAGGTCAACCCGCTTCTGATGGAAAAAGAACATAACGGTCATCATTATCAGGCCAGTCGGAACGTTCTTCCTCCTCAACCCTGGATGTCAGTGGCGGTCGGGGCGTCATACCGCACCGGGAAGACATTTTACGTCGTCTTCCTTTGCTAATACCTCCCAAGGGCAAATCGAAGTATGAGTCTTTGCACAGTGGGTTTCATCCATCTTATATTTATATATTGGTAAGCGTTGCTGAGGTATTGTCCCTTTTACATGCGGCCGGTATTACTTTCCTCTTCGTTCTGCTTAATCGTTCACTGCTTATATCGACCGTTCTCTTGACTACACTTACTTCTGCTCGAGTACACATCACGGCCATGAAGAACGAATCGCCAGTCGATGATCAGGTACATTCTCCTGCCCTTAATCTCGAGGAAGAATCAGAAGAAGCTCGATGGGAGAGAAAGGGACGTGAAAGGCCAGAGAAATTCCAGTCAACGGCACAAGAAGTCGGCTTTATATTCGCCGTTGTCATGGCACAACTCATGTCCGAATTCTTCGTCTCTGGCTTTATCGTGCTTATACCAACTCTGGCCACTGAGCTCAACATACCTCCAGAGTCAACGACCTGGCCTGCAGGTGCTTTCTCCCTGGTCGTATCAACATTTCTACTCCCACTTGGAAGGATTGCCGATATGTATGGAGCTTACCCTGTCTACGTAGGCGGCATCGTCTGGACAGTGGTTTGGTCAATCATCGCAGGATTCTCGACTAATGAGATTATGCTGGATGTCTGTCGCGCGTTCCAAGGCTTTGGCCCAGCTGCATTCCTCCCGGCATCGATGGCTTTGCTCGGCAGCATATACAGGCCAGGTCCTCGAAAGAACCTCGTCTTTTCCATCTATGGCGCCATGGCTCCTTTAGGTTTCTTCGTGGGTATCTTCTTTGCAGGCATCTCAGCTCAATTTGCCAATTGGAGATGGTACTTCTGGATTGGCGCCATCATCAGTGCGTTCAGTGGACTGGCTGGATTCTTGACCATTCCCTCTGATGTTGCTGAGAGGCGAGCGATGAATGTCAAGATGGATTGGCTCGGAACTTTCACAATCTCTGTCGGTATCGTTCTGGTCGTTTTTGCCTTGACAGGATCTTCTGGAGCACCCCACGAATGGGCAACCGACTACATCATTGCAACCATGGTACTTGGTGTGATCTTCCTAGGCCTTTCAGTCTATGTGGAGGGATGGGTCGCCGAAGCACCCCTTCTGCCACCAGAGCTGTTCAAGATAAAGTACATGAAGCCTCTTGTTCTGGCTTTGCTGCTTACCTACGGCGGCTGTGGAATCTACCTCTTGTACGCAACAAATTACATGAGCGAGATCATGAACGGTTCTCCTATGCAGCTTGTCGCCTGGTGGTCTCCAGCTGCAATTGGAGGTTGTATCATTGCAACTGTTGGCGGCTTTGTGCTGCACTTGCTTCCTGGTACGATACTTATCGGCATTGCCTCAGTTGCATGGATTGCTGCACCATTGCTCTTCGCTCTCGTCCCCGTAGGTGGGCAAAACTTCTGGCCATGGGTGTTCCCAGCAATGGTGTGCTGTACGATTGGCATTGACATTACGTTCAACGTTACCAACATTTTCATCACAACGAGTCTGCCTACCCGTCAACAGGGACTTGCAGGTGCGCTTATCAACTCATTGCTCCAGTTGGGCATCGCGGTTGCTCTTGGTCTGGCAGACATAACCGTGTCTCAGACGGCGGACCAAGGTGTGGCACAGAAGTTCAAAAACGCATTTTGGCTTGAGGTTGGATTGGCGGGTGCGGCGCTTGTGGTGTTCCTTGGGTTTGTCAAGGTCGACAAGGCAAAGAGCCAAGCGACAGCAGATGAGAAGGTCCAAACATGACCAGCTGTTGACTACGTGTGGGCAGCGGAAGAAATAGATCAATATATGATAATGGTTGATAGACATGTCGAGTTAAAGAATATTTTCTTTGCATGTGATGTTGCGATAAGAACAGATTGGCGTAATCTCATTCATAACCGTATTCGGAGAGCGACAAAGCGTTGAAGCCAAGACTGGAAAACATTGCGACACCGTGAAAAGACGAGGTGGCAGTGAACTGGTTCAGCAGAATGGTGGTAGGAGATCACTACGTGTCGCGAAGATTAAATTGTGGATCGAGTAGGATGGAGAGTCCGAAGATTGGTACGGGGCCACGAATCCAAGTTTGAGGAGTGACTTCTGCGACCAAGGGGCCCGGCGGAACACGTGACGGCCGGATCTCTCAACTTCCAAGGAAGCTGGGGCTTCTTGTTGTTGCCCCCTTCGACTGTCCATACAAAGACTCTGTGCTTACATCTTCGACGGCCAGTGTCATATCACCGTAAGTCGCTCCATGAACAATCCCAGAACGAGCGCGAACTGCATCGCTGGCGCACACCGGCTCCGTCGGTCGAGTGCGCATCATTAGGGGTGTCATGTCTTGTGGACAAGTTGCGCTTCATCCATTGCGAAGTTGCTGCCTGTCTACCATTCACTTTCACCTGCCTGCAGCACAAAGAGCTGTCACGTTCGAATCTCAACCTCTCCTGGCTCCGTCCGCTGACTGTCACTTGTCCCTTGCAACAGGCTACACTATCATACCCAAATAACCACCACCCACACGACAACACCGCCAACATGGGTCTCACATTCTCGCGTCTGTTCGACCGTCTCTGGGGAAAGAAGGAGATGAGAATTCTCATGGTCGGTCTCGATGCCGCCGGAAAGACCACCATCCTCTACAAGCTGAAGCTCGGTGAAATCGTCACTACCATCCCCACAATCGGTCCGTGTCCTCCTCCATTGCTCTCCGTCAGACTCGAGAAATTGACTTGAGCGCTTGTCTGCANNGGTTTCAACGTCGAGACTGTCGAGTACAAGAACATTCAGTTCACCGTCTGGGATGTCGGCGGTCAAGACAAGATCCGTCCCCTCTGGAGACATTACTTCCAGAACACCCAGGGTATCATCTTCGTCGTCGACAGCAACGATCGTGACCGTGTCGTCGAGGCTCGTGAGGAGCTGCAGCGCATGCTCAACGAGGACGAGCTGAGAGATGCTCTCCTCCTGGTCTTCGCCAACAAGCAGGATCTTCCTGTAAGTTTCTGATTTCCATCGACATCACAAGATTTACGCTGACATTGTCTTGCTAGANACGCCATGAACGCCGCCGAGATCACCGACAAGCTCGGCCTGCACAGCTTGAGACAGCGCGCCTGGGTAAGCTTAATGTCGCATTTTCAATCGACGACTCTTCCTCTGACATTCATCTACAGTNACATTCAATCCACCTGCGCCACTTCCGGTGACGGTCTTTACGAGGGTCTGGAATGGTTGAGCAACTCGCTCCGCAAGGCTGGTCACCAGTAGACAATATCCCCAGCTTGAACCTTGTGTCCGTTTTTGCCGCGCCTCAATTCATGTCTCTCAACCTTTCCCTCTCCGTCTTTACGATCCGAGGACCTTTCTCTCCTTCGACCTCTTTCCCCACGTGCGACTACCACTCCGATACCAACCAATATCAACAGAAAAGCGACTCAAAAATGGAATGACGAGAAAAAGAAAAAGAGTGTCATGACTCGAAAGCACAACCGACTCTCTTAGAACTCTCTGCCTTTGCTTGTCGACCATTCAAGGTAAAAGGAAAGGGGACAAAGGACAAAGGGCGGGACAAGACCAAAACCCGGAAGTTGAATGTCAACATTTTGGCCGAGGGGTTGGCGTTTTGTTGTGTGTTCTCTTTTTCTTCTTTTCTGTTGCTGCTGAATATGCATAACCTCACGTTTTTTTGGTCAGAACTCGAATGGTTTACGGCTCCTTATTCTTCTTTTCTCCTTGCTACTATGCATCTTGTGAAACTGTCAATGCGTATCATATTGGAAGGGACACTCTGGAATGATTGATGGTACTGTTGCACACAAGAATTGATTGGTTGTAAACAAAAGACACGAGACTTCCTGAGCAAAAGTGTCTGGTCTGCTTGACTTCTTGTGCTATGTGGAAAAACATGTCTTCTTCTACCAACATGGACTGTGGTTTCTGGCTAAACTCTCAAGATATGCCTGCTGTTCGAAAAACTCCTGTCTCTCCTCCAAAAACTCCAGCCGGCAGAAAGGACATGAATATTGTGCAATGAGGTAGGTTTCAGAATGCGTGCGTGCTGTTGCAAAAAGGTTCAAATTGGTCTCAGATTTTGATTTGCCAGAGACGATGTGCAAGCTTTAGTTTCCATCTTTGTGCTTCTAGGTGGCCATGGACTGCTGCTGCTGCTGTTGCTGCAGCTGGGGTGGATTGGCGGACTTTGTGCTGAGGCCGCCTGAACTGGTGGGGCGAGGAGCCATCCAACCCTTCTCCAGCCAGATGTCGAGAAGAGGTGCCATTGGTTCCAACTCCTTGTCGCCCAGCAAACCAAACAGTCTTCCCACGTTTACGAAGTGGATGAAGCAAGTGTTGAGCTCCTTGTAAGCACCCAAGTGCCAGAATTCGAGCCAATGGGCGTGGTAGATGTGAGCGTAACAACGCAGCATCTGGCGGTAGATGTTGCGAATGTCGTTTGCGTATTGGGGAGGGAAGCCCGAGGCCTTGCCCAGCCAGTTGTTTGGATCTGAAGCGTTCAGCGATGGCGGGGCGCTGATGAAGGTGTCTGTGGGGAAGATGCTCGGGTCTGTGATCTTGCCGGCGATCCATTTTTGCACGTAGGAAATGTATTGGGGCGCGGGCACGCGGACGCTCTCGCGTTTGGCATCGAGCCAGGTGTAGGTCATGGCGCCTGCGCTCATGGCCGGGCAGATCTGCTGGTTGCAGATTGGGACGCCGGTGTTGCGGTCGGCTTCTTGGACGATCTTGAGCATGCCGTCTAGTAGGCGGTTCTGTTCGACGACTNNGTTGAGAGGATGTCAGTATGTGCGGCGCCTGGTCTTGTTGTGCTTTGTCTTACTCTGATGTGCCAGCCACTCGCCCTCCNNCTCGATGAGTACGGGTTTGGCTGCCAGAGTCATGAAGTTGCCCTTGACAATCAGGTTGGCGTATTGTTCGCGGAAGAAGAAANNAGGCGGTCTCTGGTTGTTGAGGTTCTCGGCGCTGGGCTCTCTACTCTCGAAGGACATGGCTGTGGCTGAGAGGCCTGGTGATAGAGGCATTTGTTGTGAGCCGCCGGGAGTCAGGCTTGCTGGACTCTGCATGGTCGGTGAGGGCGTGCTGGCCTTGTTTTGCTGGGATTTGTTGCTTTGGCGGCCAAAGCCACGCCTGGAGATTGACGTGTTAGCCTTTGTTTACAGATCCGCCGCCATGTAAGGGGAGTGGTGGATGCTGAGGGGCAGTGTTTATACCGGATTCTAATGCAGAAGCAAGGCATTCTCGGCCTTTATTTTGACCAAGAGACTCGCGACAGCAAAAGAATGGAGGGCATTCGACTCGAGTGACACAAGGGAACATTCCGGATTGATTGGACGAGTGGCACTCACATATTCGAGATCCAGGAAGCCATAATCACGCAGAAGCCCTCTCAAAGGGTGCTTTCACTCGAGTGAACGGGAGACAGGACACAGATTGTCTCGCAAGAGCTATCGCAGACAGCCGGGAGAGATGCAGACTAGGAGTGGGCGGAGAAGAGGTCGCAGGAAGTGGTAGGTCGAAGATGTCAGGTTGGACAGTTGAACTTCACTGGCACTGGCATTGGCCGTCTCGACCGTCTCCCTGCTTGCCCCTTCTTGTTTCACATGCGAGAGCTGCAGCGCCTGGGCCACCTGCACCAGCTGTGCGTTTGCACAATTCTCAAACACAACTCACATATGCAACCCATCACAACCGCGTCGCAAGACCTGTCCATTCACTCCAACAAGCTAAATCCATCTCCTTCACTGCACCAGTCGCGTCGCTTCGACTCGGTGCGCCCCATCTTCGCCGTCTCGACCGTCCCACCCGACTTTCAACTCGCCAACACCGCACCACCGCACCACCGCGATAGCACATCAAAATGTCGGACCAAGTACCCACAGACCCTAGCGACCAGGCGCCCCCAGACCTCCCAGGCGCAGTCACCAGCGCCATTCTACCCGTCGACGAGCCCGTCCCAGACGAGCTGAGTGAAGACGAGGACGATATCATTCCCAGAAAGAGACCGCTTGGCGACCTGGTCAACACCAAGATCGATGAGGACGATGCTTCCGACATGGGCGATGACGATGACCTTTTCGGAGATGGTGGTGACGACGACGAGCAGGAAAACGTTGCGCCGTATGCTACATCTCAATGCGCGACCCTGACAACTCTCAACTGATAAGCTCTAGTGAACCACTTCGCACTCTTGAGGATGAGGAACTGGACTCTGGCGATGATGAAGGACGCCATGATCGCATGCCCTCGGAACAATATGACCAGGAAACACAGAATGTCGTGATTCAGGAGTCGAGCATGAGCAGACAACCACTGCCCGAGCCTACCGACGGCGAGGTATGTCTTGCAATCCTCTCAAACTGAACCTCTTTGCTCACACAGCTAGATGTACCTGACCAAAATCCCCAAATTCCTGTCTGTCGAACCTCGGAGATGGCACCACACCACTTACCAACCACCCACCACCGACCATCATTCGCACGAAGCCGCCCCTGGCTTCTCTGCCTACAGCACCGCTATCAGTACTGTTCACTGGAGACGCTCTCCCTCCAACCCCAAGAACATACAATCCAACGCACGAGTCCTGCGCTGGTCCGATGGCAGCTTGACACTACAACTGGCCTCGAACCCTACACAGCAGTATGAGATCGAGGGCAATCCTCTTGCTCCTCGCCAACGCAACCCTTCCAAACCAACCCCTACGAGCCAGAAGCCTGGCAGAAAAGACCATGGCAACGACTCATACACCTACCTGATGGTTCCAGATCCTTCAAACGGTCTCCTCCGTACCGGTCACAAAATCACTGCTGGTTTGTCAATCCTACCCTCGGCTGCCACCACGGACGATGCACTTGAGAAGCTACAGAACTCGCTGGCCGCCATTTCCCAAGGCAAGAACAAGAGCAGTGCTGGTGGTATCGAATTTGTTAAGATCGATGAGGACCCTGAGCTGGCCAAGAAAAAGGCAGAGGTTGCAGAAAGAGAAAAGGATCGTGCACGAAAGCGAAGAGAGGCAGCCGAGACCCGAGAGCGCGAGCGAAATGGCCGCGCACTGGGTCGTGCTGGTCTCGGCGGCAGAGGCTACGGTGGTGGTCTCACTGCTGGTATGCTCGAAGATGATGAGCTTGGTGGTGGTGGTCGCCAGAGAGCCAGAGCAAAGCCCGCGAGACGTCAACGCCGCAACAGCGAGTACAGCGAGGATGAGGACTTTGGTCGCAAGAAGAGCAACTTTGGCAATGACGAGTACGACGAAGAGGACGATTTCATCGCAGGCAGCGACGAAGAGGAGGCCATTGACGACGATGAGGACGAAGACGATGGCATCGTCGAGGAGAGACGGCCCAAGGAACGTGCGCCCAAGCGTGCAAGCCCAGATGAAGACGACGAGGACGCAGAAGGCGAAGACGACGACATCCCACAGGCTTCCAGAACCAAGAGAAGGAGGGTTATCGACGAGGACGACGACGATGAGTAATCTTGACTACGAAAATATACAGCATCTATCTTCTTTTGGAGTACGACGACTATGGTTCACCACCCACCTCCCTAGTGCTGCCCCATCTCTCTGGCGTCTATCAACAACCCGCGACAGGAACATGCAGTCCGTAGCAGATAGCTCGCCTTTCAAAATGTTGCGTGAGCAGAAAGAAGAGAAGGTTCAGGTACGAACCATTGTTTAAACCCAGATGATTGGCTTGGAAACCCATCGACGAATGAATGGCAGCGAGATGAGTTGTCTTTGGCATTGAGTTCAGATCCCCACAATAGTGATCGGCAGACCCGGCAGCGGCTGAAAGCGAAGCTCTGACCCCGAATGACGTTTATATAGAGAAAGCATCCAGCAACCACATCGACGCTGACAACTGATTGTTGGTCTTCTCAATTCTACTAAACATACCGTCTTACTACGACTCTTTGAAGCCTCACATCTGGTTGATCTCTCTCAATGTCGACTCAAGCACCGGGATTCACTACTGCGCCTTCGGACAGAGATACACCACAACAAGACCGTGGGCTGTTCCACCATGAAAGCAAGAAACATGAATGCCACCACTACGCCCGCATGTACGGTGGTCAGGCTGCGAGCGCTATGATGTTCGGGTTTGGCGCGACATTGGGCGCCGACGCTGCAAATGCCGTAGTGGGAGATATGAAGGTACGTCTTGGATCGATGTCCAATTGACCATAATCTCGTAGTGTTGACCATGAGATTAGCAATGGTGGAGACACTGAGAAAAAAGTGTTGCAACTTTTCTGTAACAGAATGACTTCACGAACGAACCACTTACACACGGAAAAAAGACAGGCGAAGGGGCACACGTCTAGGCTGAAATAGACATCAACTTATCAATGCATTTGCTACAGCATCATGGTATAAAGGAAATGTCTGACCAATGTCTTCCGCATCGGGATAGACTTTGTGACATGACTTGTATGAATATATTGTTGAGCTGACTGAAACGATCAATGTAGAGTGTGTGAATGCGAAAGGCACGCGGTTGGTCACGGCAGCCTGAGGCCGGATGCTCTTTCCTCAACTGACAACACAGAGTGTATTGCTGCCTGGCTTCCAAGCCGCGCCTTCACCACTCGATGGCTTTCTTCTCCGATGTACATTTTCCACGACAAACACTTTTCCCTTTACAGACATATCAACGACCAGCTCCTTGCTGATTATCAGCCTGGGCGGACTCTACTCTTCTCTTCCCATCACGATGCCTCCAAAACGCACCAAGAAGACTCCAGCAGTTCCAGAGGTCCAGGGCAAACTCAACTTCCAGCGCCTCCCGAAGCCACAGACTACCGTCTCGCCCCTCGTTCAAGTACTCTCCCAGTATGAGCTCATGATCATGGTCACCGATCAGCTCTCTTCGGCCGACATCATCCACCTCACCGCAACCTGCAAGGAAATCAAGATGTACCTTACCGACGACAAGACTATCTACTCCAGCATCACGCGACGAGCCAATTGTGACGCCAAGGGCATCGAAGCCAGAGCAAAGTGCTTTGGTCACTGGAACGGCGATGTCACGAAGGCCGATGCCCAGTGCGGAGGTTCTGACTGTCAGCCCTGTGATGGCTGCAGCGCCATGGTCTGCAATGTAAGTTCTTGTTAGAACCTCTCCTCTGCATCGCTGACACTCGGCAGGNAGTGCCGCTTCCATATCATCTACATGATCAATTCACCCTGTTGCCGGAAAGATGCCGCACACTGGGAAAGCCACGAAGCCGACTATGCAGAAGACCTCGAAGCTGTACGCCGTTGCCACGCTGATCATTGTGACGAATGTATGTTGAATCGTCTGTGCCTACATCCTTGCAAATACCACCTTNGTGCTAATTGCAACCTGGTTCTAGGCCCTGAATTCCACTCGGGCAACTTCCCCATCGAAAGCATCCGAGCTGCTCACCTGGCTGGTGAGGCTCGTGAACGCCGCTACTGCTCGACATGCAAGCCACACCTGCAAGATGAAGAGGGACTATTCTCCGAACATCTCTTTGACATCCTCAGCATTTGTGATGATTACGATGATTGGTGTTGCTGCGACTTGGCCAATCGATTCATCGAGAATAGCTGGCTCTGCATTCCTTGTTTCATCAAACAGGAGGCGGAGGCCTATAGCCACCGTCTCAAAAGAGAGGTCTACAAGTGTGAGAAGCAGAAAGGCGAAGAAGAGAGGATCAGGAAGCATGTCAAGACTGTGAGAAGCTCTTCGATGTCATTACCTTGCTGTTGCTGACCATCACCAGNNGAGTATCTTTGCGACTGCGGTCGTGTTGCTGACATTCGATACCTGGTCTACTGCAGATGGTGTGACGAAATCATCCAGACTCCTGAGGTGGACGCGCTTCTCAACGGATATCTGTAGCTGTCAATATCTCTGCAGCCTTGACTACGGCTGCATGATCCATGAGTATGAAAACGACGAAGTATGACTACAGAGAACGGACCTGCAAGCATCATATTACGATGCATGCGATTACGGGAACGTTGCATGAAAGCATGACTTACGATTGAACATAAATAACTGTACATATACTACTGCTCCTCGTCTACCACCATGCATGACTGCAATACCAACACAGTGAAGTGAAAGTAGGCCCAGAAGAGGAGCGAGCACTGAAGCGTGACTGAATTGACGACCCTGTCATTATCTTCATCCCTCTATATGTTGCCCATACATCTCGATAGACGACCCTGAGTCTGTAAAAAGAGTAACTCGACTACACTATCATTGGAGCCCCATTCCAGCTGACTTGTTCGATGCCGGACAAGCGGTTTTGACGAAGTGTGTCAAGAGATGATACAAAAGAAGCAAGAGTGAACAGGCAATATAGCATTTGGGAGGGTCGACGTGACTCTGAGATATAAGGCGCGAAAAGGCAGGGCCATGGATGAGGAAGGGGACGCAGAAGCAGAAGAAAAGTAAACAAGTTTGATGCAAAAGGAAAAGGACCACTAAAACACCAAAGAAACCCTGTTGCCTGCCCTTTTTCGTTTTTTGAGTTATCAGCATCCAAAAAGATTATAGTCAACCAGCACTGCCGATCTTGGCACCGCCTTCATCTGCGGCGGCGGCGGTTCGTCTCGCGACTCCTTTCCGTCTTTCAGTCTCCCCAGCACCTTGCAAGGGCTCCTCCTCGTCTTGTGCTTCTTCATCCTCGTCGTCATCGTCCTCTTCATCCATCAACTCGACATCATCGTCCTCCCTTGTTGGACCAACATTCCCCCGTTCCCAGATGGCGACCTCGTCCAGCTCGTTCAGGTCGACGGGCTTCTCGCGTAGCCACTTCATTCTAGGACCGCTCTTTGCAAATTCGCTAACACGGAAGCCGTAGATGCGGGGTTCGTAAATGTTGGACTTGCCCAGACCGGGAGCCATGTTTTCTGCTGCAAAGCCGTTGATGGTGGCGGGTTGTGTGGGCAGAGGGGAGGGTTGTGCAGCGACCGGCGGGGCAGAGCTGAAAGTGTCCGAGGCGTTTGTGAGGCTGCTGCGGCGTTTGCGGTGAGTGGCAGTGGTCGAGGAGAAGTCGGAGATTTGTTCGGGAGTGGGGCCATAGGAGATGGAGGTGCCGCCGACACGCAGCTCGGGGAAGGTCATGAAGAAGAGGCAGCCAAAGGTTGTGCCAAAGAAGGCGCCATCGACGGACTGGAAACGGCTGTTGGGCGGTGTGTAGACATCGAGGCAGCTGGGGCAGAAGAGCTTGACCGTCTCCTGGCCGGGGATATCGCTGCAGCCGACGGGCAAGACCTTTGCTTGACCACAGTAGACGCGTGGGCAGGCACCGAAATGGCCGGCTTCGTATTTCTCGGCCATCTGTTGAATGCCCTGGCGCGAGGTGATGTAGCGTTGGTGAATCAGACCGTACAGCATCTCGGCGCTGCTCTCCATGACAGACAGATCCGAAGCCATGCGCATGTGTCTTCTCTCCTGGCGTCTGTAGGCGGCCGCATCCCTCATGTCCTCGTCGTCGTCATCTAGATCCTCATCTTCGTCCTCATCCTCGTCGTCGCTGTAATCGTCCTCGGGCTCGACGTCGAGAATCATCTCCAGAGCTTCCTTGTACATGGGCACCTGGCTCTGCAGACCGGTCAGGTTGAAGTCGTCCTCGACAAAGTCCTCGGAGACCTCAGCAAAGTATTCGTGGCCGACCAGGCTGCAGAAGGCGCTGATCCATGACTCGGCTACTTGGCTGCTGGAAGACATGTCGCTCTCCTCGTCCGGGCCAACATGGCCAGCGTATGCGCGTGACTCCACGATTGCGGTTGATATGACTGAAGCTTGGAGGAGGGCTTTGTTGACGGTCGGCGCGCACGGGTTGAAGTGGCTTCGGAGTGCCGGCGCAGGTGCAGGCGCAATCGAGGCGTTCGGTCAAACGACGCTTTGGGCCTCAAGGGAAGGTGCGCAACTCCGAGTGGGAAGGTGCAAGGATGTCGCGCCGAAAGGGTCGTCTTGTCGCTATCGAGTTGACTGAGGTCAGTGACCGGACATGCGTCTTCAAAGACCAGACGAGCACGGTGAAGCTGTTCTCGAAGCACTATTCACTGCTTCCGCTCTTGTAATCTGCTATCAAAGTGGGATGTTTCCCGGAAGTCAATTGCCAAGCCTGGTGACTTGATGCCCCATGCCGCAGAGCCGCATCACGTGCTCTCTATACCATTCTGTATCATCTAGCTATCGAGTGAGCTCTCCATCACTTATCAGAACAGATCCCGTAGGATTCTGCTCAGCTCATCCTCACCGCCAAACCCACTCTCATCCATTTGATGCGCTCCTCCCCCAAAACCTGCACCAAATCCATTCGTGTATCCTCCTGCTGCCTCGAACAGGTTTGTCAAGTCTTGCACCATTCCATCGGGTGAGCTTGAAGATACACTGCCCATGTTGTTCCATCCTCCTGGGTTCAAAAATGCTCCTTCGTCAACTTTATGTCCAGCAAGCCCGGCCATAGCCACTGCCGCTGAATGGTTTGGGTCGCTTTGCGCATTGCTCGTTATCAAGCCGAGCTTTGGTCCTACCTCCTTGAGTGATCGGATTGTTTTCCACAGCCGCTTGCTGACCCAACTGCCTCTCGATATGCCGCGCACAAGATCCAGCGCCATGTAAAACTCCTCACGTACCTGCCCTGCATACGTTTCGGGCATGTGTGATACCGCGAGGAACAACACTGCCAAAGCTGTCGTGAGGAATGCGTTGAACAAGCTCTGCGACGCCCGATACATTCTGCTCGTTCGATTGATATGCGTCAAGATGCGGATCGTGTCTTTGGCGATGTCTACCACCGTCTGCGCTTGTATGGGGTTGCTCACGATTGACGCTGTTGAATGCAACACAGGCCGATGAATCATTACGCGCATGACATTGGCTCGCAGATAGAGGATGATCCGGAGACGTTGCTGTCCAGCAGATACCTCCTCATCTGCTTGGCCCCAAGAGTCCCGATCCCAGTGCAGCTGCTGAGGCAGGTTTCTGTGCCAGTTGACAATCTGGAAGTCGAGATAACTCACGTCCTCCTTACTGACCTGTTTTCTGCTGGGATCAGAGTATATCAGATGCCGCACCTTGCTTGCAATAGCAAAGTGCTCGATCATGGCAGTCAGATAGAGAGATTTTTCGCCNCTACAAAGCCATTTAGCTTGGTCAACACCATAAAACATGCCATGACTCACTGGTTTTGGTAGATTCGGATCGATGTCGGAATCCTGCAGGGCGAAAGGCATTCCCGTGCCAAAACTCCATCTGCGGTCGAGACAGTAGACGGACCAGAATGTAAGTGTAGCCATGGTGCGTTGCTCTTCGTCCATGCGGTCGTAAGTCTCTCTGCGATGTAAGCCCAATTCAATACAGAAGCGGGCTGTCAAGCCTATGATACGCCACGAGATGCCTTCATTGTCGCAATGGAACTGATATGTAGCNCTTGAAATCACAGTCAGGAGGGGGTAGTAGGCGAGCGGTCTGGATCGTCATACCGTGAGTGCAAGCAACTGGACGCGTCTCAAGCCGGTGTCACCAAGCAAGAGAGCATCGATAGAGGGTTGCACATAATCATACATGGCACGTCCCAGCTCGCTTCTTCCCGAGCCTTCAACAACCATAGCAGTGGCCATTACTATTTTGAGTATATTGGTCTCTTCGTCATCAATGGAGTCGGCTCCGGGAGCAGATCTCATCATAAGACCAGTCCTTTGGGCGGATTCCATAAAGGTGAAGAGCTTGTTCACATAGGCCACGAGATCCGGTATGGAGAGGAGAGGATACATGATGTGCATGTCGTCTTGATAGACGCGTATCAGGCGCAGAGCCTCGTCGCGATTGACGTGCCAGATGGGATCCTTGTTGGCGTGCAAAGGAGCAGAAGCTAGGACATGGGGACCGGGCGACTCTTCGCGTAGCAAATCGTCGTCGGGACCAGCAGGGGCTATACCCATGTTCTCCAGATGGTTCTTGGCGAGGCCCAGGTTGAACTCGGTGCTCGTAGGACCTCTGAAAGCCGGTCTTGCCGACACACTCTTTCTACGGGAGACATCGGTGGAAGCGACATGTTGGTGGGGAACGATGGGTTGGTGCTGCAGAAAGGGATCGATGGGTGGTTGTTGGTGGGCGAGATCGGCTCGCAGAGTATTCATGCTGGCAAAGAGAGCATTGACTTGATCCTGGAGAGACGCAATCTGGTTGGACATGGTGCGGAATTCGTCCGTGTCCTTGAAGTTGGAGGTGCAGCAGTTGGGAGCGTAGACACAGTCGAGGGCGAGGTTGCCGCAGCGCTGGCAGGGAGTTTGGCCGTTGCATTTGATCTTGCGTCGCTTGCACTCGTTGCTGCAGCAGTCAGTCGCGTGCTTGGGTGTGGATTGGTGGGCAGGTATACCAAGCTATCGAGATGTAGCGGTTCCGCTTCTGCTTCTGGTGCTGCTGGGGGTCGTCGCTCTTCCGCTTCCCAGTGTTGGAGCCACTGCCACCTCCATCCTGGACGGACGCAGGCGACTCATCGTCATGGGCCATGGTCGCTGTGTGTCGAGGATGCACTTTGTCTTTGATCGCAAGCCGCCAGCTCATGCACCAAAGCACCCATGGCCGAGGCTGCGCAGCCTGACACGCTGCGGAGACTCGTCCATCCGTGATCGTCACCGCTCTGCGGGGAAGGAGCCCGCTCGTTTTTCTCTGCGCCCTCCACCGCCAACAGACAAACGCCTCTTGCACTCAGCAGACAAGTTTCACCATGAGGCGCGAATCTCCTATCGTGCCTCGAAGTGACACTTTAGACTGACTCCTTGTTCTTGCATCCCTCTGCAGCTTTCTGTCTGCATGAGCATCCATTGACTCAGGGACCAGTAGTGTTGAGGGCACTCCTCGAGCTTCATCAAAGATCCGATCACTTCATACCTCCTTGGGACTAGGCAGTGCCTGCTTAGGGCTTAGATCCAGATCTAAAACCCTTGCGTCACTTTGTCCGCTCTCATCATCCCTAAACTTGTCCACTCTTCTGCCAAATGTGCACACGAAATCGATCGTTTGGCTCACCCAGTCAAGTGGCTGACCGCATTAGTCAACCGCTTCTTCCGCTAGCTACAAACGTCCCCCATACTCTAACCTAAACACTCAGCATTGCTAATCATCATTCGTATCGACTCGTTGAACCTCAGCCTCATGCTCCATCCTCTCAAGATCGTCTGACGCCCGTCATCCTGCATCTGCCTCGATTTTCTCCAGCCCTGCAGCCATCTGTAATGTGCCTCGTCTGTTCAATTGCACTCCCTCTGTAGTCAATCTTCGCCGCCCGTACCATGCCTTGGGCCAACAGAGGCTGATATGACCTCGCAACGCTTCACTTTTGTCAATGTCACTGCTCCTCAAGACGCAGCGACCGAAGGGAACAAGAAGCGCATTCGTTCCGCCGCCGCAGCGTCGGGATGGGCTCAGGGTGCTCGTCCCAAAATTCATCAAAATCAATCCACCACCTCCGAAAATCCTCGCTTCGCTTATTCGGTCAACCTGAAGGATCTGTTTGAAACACCAGAGAAGTCTGAGCTCTCTACTACATCACATCTGACCGACACACCGAAACACTCCAACATCTCGGATCGCAAGTTCATCTGGGAGACTACCACCGCCCGGAGATCCTCTGCCGCAAAGTCTGGCTCCACAGAACGGTCTGACGACCACGTACGATCGAACATAAAGAGGAAGCGGACTACACGTAGCAGTCAGACTTCAAGCTCTCGTAAGCGAGCGCCTATAACCTCCTCTTCGGCCTCGGTGTCTTCGCAGTCACTTGTAGCAAGTCCCACGACGGCTGTTACATCATGGATATCGTCAATACAGACACCTGATCCAACTTTGACCACGCCAACCTCTGCACTTGCGAGCCCTTATGATTTGGGTAGTGGCATCCACGATGCCTTCAACTGCTATCCCGTCCTCAGCCAGCCGTGGTACGACAGAGTGCTGCATCACAGTAAGAAGCAGTTGTTGTGTACGACTAGATTGTCTGTTTACTGATTCGTTACACAGNTGATGACAGTCTTTGCTCCTCGTGGCTGGCCCACGTTGGGTATCACTCAGGAAGAAGGACTCAAATGGGAACGGTTCATGACTCTACACGCTCTCGCAGATGCCGCTCTGTTCAACGTTCGATTACTCTTCGCATCCGGCGATCTGATACGGATGAAAGTCTTGCCCNCCGAAACAGCACTTTGGTTACGAGACCAAGCAGTCAAGTCAATCAACGAAGCCCTTAGCGATCCTGTTCGCGCCACCAGTGATCCGCTGATCCTGGCTGTTGGCCGCATTGCCCTCCACGAATCCATGTATGGCGACAGGAGTGCCGCCAACCTGATACACCGCCCTGCGCAATACCGGATGATTATGATGAGAGGCGGAATGGGTGCTCTGGATATTCCAGAGCTCGTCAAGAGGTTGATGAGGTGGGGCGATAGGGTCATGTCCTTACAATCGGATACACCCCGGTTCTTAATCGAACTCGACAACGATCGGTCTTTTTCGATTGATCAGAGTGTCGGGGTTGTGGAGAAGTGGGTGCCACAAGAAGGCATCTTGTTACGCAACAAGGTCAGCACGTAAACGGCCGGATGGTTGTGACAATGTACATTATGATATCTTTGTCCTGTTCTTGAGCGTAGCGATCTGTTTATATACAGCAAAAAGTTTCGCCTTTTCTCATTTCAAACACAGTTTTCGTGATCTGCTAGACGAGCTCTACAAGACCACTCTTCTCGAGATATTGTCAAAGGTAAAGCAAAAGCAATGTCGCAGCCGTGAATCGAACACGGGGCTCGTGCATGGCAAGCACGAATTTTACCACTAAACCACTGCGACTGTTTCATGCTCATACTTTCAATCTACAAAATAATATTCTCGCTAAAAAAACTATTCGTGACTCGTGCCTATGTTGCATCCATCTGGCCTCAGCACTTTACTTGACTCCATCCCGGTGGCCATTCATTCCTGTTCTCGACGACATCCGTGACTGCATCACTGGGGGACTCTCTCTGATAACCAGCGATGTCTGTTCCAATGGAGCTTCTATGTCTGCCAGATATCGAGGAAAGGACATTGGCCAGATTCGACGAGCTCGTAAGAAAGGAAAAAATATTCTACGAGGAGGCCATATCTGAGCTGATTACGGTCAATGGCTTTGATGTGAGTCGTGTCTTTCTTTTTCTTCAACATTGCTCTAGTGCAAATTCCGGTCAAGAAACAAATGTCTTGTGCAACTCCCCCAAGCGCTGTACTCGAAACGGCAAAAATTGACAGGTATCAACAACGATCAAAACGAACAATTCGCTAACCCACCCACGCCAGTTTCAATTCATCGTCGCCGGTATACTCAAGAGGAAACCAATCCTTCCTGCCAACGCGCCCAGCAGATCTAAAGCCGGTGGCCCATTCATCAATCCGGATCCCGAGGAAGTGGTAACGCAGCTGGGGTCCACCCATCGTTTGCTAGTGAACAAGTATGGCATTTTTCGGCCGATGACTGTTATACCGACTATACGCTATGCTCTGCAGACTGATGATCTTGACCTCTCCGATATCAACGCCGCATGGTCTGTCTTGAAGGCGTTCCAGACGTCGTCTTTGATCATCTACAATTGCGGTATCAACGCCGGATCGTCGCAGGGTCACAAGCATACTCAGCTCTTTCCTTTACCCGGGCATACGTTGTGGCCTTCTAAAGCTACCTCTTGTGACTGTAAGTCAACTGCATTTGTCGTTCTGCGAGAATGTATTGCTGACACTCCCANNGCCATCTCCACCAATATCGAACACGTGCCTTTCAAACACTACGTTCTCCGTCTTCCGAGTCATACCGATGCAAACACTGCTTACAAAGCCTATCTCCGTCTTCTTGAAGCATCTCGCGAAGTGCTAGCAAAGTCAGGTGAAGGCAGTAGAGACTACAATGTAGCCATGACTGCAGATTGGATTGCCGTCATACCTCGTCGAACCAGCGAGGGCCCGTATGGAGCAAACGCTGCTGGCATGCTAGGAATCATATACGTGCCCGATCAAGAAGAGCGAGATAAATGGTCTCAGCTGGGCTACACCAAACAGCTTGTAGCCTTCGGTATACCCATTAATGCTTGAAGTTACCGGTCTTCCTCTATTCGCATACGCCATGGTACAATTTCGGCACCCTGTACCTGGCCAACATCACGAAATGCACATCCTGTGGATTATGATAATGATGCCTCAATCTCAGTCTTGACATTGCCTCTCGGTCCAATATGGCTACTGTTCTCAGTCATCCTACCCAAGAGGTCCAACCATTGCTTCCTCATCCCTCGAATACCAAAACATTAACAACACACCTCCCTCCGCCCCATCATCTCTTGAACCTAAACAAACTACACCCCCCAGTAACACAAGTATAATACACAACCCCCACCCGATTGACATTAACCCTCGACGGTTGCCCACACAAACAAACCGGGTTCCCAGCATCACAACCCATCAAATCCGCAAAGCAAGAAAAGTTTCCTCTGTGCATGACCACACACCGATAACAAGGTCTTCCATCATCGTTTAGTTTCAATACTGTTCTCTTGCCGCATTTGTTGCATTTCGGATTGTCGAAGCGCGGGTCGTGGTTCAGGTTTTGGTTAAAGAGGTAGGCCCAGAGGTCTAGTTGGATTTGGGTGGAGAGATCTGGGGTGCAGAGGGGGTTGGTGTATATGGTTGTGCGAGATATTTCCCAGGCTCGGTCGATGGTTTCCCCATAAACAGACCTTGCACTCGATGAGGTGCTACTGGCTGCAGGGGATGTGCTGCTAGACGTAGGTGTGCTGTCATTGCTATCGACCTTGAGGAAATACATTGAAAAAAAAGTTTGTTTAGGTGGTAAGAAAGCAGTATAGGCAGCGGCAACTAGTAATCTTCATGACTCCTGTATGCCTAGGTATTTCTCGTATCGATATATATCGTTCCCCCCATCCATCAAGGTGCTCGAACATCACATACCATAAACCTTTGATGAGAGAGTTGGCAAACTAAAATTAGCTCATTAGACTTCAGGTCCACAGCTGAGGTAGTTTTTTGATTATGAATCAACGTTAAAGTGTGAACCAGTGTTCAACTCAGAATTGACGTCCAAGCATGAACCACATCCAGGCCAAGCCTGAGCTATCAATCAGGAAGTTACTTGTTGTTGAAGGAGCATCTTGGCATCACGCAATCGGTGGTGACAGCAAACATTATCAAAGATATGTCAGTGGTATCAGTCTTGCACGTGCAGATTCGATGGGTTGATTGGAATCGATCAAAGGCCTTTTGGTTTGTAGGATTACTTCTGCCCCGACCTGTGCTCAGGAGACAGTGTGCCCATATCTCAACGATGATAGCTTACGAATGCTTCTGGACGTGTGCCTGATTCTTGAACATGAAACCCGAAGTTCTCTTGTCGGCGCCGGTGCGCTTGCTGATCTTTCCGTCATTTGCAAAGACCAAGACCAGAAGACCGGCACCACCCAACACCATGTGTGCCAATGCACCAGCAATCAAGATTCCAGACAGTTGTGCGGAGGTGCCGGAGATGTACATCAGGATACCAGTCGCAAGGTGGTAGAGCAGGGTTGCGATGGTGGTGGCCGAAGAGTCTAGGAGGGGTGTTAGCGTTGACAAGGGAATGTGACGCAGAGGTGAGTTTGTAAGATACATNGGAGAAGCAGCAGTGGCGGAAGCACTGGGTACATTGTCGGCGTCATCCCAGAGGCGGTGCAGTTCGCCCGAGAAGAGCAGGGCGAGGAAGGAGCACAGCAGCAGAGCAAAGCCCAATTCACGAGCGACAAGCGTTTCGAATGCTGAAACCGTCTTGGGCTCGGACGAGGCCATCCAGGCGGCCATGCTAGGACTCAGGAGGAGCGGCGCGGCCTCAAGGGCGAGCAAGGCAGCTGTCGCCTGGTTGTAGATGCGGAAGTTCTGTGGTCGAGTCAGTACACTGCTGCCTTCATGCCGACGTCGTTGAGCTGAGACTCACATCCATGGCTGGCGAATGCGTGTTTTGTTGTTAGAAAGTGCTAATGTTGTGGCTGGTAGATGGAGAGAAGACAGGTCGAGCTCGAGCAGGCAAGACGTTTGCTCCGTCGTCCATCTCTCCTGCCCTGATTTACGACTTCCAGCTTGCGGAACCTCGACCCGGGGGGAGCGGCAGAACTATGACGTGTCTACCTGTTTGTCCACCGCCTTTGACCACATCAACTCATGTGCAGACATTGAATCAGTGTCTTATAGAAGACCGAAGCGACACCAGATGTGCTGATGTTCAGCAGCTTCTATGTACATCGTATAGCTTGGTGCTGGTGTCTGTAAGATCTTGAAGGTTTACCCTTATTCTAGCTGTGAAACAACCACTTGCCGGACTGTTCGGTACACGATTCGTCATTTTGCGGGGTTCGACTACCGTCATCGTGTGTTCGACTTCAACTCAGGATATGTTCGTGACCTTGCTGCTTAGATTCATGTCAAGTCTGCTGTTTAGACCAAGACCTTGTCGAAATCTCAAAACAAACTTATATTCTCATAAATCATTCCGTATCCACCATTCCAGCATGGCCACCGATAACTCAACAAAGAAGACCTACCACAAGAAAGCTACGGGCAAAGCACTCGAGACTGTCGAGAAGCATTCGAGTGACCATGAACTCAAACTCTTCGGGAGCTGCTTCTGGTATGTCGCAACTTCTATCCCTTGCATGCAGCAGCCGAACACGAGTCGAAGGATGCTCCGTAACACGCTATCGTGAAAGCCGTCGTGCGCTTCGTTCCAATCACCCGCTTTGCAACTTGGAGAGTACACGCTAACATGATCGACCACACAGCCCCTTCGTTCAAAGGGTGTGGATCTATCTTGAGTTGAAGCAGCTCGACTATCAGTACATTGAGGTAAGCCCTCTTGAACCGCTGATGGTGCACACGAGGGCAGAGTCCAGAAGAGACCTCGGCCTATGTTTTATGAACATGAATCAAGTCGCTTGTACCATGGTCCTCCACATCTCTCCGTTCGGATTACTAGCGAAGGACTAGACAGGGGCTCAGCGTGTCTCTGGCCATAATCCTTTCGCTCTACTCATGCCCTACAACGATATCACATTAGCGGCGTAGAACAGGTCCATCGTACTCACCATCGCACAGGTCGATCCCTACGAAAAGCCACGGCAGTTGCTAGAAGTCAATCCTCGAGGGCTAGTACCAGCCCTTCGACATGGCGACTGGGGCTGCTACGAGTCCACTGTCTTGATGGAATATGTTGAGACTCCCTCGATCCATCGACACTTGGCGTGCACTGATCCTGATGTTGTGTAGCTCGAAGACCTGCAGAAGGGTGAGGCACTGTTGCCCAGCGATCCAAAGTTGAGAGCGCATTCTCGCTTGTGGTCCGATCATGTAAGATTGACAGCCATATGCCAAGGGTCGATATCCCGAGTTCATTGAAGTGCATAGATCAACCGGAATATCGTCCCCGGCTTCTATCGGTACTTGCAAGCTCAAGATGAAAATTCTCAGATCGAGTACGCAGAAGAGTTCAAGGAGCAGATTTCGAAGCTTGTTGATGTTGCCGATGACTCTGGTCCTTTCTTTCTAGGAGAAAAGCCGACTTTCGTCGATGTGCAGGTAGAGATCCTCTGACCCACTCAAGCATCAGGGCTAGAAGCTGATCAGTCTCAGATGGCGCCATGGGTTATCCGCCTTCGTACGGTCCTTCAGCCATACAGAGGCTGGCCCGAGCCTGAGAAAGGCTCTCGGTGGGCAAAATGGGTCGAAGCCATCGAGCAGAACCATGCTGTGAGAGCCACAACAAGCACCGACACTTTGTACAATCAGTCGTACGAGAGATATGCCGTTAGTTGTCCTATCCAGCCGGCCCGGAAGCCGTCTCTGTGGAGCCATGATTGCTGACCCTGCTCAAGGAGAATCGACCAAACACATCTCAGGTACAACAGGCCATCAACTCCGGCCGCGGGCTTCCCTGAGGCTCTGCACGCCTCTGTCGTGAGCCAATGTCTCATGTGGTCTTTGTGACTCCGTCGGACATGGCCGAAGGGCACTTGACCGTTGCAACGGCGACCTGACTCGAGGTTGAGTTCAGAAAAGGAAGGGTCTTCCCCGGATCATCGCCAGACGGTCATTCGAACGAATTGTCTGATATCCTCACTGTATTAAGCTTCTTTCCGGCTGATGCAGAGCCATTGATTGTGCCTTGCAAAATTCAGGATGATGTTGGAGCAACTAGAGATTTTCGATAAGGTTGCAAAGGGCCGAAATCTGCATGACAATTAACCACGAACTCAGAGACTGAAACTCTATACTGAACCGAGACCGAAAGTAAGTGAGTCCGCTTGCAGATATTGTGTGGGGAAAGAGTTGTAGTCACATCTCAAAAGCACTACAGACTACGCACGCGACTACGAGCTCGCGGCGCGACAGGGTCAAGCCTGCAGATAGTTGAACTGGGATGAGATGTCAGAGAAGAGAGGACAATCCTTGGGGTGGAGTCACGCATAAAGTTCAATGGTCCCACAGCAGAGGTGCCTGTCGACCCTGAGGCGCAATGCTCAGCCGTCATGCATCAGTCAAATACTGTATGAGGAAGCTGGGATGCCATTGATCAATGACAGGCGCACACGGAGTCCAGTTCGATTCACTCAAGAAGGAGAGACGATGCGGAGGGAAAAAGTACTGTTCCTGTGTTTCCTCCGAGGACCAACTGTAGAGTGGATCCTGAACCAGAGCCGCATGATTGACCAACCAGGTCCAGGGAAAGACGACAAGTGGTGGCGTGGGCATGAATAGAGTTACGCATACAAACAAATGTTGTCAGTAGCGTATGGCACATGTCTTCCAAGTTCTCATAACACGCTGTCCCCGAAGAGGGTCATGCAACCCAGACGAGGTTGCGGAACCGAGCAGAAGGATTTTAGCGGAGAGAACTCCCTGACAATCTCAGCCCCGGCCAGGGAGGAACTGGGCAAATTGCTACCGCAAGCGCGAACAGCGGAGTCGCATCAAACAGGGACCCGACACTAATGTTTGTGGCCGCCGGCAGCCACTTGTGAAGGATCAAGAGGATCCGCTTGCCAACATTGAAACGAAGCGGGACGATAGTCGCAGATTATCCTCAATATATCGAATGATTACTGACTGGCACGGTCTCTTCGAGTATGGAAACTTGTAGTCTTGACCAAGTCGGGTGAACGTGTTCGTTGATCGTCGGACGATTCCGAAGGACGAATGTTGCAACGGACACATTGTTTTTTCCCCTTGACTTGCTCGAACCCAGGGTCCTGGCGGGGTCGGCGGCTGAATTGAGGCTCGGAGTCGTAACCGTACCCGTCTGCGAGAGCTCTCACCTCGTCGTCGTGTCGACAGGCAGTCTAAAGGGCTTGCTGACACCCTGGGAAAGCCTCTTCCGCCAGACGGGCGTAAGTTGAAAGTCTTGACGGATGCGGTGCCGTAACGTCGGGCGTTGACTGAACGTGCATTGGGGTGAAACGTTTTCCGCTTGCAATTGCTGTGATAGAGTCGATTGATTACTTTCATGAATCCGTCATATGCTTTGCACGCCATACGTGTACTGGGTGTCACTGCACTGTAAACGGAAGCGTCGGTCTTGATGCCTACATCACAGCACAATTTGACTAGGCTGTATCGGACTTGATCTCAGATCGACAGATCTCAAGCCTTTAGTCTGCATTATACGAGTGGACGAGGAAAAGAAATATGTATGAGAGTCATCGTCTATCGATTCGTGTTCAGTGGCTACTTCTAGTACATCATACAACTATGCCATAATGGCTCTGGCGAAGCACTCCTCGATCTCCTTCAGTCGGTAGTTGTGCACCAAGTGTGATTCGTACTGGGCCAGCTGCATTATACATCATGTATCGTAAGTGCCATGCCCCTAAGAAATTAGGGGATCAGAAACCTCCAACGCCCGTGTGATGCTTTTAGAAGTACATGGGACCAGGCATGCAAGTCCGCCACTTGACAATGCGGTCAACCTTTTTCAAGAACAGATCCCTCCTCGGCCAGCAAAAGGAGAAACAGAGTAAGGCAGAATCGAAATTGGGTATATGTGCGTGCAAAGAGGACGGAAGGAACAAAACATAAAAAAGAAAAAGAGAGCCGTGCCGACATTGAAGATTCGTGAGAGAGTAACCATCGCGACCATTGGGTAAGAGGCGAGACGTCTAACAAGAGTCTTCACCAGACATGCGGCGATGATCACTAGCGGCCAAGGCGAGAGTGTCAAGACCATTGGAAAGACCCGGTGAGGGGTAGCTGTACTGAAGGTCGGGGTCGTGCACCAAGCTGGCTTGAGCAGGGAGGTAGTCAAGGGAGCTTGGGTAGTTGGAGCGGTGGTAGGGAGGTCTTGTGTTGAAGTCGGACAAGATTGGTTGAGGAAGAGGCTGGATGGGGTCTGGGTTGATGTAGTAAGGGCTAGTCGACATGATGACTTGTGACGGGAACTGATGTTGGTGTTGAGGTAGTTGTTGGTGTTGCGATTGGTGGTCTTCCAGTTGGGCAACAGCAGCAGCTTCCAAGGGGCCGCTGACAGACTTGCGCGGTGCAGGCTTGGTGGACTTCTTGACGCGGCCATCCGTTGACGACTTGGAGGGACCACGCACGTTTTGGTGGGTGCGACGGTGTTGCTCCATGTTGTCTTTGCGAGTGAAAGCCTTGTTGCACTCGGGACAGAAGGCATCCTTCTTGCCAGTGTGCTTCTTGGCGTGACGAGCAGCGTGTCCAGATGTGGTGAAGAAGTCGCTGCAGTTGTAGACCTTGGCCAACGGGCAGGGGTACTGGTTCTTCTTGGTCGAAGCCTTGTTGGCAGCAGGGGCGGCGCGTGATGACTCTGAGACAGGAGAGTTGGAGTTGCGATAAGACGGCGCCATGGGTTGCGACATGGCTGGCGCGGTTGATGATGCGACCTGCGAGGCGGACATTGGGTAAGGCGCCACAGCCTGCGCGTCCGGGACCGGAGGGTAGACGGACGACGTCGTGTCGTCCATTTTAGCGAACGAAGCGGGTCCGATAAAATAGTTAGAGTGGGCCGACTTTGAGTGGTGCAGGTGGTCGAAGGATGTTGGGGGTGGTGTGAGAGGTGAAGGTGGAAGGCCGCGAGAGTCCGACGACTCGCTTCGGACCAATCGGGGAGTTTGTGGGGAAACGCTGGGCGTCGACGAAGCCAAACTTGGCGAGGGCGAGTGCGTGGGCCGGTAGTAGACGCTCAGCGGCGGCAGACGGGGCAGCACGGCAGCAGTGTGCGAGTCGTCGTTGAGCAATGATACCTTCCTTCCGGTGCTGTTTCTACCGTCCATCATGAGGAACACAGTCTTGGGCCAGTCTGCGGGATGAAAGCCGCAGAAGATATCTCACTGGTAGGACTTTACAAAAGCCTAAGCTGCAAGGATTGGGGAGATGAAGACGAGATTGTTGGTTGTTTGTTGGAAGAAGAGTATGTCTGAGAGCGTGTATGTCGGGGTCGAATGGCAGAAGGGTAGTGACAGGTGTGAAGCAGAATGGGCCTTGAAGAGACTGAGCACTTTCGAGCCTCGCACTGGGTGAGGGAGATGGGTACTTTATGAAGGGCAAGACAGCGCACGGCGCACGAGGGGATGCCGCAAAGCTTCCCACTCGTCTCTACTCGCTCGTGGAGCACTTTGACCATGGTCGGATCCTGTGATGGCAAAGCCGGGATGGCCAACCCAACTACCACCCTGGAAAGCCACGAACGGCCGAGTTATCCCATAGACGGGATCGTCATATACGCCGCGGACGGCCAGCGCCATCCATCGTCTGCGCCGGGAGACATGCATGCTTGAACGCAACCTTATCGCGACAAGTGCCCGTTCACTGGCCAGCCCTGCCTGCCAGCAGAGCGGGGCCCTGGATGTGCAATCGTCGATTTAGACGGAGGCCTTCTCCTGCGCCTCTGCGACTCGACTGCATCATCTCACCCAACCAAGCCCCTAGGGAAGCCCGATCCCTGCTAGCCGCTCAGATTACTATTGCTCGATTCCTTCTGCAGCCAGCCGCCAGCGAAACCGCCAGCCTGCTGCCAAACCGTGATCTCACAGTCAATTCGTGCCCCGAAGCTAGGAGCCCCCTCCTACGCAGGCGCACGCGAATTTCCTACGACTGACTCGCTCGCTTCGTGCCCACATGCTGCACCGCTCCTTTTACACATGCGCCCATGCGATGGCTGCATGTAAACATCGCATTCACCGCCGTACGGTGTTCCAACTTCACAGAATGTCTCATACCATCACTTCTTCCGCATGTGGACGTGTGTGCTATCAAACCGCTCGGATCCTCGCCGAATCGCCCTGCTGTTGTCAAGCTTCCCCCCCCCTTCTTACCTCGCATTCGCATTAGCATCGGAGTCGTGTTTATTGGCATATCTCCATCGATTGTTCTCCTGGAGCAATGAGTGTAGCTTCCTAGTAGACTCTAAGCGTTATTCCACATGGGGCAGGCGCATAGTCAAGATATTCGCGTCACAAGGTGTGGGCAGAACTGTTTGGCCCTGCAGCTGGTCTTACCAATTTTAGATAAGTCCCTTTGAACGTCCCTGTCAAGTATGCCCCCACTTTCTGTCGTTCAGCGTCGATGTCTACGGATTCTCGATCTCCCTCTCCAAGTCATCTCTTTCTAGCTGGTTTTTACTGTAACATAGAATAATCCCTTGACTAGCACCGACACAACCGCTCGACAATTCTTGCTGCATCGCTACCACCCAAGATTCAAACGTATCCACCGTCGCCCTAGCGGACGCCTATAATCCTGGACTCTGGTTGTTGCCATCAAGTTTTGATTTCGCTGCTCTGGGAACCGACGCTTGCTCCATTTGTGCGGGTCCATGTCTGTCGCAAGGGTCTTGCGGCTCCGTCTGCACAACACACACCAAGGTTTCACCCTAGCGTCTTCGTTGTCGGTCCCCTGCTTGCACGTTCGTGGACATCTGTCGCAGCCAGCCGACTATTGATCTCTGTAGAGTAATCAACTAATAATCACCTAAGCTAAGGCCAGCTCATGACGTTGACTGTCTCTAATAATCGACTACACTCTCGTCAATCAGTGTCAGGGAATGGTGTTTCGGCGGCGCCAGAATTTTTGCTCCATGGATTTGATTGATCACCCCTCAAAGCACAACCGACCTGCTGGTATATCCGGGGACCACCTACGTTAGTAGATCTGCTTGCTCAAATTTTCCCTTTTGCTTTTCCCGTTCCTGTCACCGGCGCGCTCGGCATGCGGAGTTGACTTCCTCAAGAAGGATCCTCCATTCAAGATCTTTCCAGAATTTGCACCAGACAGCCTCTTGTGCTTTCAAATCACTGTCTGGGGTGTGTTTGGCCATGATGTGAGGCCGTATCTATGCCTATTGCTGTGACCTGAGTATGACGTCGCCATCGTATTCTCACGTCTCATATTCGAGAAAATTTGATGTCAATGCCCGCAGAGCCGCTTGCGCCCAACTGCGCGCACGGTGTCAGGGACCCTCATTCACCATCGTCGATGTTCCAGAGATCGCCGCTGTCAGCAGTGGTCCCTGAGGAAAAAACCCTGCTCTCGCTCTTCCCAGTTCCATCGTTCCGAGGTCAATCTTACTATCCGACGGAGAGCGACTCAGCCCCAAGAGAGGTATTCGATCGATCTTCTGCTCTACCGGTGCACGCGAGAGACACATGTTACAGATCCTGCAGCCACGAATCGCTGCTTGTTGAGAACTGCGTGATGCATCTTCCATGCTCCTAAATCACCGAGGTTGGATGATTGTTATACTTGACTAGGTTCCCGTGATTGGCCTCGCTACAGACACACCACAAACATGCTGAGTAAACATGCTGAGCAAGCACGATAGCACAAACTTCCCCGTATCGCTTAACATACCATGCTTTGTGGGAGGCGGCTTCAAGCTCTCCGCACGTGGGTCAGGGCTCCTGTGCTAACGACGTGCATAACCGTGCCGGCTGTTAGTTCCCTTGGTAAGTTCATCCTGCGATTTCTCAAGAAAATGATCTCGATCGCACACAGTAAAACTCTGCAGAGCTGATTCAGACCAAGAAGGTTACCGATCTCCAATTTAACCACCTTCCGGTTTGGTGGAATGCCTGCGCTTATCCACTTCTATCGCTGGTAGATGGGAAATCAGTCTCACAATTGCCTTTCTTATTCACACTAGGATCAGGACACGAAGTCCGTATGAACATGGTTGACTAAAGTCCAGTGAAGATCATGGTGATTCACAACCTGCATACGACTTCCGTACTCTTTCTGCATGTAGCCTTTATCCGGATAGAATTGCATACCATATCGCATCACATTTCAATAAGCTTAAAGTTGGCATTCCTCATTCTCTGTATGAGCAGAATTGATGTCATGGTATTTGACATGAACGGCTGAGCCACTCCTACCCCGCGTTCAAAACTCTCTTGTATGTCACTACCCATCCTACGTGTGAGCGTGTGCCTCGCCCTTGTTTAGGAAAGCGTTTAACAACGAATATGTAGTCTCCACATCCCACGGAGTTTAGAAAGGAGGTGGTTCCTGAATCTGCAACTCGGTTTCGGGTCGAGAAAATATCTCTCGACAGTGGACTAGGTGATGCTTCTCACTACGGCAATTACTCGCGCGAAGTACTGACCCCGAAGTCTATTGTACCTACTATCCTACTGTAGTGCCCGTAGCTCAGAAACTACCATCTAGCTTCTTCAACCATCGAAAAATCATGCCGCTCTTTTTGATTGACCGACTAGAGATTCTAAACGCCTAGGCAAAGCAATAGATCTGCAAACGCGAAAGCATTGAGCAATTTTGCGACTTCTCAATGTGTTTTTCGCACGCTCGCATACATACATGCGGTAGTAGTGTATACCTATGTGTCAACTAGGCTCATGGCCAAGCTGTATAGCCCCACAATGGAGCAAAGGTTTGGTTTGCGGAGTTGGTGCCCGGGCACATGTCTTTGTTACGTGCGTACCCTGCGACGACACGCGATATTCTCGTGCCATGTTTTCATGCTTCGCGTCATGTCAAGACTCGTACCTCGTGTATCGACTTGCCTTGCCACCGCTGAGGCAAACAAGAGATTTCTGCAACGCCAAACATTGCCACGACAATCTTTCTTTGGTCCACATGCTCGGAGCAGGGATCCGCGTACTGCAAATTGTACAGGGATTTCCTCATTTACCCGCACATGGGCTAGCAAGCTGAGGCAGCATGCGGAAACCTCATATGAATCCTTCGTCCCAACGCTCGTACAGTACATTTGTGGTGATTGTTACCAGATTGTCGCCCATGTTGCATACTCCACAGGCTGCACCATCGTTACAGCGGACGTACATGACGTTTCATGCTGCTAGCTGTAGATTGACCAGATGCAGATTGAAGCGATACCCACGAAAGTACGTCTGACAGGCTTTACCGCAGTTGTATTTCAGCCGGGCAAGTCTCCGACTGCTTGCATATCTCCTCGAGGAGGGTTCGGCGGTCAAGCGACAATCCTCGATCAGGACTGGCAGCAGACGCTTGTCAAGTCGTGGCGCTCGAGGATTATTTGGTTGACGGATGATAGTACATATAAGCGCAACAGGTATACCCTACCTACATATGCTGCGTCGAAGATATCCATGTCGACGCGAGGCTGAAGACCTGTGGCTCTCACTCTCAGCCTCTAGCATCCCGCACCCTGACCTTGCAATTCTGGAGGCGTAGTAACCGAAATCTGACGCTCAGCTGCAACGACAGGTGGCTTCCTGCAGGAGAGAGACGAGGCGCCGTCGCGAGCGGCAGACGGCCTTGATTTTGCTTTCGCCAGTTGCCGAGGGCGCATCGATTGTTGACTTGTCCAATGGTTAAAAGTGCATAACAGTCTGAGCAGGATTCGCACAGGATAAAGTCACCACCATTGTTAGCGTAGCGGCGGACGTCTCTCCGCCAAATGTTTACGCATGAGGCTCTATAACAGGGCAGTATCGACCGGCCTTTCTAGAGCGGCAGCATCCGAGAGAGCGCAATACTATGACATACAAGCACGCAACGGTATGGATTTTGAAGCCCAAGACAGAGCTAGAATTTTCCAGAAGGGCCAGAAACACGACGTCTTTTTCAGCTCGGAGCCATGCAAATGAGACATGGCTCTAATACAAACAAAACAGATGGACGAGTTGACAATGTTCATGAGAACAAGGGTTTGGCTGGATATTTGTCAAGTCGATGAACGCCACAGGGTCAAGCCGCATGGATGGATGATGGATGATGGATGATTGCACATGTAGGAGTAGTGGGCGACAGAGCAAAGACGTGTCAGGGTGCAGTTGTAAGCAAGTAGCATGCGGTGGCAGAAATGGACAATAGATTGGGCATGACGCTGGTACTCGCTCTAAACGAGGCAATATACGAGTACAGCGGCGAGGGGACATGCTCGAGCACGTCGTTACGTGTACGGAGTACTCTCTTGTGGTATGGTTGGTAAGCACATGACCTGAGCTGCTTTTCTCGGCCATTGTCGGTGCAAAAATGACACAGCAATCTTGACTGGGCCGGTGCATGTGGGCGACTACCCAAGAGTAGATACAGGTAATCCAGTGACAGTACGAGTAGAGCAGTCGAGTATTCTGAACAGGTCGTGGGTTGATTATCGGTGAGCGTGTATATGGCGGTAGGTGAAGCTGCATTGACCACAGGCGCGTCATTCTTGACTTGTCCAGCATGGCGGCTCTCGAACTTTTCGAACCATCGCATTCATCCCAACTAGACAACCATGGGTCTTGAGGATTTCGAAAAGGAGCTGGCAGCCAACAAGACCAAAGAGTCTGATGGCAACCGACACAGCAGTAGAGACGACGAGCGACGACGTCACAAACACCACCACCACTCGTCGCGCCATGACGACTCGGACTCCAGGCACAAGCGCCGCCATCACCGCGAGAGAGACGATGAAGAGAACACCCGTGAGCGCCACTCCAAGCGAAGGCGCAGTCGCTCGCCCCGACCAACTCGGTCTCGGGAACCTGTTGTCCAAGACGACAATGACTGGGTAGAGAAGGAGGCCATGACTGCACCACCAACAGACGACATCCTCGACGAGCAACTGGAAGCTGCAGCAAACAAAAACCTCAAGCGCGACACATGGATGGAAGCTCCTTCATCACTCAACGTTGACTACGTCCAGCGACAGCGCCCCAAGTCCCCACCCTCCCAATTTGTCTCAGCAAAAGATCAACTGGATCGTAAAATACATCGCCAGGACCTAGAACAACTTGCAAGAGACTTGGAGGAAGATGATGATGAGGTACATGAACAACCACTCGCTGATGATGAACCCATTCATCACGACGTAACCTACACTTTCGGCGACCAAGGCTCTCAATGGCGTATGACCAAGCTGAATGCTGTCTATCGTCAAGTCAAAGAGTCGGGCCGATCCGAAGATGAAGTCGCTTTGGAACGGTTTGGCTCCTTGAGAGACTTTGATGATGCCCGTGAAGAAGAACGTGAGTTGGACCGCCGCCAAATGTACGGAAACGACTATGTCGGCCACGAAAAGCCAAGCGGTGAGTTGTATGCTGAGCGGAAACAANAGGCTGGTCTGCGCCGCCCATCATCCGAGCCTGCTGCCAATCTTCCCGTGCCGCAACATGCCAACCCCAATCAGGGCCAAGTCATGGACGAGGCTCCTCCACCAGCAACCACTGTAGCTCTGGATCAGACTGCTTTGAACAAACTCAAGGCTCAGTTGATGAAGGCAAAGTTGCGCAACGCTCCCAACGCTGCTGCTCTGGAAGCCGAGTACGAAGCTGCCGCTACCACTTCGGCCGCCAAAAACAAGCAATCAGACGTAGTTGTATTGAGCGCAGTCGAGAATCGCATGCTTGCTGGCGGTCGTGGTTCCGAGGTAAAGCATATTGAGAACAAGCGTGGTCGTGAACGAGGCCATGTCGAGGAGAACGAAGGCATGAGCATCGAAGACATGGTCCGTCAGGAAAGGCGCACTCGTGGTATGGCTGGCGGCGAGGGCAAAGCCTTTGCAGAGCGCATTGCGAAAGATGCAAAGTTTACCGATGACCTTGATTACATGGATGAGAACGCCAGCAAGCTTGCCAAACAAGTCGGCAAGTCTGAAATCAACCTTCGCAATACAGCTATCGGAGACTTTCAGAAGATGCAGAAAATTCTCGACTCGTGTCCCTTGTGTCATCACGAAGATACGAATACACCTCCAGCTGCGCCTACACTGTCCCTGGCCACCAGAGTCTACATGACTTTGCAAACAGAACCCGAGCTTGCGACAGGCGGCGCTGTCATTGTGCCCATCCAGCATCGACTCAATCTGTTGGAATGCGACGATGACGAGTGGGAGGAAATACGCAACTTTATGAAGAGCCTGACCCGCATGTACTACGAACGCGAAAAAGGTGTCATCTTTTACGAGAATGCAGCCCACATGCATAGTCGACGTGGCCACGCAGCACTCTTTGCCGTACCTGTGCCTCTCCATCTCGCTGATAACGCGCCTGCCTTCTTCAAGGAGGCGATCCTGAGTGCCGACGAAGAGTGGAGTCAACACAAGAAACTCATCGACACCCTTGCAAACTCGCAACGCGCAGGATATGGCAAGCAAGCATTCAGAAAGAGTTTAGTCAAGGAGATGCCCTACTTCCACGTCTGGTTCAACTTGGATGGAGGATTGGGCCACGTAATTGAAGATGAGCGCAGATGGCCCAAGGGTGATCTTTTTGCAAGAGAGGTCATTGGCGGTATGCTACGAAAGGGACCGGAGATTATCAAGAAGCAGGGTAGATGGATCAGACAAGATTCCAGAGTCGAAAGCTTCAGGAAACGCTGGGAGAAGTTTGATTGGACAAGCGTGCTGATGGGTTGAGTGGGATCACTAGCCACAGGGTTGATTTATATCCTTGTCAATACGGGACTTGTACAGTTTTCACATGCGCATGCAGGTTCAAAACCTGACTGTGCTTGTCATTTGCCACGACCCATCTGTAAATGTTCATCTACACCTTGATACGACTTGGTAAGTTGGCACAGTATGAATTGCGAAGACCTGTATTCCAAGTAAAGAGTCAGAGAGCAGTCGAGTTCGAGGTGACACCAAATCTGGGAGGCATGACCCTGACCAGACAGCTGGTTGTCCGGGAGACCCTAGTCACTTTCCTGTAACAAATATTCTAGACCTCCAATTCAACAACATCATCATCCCACACAAACCTCATGATGCTCCGCAGACCTCAGCATCACATCGTTGAGAGCTGCGCGTAGAGACGCATCAAGCGCGCTCTTCTGCGAAAGTACGACTCGAACTTACGCGTGTGCTGATTAACGGCTAAAGGATATATCAGACTCACCAACCGTCGAGCCCGATAAGAGACTAAGCTGTGCGAAAATGGTTCTTCGGTACCTTTGGCGACGGAGTGGTATTGGATCACCCTTCACCAGCATAACAAGCCAACTACGGACCTTCTCACTATCCGCCATAGCACAGACGCATGCGCGATGCGCTCAGCAGGTATGCGTGGGCTAGAGAGTGCTTGCCGTGGAAGTCGCATGTGCCTGTTGTGTATGAGGACAAGGTCCAGCACACTTGTGCTGGGTGCTTGGTGACACGACATGGTGGGTTCAAGTTGTGGTGGAAGTCGAATGAGGGAGCGGCTGAAAAGTATCTATGCCACAAGTGCTATCTCACGGGTTCAGAGGCATTGCCCAAAGGGTATGAGGATGTGACGACTGTAAGAGAATTGTCAAAGCGCAGAAAAGAGCTTGGCCATTGGAACAGTTGTAGTGTGTAAGGTCGCAGACTCACAGCATCTATGAGCGAGACAGACCTTGAGACTTCCCTCCATCAAACCATCCATGATCACAATACCACATTTCATGAGGTGCAGAGGAACAAGACTTTATTTTAGAAGGAGCATGGGTCAAAGCCGAGGACAATTCATCTATGGAAGCAGAAGAAAACAAAAACCGAAAACAAACATCTAAGACTCGAAAAGCTGCACATCCTCAACGCCGGCAACGATCGCCCGCGCGCTGCCATAACACCTGATCAAAATATCAAAGACGCCATCAAATCCATTGTTCACCGTACCACTGCCAGTAATGCTCTGATACGCCGCATCACCATACTTGTACGACGTCTGAGCGAACGAAACACCAAATCCATTGGAGTCGACAAAGTACATTTGCAGACTGCAAGAGGAGCCATCGTTGGGCAGGCCGTTAGGGTAGTTGAGTAAAAGACCCATCGACGCGGTATACGTCTTGCCAGCCTTTGCGGTCCCGGACTGCTGCAGCAGAGCAGCTTGGGAGTTTGAATCACCGCCAGCGGGGAAAGAGATGACCGAGACATAGGCATTGGGGTTGCCTTGGACAGCGAATGTGGGGTTGCCCAGACGAAACAGGGCCCAGCCCGAGTAGTCGCCTGTGCCAAAGTTGCCGTTGGTCAGCATGTTGGTTCCAGTTGTGCTCGATGGCGTAGACGAAGCGCTCGAGGTTGTAATTGCTGCGGCGGTGGTTGCTGCGGCTGTGGTAGTACTTCCAGCATCCGAGACAAGAAGCTGGATGTTGCCAAAGCCCAGCGCGAAGCTTGCTGCCGAAGAGCTGGCGCTGTTGCAGTAAGTGTCTATCATGAAACGGCCAGTGAAGCCTTGCGACATTTGGCCAGAAGCACTGTCAGACAACACGGGACCGCTCGACGAGGCAACACCATACTGCTCGAGAATGATGTCGTCACTTCCAAGACTGTATTTGACAACACAAGCCACGCCAGCAGGAAGACCGCTTGGGTAGTTGAGAAAGACATTTGCACTGAGCTGCCAGGCGGAGTTGGCTGGAATAGTAACGTTCTGGTAGAGCTGACCACTTGCGTTGTCGTTGGCAGCCAACGAATACTTTACAAGTGCTTCGTAGTTCGAATCGCCAGCGAGCGAAGCTACGGAGAACTTGGTACCGAAAGCACGAGCACCGTGCCAGCCGGTGGTGGAGCCTTGACTGAACATTCCATTGGTGATGATGTTACTNCCCGCTGGAAACATTTTTTGTGTTGGCAGACGGCGAAGACGTTGCCTTCGAGTCGGCGGTAGTGGAAGATGTTTGGGGGATAGATGAAGATCGGGTTGAAACGCCTGTGGGGGCTTTTTGGTTGGCGACGACATTTGTAACTGGGTCCATGGGGATGGCACTCGCTGAGAACATGGTAGAGGACAAGGACGAGGTCAACGAGGAAGTGGAAGCTGAATGGGGTGTTAAGGTCGATGTAGAATGAACAGAGGCACTTGACGAGGTCTTGGTTGTAGTGCTGGTCTTGCTAGAGCTGCTGCTGCTCTGCTTGCTTGACACGGACGTCCACGTTGACTTGCTGCTTGCGACAATCGTTGACTTGGCAGTAGTCTTTTGTGATGTCGATGCTTTTGATGATGTTGAAGGTTTCGATGCTATTGACTGCTTGGTTGAGGTACTTGTCTTTTTGATCGAGGACGAGCTCTTGGTCGGAGACGATGCTTTGGTCGAAGACGATGCTCTGGTCGAAAAAGAAACTTGTTTTATTGCAGTTTTGATCGAAGTGCTGGCCTGTTTTGTAGACGAAGTGGTCTTTCTTGTAGAGGGCGTAACTCTTTTGGTGGTCGAAGACTTTTTCAAGGTGGACGTATTTTTGCTGCTGCCACGGATGAAGATGAAGCAGAAGCCTGAATACATTTGCAAGCACCGCTGACTTGGGCGACAGTCAGACCCTTGACATTAGACTTGGACTGCTTGTTGGCCAGCCATGACTTGCAGTATGTCACCGGCTGCTTGTTACTGTTGTTTACGGTCTTGATATCATTGGCATTGCANGGCTGTATTTGGTCAGCAAGTGCCCCTCTCTCTTGTGTCTAAAGCAACATACTTGTGGCAGCTCTGGGCTGCAGATTCTCATTGAGAGGAACGGCAGACACGCTAGACAGGGAGAGAAGCGAAAGGCAAAAGAGAGACTGAATAGTTGGAATATGCATTTTGAGAGAGGCCGACCAGAGGAATGACCCGGGATTGTGGGAAGCAGCGAGAGTAGATAAAGAAAGTACCGAGATACAAACCCACGTGTCGAGGCGGCGCCATGTCTTATAACGTCCCACGGAGAGAAGACATTTTTAGGACGTTTGTTCAGTATTTGGAGGCAAGCGAACTTGGAGTCAGGCAAGCAGAAACGGGACGCAAAGAGACTGGAACCTATAAAGCGTTATGAACGTTGAAGGGAGTTGAATGCGGACCGACGGCAATTGAACTCAAGACACATGGTCAAATACACACAAAGATCACTAATCTGCCAAGATACTTTATTACCGCCAGATATCGATAAAGGCTGTATACTCAGGGGGTATACAGGGCCTGGGTAACGGTGCAGCGCAATTAGTGATGGTTCTGTTCGAGTGCAAAGAAGGGAACCTTGTGGAGGGAAGAGAGGAACGAGGGAAGGAGCAGCTCTCCGCACATACAAAAGCTTGGCAGAGCCGGTCGTCACTCGCTCCGGATGCTTCTTGTGTCTCATGGCAGGCCAGCTTCAGCAGCAACGGTTTTGACTCCTACGTAGACGGCACCGCGCCAGACTCAGCCACGACTCAGACCAAAACTCGACTACTCAGACTCAGACCGGCACTCGCCATACCTGCCCGTCTCGCGCGCCCACTCAAGCTCTTACCGTTCATCCACCACCCAAGCAGTTTCACCAAGTCTGCCACACCATAATACCTCAATTCATCCACACTCGTCATGGCCTTGCTGTCTAGCGCTCTCAACGTCTTTGGCGCTGTGCTGTTGGCACACGCGTACGTTGTCCATCTCGCCGTCGGCCCCCTCCACCTTTCATACAGCTGACTCGCTCCCACAGCGNTCTACAGTGCCCATGAACACTCAACCCTAGCCACCCTCGCCGGCAGTTCTGCAGTCTCCCCAGTCCACTCATACCTGATCCCAACAATCGACCTGCCACTGGACATTACATTGGAGACGCTGACGGCCGTCCTGTTGCTCTGCGTCGGCATCGTCATAGGCAGCCCGGAGCTGAAGCCCATTCAATGGCGTGTTTGGGCCGGCAAGCTGGAAAAGGACAAGGTGTCCAAGAATCAGAGCATCAACGGAGATCCGCTGGGACCCAGGGGCAACCCATACGCAGCTTTGGAGCAGAGACAGGGCTTCCTCGACATTAGGAGTCAGCGCAACGAGTTTGCTGAATGGGTCAAGAGTGGCAGCAGTAAGAAATGATGGATCTACATGTCTATATATACCACCAGTCTTCAGTACTTCATGAAAGACAGTTGTCCTTGTCAAGAGGACCTTTTGCATCATCGCCAGCACGTGCAATCGATTTGAAGCCATGCGAAGACGTCTTGCTTGTTCCTTGTCTTGTAGAACATGTCATGCATAGACCGTGTCGGGTTTGTCCGATGGTAGGCATGGCGCGGCCTGTCTTCTCTGTGAATAGAGGGTGTGGTTCTGGTTGTGCTGGCCTGTTGCGCTCTCAATAGCGCCTGATTCTTCGTTTCAACCTCCCTTTGACACGACTGCCGCATCTGGCACGTCCTCGGTATCTTCACAATCCCTCAGAGCGTTGTGTACCGGTTGAGGCATCTCGAGCCAGTTGTTCCAGATAGCGACAACCTTGCCCTTGACCAGAGCCAGTGGCACTGGACCATACATTCTCGAATCGCGCGAAGCTGGCAAGTTGTCTCCAACTGTCCAACAGTGGCCGACGGGGACCTGTTGTCATTCGTGTCAGCAAAGGGTACATCGAGCTGCTTGGGAAGCCATGCTGACCTGTATCATGATGCCGTCTCCTTTGCCAGGCGTGTCTCTGAGCACAAAATCGCCTGGCATACCGATAACTCTTTTGATGGTTGTAAGCTCTCCATTTACTGGATGCTTGTACGACACCATATCGCCAACTTGTAAGCCACGACCGCGGCGATACCACTTGGAGATGACGACGCTGGTGCCGCTGGCGTTCAGAGTCGGAAGCATTGAAGGTCCCCATGTGCCGGTCCAGCTATAGCAATGGTCAAAGAAGATGTGTACACCAAGGAGGATCGCGAGTCCTATGCCGAGGCCTTCGCGTGCACCACCAAACAAGCCATCTCGTTCGTTTCCCGCTTGTCGAGGCTGCTTGACGTGTTTTGGCGTTCCAGAGATTGTATATCCAAAGATTGATGTCGAGATGTTTCGCCGCCGCAGTCCGATCGTGTGTGTCCTACTGGAAATGCCGCCTCGGTGCGCGAGCAAAGGTCGTCGCAACATGTCAATTTAACCTGCGGCACTTGACATAACAAGTCCAAGGCATGTGAAATGCAATCATGCATCAAGCCGCCGACATGCATCGTCACAAGCTTGGACCATCCACCCCAGCTTTTTTCCTGTCCACGAACACCACTCTTGCACTCGACATCCCATCCTGACTGCATCAGACCGTTGTCTAGATCGGGAGAAGGTATGGCCCGCTCAACGACCCAAGACCAAGCGGTCAAGCTAGATTCTGCAGTCCGTGAGCTCATCACAACCTACGATGAGCTGAACTCAAGTCTTGTTGATGAGTTATGGGAAGAGCCAAGTGCCCTAGAGTTCATGCAATATGTTGCAAGGAACCGACCATTCGTTGTAAGAAAAGGTGCCGAGGACTGGACGGCCGTTCAGAAATGGGATTCGCACTATCTTCTCAATGTCCTTGGTGACAGTCTCGTCAATGTAGCCATCACTCCTTTTGGGTAGGTGCTGCCCATTCGCTCTTTCCTTTTTAATCTCTTTCCGATCCACCACCGCTTTCGTATTCTTACTCTGTTGTTCTTCTTCCCTTCTCTTCTACACATTTCTCGTCCCAACATTGACACGCAAAAAGCANACGCAGATGCAGTGTTGGTAGAAGATGATGGTTCATTATCCTACGTAAAGCCACTCGAACGCCTCGAGCCTTTTGACAAGGTCATCCGCTACATCGCAGAGCAAGAATCAAATCAGTCAGAGGGACCCACACCCATCAAGTATGCTCAGACACGTACGTTATCTGCCTCCTTTGAGAATAACCACGATGTTGAATGTCGCCAGNAAAACGATAACCTCCGGAACGAATACTCTTCTCTCTTCGAAGATGTCCCTTTCGACATACCCTTTGCACGCATCGCACTACGCAAAACCCCTGAAGCAGTAAACTTCTGGCTCGGCAACAGCCTTTCCACCACATCTCTACACAAAGACAACTACGAAAACCTTTACGTCCAGGTGCGAGGTCAAAAGCATTTCGTAATCATGCCTCCCACAGCTGCTGCCGCCGTCAACGAGCAGAGCATTTCTGGTACAACATACGTCTCGACCAACGACGACGAGACGGCAGAGTTGAGAGTGCAGGATCTAAAACATGTGCTTGATGAGCCCGACTTGATTGTCCCCGTACCCACCTGGGATCCAGATTTCCCTGACACCAGGCCGACACCGTACTCGAAGCTTGTCAAGCCATTGCGAGTTACGCTCAACGAGGGCGACATGATGTATCTGCCTGCTATGTGGTATCACAAGGTTGGACAGAGTTGTGGTGATGAAGGTTATTGCTGTGCGGTCAACTACTGGTAAGTCTCTTGTTCCTGCTCCCAAACCCAAGTACCAATAAGAATCACGACTAATATTGTCCCACTAGGTNATGATATGGAGTTTGGAGGGTCTNTTTGGGCTTCCAATGCCTTTGCTCGTGATGTCGCTAGAGTGGCCAACAACTAACCAGTCTCGAGCTACTCGTAGCTAACCACTCCAAGAAGACTACCTTGTGCAACATGGAAACTAGAGAAGAGACTCGGAATCAATCACGTGTGGCGCTTATTGACATGAAGGACTCTACTCTCCACAAGCTCAAGTCCATTATTACAAACATTCGTGTCTTTTCATGGCTGATTCGCTCCCGAATGTAGTGTGCTGGAGACGACCGAAACCAAGACCCAGTTCACTGGCCTGCAATCAAGTCCTGAACTATGTGACATGTGAAATTAGTATCGGTATGCACCGGTTACTATGCGACCCTCTTTTCTTGGAAACACTTGCAATAAGAACTCGAATTCTGAGGGGTCGAACGAATATGATTTCTTTTCCATGAAGTCATGAATAAGGACCCTGTCTTTTGTTCTGTAGCAGAAGCAACGCTCTGAGCACCCAAATCAAGAAGCATATACCCTACAAGCAACAACAAAACATTTGCGGTAAATAAAGACCAGAGCATTAATGCTGCGCTACCTTCCAGCCTTCCTTGATCATCGACTTTATAAAGTACGACACGCCGAGCAAAACTCCACAACCGGCAAGAGCGAGACCGGTGAAGAAAGCGCATCGGACACCCCATATCGCGTCTTCGAGCGTACCGTCATGGGCCATGACCGACACTTCGACCGTGCCGGCGATCCCCAACGCCAAGGAGATGGAGTAATTGACCATTGTATTGACCAGCGAAGCAGCGAGACCTTGATGCTCACGAGGCATGTGGTTGGAGAGAATGACAGTGGCGGCAGGGAAAGACATGTCCATACCAAAGGGCATGATCAAAATGGACACAAACATCTGCGGCCAGTACGACTGATGGACAGGCATAAAGGCCGAGATTGCTTGGCCGACACAAAAGGCCAGCATGGCGATCAGCATTGTAAAAGACACGGGTGTGTGCGTGAGCATGAAACCGGTGGCACCTGCAGCGATGAGTCCGCACACCAAGGCGGGTGTGAACTGTGCAGAGACGTTGAGCGGTGTCAGATGGCGGAACTCCTCAAGGAAGCGCCATGAGTAGTAGATCCAGATGCCGAAGCTGCCCCAACCTATGCCGATCAAAGCCATGGTGTAAGTTACTGTTCCGTTGAAGGCGGACACAGGCAAGAGCGGGTTATCAGCACGACGCTCGACCCAGAGGAATGCTACCAGTACCAGGACCCCGATGATGAGGATAAAGTATACATGGGGCGTTGACCATCCGTACAAGGGTCCGTTGTTGAAGGCGATGTTGACGAGTACCAAGCCGATGACACCCAGCGCGCTACCCGTCCAGTCAAATCCAGGTACAGTGGTGACGCCAGCGAATTGAGCCTCCTTGGCTAATTGTTTAGGCACGACGAGCAGTGAGAATGCTGACAGGGCGAATGCTGCGGCACCATAGCTCCAGAAAGTCCAGGGCCACCACGTGGTCTGCGAGAAGAGAGCTCCGAAGAGCGCACCGATTACAAATCCCCAAGGTGCCATGGCGCCAAACAACGCAAAGGTGAGATTCTTCTTGATGCCAGGAGGGTAAGCGCGGCCAAGCAGTGCGAGAGCATTGGGAGCCAGTAACGCACTGCCAATACCTTGCATACCTCTGCAGACGTCGAAAAAGATCTGCCTGCCGACGTAAGCACTGAACCCGGCAAATCCGGACCAGATTCCAAGAAACAGGTACCCGAACACAAACACGCGTTTGTGTCCGAGAATGTCACCTAGCCGGCCGGCGATCAGGATAAATGTACCAGTGGTGAGACTGTACGCGGCTGAGAACCATGCTTCTTGACCGGGGTTATTCACACCCAATCCAGAGGCTATGATTTTGACTGGGGCGATTGCTTGACCCAGACCTGCAAGACACATGAATTGCGCCATTACAACGACGCCGATGAACAGGGCCTTTTGTGAAATGTCAGCAAGCAGAAATCATAGAAATTGGTTAGGACTGACCTCATGAAAACCGCCGATCCTAAGTTCCTGGTGCTGTGGACCTGGCGTTGACGGAGGTGGGGCCATGTGCTCTACAAACACGTTTCCCAGAGCTTCATAAGGTTCCAGTTTCCCTGCTGCTTGGAGCAACAGAGAATTCGTTGAGTTACGGCGTCCATCAGTGTAAATGGTGGGGATCTGTGGAACTTTCTCCATGCTCTGAGTAAGCCAGCTCTCAGTAGCCAGTAGTTCGCTGCGAGAGTTCACAGAGATGTGCTTGGAGTTATGGCGGGATGATGACGCGGAAGGTGCTACAGGTGTATCCAGAGGTGATACCCGGCCATTACTGGAGTCGTCATACGTTACACTGATGACGGGGTCTTTGAGATCTCTTTCGTCCTTCAGAAAGACTGGAAACTCGTCTATGGGTGATGGCACCTTGGTGGAGGTTGTTGAAGGCTGTATTAAGTCAGCAAACACCCTCGGCATCCACGTTGTGTTGGAGGGTTTACCATAGGAAGGGAGCCTTGCTCGGGACTGATTCTGCCCATGTGCGCCTGTCTATGTCTTATTGGACTGGTAGTGTGGTGTCTGATTGTAGTGTACAGGGGATGTTGTGAAGAGTAATGGCGGGAAGAATTCAGAAGAATAGAGAACACGGATGGGGGCAGGATATAGAGATTGAAAAGTCCAAGGCGTGCCCCTCTTTTCTGCCCACAGTTCCACTGTCTCCTACTGTAGTAGCACTCCTACGGTTGCATATCTTACTTACATGGATTCATCATAGGTTCAGGTTAGTTGACCGCATCAGCAGGAAGGCTCGATTTGGAAGCGGGTTGCTGCAGGCTAGGGGCATCTCGACCCTCATCCACAATTCGCCGGGGCCATGCAGAGAATGCAAGGAGCGTCATGTAACTGAAGTTGCGAGAAAATAGGCATCTGGAGGAGGAGAGCCGAAGTTCAAGAACGAGCAGCTGGGCTGCCACGTCCAGGACAGCAGAGCCAAGGGCTGTGGAAGGCCGAAGGAACAGATCGCTTCCAATCTTCTGATCAAGGATATGCATATGCCGGATACCTTGGCACGGTCCCGAAGTGGATGTGGACACGGGTGGATATCACAGAACATGCTTTTGTCGACCTCTTGTCTTGTGCATTGCACACAACAGTCTGGACAGCCACATGGCAAAGGCTCGAGAAGCCAAGCTGAAGACCGTCAGCCGGAACACAAGACATACTGCGAAGCTGAAACACAGTCGGGAAGTTTCTGTATGGCTTGCGGTAAGTAGGACGTTGAGGGTAGGAGGTAGGCAGGCCGTTCTTGACATATTGATGCATGCCGATGCGTTCTTCTACGTAGACAAGCACAGCCCGCAGGGCGGCGCATGTCATTTGCTGTTGCTAAGGTATGGTATGCAGTGCAACGACAAGGACCGGTGCAGCTATACGCCGAGTACGTCGGTGTGAGATCTGCCTCGAAGTTTTGGCTGCGAGAGGCGTCGTCTGCCTGTTCTGGCTCGCTTCTCTTCCCCTTTGGGCTGACGAGGTCCATAAAATTAGGCTTCATGGGACCGACCACATGCCAAGAGTCCGAAAGCCCCAACTCCTCCTCTCAAAGCATCGTGGAGCTGAGCAGGTGGACATTTTCGTCATCGGCTCTCTACCATGCATTTGCTTTGCTTCTTACTGCGAAGTACTCGAATACAAGCAAACAAAAGACGTACCTCTTCATACGAGCCCTCGTGCCCATATAAAGCAACAAGAGGTCATTTGGCTTCTGCTCGCGGCTCATGACGGGCAGCCGAAGCCCCGCGAGTGGACCAGGAAATGTTCCGATGCATGAGGGTTTGCCAATAGCTTCGGACCTGTGCTTATACTAGATAGTGCTTGCTTTTTGGCTTTCTTACGACGCGTGAGAATCCGTGCAAGAACATGAATAAAGGCTCCGATCCTGCTTACGCCGACCACATCGAGCATCGCAATCCTGATAGTCAGAACGATCCGGTAGCGAGTTTTAAAAAAAACTGCCGCGATCGAGTACCTGGTTACATAGCTTCTCCTTGCTGTGACCGTATTAGTGGTTGTGCTTATGCTGGAGATCAATGAGCTTTGTGAGCTGCGGTTGGATTCTCTGAAAGTATAATCGATGGGCAGGGTTGTCCCGCTCTCGGAACAAAAAGACGGTGTAGTCACTGCATCACCAGGGAATAGTGATTTGACAATCACAATGCATGCAATGAGAAGATGAGTAGACGAAAAATCATTAACTTGAAAATACTAGAATACAAAAGTAGGAAAACCCGTGGATCAATTCTCTGGATCAATGCGGGCGAAACACTCCCTCCACCATTATTAATTGTGCCCCCTTTTACTGTTATGTTGCTGGCTGGGTATAACGTATCTTTTTCTCATGTCCTCGTCCCTCTTCGCGACTGTCGTGCGGCAGTGGTATCATGACGGTAAAAAGCATCGCGAAACATAATAACCAAAAAAGTAATCAGACGCGATGCTTAAACACGACCCTGGAAGACAGGGTTGTTCTTGCCGAAGAAGGTGTGCTGACTTTCATCACCCTGGACACCAGTGGAAGTGCCGGTAGTGCCGGTGGTACCGGTAGTAGCACCGGTGTGGGTAGCATCGTGGAAGGCACGGTCGACCTCACCTCCAAAGTTACCAGCACCAGTAGACTCACGGCCAGCACCCATGGGACCCTCGCCGGCACCGAAGTGAGACGAGCCTTGGTGGTATCCAGTGGTGTTGGTAGTGTTCTGGTCAAGGCCAGAGCCAAGAGTGTTGCCACCACGAACGGGCACCTGGCCAGTAAGACCGGCAGTGTTGGAGCCACCGTGGTAACCAGTGTTCTGGGAGTCGTAGCCAGTGCTTCCGTAGCCAGTGTTGCTCGAGTTGTTGAGCCCACCGCTGGGGCCAGTGTCAGAGGATCCATTAAATCCTGCACCGTACGAGTTGGTGCCGAGGTTGTTGGGACCACGGACGCCCTCCTGGTTGACACGGTGGGGCTTGCGGGTGATGGCAGCCATCTTGGGCAGGTTGGAAGTCTCCTTAGAAGATCCGATGCTGAAGATGGGGGACTCCCACTTGTCGCCCTTGGCGGCAAGGTCCTTGTACTCGGTAGCCTTGGTGCTGATACCGCCGGGAAGGGAGATGTTCTTGAAGATGCTGTCGTGCTGGGTGACAGCCATGTTGACCTTCTTGTCGGCAGCAACCTCGTCCTTCTTTTGCTTGCCCTTGGTGAACTTCTGCTGGGCGGCAGTGGCGTAGCGCTGGTAGATGTTCTGGATGTTCTCGGGGTCAGGGTTGTTCTTAGCTTGGGCCTCAGCTCTCTTGGCCTCCTGGTGGATACCATAGAGCATCTCGTCGAGCTGGTGAATGTTGTTGCGGATCTGGGTCTCGGCAACCTTCTGGATGGCAGGACGCATGACCTTGAGAAGAAGAGGCTTGAACATGTTGAAGAGAAGCTTGTGGTTGGACTGCTTCAGCTTGATGTTGATGTTCTTGATGTCAACATGAACAGTGTTGACCTTGAAGAAGTGCTTGCCGTCGGTCTTGTCTGCAGTCTCCATGGCGACCTTGAAGCTCAAGCCGGTACCGCCGAGGAAGATGTCCATGACACCCTTGTCAGTAATACTGGGGAATCCTTCCTTCTTCTTGATGTAGTAGCTGACATCGCGAAGGTCGCACTGGACACCGGAGACGGAGAGCATGACCTTGTTCTTGTTCTTGCTGGTGATGGACTTGCGGCCCCAGCGCCAGTAGTTGTCGCTGCCGAACTCCATGACGTTGGGAGCAAGGTTGTCACCCTCGAGGACGAGGTTCTCGACAATGGCATCCATCATGTGGTCAGAATATTCGATACGAGGAATGGGGACGTAACGGATGGACTCGAAGAGACCGGGGAGGATGACCTCGGTCAGATCCTTGACGAGATGGGGCTTGAACTGGGCCTGACCGTTCTCATCCTGACCGAGGTCGAGGAAGAGCTTCTGGACGGCGTCACCGAAGGCGACGTTCTGTCTGTCCTGGTTGAACTGGTCAATGTAGAACTTGAACTCGTCGGAGATTCTGTCGGTGTGGTTGCGGTAGCGGTCACGGAGAAGGAACTCGCCCTGGTCGTAGAGCTTGTTCCACTCCTCGGTGGACTCGTCCTGGAGGACGTAGCCCTGTTCCTTGAGGCACTTGCGGATGTATCTGTTCATGTGGGTGAACCAGCCCTTAAGCTCGGGGTCCTTGTCGGCATCGCTGTAGATGACGTTGATCGAGTCGAACATGTCGTCGAGGGAGGTGCCGTTGGCGAAGCGCTCGATGAGGGTCTTAAGGNNTTTGTCAGCATTTGTGGATTGTCAGTCTTGAACTCTAGAAAATACCTTGAGGTCAGCTTCAGCCATCTGCAGACTGTCGTCCTTGTGGGCACCTTTCACAGTTCCTTGGCCTTGGTTGGCCAGGTTCTTAGTGTGGCCGCTGTACTGCTCGGCAAGACGAAGGAGAGTATCAATGGCTTGGTGGTCTGGTGGAAAGAGTCAGCGGCGTAGAGCAAAGTCTAGGTGGCATTGTCAACATACANNGTCCTGGTGGCCTTGGATCTCGACGATCATCTTCTTCAGGCGGTAGATGCCCTGCTCGCGGCGCTCCTTGGGAAGCTTCTCCTTCATGTAGTTGTTGGTGCGCTCTCTGGCCTCGCGAGCACGGTCCTGAGTTTCCTGAGGAACGTTCTCACGAGCATGCTGCTGGAGGCGGTCAGCACCCTCCATGGCACCCTTGGTAGCATCGACACCGGAGTTGCCACCGGTTTGCTGGTCACGGCGAGCGAGTTCAGCGGCGTCGGCGGGGTCACGAGAGCCACTGGGGTGGGCAGCTTGCGTAGCGTCACCAAGAGCACCCTTGGCCTGCTCCTTGTTAAAGGGCTTCTGCTCATCGAACTTGGACCTAGCCTGGTTCTTGAGGTTGTCCTTTGAAAGGTCAGGGACATCGTGCCAAGTGTTGTCCTCAGCGGGCTTGTCAATCTGGTTGAGCTCGTCCTCGGAAGGGTTGACCTTGTTGGCCGCCTTCTGGGCGGCGTCACCAGCCATGTCTCTGAAGAGAATGCTAGCATCGCTCACTNNGTATTTTATTAGCTGAGGTCATGGTGCAGAATACAACCTAAACTTACAGAGCTTGCGGAATTGACCGTTGGACAGGATGAGCGTGCCGAGGGTGCGCAGGCCGTCGAGAGCCTCGTTGCCGTGCTGCTTGGCTGTTTCCTTGTCGACAGGAGCGTTAGGGGTGCCGGCATTGCCACCGGAGATCTGCTGAGTTTGCCAGATGAAGTCCTGGAGGAGGTTACCCTCGTTCTTGGTCAGGAGCAGAAGCTTGGCCTGCTCAACGACCTCGCGCAAGTCACCAACGAGCTTCTGACCCTCTGTCGAGAGCTTCTTTGAAGGGTTCGAGAGCGGTCGCGATGCGAGTGCGCTGTTCATAGCAACATCAATCTGCTTGTTTGATGGGACCTTGCCATTGGTGAAGGCTGGAGCGGGCGCACGTTAGCAATGTGAACGACGAGGTTGGAAGCAAGCGCATCGCTCAAAAGACTTACCAGAAAAGATTCCATAGAGCTGGAGCTTGTTGTTGACATCCTGCTCCTTGATCTTGGTGTTCGTGGGAACGTTGACTGACGCAGAGGGCGCCATGATGAGATTACTGTGGTGGGTTGTAGGATAGGTATCTGAGATGTGTCTGGGGTATCTGGATGTGAGAGAGGGGGGGAGGTCGTGATCGTCAATCAGGTAAAATTAACAAGTAACGTGGCGGGTATCGTGGAAGGGGGTATCTAAACTGCAAAGGAGAAAAGACGTGGAATTAGGATGGTGTTTTGCTGCAAGGAAACACGATGGGTTTTGAGGGAGGGCGCGTTGCTCGACCGCTGCATTACATCATGGTTGGTCGCGCCTTCCCCAAAGCGGGCTCGATGATCGATTTACCTCTTGCCGTTGATCTGCGTCACTAGCCATCACACCTTGGTTTCCCCAGATACGTCGTTCGGCCAACTTGACAGATTCCAACTGTTTCAATTGCAGTAGAAGGATGAAGCCCTTGCTACTGATGTCTTCTCACAACCGAGTTCTTGACAATCTGCTGTACAAGCACGTCGCGCACGGTTTTTGGCACTACTTACGCAAGACAAAGGGGGTTGAACGATTCACTGCATGCATGGAGACCAAGGACACTATCAGCCAATCCGCCGCGGGCGCCACGTCCATCATCATCAACCCCCGCTTCACTATTTTCCTTGTTCGACGGTTGGACAACAAGATGAGAAAGGCACGTGAACTGAACGGTGAAGGGACAGAGCACTCGACACTCCAATGGCCAGCACACTGCATTCCAATGTTTGCCGATTTCAAAACAAGCAGCCTTTGCAGCACGAACAAGCTCGCAGGGCAGACAATCGTCCACACAAGAGCCCCCAGAGAGCATGGACCTCACATCCACTTTGGGGTGGTTTGATTTTCACCGTCCCGCAATCGTCATTTCTTGGATGACTGGATCAGGCAATCAACCCACGCTGGTGGAAGACGCATATCCAACCTGGATGTCACATAAAGCTCATGCTGCTGGCGAGAATAGTCACAGCCAGCCAGCCACAAGGCGGAAGAAACAGAGAAGAAAGTGGTGGAGCTGTGGGTTTTGCGGCTCTTCTTCCCCAAGATCGAATCCACTGTTTTCCTCCGATGACGTCTATCCATCAACAAACATTCGATACAACTCGTGTATGTCTCAGCGACAGAAGTCTTTTTTTCTGCTGCAAACTTGCGAATATGCTTGGCTCGCGTAATGCGACCTGCACACGCGGCTTCTGGGCCACGGTGGCATGGTCAGTTGATGATAACTTGCTTAACTTGGCTTGGAAGTGCCTTGGAAGCAAAGCATCGGCAGATTCTTGATCATCCACCCCTGATTTTTTTGGGGTCGTCCCGCCGCTGCAGGGCTTGTGCATGATCACCACGGGAAGAAAGCATCATCATGTTAAGAAAAAATCGTGATCTCTGACGGTATCCGCTTTTTGGCACTTTGTCGTGTGATGGTCTGGGAAATTCGATGATTTTGTTATCTACTAACATTAATGTCAAGAGATGCCAGAAGATGTTCTACCAGATCATAACGAGGTTCGCATGGTCACGCAGGCCGGCGTGTCAAATCCTACAGTCCATCTTACGCTGCCCATGATGATCACCATGAGACAAAGACCGGCCACTACGCTTGCCATGCCATACACGTAGGCGTGTCGCCGTCGCAAGGACTGCAGTTCTGTGACCCACGTACTGACCGTGGTTGTAGTGCCGCAAAAACCATCCATGACGCCTTGCAGGACCTGACAGCCGACCCTCCCTCCACCGACCAAAGCACCAGCGCTTGAGGTGATTGGAACGTGCTGGATGGAGTAGCACATGGCCTCTACTGCGCACCCGAACATGTTGACGGCGAAAGTCCCCAGAGGGAAAGACGCGGCAATTGGATTGAGTTTGAACGACGCATAGTAGCGAAGGAGACAGCCGATAGGTGCAAAGACCAACGCGAACGGAACCTCACCACGCCAGACCTCGTTCGCCCAGCTGCCGCGACTGGACGGACCAGACGGCCTGTCTGGGGGCCAGATGGACAAGAAAATGGCACCGAACCAACAACCCCAAGCGAGCACAACAATGAGTGGGTCGATAAACCTACGAGTAAGCCTGAAAGACAAGGTAGGCGTAAAGCGATCTAGAGCAAGAGCCAGGTGTGCGCCGACATTGAGAGCAGCCAGAGAAAGCGCGACGGTGTATACGATGACGGCGAGCAGAGCCATGAAAGAATAACCACCATTACGGTGTATCGTGGACGTAAACGAAGGCACCGTCGCATACGGATGGTTTACAGGAGTCGGAAGGTTGTTGGACAGAGCCAGAAAGACGTCACGCATGAAGGACGAGAAAGAAGTGAAAGAGCCGCAGAAGCCTGTGGCCAGACCAATGTATAGCGGTATCGTCTTCTTCGTCTTTGCGTGGGCCTTTTTGGCAGCAGCAGGATCCGACTGCTCTTGCTCCAACGCCTTCTCTCTTGCATGGCTGTTCATATTGTCCAGACCCCACTCTTCGCGAAACAGTCGTCTGTCCTCTGATAAGAAGCCCATAACGAACGAGCCGCCGACGTTGGCCCAGAGCACAGGGGTCACCAGCGGAGCGCCCGGGTAGAAGGTGAGCCATTGCATACCCAGTCGAGCGAGTGTGCCCCATATGGAGAAGAAGACAAGGTGCGAAACGATGTAGAGCTGAGTCGCTACTGGAGACGGAGGATCTCTCTGTGGAGAGGGAGGTGACGACGAAGGCCGAGTGCGGAACGAGGGCGGTGTCGGAGCGGACTCGAGAGACTCGTCTTCGAGGTGTGTCTGTCGGTGCCAGGCAGAGTCGTCTTGTCTGTTTTGCACAGGCTCGGGTGCGTCGACCTCGTTCAGCGAGGGCTGAGCCTGTGTCGAGGCTTCAGGTCTGTTGCGCTCTTGCTTCGAGGCATGGCGTTGGGGTATGCGCGCATGATAATCGAGATATGTGGGCTCGCGCGAGTGCGACGCGGCCTCAGTCATGCCGTGTCACGACGAGCAGATGGTCAAGAAGCCGTCGAATCATGCCTTCATGTCAACAAGTACCTCTGCACTGATGCAAATCTTCCATGGCTGGCCGGGCCGTGCCTGTTCGGTATCTTCGGCCTGCAGCTCTGCCCGGCCCTTGCCCCGAGCGTCAACAACAACCCCGCCATTGATAGCGGCACCCGGGTTGCCTGCCCTCATTGCTTGCTGCTCTTCGGCGACGGCCGCCCTATCAAGCTATCACATGCCTTTGTCGGACCTCTTATCTTGGTCCATGTGAGCAAACATTGAGACTAGGAGTCTTCCTCCTCTTCTTGACCTCGTTGAAATCGTGACTGCTTCCCTACAGTGTACTCTTTGTTCCATCTCCATTGTCCTCGTCCTCGCTCACGTCCTTATTGATCACTGACCACTGACCCCCTCCTGCATTCGACCATGTCTTCTCTACCACCCAATGTTCACGTAGCCCAACATCCCTGCCTACGGGCAAAGGTCTCCCAGCTTCGATCGCAGCACACTGGAGCTCGTGATGCCAAACGTCTGATCCACGACATCTCGACCATGCTCGGATACGAAGCTCTCGGCTCAGCTCTTGAGTCTACACAGCAAGGCACAGTACGAGTCCTGCTCTTCGACCGCACATCATCAAACTAACCATACCTTTTCTCGCTCGTAGNNGACACATCACCGTTAGGCTACGACTTCTCAGTAGACTCCATCTCGCCCTCCCACGTCTCCCTCGTGCCAATCCTCCGCTCCGGTTTATCAATGGTCGATGGTACGTTCAGCATCCCCAACTAAACCACAAACTTCATCTGACCCATCTACCTCAAAGCCCTCCTCTCCGTCCTCCCAGACCCCGTCCCCGTCTTCCACCTAGGCATGTACCGCGAAAAGACAACCCTCCAACCCGTCGAATACTACAACAATCTGCCCTACCACTCTGCAACAACAACGACTTCACAACAAACCACTCCTTCCGATCTAGCCATCTTGCTCGACCCTATTATTGCTACTGGCGCTACTGCAAGTGCCGCCATCGACACGCTGAAAGATTGGGGTGTCAAGCGTATAGTCATCTGTAGTGTTCTGGCCAGTCACGAGGGCTTGGAAAAGGTCAGTCGTGTTTGGGAAGACGGCGTGCAGATCTGGGTTGGTGCTGTTGATGCCGGTACAGATGCAAAGGGCATGATCAAGCCTGGTCTAGGAGATGTGGGCGACAGACTCTTCCTCACGATTGGCAAATGATACAGAGACCAAGGCAAATACAAAGACAACTACTTTTTCGCTCTCGCTTTTTATTTGTGGGGTTTTATTTTGCTTTTTGGTTGTTATGTTTTTGGTCAGCCAGTATCTGTCGAGTAGTGCCTCATGTCTACATTCTCTCTGAGAGCCATGTGTCGGCTTCCTCCCAGACCTTCTTGTCCTTGGCCGACACCAAAGTGTCAGGAGCGCTTGCAACTGCAGCGTAGACCTGTTCACCGTGTTAGCAGAGTCACAAGGTTCTGTTGCGACCGAGCTTACCGAGTCCCAGAGTGCAAAAGCCCTCTGCAAGTCGCCCTGGAAGTTGGTGGCATGAGGGAACCACTCGTTGGCCCCCTTTTTCTTGACAGTCTGGCGCGACGCCTCCGAGGTGGGCTCGCTCTGTGCAGACAACTCATCCAGGTACGACTTGACCGCAATGCCGAGAGCGCAGTCTACATCATTCAAGAAGGGCAGACTGTGGTTGCCGTTAGTGGGTGCATGTACTTATCTGGTAAACAACATCACTTACCTGTAGCCTATCTGAGCCAGCTCGCTAGGAGCCATGGTACGGTCTACGTGGTGGTTGGCCAGCATACCAAAGAGACTCATCTCAACCACGTTGCGCAAGCTGCCGCGTACTGCAGACACCATCGATGTGTAAGCAAGCAGATGTCTGCTCAGAGGTCCGGTGAATCCGATGCTCTTGTGACGAAGCCCGGCAAAGCAGGCCACTCTACTGACCAGCAGTGTGTTGCGCTTGTCGGTCTCGGAGCCACGCTGGGGAGAGCCATTGTAGGGGAACATGTTGTCGGAATTGAGTAGGTTCAGGCGTAGCATCTCGAAAGCAAGAAGAGTCGGTTCCTCCAGGTCCTGCTGGTTGTGACGTGAGAAGGCGGTTTGCAGACATTTACCAAGGGTACTGAGTTGATGGTCTTGCTGAACATAGCCACGCAGCTGGAGGAATCTCCATAGTGCGTTCGATTGTACCTCTACAGGAGAGCTGAGTGGCTTCTCTCCAACCGACTTTGGCGTAACACTACTCTTAGCAAAGTCGGCATCTTGCAAGCTGCCCACTGCAAATGCCAGAGACGACACATCACGTTCAAGCTTGGTCGCCTTTGCTGTGATCTGTTCAAGTCGAACGTTCCATCCAGAGATCGTCGTCCTAGGATCGGCAGTGTCTGCAACGTTCAGTGTCTTTGGTCCGTTGGGGTTGAACCAGCATCTCAGGTAGATGGGCCTGTGCTGGTAGAATCGATGGAATGAGTACGTGAGGAGCGATAAAGCAGATGCTCGAAGAGGAATGAGACCGTCAGACACGAGGCGACGGTACACATCAGCCTCGCCTCCATCTAGGGGAGGACGCTCGATGATTTCGTTGGATGCTATCCAGCTCAGCACTTCGGAACTGATGACGCCGTGCGAGAGATATCCAAATGCTTCCTCTGGCAGACGGTGGCCCATGATGTTGTTCAGGTCGCTAGGTGCAGAAGCTCCATCAACCGACTCGATTTTGCCGTTGGGTCGAATGCAAACGTAATGCTTGATGTACAGACTTGCCTTGCGGTAGCGGTCCAGATAGTTCAAAGCAATCATAGCCGGATCATCCTGGTACTGTAGACAGAGAGCGTTGCCATTAGTTTGGCTTCTCTTGAGCAGATCTGCAGCGGCTTTGATCTTGGGAGTTCTAGGAGATGCAGTTAATTCGTTTTCCAACTGAGGAAGAGTAGGCAGGACCGAGCAGCCAGAGAGAAGGCAAGCATCGACAAACATGGCTGTCGAAGGAGCTCCGAGAGCCTCCATGCATTCGCGACGAGTCACCCAAGAGAACTGAGCCTGCTCGAAGTCAAGTTTGGTGATAAGCTGGTCGATCTCATACATCAGAATGTCGCTGGACCCTGCCACAGCATCGCAGAACTCGGTACCAGCGATTGACGCGAGCTAAACCTGAGATCAGTATCATGATGCATCCGAATGAGTTATTGCGCCCACCTGAGCACATGCGCTATGCGGCGCAACGAGGAAGTCCACATCGTTTTTGCGCAAGATGTTCTGGACGAAACGGTAGATGTTATCAACATTGATGGTGCCAGCTGCTCAACAATATCAGTCTCTGTCTGCTCGACCATAGAAGGACAGCCAGTGCTCACACAAAGTGCCAAACTCCGCAACGGCACGTTCAGGTTGAGATGCACCATACAACTCCCAGGCATTCGCAATGTTCTTAGTAGCGCGGGTTGCGGCTTGGAGTCTCTCTTCTTGGCCATTTGAAGTCACACCGTTGAAGATGAAGTAAGGCTGGCAACCATGTTCTCTCAAGATGCCAACGTGGTTTGTGATGGTCTCTTCAAGGGCGAAAGGAAGACCACCGAGTGCCGGGAGTAGCGGCTCCTTTGTAGGGGAAGTCGTGAGTATGTTGGCAATGAAATCCTCGGCTTCAATTCCTAGACGGCGCTCATTCAACTCTGCAAATGAATCGGTATGGCCCAGCTGGGCTGACGCTGCCCACTCGTTGAATCCGGATATCATTGTCTGTCGAGAGGTGATCTTGATGTAGAGTACTGTAGCAAGGAGACGTTTTCGTAATCAAGGTGTTCTGAATAGACCTCAACCGATCTCAAACGTGAGTGAGTGTGTGGTTAAACGTAAAGTGTAAATATAAGGAGTCTTCGGACGACTGAGGTTAACATGTGAAGGGAAGGTCCGAGCGCCAAGCTCCACATCTGAAACACATGGAGGAGAGCGCCTGCGCGCACCTACTGCCTCACGAAAACAATGCAAGTGAATTCTTGAAGTGAGAGGGGAAATTGTTGATCAAGGTGACTGTATTATTCGCATCTATCGGGGTATCTCTTTGCACCTTTGCCGCATGCTGCCGTCTTCATATCCGGGCTATGTCCCTTGCGATCCCATGTGCTCATATCTAATCTAAATCTAAAATCGTGATGGTTTTATTATGCGTCTTCCAAATTTCCATATTGCCAGCGGTAGGACTGGTAGAACGCAAAAGCAAACAGAGCAACCACAATGGCTCTGATGAATCCTGTCGACTTGGCCTCGTCAACCTTTGGTGCGGCATCCTGTGGTAGAGCAGCTCGGGTTGGCGCCATCTTGAGGTTTGAATGTCCATGCTTGGCCTCACGAGCAGCCAACGACTTGACGAGCTCGAGGTCGGTCATGAGCTGCTTGTCTAGAGCTTCGACGATCGCAACGCACTGTTCAAATATGAACTGGGCCTCATCTACGATGTCCTTGCGCTCGTGTGCTGTCAGCAGCTCCTCTACTTTCTCTAGACGATTCTTGAAGTCCGTCTTGATATCTTCTCCGTCTCTTGTACCTGGAAAGCAAAACAAGGTGAAGCCTGGCCTTAGTGTCCCATGGATCCAATACTCGGTCTTGTCCGCTTCGTGAGTGATACCCCAGAACTCAGGCCCAGATTCCGCGAGTTGTTCTCTGATCCAACGTCCNCCTGAAAAGATTGCCATGTACATGATCCAGGCATAGGCAACCAAGACGTGGGGCTTGTCTCGAGTGTGTCGATATATATGCGCCGTGAAAGAGCGAAGCTGCTCGTTCGATACGACCTCTAGATCAGCACCAGTGGCTGTCTCCAAGTATTCCAGATCTTTCTTGATCGCATCGGAGCGCCAGAGACCAGGAGGGACTAGTTGAGAAAGCCATTGGCGCAGATCATTGTCGTGTGAGGAGCCAGCTGCCTCGGACTTGTCGACCTCGGCAATTAAAACGTGCCAGCAATTCTCAAAGACAAGATAGATGTCGCCAAACGTGTTGATGCCATGAGCGTATAATTCGGGGGTCTTGGCTATCGGTGGAAGAGCCAGAGGCAGGCGGGAAACGATAAGCTTGTTCAGCCGCGTATGAACCGATCTTGTNAACAGGTCAGCGACTGCACCATAACTCTGCAGAGATGGTTCGAAGAGAGCACACCGAGTGGCCGTGTTGATCTCAGTGGACAAATTCTGCGGGGCGGGAGAAGGCGGAGGCGAGAGGAGTTGAGGGGGAGTGTGCAACGACGCCATGCTGTCGGGCAGCCAGAGGACCGAGCAGTGACGATATTCCCCTTCTTTATGTGATTGTCGCGAAACCTCGACGACTATCTCAAGACCAAGTCACGAAGCAACAGTCGTCACACGGCTGCGACCAGGAAGCACATGGACAAGGCAGGGCGGCAGAGGGCCTGGAACTGTCCCCGTCTGTGCTCTTTTCCGATGCGATCGCTCACTCGGACCGTTTGGAATGGCGACATCGACACATTTCTTCTTCCTTTGTTTTCTTTTTGTCTTCATGTCCCATGCACATCCAAGAGCACAAGACCAAGCACGAGAGTGTTATGTAACTGCACATCCGCTCTGATTTACATGTTGAGCTACACTTGTATCCTGAATGTAGCAGATCCCTTGACACCATCGTCTGATCGTTAGTTCATACCGCATTCTTGGCTGTTCGCTGGCGTCCACGTACTCGACCTCCAACGCCAGTACTACCACCTGCATCGACGTCGCGGACAAGTCCTGGGCTCTCTACTCGTGTACCGATACTATCGTCCATGAGTCTCGTGCCCATTTTCTTGCTCATTTTCGCACGATATTCTTGAGCCTCTGGTGTCTCATATGTGACTTGCTGACTTGGTGCGGGCGCTTCGCCTTCCATCAGGTTCGTGAGTGAACCCGAGTTGGCTGCATCCATGCTTGGATGCTGTCGAAACGAGACAGTCGATGAATTTGACGCGTACGATGGAGCGCGTCCCAGTTTCTTGTCCTTCCTCCATCTTCCCTTGGCTGGTTGTTCGGCTGGTGTTGGGGCAGAATGTGAATGTTGTCGCTCAAGTAATGATTTAATTTCACCACTCAATCGTACTTGATTTGCCAGTGCATCGACATTTTCGTCTTCTGCCGGCACTGCTTGTTGTGCGTCTTTTCTTGCGGATGAAGAGTTTGAGTGAACATCCACATTTCCCGGGGGTGTTGATCTTGATTGTTTTCTGGTGGTATTCACCTCTGGTGGAATGCTTTGCAATGGCTGCTTTGTATCCATGGCCACGATGTAGTCGTCAGCTGCGACTGGCGGTGGGTCGTACGACGGCAAATCGTGCCTGTCTCCTAGTTCTTGAGGGTCATGAGTCTTGTAAGCTGGCGGTGCTTCTTCCTCGTCTTCTTCAATGAACGGTCCTATCCTTTTGGATGTTACAGGCTGATGTTGTGCTGGTTGGACAGGCCCTGACTGATAAAGGTGCAACGAAGTAGCTACGTTTCGTTTTCTGATAGCCGAAAGGCGTTGAGCAGATGGGACATCTCTTCTACAGACTATATCAGCCTGGTTCTCACTAGCTAAACTAGCTCATCCTACCTCTTGTCTTGTGGAGGAGCAACACTTCCGTCCCGAGCAGAAGAGCGATCAAGAATTTGTTTGGACTGTCCGGCCACCAAGTAGTCGGACAGTGGCATCTTTCGTACATGGTGCAGACTGGAATAGAGCCATGTGTCCGAAACGACAGGAATTTTATGCTTCGCAGCGTATGAGATCTTTTCTGAGTTTGTTGCGGCACCAGGGACGATCAGAAAAGACGTCCTTGGTACCAACATCTCGTCGTATGATGCGCCTGCCAGNAGCGTCAGTCGCATCGCATTATGGTCACACGCCAATGAGGTCTCACCTGCAAGTCTGACCACTCTTGAAATGTGTAGCACGTCATGGCCCATTCCAGAGGTCGCTATCGTCAAACCTTCAAAGTCTGAGACAGTCAGTCACCAGCAACATACGAAGCTAAGATTGAACATACCATCGATCGGCAGGCTGAGATGCGGTTGACTGAGTATATCATGATCGGGATCAACAATCATCTTCTGCTTGATACATCTTTCCAGCCACCATTCCGTTACAAGCCATGTTTCGGGAGGAACCTCGGGTAACGAGCCCTTTTTAGTTGATGTCCATTCGCTTGGTAGTATCAGGACCTTGTGTTGGCATAAGTCGCCATTCTGAGCTGCATGCAAGACATCAGCAGAATGGGTAATCTGACCTCCATTCGAAGTTATGATATTTTTTATCTTCGCGGCNCTGTTTGAGAAGGTCAGACAAAGTTTGGTTATAAATAAGAACGAATTTCAACTCACCTTCTTCTCATCATGACCGTGGACAAGACACAAAACACCCGAGAAGAGACCTAATTCCTCTCCAGGAGGCGCAGGGCCCCCTTCGCGTGAAGTATGACGAGATGCATCGTTTGCTCTGCTTGGAGGAGTAACGCTTCGTGATGGTGTTGCAACATGTTGGGCCTCTGTCCACTGATCATTGGCAAGTTCGGATGATTCTTCACCTCCATGCGACATGAAACTGGTCATCATATTTTGGCTGTGATCTGCCAACTTGGCACTTGCAGTGCGTCGCATCTTTCGCTTTCCATTCTCTTCTTTTGGTATAATAGCGGTCTCTCCACGCTGTCTCTTTCCGAGGACGGGAGGCCGCTGGTAACCACGTACAAAGGCGCCTCGGCCCTGATCCTCGAGAGGCATTAAAGGATGATAGAGTGATTCGTCGACAGCCATACCCCTGTCAAGACTTTCTTCAAGCCATTTCAGAGAAGTCGTCTTGATGGTCCAAGATTGCGCACGCTCGTATTTTGCACCCTTCGGTTTGGCGACAATCAGGTGGGTGACTTCTCTGGTGAGGTCTCCATGATAATGAGCGCCGTTGCTTCTGATCTTCTCGATAATGTGTTGTCTTTCCTCGACNTGTGTATGGGATTAGGGGTGTGGTAGAGGTAGTTCGTTGGCAGCATACATACTGTCTTCGAAGCCTGTCACAGAGATGTGCAAGTTGTAAAAGACGGGCAGGCGATGCTCTTGGACCAGTGCATCAACGTCAATGTCTTGATCCTCCATGTAGGATTTGCGGATGGCATGTATCCATTCGGGCTTCAGTACGTGTATGTCGGGTCTTTCTTTTGCGGTATGCCTGCATTTGGGGGTGTCGATGTTGCCGACTATCAGATGAGTTACGTCGGCGGTCAAGTCGAGACGGTGAACGGCACCCATGCTTCTTGCAAGATCATTGAGCTTGTCCTGTCGAGTAGAATGCGTGAGTAGAGGTGGCGTAGGCTTGGTATAGTGGGTACTGACTCTGAGATCCTGCGATAGTGATGTGCTGCAGAGGACAACGCCCTGGAGAAGAGCATTGTTGCCTGTGGACAAAGTCAGTCATCGCTGCAGCATGTCTCGTGGGTGTTAGTAAAAATCTCACCATCTTCTGCATCGTCAGGCATGATGGTGCATACAACTATTTGACACAAGCCTCTATCTGATTGCTTTGCCTCGAGGGGGACGCGCCAGAAATCTGTTTGGAACGCTCCCGCGTCGTTGAAAATCGCGTCGTTAAGGCCGATAATCCCGCTTCTAATGACCTCGGGCTCGCGGCATCGGAGGGCCAGCAGCCGTCACCAATGACCATTCCACGACGACAAGCATAGGCACTATCAATCCAAGAACCACAGCACACCTCCTCGGACGAGTGATCCGCCAGGCACTCAGTCTTCCCAGAGCAAGCGAGATTCCGTTTGCTGTGTCTCAACACCGTATTCCAGCACCGAGGAGTGACATTTGGTCTGCCCCGCCGTCTCAGCGTCGTCGAGGAACAATCGATGGTCACTGCTTCGGCCCTCCCCGATCTGCAATAATTACATCAACAAAACATGTCGGATCGCCCATCCGACACACGTAACATACACCTCAGGTACGACAGGGGACCCGCGAACGACGGCCACATCTCATATGCCCGGGGTCCGAGGGTGCGGAGGTTGAGCAATATATCAACCGGAACACGCGGATCAGCTCGTTCTCGTGTCAGGTGCCGTTGACTAATCTGCCTGGTCTTGTCGTCTCTATAGAGTGCTCAAAGGCCAGTGTAGATTTGCCTTTTCGCACCCGCCCAAATGGAGACTGGGGAACAAGACTAATGCGTACCCAAAGCTTGTGGCCTTCCCCAAAGCCAATCACGGAGACATCGGATCGCTCGTCACCTCTGCACTTGGGTGCGAAGCCGCGCAACCAGGCAAGACAGGGCCGCGGCAGATGTCTTCCAAAAAATAATGACGAAAGTCAAAAACGCCCTCGACGCTTGGTCATGTAGTTCACCAGCCATAGCCCATTAGATAACCCAAACCCTTGTTGTTTCCCTGCTGTGATTTCTCATTGTGTTTCACCTCGCCCCGGACCCACGGACAAAACTCGACTCACCGCCGTCTCTACACCTCCAGCACCCTCGTTCCTCCCATACCGGCACCGAGTGCAGCAACAGAGAGACTCGATTTGGCTTTGTGTGCCATCTCCGCGACAAGTTGGCTTAGACGGTCTGAAGCCACACTCGGGCTACACCCAAAATCACCAACGCTACACGTGAAAGAGACGTCGATAGTCGCTCAATCCTCTTCCGTGACCTCATCTCTAACCTTGCACCACCACCGATTTGCGCATACACTGCTCAGAGGTCAGGTCACGCTATACGTACGCCCGTAGCTGCGATTTGCAAGCTTGAAACACGCTTGATTCGGTGAGTCTTGCTCTTGTACATGCACATGGTTGATGGGAGCCTCGCACATGCTGGCTTGCAATTTTGGGCACCATTCCTTGTTTTGGCCTGCACGACGAATCTGCACGACCTTGGTTGGCGACATCGCAAGCCTTAACTATCCCATGCACCCCACTCCTTGCCCGTCGCAAAGTGCCTGGCAATATCCATAGCTAATATACAATGGCAGAGGTCCACCCGAACCACCACCGCTACAGCTGGGTCCATTTTTGTCCCAGCAGTTTCCACGAAGGCTCCGACCGCTCGGGTTATTTCGAGCCCCGCAGATATAGAAGGGGGTCAATTCGCATCAAAAGCGTCCACGAAGGACACGACCCTCCACCAAACCTCGACAAACCACGACACCCCTCCAGTCACTTTCTAGCCAGAAGATTTTCGACCTCTACAAAACACGCGAAACGCATCATTCGCTCAATTGTATCTGCAAGATCCATACCTCCACGCAACCTTTCGGACGTTCCGCAATTGTCTACATATAGCCTAGGAGGCGCAACTGCAGAAGGGGGACAGAAACCGGCTTTCTTTGGAAATATGAGGGCAAACATCCGCGGTTCAATTGGCGGCCCCGTGAGCGGCATGATCTCAAGGCCTTCGTTGACAGACGATGTGAGAGCGGCTTCAGACGCTACAGCTCGAGCACAACATATGAATACCATAATGCCCGGCACAGATCCTAATGATAAACCACTCGTGTCTGGTAGCGGCGTAAACGTCTCGATCAACTTGGCCGAGCCAGCACTATTCTTGCAGGGCTTCGAACAGAACGACATGGCTAGCGGCAACACGGCTATGCTAAGAGGAACACTCCATCTGCGTGTAACGAAAGCCGCCAAAATCAAGGCAGTCACTCTCAAGTTCAAGGGCAGAGCAACCACGAAATGGCCCGAAGGTGATTTGCTGCTCTCCATTTGGTTCCGAGATGTATGACTAACAACCTATANNGGCATTCCTCCCCGCAAGGTTGATTTCGAAGAGGTTGACAATATCATGAGCCACACCTGGCCATTCTTTAATGCTCAATTCCCCACAGCAGAGGCAGGACCTTGCGCAGATCACGTAGAACTCTTCAAGTCCGGCGCTTCCTCGACAACCTCATCTTTTGGTATGGGAAAGTCGCCAAACATCTCGACAACCAATCTTACCACAAAAGACCAACGAAGGCTGTCATTACAGGTCAATCAGTCGCGCAGTTTTGGCAAAGGTGAATCTTCTACTGGTGGTCCTTCAGTAGCACAGAAAGGCTACCGTACCTTCAACCCAGGAGACTACGTATACAACTTCGAGCTCCCCCTTGACAGCAGACTGCCCGAGACAATCGATGTGGATCTAGGCTCGGTCAAGTACGAGCTTGAGGCTGTCATCGAACGCGCCGGAGCTTTCAGAGCCAACCTTGTCGGAGTTCGCGAAGTGCAATTGATCAGAGCCCCAGCAGAGGGATCCCTCGAACAGGTCGAACCCATTGCCATCAGCAGAAATTGGGAAGACCAGCTCCACTACGACATTGTCATTTCCGGAAAATCGTTTCCTCTTGGATCTCAGGTCCCTATTGCGTTCAAGCTAACTCCGCTGGCCAAGGTGCAATGCCACCGAATCAAAGTACTCGTGACCGAGAACATCGAGTATTTCTGCAGTAATAAGCGGGTCCACCGCATGGAGCCTACAAGGAAGGTCCAGCTGTTCGAGAAGCGAGCAGACACACCACCCACCAGCACCTTCCCCGGTAGTTCGATGCGTGTAACCTCAGGAGGTGGTGTACCGTATGACCAACGCGCGCGTGCCGCAGCTGGTGAGACTGTGCAGACCTCGGACCCGACAAATCTTCTCGGCAATCTGGAAGGTGAGAATATTGGACCTACTGAGATGGAATTTAATGTGCAGCTGCCAAGCTGTTCTTCGAACCGTGAAAGGGAAAGAGCGACCAGGTTACACTTCGACACGACCTACCAAAATATCCAGGTGCATCATTGGATCAAGGTATGTGGATGTTGCTATCTAGAGCGTGTGCAAACCATTTACTGACATTACTCAGNNATCGTGATGCGTCTTTCGAAACCTGATGCAGAAAACCCAGGCAAGCGTAGACACTTCGAAATCTCCATCGACTCGCCCTTCCACATTCTCTCATGTCGCGCGACACAAGCAAACACATCTTTGCCCGCCTACACCAGCCCAGAGTCTGCTTCCAATGGAAGCACATTGTACGAATGCGGCTGTCCCAACGCACTTCGCCGTCGCAACTCTCCCACTTCATACGTCCCCACACTCAATGCACTAAACGGCATGAGAGAAACAACCATACCACCCACAATCACCGCGCCCAGTCTGGCTCGCCCACAAGCCGCACACTTGACTGGTGCAGCACCCCACAACCAACTCGATCGTCCCATCCACTTGTTGCGTGCTCCCTCATTCAACCCGCCAGCTTTCGAAGACGAGGAGCCCCCACCGCCACTCATCACTCCTCCCCCACAATACGACAGTATTGCGAGTCCGACTTCGGGATTGGCCGACTACTTTGCACGCTTGTCAGATGCCTATGACGACGACGAAGACAGCGATGATGCCAGCAGCAGTCGTGGCCGTGTCGATGTTCCACTGACACCTGGCGCAAGAGTCAACAGAAGTATGGACGTTTCCAGAAGTTGGGTACCCCTCGGTGCTCAACTACATGGTTAAGAGAGCAAGACAACAAGAAAAACAAAGGGAGAAACAGTTATGGGGAAAAATGCGAATGTTTACGACAATGACCTTTTTTTTGTTTTTGACGAATGAAAGCTTTCTGCATAGCGGCACAGATGCATGGCAAGAGCATGAATTTTTTCACAGTCCAAGCAAGTTGGGAATATATAAGGAAAGGAGGGGGCTTGGAGTATGACTGGGGAGGGATTCTTGTTCAATACATATTTGGGAATATCAAAAGTCTTATATATCATCATGTCTCTTGATCTAGGTTTTGCGCCTTGTCATACTATTTATGTTGTGAACCGAAGTCGAAATGGGAGAAAGACCTGGCCGGAGTTTCCCTCGTTTGTGACATTTTTTATGCATGTAGACACCCTATTTATACTTGATCATGATCTCCTCCCGAATAGAGAGCAGCAGCAGCAAAGAAGCAAGCAGCTCTACAATCCAGATCTACTGATCAAGCGAGAGAGTGGTAACCGTCATGTTCAGGGACTCAGACGTAAAGTTACTAGGACCAGCGATCATGTTGCCCAAGAAGTTTCTCGTCGCATTACCCTGCACGCGATCCAGATCAGCTTGCACAATGGGAGTACCACTAATCAGCTTCAGCACAACCCAGACAGCGCTAGGACCGATAAAGTAAATGACTTCTGCGAAGATCAGAGTCCAGAAGGCCCATTCGATGAGCTGTTTGATGACATGGAGCTTGAACTTCAGCTTGACCAGGCGAATGTAGGTCTGCTTGTCGATTGTGCGTGCGGCTTCCATGAAGCTCAGTGGCTGCGATTGTTGTTGTAAGATACCGCCGGATTGAGGGCGGCCTTGGAAACTGCGATCCATAGGGATGACAGGGTCTTCGTCGTCTCTCAGCATCGAGGCAAAGACACGAGTTTGGATTGCTTCGAATGGTCTTAGCACCACCAAGCGTACCAAAGGCTTGATCTGAGCACGCAGCATGGACTTGATACAAGCCCAGAGGATGATGGCAACACTTATCTTCACCAGTGGACCATCACTGAACTGGAATACTTGGTGCTGACTCCTCGTGTCAGGTGTAGTAGACTTGGACTTCGAAGCAGGTGTAAGGTAGTAGAAGGCTGCTTGGACAACGTCGTCGCTCAGACCATCGACCAATGAAGCAAGCCAAGCGGTACGCAGTACTTTGAACCACGTCATTGGCATACGACGGAACCAAAACTTGTAGCGGGGCTTGGATATGCACACGTGCAGAATGGTGACGCTAATCTGGATCGCAATGAGGGACACAACGTGCTGAGCAAAATTTTCTGCCACGCGGTCGCTCTTCTTGATAAAAGGAATCCTGTGCGAGACAAAGCTGACGGCGAGATACATGGGAGTCAGGAGCAGGACGGCAGCTGAAGAAGATCCTATACCACGGAACATGCTTAGATCTCCCGCCTCGACATTCAAGTGGCGTAGTGTTGCGCGGATACTCGAAGATATGTAGGTAGGCTCGGAAGCTGATGAAGTTCGCTTCTTGTCCTTGTATTTGTCTTCCTCGAGGAGTCCGTACTTCTCAGAGCCCATGTCTTGAGAGTCGACACCACCGGGAACTGGAGTCTCGACCTCGGAGAGTGTAGTCATGAGGAAGAAGAAATGATCAATNCTATGCATCGTTAGTCACCAGCACAGAAAGGAAGTGGGCAGAGTGGTTTCTACCAAGTAGTTTGCAGCAAATCCGAGGGCTATAGTGAGCATGGGCAAGAAGCCTTTCAAGACGATGGACCAACTGATGCCAGAGCTATCCTTGCCAGCGTTATTGCTTGTGTGATTTGACGAGGCTTGCATTGCCTCGTTTGCAATAGCTAGTAGAGCCCATTGGCCAGGAGGGTTGTTATCTGCCATGTTGAAGCGACCAGGTTGATATGTTGTCGAGTGTTTTGGAAGAACAATATGTGTTGTTCTGTTGTCAGAGAAGGCTCAGGAAGTATACGGCCGAAGAAGCGCAGTCACGAAAAACCGTTGGTGAAGAATGTCGAGACAGGCAGGTCAAACCTTTATATGTTCGACCAAAGGCGTCACGTCAAGAGATAACCAAGCTCTTCAGGCCAAGCCGGATTCATGGTAATGAGAATGAAGCCAAGGCTGGCTTGAATCCTTCTGACGCTGGCCGGTGCCTGCTACTGCCTGGCTTCATAAGGCTGAGATATGTTTTTGGCAACAGAGGCCGATCGTTCCATCAGGCAGTCGATGTGTTGACTCGTGACCCTCTCTAGTTTTTATTCCCGTACAGGATGCAAGTACTTGTACTTTACAGAAGCTTATGGGCCGACCACTTTGGTCTTGTAGGCTCAAGATGGCAAGAGCCACGACCATCGGTCCGGTTCCTCGGAGCAAGTAGTTCATCACCCAAGCCACCGCATAGCCTCACGAGCGTGCCCGTAGCTCGGTAGAGATAACGAGACGTGGTCAGGGTGATGATGGACTGGCAACGAAGAAGTGGTCCCTGGCACCGGCGAGCCTCGGCAAGGTAGCCGGCGGTTCGACGCGGCTGGCTCAACGCGCCCATGGCGGGGCCGAGAGGTCGCCGTGCACGTCACTGCCCGGGTTTCTTGATTGATTCATTTCGCGAATAATTCAGCACTCGACACAAGCAAAATGGCGAGCGAAGCATCAACGACACAGCCTCCGGTCAAGATTGGCACGCGCAAGTCTGTCCTCGCAAGAGTGCAGACTGACATTGTGTGCAAGGAGCTGCGCAAGGCATGGCCCGACCGCCAGTACGAGATCCACGCCATGAGCACCATGGGCGACAACAACCAGACCACTGCCCTGCACGAGTTCAATGCAAAGGCTCTGTGGACCCATGAGCTCGAGGCGCTGCTCGAGAAGGGCGACCTGGATCTCATTGTCCACAGTCTGAAGGGTAAACCATCTGCAACCTCAGCCATGCGCACTCGACACTGACACCAACCCANNGACATGCCCACGCAGCTTCCTCCGTCCATGAGCATTGGCTGCATTTTCCCTCGCGAAGACGCTCGTGACGCTCTCGTCGTCAAGCCCACCCTCCCCTACAAGTCCCTCTCTCAATTGCCTGCAGGCTCCGTCATTGGCACCTCGTCCGTCCGCCGCTCTGCCCAGCTCAAGCGTCTGTACCCGGACCTCAAGTTCGCAGATGTACGCGGCAATGTCGGTACCCGTCTTGCCAAGCTCGACAACCCCGAGGGCGAATACACCGCCCTCATCCTGGCCGCAGCAGGCCTCTCACGCCTCGGCATGTCCGACCGCATCACCAGCTACCTCGACAGCGCATCAGGTGGTATCTTGCACGCAGTAGGCCAGGGAGCATTGGGCATTGAAGTCCGCTCCGACGATGAGGATGTCAAGAAACTGCTCTCGGCTGTTGGCTGCGAGTGGACCACCCGTGCCTGTCTTGCTGAGCGCAGTCTGATGCGCACCCTCGAAGGTGGCTGCAGTGTACCCATTGGTGTTGAGACCGAGTGGGTGCGCAAGAAGTCCTCTCTGGGTACCACCATCGGTACCGGTGTTGGTGTCGGCGCAAAGCCTGCTGCCGAGTACGACAAACTCAGCGGTGTTGCTGTGACTGGCCGCACCACCGAGGACGATGGCGAACACCAGGATAGCGGTTCTGAGTTCACCGAAAACCTGATCATGCGTGCACTTGTCGTCAGCCTAGACGGTCAGAGGCACGTAGAGACTGAGATGCAGAGACGCATCACTAGCAGAGAAGAGGCCGACGAGTTCGGCTGGGACGTCGCAAAGAAGTTGGTCGAGCTGGGCGCCGAATCCATTCTTCACGATATCAACTTGAACAGAAAGATTATCGAGGAGCAGGGTGACGCATAGACGTGGACTAAAATACAAAACACATGCATCGCAATCCATTTTGAGATCCCCTCGAAATGAACATATACGTTCAGTACTCTGATCCTACTTTGTTGTATCTCGAGTTTGATAGGTAGAATGGTTCAATAGGATCCCTTCGTGGCAGTCAACAAGATGTCTCAAAACTCCGTCAACGATTTCCCCAGAGGTGCCTGGATGATGGTTGGTGAGCTGGGGATGGAGAACTTTCGACCGATTCTAGAAGCATTGGCAACGCCTTCTACCGCTTTCACCCTTCGATATGCTTTCGCAAGACCTCGCTACCGCTTTCTGAAGGGTGGCACTTTCAAGACAAAATGTCCTTGTAGCTTCTCTGCCCTAAATCGATTCCTGCATCAGTCCTTAGAGAAAACATTTGGTGGTCGAGAGGTCGTCAAGCCGTCATGACAGGCTCTTCTGCCCTAAGCAACCACCTCGATATGTTCAAGTAGGAAAACATCAAGGTCGGCTCTGTATAGATGGTCTAGTATATATATATCGTTCATTCTTCGACCATGTTCATTCTCAGCATCTCATTCTCTCTTTCTTTTCATACTGGTACCAGTCTACCATACACTTTCGCTTCAAGATGAGACCTTCTACCTTCCTTCTCGCTGCCTCCGGCTCTGCAGTCCTTGCTGCTCCTACTCCCAGTCTTATTGGTGACTTGCTGAGTCTGACAAACAACGTCATCACCACCGTCACCTCCACCATCACCAACAACCTTGCCCAGCAAGTCGCAGCTCTTGGCTGCACTCTGCAAACAAACGCCAACCAGCATGGCCAGATCCTCAGTTCGGTCGCTCTTACCATTGAAGCCATCGAGGTTGCTGCCAAGAGGTTTACCCAAACCTGCAGCTGGTCCAAGCCTGGAAAGCAGTATATCAACTGGTCAACCTACAAGGCCAATGGAGTCAACCTCGGCGCCTGGCTTGAGATTGAGCAAAACTACGATACTCAGTGGTGGGCAGACAACGTTGGCTCGTTCCCTGATGAATGGACTTGGTGTTCTACCGTAGGCTTCTCGGTCTGCGGACCTATCCTCGGGAAGCGCTACGCTTCTTTCTTCACCATTGCCGACATCGACAAGATGGGCGCCAAGGGCATCAACACTTTGAGAATCCCTACCACCTATGCTGCCTGGACTAAGGTCCCTGGAAGCCAGCTCTACTCCGGTAACCAACAGGCCTACCTCAGAGTCCTTACCAACTACGCCATTGACAAGTACAACATGCACGTTATTGTCGGTCTCCACTCCCTGCCCGGTGGTGTCAATACCCTTTCCATTGGTGAAGCCTTTGGCCACGACGGTTGGTTCCAGAACAGCACCAACCTCGACTACAGCTTCAAGGCCATCGACTCTATCTTGACATTCATCAAGACCTCTGGCCGCCAGAATGCCTTCACCATCGCTCCCATCAACGAGGCTAGCGACAACTTTGCCGGCTTTGCTACCCCTGCTGGTCTGACTGATGCTGGTGTCAACTGGATTAACACATACATCAAGGGTGTCTTCTCTCGCATTGCAAAGGTTGACAAGAGAATCCCTCTGATGCTTCAAGACTCCTTCTTCAGCGAGATGTTCTGGTCTCCCTTCTACCCCGCTGGCACCAACCTCGTTATCGATTCTCATATCTACTTCTTCGCCGCTGCTGGCGCTTACTCTCAGTACGTTCCTGCTGCTGTCTGCGGTCAGGCCAAGTACATTGGTCAGGGCGATGGCAAGTTCCCTGTTTTCATTGGCGAATGGTCATTGCAAACGCTTTACAACAACACTCTGAGCAACAGAAAGACTTTGTATGACACTCAGGTCTACGCTTACCAGAAGTATGCTTCTGGTGGTGCTTTCTGGAACGGAAAGATGCTCAACACTGTCGATGGTGTGGATGGCGAGGGCAAGCTCCAGGACTACTGGTCTTGGGAGGGTCTTGCTGACGCTGGTGTCGTTTCCAACACCATTGATCAGAGCTACTGCTAGATGTAAGCTGAGCAAAAGGAATTATTTTTTGTTTTTCTAGGATACCAGTTTCGTTTTATGTTATTTTCGCTTTCAAGGGGGGCTGGAGATTGAGCATAGGAAATCGCACAGATGTTGTACATAGCCAGAAATTTCATGTCGCTATACGATTTACATTGCTTGCATATACAGAATGTTACCCATCTAAGTGATCTAGTTCTGATCCATCTTGCCAGTAACAACTTCAGGCTCATCAGCAATCTTTGCATCCAGCGCCTCTTGACCCTCAAGAATCACATCAGCAGGAATGCGATCAGGAGTCTTGTTCGTCAACATGATCATCGGCGCAGTCGCCAACGCCATAAGTCCAAAGCTGACACAGAAACCGATAAGAGGGCTAGCTTCCGTCTGCGTGTTCATACCGTAACTGATAGCTTGACCCACAGCTTCAAGACATCTGAAGGCAGCTCCATTGCGCACGTTTGCTTGGGCGTCAGTTGCGAAAGATGAAAGTAGCCAGTACATGTACGACTGCGAGAGAGGGCCGGTGGTCTGGACGAAGAAATAGGGTAGGAATGCAGATGGGTATAGTGCATCGTCCCAATCGATTCTGCCGGGGTCGTTGGCGTTGAACTTGACTTGCATGATGATGGACCAGATGTAGACGCCGAGGTTGAGGATCACGACTACAAAGAGACCGACTCGTGCTCTTTGGCGTTGACTGAGGCTCTTCATGTCGAGGATGAAACCGAGACCGAAGCATCCGACANNCTGTAATGGTAAGTCAGTATAAACAAAACAAGCAAATATCGGTTATACTTACATGCAGAAGAATGGCGAGATCAAGGACGAAAGAGCGCGAGCGCGGACGGAGAAGTAGATACCAAGGTAAGTGCTCCAAGTGCCAGAATANCTAGACGAGTGTCAGCGCGGTGTCCATGACATGAGAAAGTGAGGAGTGCTCACGAAGAACGACCACATGGCCCAAAACGCAGACAAGACGATGAGGCTGGAGGCCATAGTAGTCTTGATGAGCTTAAATTCCTGCTTTGTTCCGACCTTCTCGGAAACCAAGATACGAGTGCCGTCTGATCGAACAACGCGCTCGAGAGGGGAGATCATCAGGGCGAATGGAAGNACTATGGTTATCAGTACCTCCATGTCATGTTACTGTAGTAATTTCACTTACGCAAGACACTCGATGATCAAGAAAGCAATGTAAGTGTCGGGNGTAACACCAGTTTCAGCACCCTTGACATGGTTCTTGGACAGGTTGATAGCGCCTCCGACCAGTTGTCCAAGGTTACGAGCGACAATCCAGAATGCCAGATATTTTCCACGGGCGCCGGATGGCGCAAGGCTCATAATAGTCCCGCTCTCTGCAACGTACCAACAGCCTGTTCCGATACCAGAGACGAAGCCACCAAAGATTATGTACNNTGTGATGTGTTAGCTCTTTCTTGGTTCGTGCTGCTCTACATCGAAGCCTACCCATTGATTTCCAAATTTGCTGTTGCAGTAGTACGATGAACCTTGAATTGGGAAAGACATGGCGCCAATGACCAAAGACCACTTGACACCGAGCTTGTTCACAAGAGGTCCGCCGAGAAAGCAGACCAGTGCGAGCATAACGTAGTTGATGGCGTTGGCGATGTTGTTTGTTTGTGCTGAGGCAAGGCCACCACCACCAAGACCNTATGAATTGTCAGTTGTGTGTAGAAAGACAGGCATGGAAGTAGACCAACCAGCAATTGCATCTGCCATGGCGGGACCACAAAAACTTTGCATGGAAAGAAGCATCATCTGAGTGAAACTGTCTTGGTATACCCTCTTCCACCAGGGCACAGACTTCTTGTATTCTTCCATGTTCACTCTCTCATCGGCGTAGACAGGTGGGTCGTTCATTGGTATCGTTCCATGTGTTCTTAGAGCTTCATCGTCTCCACCAGCATGCGTGTTAGGGGGGNNAGCAGCAGCGAGTGAGGCCATGATGGGTGTGTGGTATGGTCACTAGTGTAGGAAGTAGAAAGACTACGAGGTAGAGACTCGACTGGGGATCTCTTTGGCATTTATAAGATAGACGACAGTAAAACCTTACCCCAGAGTGATAGTCCCCATCGCTTTGACCTGTGCATATTATCTGTGAAACCTAGAATTGACTGCCACGCGGGCCCATGGTTTGCCCCAGAGTGCGATAGTCATGTCGAATTGCGGGTGGAGGATGGCCGTTTTCGCCTTGGACCTTCCTCGTGTTTTCAGCGGCATAAAGCGGCAGTCTTCGGCCTATGATTGTGAGGAAGGTACAAGCGTCAGACTGCGAGATAGGAGACGCTATCGTGACTATGGCCGCGGCCGGCGGTAGGAAACTGCATCAAACACGTATTCTGCCTAAATGGGGGATATCGCTTGGCTGCGCGACCAATCGGAGCCCCAGACACTAGTGGAGAAGCAGTCTATATTGGGCCTAGTCTATGCGGGGGATAAGCCAACGACGTCGACCGTGAGGATAGATCGCACACGTCTTCCGACAACCGTTCGAGCGACAGCAATATTTTAGTAAATGCTTTCGTGGAGTATTCATGTGTACGCCTTCCTCATGGGAAGACCGCCCCCTCCGACACCTGTTGAGATAACAGGGCCTCACACGATACAGTCTGACACAGTCTGTCGATAGCGCAACTATGATAGCCAACACCTGCAGCCACTTCCTGTCGACTTCGTACCTTGATCAAACTTCACGCTCGTGGAACTGAAAGAGCTTGGAGACAATGAATACACAGAAGGAACTCCTGGTGGACACCGAACTCGGCATGTCTGAGCTGCTGCTGAGCCCGATATCAAGCGTTGCGTCTCTCATGACACACTGGTGGTGAACTGTTGTTCAACGAGCAATTCGGACGCAGCAATGGCTGTACATGTTCGGATGGTATTCTGCCTGCTGACAGCTCAGCTGGAGTTATGAACACCGAATCTTGCATTCCCCCTCATTCTCCTCGCTCTTCTCGTGTAGCGTATGCTCCTCCGCAATCATGTCCTGACGAAGACCCATCACTCATGCGTCTTGTATCGATTATTCCTCCAGGAATTTGTATCGTCTATATTCTCAGTCGTCCATCGACGTGGCATGTCAGGCAAATTCAGGTGTAATCGAACGCTCTCATTGCTTGTGGATGACTCATAGCAAAAATTCGTTCCTTTCCAAGCACGCATTTCTGCCATGACACGTTCCCGAAAGTGGTCTGCTCTAGATCTATGTGCGACATATCAGCAATAGCTCTTGCATGCTGAAAACAAGCGAGATGTCACCATGAATGTCTCCAAGCTTCGACGTCGCTGTATGATGCTCGGTGGCAGGTCTGGCGCAGTCATCCACTGTGATTGATAGGAAGTGGTCCTCTTTAGCTGAATCACCCTGTTTGATCACCTTCTTCGGCGGCCCTATGTCATCGATGTACATTCGTTCGGCATCGCTTGCTGTCCTCCGGCTCTTGTGTCTAGGATATTCTGGTTGATGCCTTTCTCTTGGACCTGAGCTTCCAAAGTCACCGTCTTTTAATTGCAGCTGTGAAAATCATGGCTCGTATTTCGCCGCCGTTTCTAGTGAGAGTGGTGCATTGATTGGCTTCATGGGTATAATCAAAGTGCGACATTCCTAGATGCCAGGCGGAGTAAGTATAAAGGGAAAGTAACGATGGGATGTGAAACTGGAAGGAACGTTTCGGACCAAGTGAGATCTCGCACCTTCCGTCAAATAGATTCTCGCCGGATCGCGCTCCAGCTTTTTTTTGCCAGACATACCCACTCGGCCCCTTTCGAAGACTGTTTGTGCCAGTCACAGTTCAAGGTTCGACCGTCACGACGACTGATTGGCATGTCAGAGAGCACTGGTAAGCGTTTTGTCACCCCCAACCCGATCAAAGCAGTAGCCTGACCACTTCATCTCACTCCAGAAATCTTGACTATTTCTTCTCAAACGCACGACACTGTCTTTGTCAAGCAACACAGTACACCAAGCCACCTACTCTCTACGCTACTCTGAGCTGTCGAGATCTGCTGCAGCATTTCTGCGCGACATGTCGGTCCGGTAAGTGCAAGTGCCAGCACACTGGAGACTGAAAAGCGCTAAAGGTTTCTTTCTCGTAGAGCAAGCATCACCGGTCCCTTCGCTGAGATCACTGTTGGATCGGGAAGCTCTGCTGTCGTCTTCAATCTCCCTAAAGAGCTGCTCTGCAACTCATCCACATACTTCAAGGCTGCATTGAACAACGGCTTCTCCGAGACTGCGACCCAGAAGATCGCGCTTGAAGATGAGGATCCCGAAGTCTTCCGTACTTATGCCGTCTATTTGTTCCAGCACGAGCTCAGACGTGAGAGCATTGAAGCAATCAACTGCATCGAACGTCACTTGTTTCAAGTCTATATATTCGCAGACAAACGAGGCATCGTGAGTCTAGCGAATGATGTGGTTACGATGATTTCTTCGTACTGGATCACCGAATGCATTGACCTGAAGATCACGAAAAAATTCCTGGCATTACTTCCAACCAAATGCACTCTCTATGAACTCACTTTAGACAACCTCATCCTGGAATCAAGGGCCCATGGGTGGGAACCTACTGATTGGGAAGTCTTTTGCAGCCATCCTACGGAAATCGTCGCAGAGCTTTTCCGAAGAGAGCAGGCTTTCTCCAAATCTTTTGACAGAACCTCACACTGCTTTGAATCCATCTGCCATTACCACACACATCGGGGTGAGGATAAAAACGAGGAGCAGGAGAGAACCAAGTGTATCGAGAAGACAACAAGAGGCCGCAATCTCTGGGATGTCTATCATTGTACCTATGAGCAGGTGGAGTGGGGACGGTAGGTAAAGATGCAAAGACAAGCTGGTTAAACGGAGAGCGGAAGGAATCGACCAACACAGAGCTTAGCAGTAGTGAGTGCAAGAACAGCTCGATAGAACTTGACGCATACAACACAGTGTTCTTACATGGTTGACTTTGTTGTTGTCTGACAATCTCTGTGTCTCACTTTGTGACTTTTTGTATCATATCCGCGTCCTGTTTCAGATGGCTAACATTCACTCTCCTGCTGAGCCTCACAGCACTATTTGCACTCTCACGTACCAAGAAAAAAGTGAGACCTAGTTGCACCTTCTTGGCTATCTTTCACATCTGACTCTCTCCCAACCACAGCTATTCCGTCGTGTTTAGATATTTGCCCACCGCGACAAATCAACAGCGTGACTTCCTCAACCTTCATCACGGACTTCGCGCTTCCCTCATTGCGCACATCACCTCAACATCGTGGCGATCCTTCTTGACTCTTCTGCAAACATACAACTCGAACGATCTTTGTCAACTCAGCTGCCAAGCGTCATCCCAAGATGACACTCATCTAAGTCACAATCATCAGATCCTAACAGAAGATGCCACACATCACAATATCTGTGGACTGGGGATTTTACTGATCATCTTCCATCCAGAAGTGCTATCACTGGCCCTACTGCCCAGATCATTGTCGGCTCGAAACCAAACATCAAAACATTCACCGTGCATAAGGAGCTGCTTTGCGACTCGTCAACCTACTTCAAAGCTGCTCTCAACAATGGAATCGTGGAAACCAAAGAGCAGACGATCACGCTGGACGACGAAGACCCTAACATCTTTACCACCTTTGTTCTATGGCTCTATGAATCCAAACTGAACACGGACGTGATATATATGGGTCACGAGACTTTCCAGGGACATCTATTCAACCTCTACGTCTTCGCTGACAAACGTGGCATCGTAAACCTAGCCAACGACACGACGACGATGTTGGCTTCGTGCTGGCTCAGCGAATTCGTTGAGTTGAGCGAGGTTGAGCGAGTCGTTCCCCTGATCTCACGCAGCGGCAAGCTGTACAAACTCATCATGGACAACTTGCTACTAGAGATGAGGGGTGGGTGGGGCGCAGATGATTTGAAAAATATAGATCTGCCGAAGGAGATGTTGATCGATCTTCTCTCGAGAATCACTCTCTCACCAGCGGGCTTCGATACGTTTAACATGTGCTTCCAATCCATTTGTCACTACCACTTTCATGGTGGCCAGAACGTCTTGAGCGAGGAAGAATGCGTTCGCCGCGTTGAAGCTGGGAACAACGTCTTCGACCCTGAAGTGGATCTGAGGCAAAAAGTTTGGGGCTGGGATGATTGAACTGACTATTGGCGAAGAAGAAGAGGAAGAGCTCGAAGAAAGATGTCACCAGTCACTGAAGTGCAACAAGTTTTGCAGTAATGGCAACTAGAAGCCAAGACAGTCTACTGAGCTCAGTAATTTCATCTCAATAGTTCTTCACCGACTCTGTTCCACAGACATATTCTGCTCTACCAACAATGAACAAGCAATTGTTCCTTCCATGGACCATGACTTCTCCTCCATTCACAAAGACCCGATCACGATGCTTTGAGAAGGTCGTGAAACTTTCGATAGTTTTCGTATGAGACATAGCAAACAGGCTGGTCGCACTTTTCTCTAACAGAATATGATATACTGTTTGTGTCTCATCTCAAACCAAAGATCAAGCAGATGAGGCGGATAAATCTTGCTCGCTGGAAACACAACTTCTGTGCCATACCCACTCCTTCGAAAACGAAAACTTCCTTGCCCTTCAAAACGTGATAAAAGACGACGACAGGTGACGTTGAACCTCAATCTACTCTTGAATCCCCTCCATTTCGCGGTACAGTCCTAGGATCGTTGGCATGGAGCCGGATGACTTGGATGTGTCCACTTCGTGATGAGTCTCGGAAAGAGCATATAATGAAGGCGTCAGCGAGCCAACCTGTTCATAGTCGGCCAAGCGGCAAGCCTCGGAGCAGTAGAGACCTTTGCTGGTTTGCTTGTCACAAATAAGGCAGAAGTCAAAGAAGTCCTCTTTTGTGCCATCTTTTACCTCAAACTCAATGGCTTCTCCATGGGAATGCGAGCTCTTGTGATGGTTGAGGTCGTGCTGACGAGCGAAACCTATATTGCATACGTTACAGACAAAGGGTCTGCCATCGGTATGGGTACGAAGGTGAGAGCGCAGATTATATGCGCGAGTGAAACTCTTAGTGCACATGGTGCACTGAAAAGTGGTAGGGTGTTTCTGAGTTCGCTTGGGGTCATTGCCTCCATTAGCAGCTCTTTCGGGGGTTGCGAAATCCGTGAGGTAGCTTCGCCGGGGCCTAGATGAAGTCGAAAAGCGTCTGGAGAGTGCACTAGTGGATTCAAAATTGGACAAGTCAATGTTGGTCTCGGATCGAGAGAGGGTGCCGGCCATGCCGATCTCCTCAGGGCTGCCGCCATCGCTTGACTGAGAGAAAGGATTAACTGCTGTAAGCGGAACAGTTGAATGCGTGTCAAACACCTGTTGGGGTGTTGGATCTGACTTGCTGGGTTTTGAGGTAAAGCCGTGGGCTTTGTCGAAGTCTGGGATCGCTTGCTGCGCTTGAGATAACCCTTGGTCAGGCGAAAGGCCCAAACTCTGGGCCCTGAACGAATCCAAACCTTGCTCTACATCAAGTTCCTGTTCCTTTGTATCGTAGGGTTTGGGTTCATGACCGCGCTCTTCGTGCGCTTGCAACTCTAGCCTTGACTTCAATTCTGCCTCGACATCTGCGGCCGCGTTTGCATCAGCGACGAGTTTGCGTTCGTGCTCATCAACTATACCTTGACGTTCTACTGCTGCATGTTCCCGATGCTTTTTGACTTCTTCTTCGTGAATTCGTCTGGTGCTTACGGCAGCGGCAGCGGCAGCGACTTCGTCCACCTGATAGCTGAGTTCGATATGGGCTCTCGAAGCAGCCACTTCTCCTTTTTGGTGGCGTTCAGGTTCTGCTGCCTCGTTTCCTCCATCCAGTTGTTGTAGTTGTTTCCTCTGTCTCTCTCTGGCTTGGTCCGTGTCGAGCCATCGTGGTTCGCAGTCAGAACAGTAGTGCTTCTGGTGGCGCTCAAGAGGATAATCTGCCTCATTAGGATAGTAGCATACCATGTGTTGCCAGTTGTTGCAAGTCTCGCATTGCACCGCGAAGCCGTCATCGTGGTGCATACCGCAGATGCACTTGATATCTCCATCGTCCTCTTGAGTAGTATCGTCGATCGCTACTTGCATTTGTTGTCGCACAGCCGGAACAGAGGTAGCGAAAAGCTGGGCCGACAGAGGGTCTGCTGCTGCATCGCCCTCCAATTCTCCGCGATTGCCTACCGCAACCTTGACTTCTGCCTCGAGCACGAGATTCTGAGGCTCGCTTCCTCCCCTGGCCCGCTCTGTGACTGCGGCAAGACTGCGCGCAATATCTTCCTCGGTAGCTTCAGTCATAGGCCACAGCTGCATCGTGACTTCCCATCCAGGTTGAACCATCGAATCCCAGTCCTGCGGCAGTAAAATACCACCATTCGAATCTAGCAAGCGATAATAGCCATTGAGAACATACGGGCTGATGCGCTCAATATCGAGAAAGGCTGACACGATCATGTTCTCCATACCCGTCCAGGTATTGGCTGTAACCCACGGCAGGGTAAATTTTCTCCCTATAGCATCCGTGAACTTGACATATGTTTTACCCGCGTCCTCTTCTAACTGCTTCTCCAAAAGAGCTAACCTTGGCTCTTCGACGTATTCACCTTCGCCTTCCGTGAGTTCCTTGATCTGTTCATCCTCGTGGTCATCCGGATCCATGGGAAGAACGAACAGCGCAATCTCTTCCATATGCGTAGCAAGATGTTCATAAAGCCTGGACAATGGCATCTTCTCTGAGCAAATGAGACATGCGTCTGATTGTTTGTCATCCATGTCTCTCTCACACATGTCAGCGTAGGTTGATAACTGGCGCTCGTTCATATGACTCGGATGCTCAACCAGCAGATGCTGAACCATGTCTGCTTTAGATGTGAAGGGTTTCGCGCATCCATCCGGACAGACCCAATTTCGTCGGTGCATCTGTTGTTCATGATATATCCAGTCATGTCGGGTTATGAAGAGTCTTCCTGGATCTGGACATCTCTCGAAGCTGCAAACATAAGGTAGAAGGTCGCGGAAGACGTGTTTTCTATTTAGGTCAGAATCCGACGGTCACCGCTGAGATCGTGAGACTTACTTCCAAGTTTCCCTTTTCTGCATCGCCTTCGAGTCTAGGATGATATGACAGAATGGGCACTCGAAGTTTGCATCTGCCTTCGAACATGTTGGAACGTCTGGTACTCGAGTAGTGTTTGACCGCCCACCAACCGCTGATTTGGCGTAGACGGTACGCCACTGCCCGGCTTCGGTGTTGTCACCTAGAGCAGATTTGGCAACAGTTGACAAGGAAGCGTGTATAGTTGAGGGTTTCTTGCCCTTCCTCTGGGCGGATCCATCAACAGTGTCCAGGGCTCTATCTTGTGGTTCTGGTACGTCTGGGCAATCAACCCAGTAATTAAACTGCTTCCGGCGGAAGAGGTTGGCCCAAGTGAGTCTTTGACAGAAGAATGCAATGTCTGCAATCTCCTGGAACTCGTTTTCGTTTCTCAGCTGCATTTCTTCTTCGGTAACTGCCTGCTCTTCCGTTCCACCAACCTTCGATCGCATAGTCAAATGTCTCCACTGCCGTATCTTCTCTGAGATGTGTGCGTAGTCCAGTGTGACTCTTAACGCGTTGTGAGCAGGAATTGCCGAATTGCTTGACTTGAGGTATTTGGTGGAGTTTCGAGGACGTCTCAAAAGAACGGAGACCCGATAGAGAGAGCGAATTCCTTCAAACGCCGAGTTGACGGTCTTGCGGAATCTGATCTCCCAAACTGTTTCCGAAGTCTCTTGCGACGCATCACTCTCATCAGATAGCGATGAGTAGTACTCGTCTTCCGTAGTTACATCGGTCGTTGGAGTGTATCTCTCTGTTTGTTCAATTGCTTTACGAAAGTCAACCACTAACTTGGAGACCAACACGATCTCTGAACTAACCTCGCTTAACACGTTCGTTCAAGCGTCGTAAAGATCTCATGACAATTTGCTTAGTTCGCCCGTCTTCACGAAGCTGTTCGTCCAGGGAACGCCTCGCGTTCGGTGGCAGGATAGCGTATGTCTGTTCGCCCCAGATACGCAGTCGACTGAACTCGTCCTTGACTCCTGGAACAAGATTGCTAATCAGGGGAGTCGAGCGAAGGAAATTGCTCTCCATAGCAAGCAAAAGTATTCCATATCTCCTGACGCAACTCTCGAATAAGTGACAAATGGAGTCTGTGCCCAAGAGATCATCCTTTCCAATCGCGTCGTATCCGGCGTTACGGTTTGCGTCAGAGGAGGGATTGAGATGCGGGTCCATAGTGTCGTAGTTCTCTGACATAACGAAGAATCATAGACTTTGGATTTTGGTCGACAGAGAGATCCGGAGTTGACAATTATAAGTCAGAAGAGGGAATATGCTAGATTGTCGTGACAGATGGGAAGCCACAGCGCTTCGTCCCTGCCCCCATTGGTCAAGGACATTAGTTGCTGACCATGCAGGTATTACGGCCTCTGCCTCATGCGGGGCAACATCCAGGCTGCATTTGCTACCTTCAATCATATTTTTCATCTCGTTCCTAGTGCAATTCATATAACGAGCAATGGCTGAGGCAGCTGGACTGGTGCTCGGTGCTATACCCCTTGTCTTCTTGGCTCTCGACAAATATCAGGACTGTCTAGAGTTCGGCCGATCCTACGCGAAATACAACGACACGCTCACGAGCATAAGAGATGAAATCTCTCTTCAACAAATGCTGTTCCATGGTACAATGGAAATGATGGGTTTGTCCCGACCAACCTACGTGGAGCTTGAGGATTGCCTTCGAATCCGGTTCCCTGAGAATCACATACAATTCATGAGATACATCAGGAAGATGGCAGCTACCATCGATCGACTGATGGCCAGACTCGAGATAGATACGAACAGCAAGGTCAGTGAGAACGACTCTACATGGGACACCCACTGACACGCTCTTAAGCAATCAGAAAGAACATCGTCTCGAGTAGGATGGGAATGGCGGCGGGTGAAGAGAAGTCTTTCGACTAAAGAGCGCAAGAAGATGTTTGACGAGCTGCAGCACTCGAACAATGTTCTTCGCACACTATTGTCAAAGCCCGAGGTGCCTCTGGAGGATTGGACTCCAATGGTTCAAACCTTCGTCGCTCGTTACAACCAGACCGATTGCGATGCTGTACGCTACCAGGCATGTGAAGTGAAAAAAGCGCTGGATGCATGCTGGCAATGTTCATGTTCGCATCGAACATCGCTAGACCTCAACTGGCACACCAACAGGCCGACAAGATCGCCTGTGTTCATTGTGTCCTTGTCTTACAATATGACGAACAACACGAATTCAACAGGAAGCGCGCAGTGGCGGAAAACGCAAGTCAAGGTCGATGGAACTGGTATAAGCAGTGGCACACGAAAGGATGAGCAGGTTCTAGGTCCATCAATGGCAGACACCCTCGCTGTGAGCTCTTCACAGTCGTCAATCATGATACAACAACAACGAAGCCTGTGGTCTCATCTGCGGCCGAGAAGTCGATCCACGAGCCCGCTTCCTCCTTCGCCCAGCGGCGCTGCGACTATCGCGCTAGCTGATACTGGGAGAGAGATCGACTCGCTGTGCCGATTCATTCAAGGACTGGACAATGGTGGCGAGCCTCTTGGTTTTCTGCCTATTCCAGGAGGGACAAAACGTGTTCATCTCGAATCAATCCCTGGACTTCACATTACAGAAGAAGCGACTTTGGTGCATCTCCTTCCACCGAACAAGCCCCCGACACATCTAAAGCTGAGCCGACGAAAGCGCTTGGAGATAGCCGTAGCCGCTGCATGGACGACATTACTGCTATGCGATACACCATGGCTGAACCGTACGTGGGATAAGCATGGGCTCTGTTTCTTCTCGGAGAATGTCTCGACTGCTGGACTACCTCTCGCAGGGCGATGTGTTTCGATGATGCAGGGCTGCGCTCTGGGTTCACACCCGGCAACAAGCGCCGGTGCCATTCTACAGAACAAGATCATACGCAATGAGGCCATCTTTGCTCTGGGAGTTCTACTGATCGAGCTGGGTCTGAATCGATCTTTCGAGGAGTGCAAGAGAACGAAGAACATTGGCACCACTGCCACGAACGTTGTCGACGACTATGACGTCGCAGACAGTCTTATAGAGGATGTTTTCGATGAAGTCGGAGAACCATACGGTAATGCCGTCCAAAGGTGCATCAGATTTGCTTTCCCGGGACGAGATACGACCAAGAATTTCAGTCACGCAACCTTCCGGCAATACTTCCATAACCTGGTCGTCGCTCCCATCGAGGCCACTCTGTCGACCGTCCCACTCTGAACTCAGATTTCAATTCAGATGCAAAATGAATGCATCACCTCGGTGATCAAATACAATCTGATAGCGATGCTTATTGATTATGCATAGGATATAAGTTTCCTACTTGAGACAGCAAACATCCTCTCGAGCGTGAGAAATCTTGGATAAATCTGTACAAAGAGACATAGCCAGAGGGTTATTTCCACCTTGGTCAGATAGACAGATATCGCGGGATCCAGTAGTGGCCATGGTAAACTCAGCCAGTGGATAAGCTAGGAGGTAGATCTTCATATCTCGTGCCCCAAGCACTCTCCACCGACCCAAGAGTCAACTCAAGCACACCCCCATCAACAAAGAACTCATGTCCAATCCAGTTCTTGGTATACGGCACCCCATTCAGCGTAGCATTCTGAACATAGATGTTCTTATACTCAGCATCAAAATTGATGTTTCGAATGGTTGCCTTGTCGCCAGAGATCTTGTTCGTGATGCTGATTTCCGGGAAGAATGGAGAAGTAATAAGATAGACATTTTGGCCAGGGACAGGGAAGAGACCCATCATGGCTAGAACGATGAAGGAGCCCATAGCGCCTGAGTCATCGTTTCCAGGGATACCGTTTACAGTTGTGTTGAATTGAGAAGGGATATAGGAATGAGCACGTGCAGCGCTCTTGCCAGGGCGGCCAGCATAGTGATATTGGTATACTGGTAGGAAGCCTTGCTCGTCGCCAATGTATAGTAGACCGCTCTCGTGAAGGTAATCGAGACGCTTAACAAACGAGTTTGGGCCATCGAGAGTGGTGATTAGAGAAGCCATGTCTTGAGGGACATAAGTTGTGTAGAGCCAGCTGCTTCCTTCGTAAGTCTCATGGCCTTCTGGATTCAGATAACAAGAGGTGAAGTTGAGCAGAGGAGAGCAAAAGATCGGGTCTTGATAGCCCCAAGTACCGTTCAGAAACTTTGGTTGAAGGAATCCCGTGAAGCCAGTTTGCGTGCCGTTGATAGTGGAGTTTTGGTCTTCCTTGTAAAGGTTCTTCCAGCCCATTGAGCGTGAAATGTACTTGTCATGGTCTGAAGTGTGGCCCAGGCCGCGGGCCATTTCTGCAATGCAAAAGTCGTCGTATGCGTATTCGACTGTGCGGGAGATACTGCGTGTGAAAGGCCCGACACCATATGGGTCGTAGTCGTCAGCGGGGATGTATCCTAGCGACTTCCAGCTAGTCAGACCTCCGCGTCCCTCAACAGCCCAGTTCTTGGGCTCGTCTTCGGCATCTGATACGACAGCCTCGTAGGCAAGAGCCCAGTCGATACCTTGAGTCAGATTCTTAACATATGCATCGGCCAGCACGACATCTGCATTGGAACCTCCTTGAGTAAACCCTTTGCACAGCGACATTCGACAGTCTGGAAGCTTGCCTTCATGTTTGTATATGTCCAACAAACTTCTAATCATCAGTGCCTGAGATTGAGGGTCGAAGAGTGTGATCAAAGGATGAATGCTACGATATGAATCCCAGATACAGTAGAAAGAGTCATAGTAAGGCTCTGTACTGTCCCACAGAGGGTTCTCGCCGGTGTAATCTTGCGGACTGATGGACGCTCGGTACAACCCGCTCCAGAAGATGGTTTGAAAATCATTACTGACACTGCCTGGTGTAACTACTATCACGCTCATCTTGTCAGTCCAGGCCTGACGAGCGATGGAGCGAGTGGCATCGAAATCGAAGGCAGGGATTTCCTTCTCAGCATTGGCACATGCTTGGGTAGTGCTCATGAAGCTCAACCCGACACGAGCTAAGACTTGAGTGGCGTTGTTCTCAGGCGCGTTGAACCGCACCCAGGCTCCAGCAGGAAGTATATCAGGGGAGTTGTTTATTACGTCAGGGACAACACTAAGATTCTTGGGCTGAGGTCCAGCTCGATTGTTCATGAAAACACCAGTGTCTCGAACGCTTGCACCAGAAAAGTCGGCACAGAAGTGGAGGTCATATGTTCCAATGCCAAAGCTAGGGCTAAAAGTCCCGTTGCCGACAATTCTGCCAGTATCTGGATCCACAGAGATCGATCCATTACTTCTAGACTTGGGCAAGTCGATGAGGTCTGCCAGAATGAGCGGACTCAATGGCATGTCTGCGGTACCCTTCGGGAAAGAGAAGCGATATAGGGCAGTGTGGTTCGTCACGGTCATTTCGGCACGAACGGAGTTTTCAAGAGTGATTGCAAAGTATCCTGGTTCTGCAACAATAGAGCCGTTAATCTGGGGAGTGGCTCTATCCACAGATGTAAATTTACATTCATCCAGATCATCATTATGACATCCTGGGTGGGCAAACAGAGGGAAGTTGCCGAGTGATGGCGACCTGTATTGCCATTCGTATTAGACATGTTCCAAGATCTTGTAATTGTGCGGATGGAGTGTAAAGACGGTAATCAGACAAATCTCAAAATGGTCTCAAGGGGTATCGATGGGTTGATGACATAAAATAAAGAGTGCTCATCATATAGGTGGATCATGAAGGATTGAGATGAACTTACCCNNTCCGGTTCCGCTATCGTGCATATGTGAGAAGCCTGTGATGTTGCTGTAGTCGCTCGCATAGCCGCCTTGATTTTCACCATTGACGTCTGCAACAGCTTTGGCCATGCCTGCGAGCACATTAGCTAAGGTCGATATTGGAGCGTTGAGTGTAAAGGCATACCAAAANGGCAAAGTAGCACCAGCAAAGACATGACCTGCACGATTGTCAACATAAGAGCGAGATTCGCCCTTCTTTTCTTGTTTCAAACCTCCGAAGCCTGTGCCTATGAGCGGATCAACATATTGGAGAACATTCTGAGCCAAAGTATGGTCGAGATAAAGACTCAATAAGCCGCACAGTACCCAAAATCGAGCCATGTTATCGAGCAATGGATGGAAGCAGAATACACTTCCACTACTCCCATGGCAGTCGCCGGCTATACATAGTCCAGCATTTGCAGTTCTACGACAGCGACCCCGCCCTCAGTTGATGAGGAGCGAGGAAGCGAGTAAAAGGCTACGGTAGCATTCATACTGGATATGTCGATTGCAGCAAAGATTGACATGGGCGTGAGGAGTCAAAGTGTGACTGATGCTACGGCACACAGGAAGGGAAGCAGGGAAAAACAAATGTGACACGAAACCAAGAGCGGTGGAGCAAGTGCAGCGCCAAGACGCTGACGTCAGGGCTTCGGTGTCCCTCGGCTCGACTTGACCAATTTGCGGCCATCACGAACTCGTCGCGTCTTCTTCCACATTGGTGGCAGGAACGTGGAAGGAGCGACCACTATTTCGTCCAAAGACAATATCCTCAGTCGGCAGAGCAGAAGGACGCAAATCAAACATGCTGGCGACGTCGAATTTCGGATCTACTCCTTCTCAACCGCACAAGTTCTTGCCCAGCGTGCCGTCGCCACTCTCTCCTCGACGCGCAAATGTTAAGAATTCCACTTCTTTCTGGTCCTTCGACACATCAATGGCGACCTCAACATCTCAACAAGCATCAAATCAGCCGTCACACGTTCCTTTCTCGTCTCGACCAGTAAAAGCTGCTCCTATACCCCGCTCCGATGCATTGCGCGAGCGCCGCAGGGACATGTTCTTGCGCAAGGTCCGCCAGGCCCGCGATGAGAACAAGTGGGACTCGAGGATAGACGACGTGTGTTCCTATCTTGCATACACTCCAGGTCCTCAATTCAGTACTAACTCTCTTCCAGATGGCCAGACTCGACTACCTGAAAGAGAAGCGACGATGGGAAGCCGAACAAGGACGATCCGCACCATCACTACACCCAGAGTTCGCAGAAGCAGAAGAGGTCTCGGACTACGACCTACCCACATACAGCAGCCAAGTGGCATGGGATCCTCAATCTCAGCCCGACTATCCTCTAGACCCAGAAGTCGACGCTGTCCTGCAACAAGAGAATGAAGAGCTGGAAGCCTTGATCGCTCTGATGCAAGAGGAAGACCACCGCCGTAACAAGCAGTCAGACAGTCAAGAAGCACATGACGATCGTTCTTCAGCCTTTGGCAGCGACGATGATGAGTACGACAACATCTTCATGAACATGATAGATGAGACTGGTGGTGCGGCCTCTGCATCAGAGCAACAACATCAGCATACAGCAGACGAGATGGATCTGAGCTAGTCTGCTTGGCTGGGTGGGACCTAAGTCCCGTGTCTTTTTCATGGCTTCTTTCTTGTACTTTAGCGTGGCGTTGGCTGGCATGGCTTGGAGGGTTAGACTTGTGTCAAGGAAGGGACCTGTGTCATGGATCGGATCAGCTGCAACAGCTTGGGGGTTCTATCACTCCTCGATAGCAAGTGTAAATGATGTTGTCGAGTTTTCGACATTCTTCTCTCTTTCTCTCTTGCCATGCATCCTCTATCGTGTATTGTTGCAACAAAGACCACAAGCATTCCATGGAGCGCAGCACCCCTCCCGAGTTCATCTTTCGTCCATCTAACTAGCGACACCACTCCTACCCTCAAACACCTTGAGATACTCATCCTCCACAAACTTCTTATACGCCTCCCTCTCCAACCCCCTCCTCGCAACACCAACATCAAACTCAATATCCTCAATCAAGCTCTCCTTGCTCACATAATCATACTCTGGTCTAATGAACCCCAAGATCACAAGATTCATATGCGAGCCATAGAAATCCTTGTCGAACTTTTCGAGCACGTGGACTTCGACACTGCGGACGCTGTTTTTGTAGAAGGGGTTCCAGCCGATGGACATGACTTGGGGGAATACGGTGGAGGGGAAAGATGACAAAGAGCAGTAGCCATAGTAGACGCCTGATTCAATGTCGTCGTGGCCGCCGACTGTGAGGCCTGAGAGGGGGATGTTGGCTGTCGGGATGCCGAGNCTGTGTTTCGTATAGCAAAAATCAGTATTGTATCTCTTAGTTCCTTCGGAGTTTCATGTGAGATATTTTTGTTTCTTTGATGAGTAGATTTGAGAAAATCCAGAGTGTTGTATTCGTGGTGATTGAAATGGTAAAGAACGAACCTCTTTGCTGCCTCGTCCAAAGCCCTTGACGACTTCGCCGTTCAATTTGAGAGGAAATGGTGGCGCGGGTCCGCTGTCAGGGCCGACGATGGGATCACGGGGGCCGTCTGGACGCATGTTGTTTCTTTTGTGATGGCTCGATGAGATGATGTGTAACGGGTGCTCACAACAGCTGGTTGATGGTTGCCTGCCTGGTATGACCTTGACGTTTGTGGTGATGCGTCGGACTTTGCGGCGTTTGCCCAGAGCCCTATCAATGATCTAGTCTATCCACGTCTTCCTCTTTCCATATGCTCTACCATCTTTATTCGTGCTTGAATCGATATTCTGTATCTTGAAAGACATGAGCATATCACACAATCACCTTCAATCTGCATCCATAGAATTGTGGAAACTCGGCTTGATATTGCTGCAGCAAAATCTATCTCGTCCCTTATCATCTCCATCATTACTAGCTCATATATCATGTACTTGTGTCCATCGGGTCGCCAGCACTACTAGCAGCCTTCTCCTTCCTCTTCATCTCGATAAATGCCAAGATCTCCTGCTTCTTTTCTTCAGCTGGCACCACATCCTCGAAAGCCAGTGGTACACGGTTGAATGGGTCGGTAGAGTCTGAGAGCAAGTGCGAACGAATGGTGCTGCGGTCGACGATCTGTTTACTGCTGGGCAGTAGCACAGGGTCTTCCATCAACGAGCCCATGATGGGGTCAAGGAGCTCGTCTGGGATCTCGCCGAGGTCTTCTTCGGCCATGACTTCCTGGGCGTGCACCAGTGCCACGGCGTCAGTCAAGGCAGTGAATTGCTTAATCTGCTCCGGAGACTTCATGCCAAAGCTCTCCATAAGTTGCATCACCTCTGCGAAGTTGGAGGGCTTGTATGAGCGTCCATCACGAGCAATAGCCTGACGGAAACTCTCGCGATGTGCTAGGTTTAGGTATACATCCACCAGATCCGAAAGCAGTTCACGAGGCTTGAATCCATACTGTTCAGGCTGGTCCACTTTGAGATTACGGCGTCGAGGTCCGACCATCGCATCAAGGTTGTAGTCCAACATGTCTGCAAGACGTTGCACGATTTCTGGCATAGTAAAGGCACCAGCAAGAGCATCTGTGAACAGCGTAAGCATGGCAACAGTCTCTTTGGTCAGGCCCATGTAGGACTTGGCTCGGCCTTGTTGTTCGGCCAACGCTTCTTCCTTCTCCTGTCGTATCGCCTGTTCCATACTCTCTGCAGGGGCCTTCAGTTCTTCTTGTAAGTCGTGGATTTTGGTGAACGATCCGAACACCTCATCCAAGACATATGTCACATCGTTCAGCAAAAGGTTGACGAAGCGAACGAAAAACTCAGTGTTGACTTGCGCCTCTTTTCCGAGATTCTCTCGATACAGAGGGTTCGACCAGATACTCTTGAACACTTGGAAGATCTCGTATCGGATATTGAACTTATCGTAGAATGCTGTGTGTGTTCCAGTGCTTTCACATTCGATGTAGAACTGCATCAGTGCATGTAACAAATGCTTGTGACAGAACTCAGAGCCATTGAGAAGGTCGCCAAGAACACCTTTAGAGAAGCCGCCAAAAGGCCAGACACCATGGAACAGAATGGTGACCAGTCCAGCCTTCATGTAAGGGTTCTTGATGTAATTCGTGTTGCGCAAGAAGGTGATGCAAACAGTGGCAAGTTCCTCGCACTGAGTGGAAGTGATGATGTGAGGGATGTTGCGGGTGATGAATTTAAAGTTGTCGACAACGTCTTCAAGGAAGTATTCAGGAAGACATCTGAAAACTTCAGGCTGCTCTTCCGGTAGGGGTAGGCGCAGCTTCTCCTTTGGAAGATTCTGCCCCGATGCTAGACTCAAGAGCCAGACGATGACATATCTCATGAACTGCATAGATCTTGCTTGAGAAACTTCGTCGAGCAATACACCAGTAGTCGCATGGATAACGCTGTGCACTCTGTCGACCTCGTCTCTGTACTTCTGCAGATGCTGTTCGAATCGGGTGGCGTATCTAGGATCATGCGCATATTTGTGTCTGTCGGCCTCGAACCTCTCGAGCTCTTTCTCCATGTGCTTGACTTGCTTCTGCATGCTTTCCATCCTGCTACTGGCTGCCTCCGTACCGTAATGGTGAGCCGCTACAGTGAGGAAGAAGATTTCGGAGATGAAGTTGTTGGTGCCATCAACCTTCTGCTCATAGAAGGCATCAGAGGTTTTCTGATCTGCGTTCATCTTCGTCTCATCCGAGATGTCAACTCTGGGATTTCTTCGCAGGTAATTGACATCGATTCTCTCAATTTTGCTGAAAGCAGCATCCATGAAAGGGTCACAAAGTCTGTCAAGACAATTCGTGATGTTGATCATGAAGCCATCTGAAGATGTTGTCTTTTCGTCGACTCTCATAGCACGACGTTTGTGGTTGGTGTTCATGCAGCGGGCGAACCAATCCAGCAGCCTCTCGCGTGGCTCCTTTCCAGATTTGACGATCTTATCAGCAATAGCAAAAAGCTCTTCCTGGTGGGTGTTAAGTGTCATGCGGAGCGAACGTTGGGTATTGGCGATGTAAGCCCTGTCTTTTGACCTGGGAGTGGTGAAGAAGCTTTGCGCGACGCCATTCTGTAGGGGTGAGAGACGGAAGAAGGGACCTAGAATGGTGACCATCTCGATATCCTGTGCCGCGACACCCTCAGGAAGGAAAGCGGGTGATTGGGTGATCGCCTCGATAATCTTCGGGAACTGGATGAGGTTTCTTAGAGCAGTGAGATAGTACTTGTACTCTATGTCGTTCATAGACATTGCAGCCAGTTGCCTGCTGAGCTGTTCGACAGCACCAACTAAAGCATCCTTGATTGACTCGTCCTCCTCAAAACGCGAGACGGCCTCGTTAAGGAAGTCGTGATCAATACCAGAATCGCTGTGGGGATCTGCAATGAGATGCTTGGCTAATGCGTTCTCCGGTGGAGTCTCGAAGCCGAACATCTCAGGCATGGTAATGGCAAAGATGCAGTAACTCATGCAGAGTCGTCTGGCCTCCATCAAGACCTTGAATCTCGGGTTCTCGGTATCTGTACTCCTCATGCCTCGGCAAGCTTTGGATATACGCTTCCAACATGCCAGCAAATAGTCCAGTGGGGTGATGTTCTTTAGGAGGCCGGCAGCTTCGGGGAGAGCCTGGTCCAGCAGGCTTGTCTTGAGCTGAAGTGGCTCGTCCTGTTCGAGCAGGTCTCCTCGCACACTCTCAAGGTAATACAAAGGTTGCGAGGAAGCGTCTCGGACGACGTCAGGTTTCAGCGAAAGACGGAAAATTTGGCTGAGTTGGCGGTCTTCCCAGATCTCAAGGGATTCCGAGGCTTGTGGGCGCGATCTTGGTTGAGGCGAGTCATCGTTGGGCCGCTTCTGAGCAGCAGAAGATGTGATGTTGATCTTGACAGGCGTCTTTGTCTCGGGCTTGACGCCCAGCTGTGAGAAAGGGTTGCCCGCGGGCTCTGCCTGTTTGTCTTGTGAGGCGGACGAAGATGCGGCTGGCGGGGTCTCGACACTTGGAGACGATGGTGCTGGTGAGGACGGGCCTGAGCCACCAAGTTTGGCAAGGCGCTTGTTACGGATCTGCCCATGTTAGATCAGACGGTACAGAGCCGCGCGATCTGGCAGCGACGTGGATTCAAGGTACCTTGTCTGCTTCTGATTCGGCCATGTTGTGTGGCGGTTGAACGAGTATGTAGCACCAGAGCAGGAGTTGGCCAAAGAGAAACTTTGAGATGCGCGCCTCTGAGCAGACTCTTTCTATCAAAGCAACTACGAACAAGTGATGATCAGAGTGATGATCTAGAAACTGAATGAGTGAGTGAACGGATGACGCTCTTGCCTTAACGCCGCTATGTCCATCCTGCAAGCTTCGCTGCTACCAGTGGAATACACTCCAACGCACGCATCAAACCCTCACAGGCATTGTTTGTTATGTCCAAGACATGTCACACATGTAGCCATAGAAATGCACAGTAGTATTCAGAAATAGGCCAGTACCCACTGAGAGGCAATAGTCCAGCGGCTCTCTTTGGACACTCCTCCGCTTCGAAGATAATGGTGCCTTTATATAGTGTACACTTCGCTCTCCGCTTCTGTGTGGAGCTGCAGACTTGAGCACACGGGAGGTAGGATTGATTCTGTATGCTCTTTGAGTATACTGTCGAAAGTCACTGCTTGACTGTGTGATCTACTGTACTTTTGAGGCACAAATCTCGACCATTCTCCCGAAGAGGTAATATCAGAATATCACTATCACGCCTTATTTGCTTCTTCTTGTAGGACAATCCCCAATACTGCACTTCGAACCACCACGAGCAAGACTCGTAGTAGAGAATCTGCAGAACAAGACAGTGACCTGGACGTAAATGACTCTCCGTCGCGGTCCCGAACCAACACCTGATGCACTGACAGACATACGCATGAGAAATTAAGCATGGTAATTCAGGTTGCTGTGGCACAGGCTGTGTGGCTGGTCGCGGTACGTGTTGATGGGGCATGCCGCATGCTTCCTCTTGGCATATTTTGAGCAAAACAAAGCTAATAGCCAGCCTGATCCGAGCGTTGAGGGCGAGTACGATGTTGAGCGAGGCGCAGACATGTGGCAGACATGGGCAGAACGGAGGCGCGTCAACAGTGGGAGGCTCAGACGCTGTACAAGAAGCGGAAGAGAAGAGACAAACCGGCAGTGCAACGATAGCGCTCGCTGCAAAGCGTGCAACGATAGCGCTCGCTGCAAAGCGTGCAACTCCAAGCCACACACCGGATGGCAAGTTTGAGAAGGGCATTTCGAGGCCCCTTCTGACACTGAGGCGGCCGTGATGTTGTGCTAGCGTTATGATCATTACTCTGCGCAATCTGTGTAATAACACGTTCCCCTGTTCGCTGTTTGATGCTCGTAGACCAGACCGTTTAACGTGGTTGCCTGCCCTCCAACTCTCTTGCCACCTCTGTATTTGATCTTTTGAAGAACAAAGACTCTCAAGTAACCACAAGCAAGCCAGCAACAGAAGCAAGCAGACGTGTTGTTTCTCTGCATTCAAACAAAACAAAACTACCTTAGCCCGAGTGACGGTCCGCGTGTCAACGCTGCCAAGGCAAATCAATCCGGGCAGCCTCCAGGTGCGACTCCTTCCTCGCCCACCAACTCGCCATCACCGTTGCCGACATCACATCCTATCTCCATAACAATCCACCTGCGTCTTGGCCTGAACATCCGGCCGACTTGCTCACCTTTCACTACCTCAAAGTCTCTTTGTTGATCAGTATCCACAATGGCGGAAATTCGTCGCAAGCTCGTTATCGTCGGTGATGGTGCATGCGGAAAGACCTGTCTCCTCATGTAAGAAAGAGTGCCGTCTGGTCGACCATATCTTGCTGACCCACTGTCGACAGTGTCTTCTCCAAGGGTACCTTCCCTGAGGTTCGTTTCCCTCCATCCCTGCTCGCTGTCGTCGCTCGACTTGTTTCCCGTCTGCGTCGCACCCCCGCCAGTCCTCCATGCCCGAGCGCGACAAGCAGCCCCTAGTATAGGACACCCGATGTGCTGACATGTCTACTCAAAGGTCTACGTCCCCACCGTCTTCGAGAACTACGTCGCCGATGTCGAGGTCGATGGCAAGCACGTCGAACTCGCCCTCTGGGATACCGCTGGCCAGGAAGATTACGACAGACTGCGCCCTCTCTCCTACCCCGACTCGCACGTCATCCTGATCTGTTTCGCCGTCGACTCGCCCGACTCTCTTGACAACGTTCAGGAGAAGGTACGCCGCCCACCATGAACTGCCACCTCACGTGCCTAGTTGCATGCTGACATATATTGTTTTTGATAGTGGATCTCCGAGGTCCTGCATTTCTGCCAGGGTCTTCCCATCATCCTCGTTGGATGTAAGAAGGATCTCAGACACGACCAGAAGACCATCGAGGAACTTCACAAGACCTCGCAGACTCCTGTTACCGAGGAGCAGGTGCGTGTCGACACATGATACAAGACATGAATTCAGCTTACATGTTCTANNCAGGCCAGACAAGTCAAGGACAAGATTGGTGCCAAGGAGTACATCGAGTGCTCAGCCAAGACCAACGAGGGTGTCCGTGAGGTCTTTGAGCACGCCACTCGTGCTGCCCTCACCTCAAGAAAGGAGAGGAGTAGCAGCCGCAAGAAGTGCCTGATCCTGTAAGCGGGCAGGCCCAATTGCGCGATCATTCCCACCTCGGCATGAAGAACAAAACATGGTTCGGTGACCATGGACGAAGCACTTTTCCTCATGTCGCGTCTACCACACGGCTGCTGCTCTGCCAGATGAACGATAAGCTGCAGCACGAGGCCTGAGAGACTTGCACATCCCCCAGATTTATACCTTGGTTCTGCAACATGGCGTTCGGATTGGAGTTTCTTGGTTGTCCTGTTCTGCACCGCAAGAGACATGTCCGCCCTATTCAAGNNCAAGCGAAATGGACAAGGCATGCACGCAGGGCACTGTGTTTGTTGGTCGAGGACGTGACACTGATGGTCTTGATCATTCGTCTTGCTCGGCTCACGCACATCTACGTCTTGTCTNTTTTTTCCCTTCTCAGTACAAGTCGCTCAGGTCTTTACCCACATATCCCCCTTGTTTTTGCCGACGGTCACTGTTTTTTCTCAACCACCACCTGCACTGCGCATTCAGATCGGTGTAATATTTGTCATAGGCGTCAATGAACTAGTTTTCTTTGCACAAAGACGGTCTTGACAACATCTAGACAATGACGTGCAACTCGAAGGTAGGATGGTAGGACTAAATATCCATGCTCTGATGACAACCCCACGAGTTACCGGCAGAGTCCGGCACAACAGAGACGATCGCATGTTGATCTGCTCTTGTTTTCCCCATGTTTGGACGTGGACAATGACACGGGATGGCGAAACGGCGAGGATCCTGAGACACTTGCAAAGAGGGGTTTCGAGTGGCCGGCCATCGTAGAGGAGCATCATCTGGCAAACGCGCGAAAGTTCATGATTCTTCAGAGACAAAGAGTGGCTACCGGGGACACGAGAAGAGTGCGGGCAAGCGAGCCAATCGTGGGGGTCAGGGCATTTCACTCCCACTTATGACGAAGGCTGCGAGACTGGTCGCAAAAGCTACTCGATACTTCACACTGCACGCTCTCCCAAGTGACTGTTCGCGCACGGCAGAGGGGGGAAGCAGTTGGGTCACAGCGTGCATGAATCGGAGGCAGCAGCAGCGATGACGCGGGGCTAGAGCGAAAAGTGAAGGGAAAGTTGAGAGAAAATGGCAGAAGCACGTGAGAAGCGAGTGACAGTCTGGCGCCGCTAGAGAGAGTTTCTGGGCCCTGGCCGACTAGCGATATTCCCATCCCGACTCCACCGCACGCATTTCCAGCGGCGCCTTTCAGCCTTCGTCGACAAATCCACCTGCTCTCTCCACTCCCTGATCAACATCTTCCTTTTCCACCTGCTCCCTCCCACAACCACTTCCACCTCTGGTCAACATGCGCCTGTTCCGCATCAACACCAACCCCACCATCGCCATGGCTTTCTTGTGATGGTCTGACTATCACGGTACATGCCCACCACTGCCGTCGACCTCTCGCACTCTCTGACGCCGTACTAGCTGTCCATCTAGCAACGACACGCGCCTGCAGCCTCGCGCAGACACCAGAACGCTTCTCCATATTACCCGCTATCAACTACACCAAGCACGCCGCAGTCTGAGACTCGACTGTCACGCGACATATCCTTTCTCCCACATTCAACATGCCTTCTGCAACCTCGACTCCCTTGCTCGACACGACTCCACAAACTAAAATCATGGACGCCGGCGAGATGTCGCTCCTCGACCGCACCAAGGACGTCAAAGGTGTGCTCGACTCCTCGTGGTCTCTCGCGACGGTCGCTGACTCGAGAAACCCAGCGTCCAAACAAGACGACCCGACGTCCACCATGGTTGCTCAAGAAAACTTGAACCCACGGCTCAGCATCGCCCCGCTACCCGGACGCTTGCGCATGTACGTCCCGCCAGCCAACTTTGGCGCGGTTGAGACAAACTCCATCTACAGGAGTGGTTACCCAACCAGCAAGAACTTTGACTTTATCAAGAGTCTCAGCATCAGAACCATCCTGTACGTTCTGAGTCCCTCCATACCAACTTGCTCTTCCTAACGCACAATCCAGCNNACCTTGGTTCCTGAACCTCTATCAGAAGAGTACATCACCTTCATGGACCAAAACCACATTCGCCATTACCAGATCCACATTCCTGCCAACAAGGACGGCAAAGTAAACATTACTTCCGAAACCATGGCTACTGCTCTCGCTGTTGTTTTGAACCGTAACAACCACCCTCTTCTCATCCACTGTAATCGTGGCAAGGTCAGTCCAGACATTTCGATCACATGAGCACGTGACGCTGACTCATGATCAGNNCATCGTACTGGCTGTGTGACTGCCTGCTTCCGCAAGACGCAGTATGTTCAAAATGACCCCGCTATCGCCGAATATCGCGACTATTCGTATCCGAAATGTCGTGAGGACGACATGCACTTCATCAGGTCTTTTGATCCGAGTATTGTACTTCCTATCGCCCAATCACAAGGCTGGCTGCCTACACCACCACCAGAACCCAACGACGGTTTCTGGCACTTGAAGCACCAGACCAAAATTCCTACCTA